TAAGAAAAAAAAAGAAAGAGTTAAAAAAATATAATAGAATATATAGGAAGAATAAAGAATGGACAGATGCTAAAACGAGGAATTTTAATAAAAACAATGCATATCATATAACTCGAAAATGATTGTATTAAGTCAAGCAAACCAATAATACATTTACACTGTATATAGAGGATAAATGAAGAAGAAACAATGACAAATATTTAATGTGGACTATGGTGCATGATTTATTAAAAATAAATATTATGCCTTATAATTTATAGTTTATATGGTGAGGTGACACCACCACTCAGACGTGAGCCCCCGAGGACAATCCGTCTGTGCGCCAGCATGCGCGGCGATCCCGCCAAAGAAAAAGGCCGGGATCACTGAATCAGTATATCAACTTCCGACTATTTGACCGGAGCTCTTCCCCCAATTTAGGGGGAGACTTAGGGAAGCATCAACGGCTTAACTTCAGCGCCAGGCCTAACACAACAGCGCCCGGGACTCCGTGTCCGCGCAGGCTTGGGCCACTTCCTAAAGACAATAAAGAGCTCACCCCCTTTACTCTCTTGGCTACGTAGCGGGACGGCAGTGGCGGTGTGGCTTCTTGTGAGTACGTCAGTTTAAATAACGCACGAGAAATAAGACAGTATTAAACTAAAAATAGAAAAATATCACTAAAATAGGAGAAATTACCTATTATTTATATATTAAATTTATAATATGTGGTATGCGCAGATTAGTTTCTTGAACAATACTATGCATACAGAAAGAAAAAACAGACCAATGAATTCTATAAATATAAGATGTTAAATAGACTTGGCTAAACAAAATAAAATATATAGAATATATGGTTTTAGAAAATTCTAAATAGAAATGCGATTTCATGTTCAAATGATTGGTTATTTTGTTCTATAGCATCTCTAAACCATAAAATACTTCAAACTATATAAGAATTTACGATTTATTAAAATGTAAGAACAATATGAAGCAGTTAAGAAAAAAATGTATTACATTTGGACTGATGTTTATAATAAGTATAGAAATTGTAATTTGCGGGGGGTTTAAAGCAGCGTATAAGAAACAATTAAGTACAAAAAATAATCTAAGCACAAGTGGTACACGATTTATGCGGGGTATGTTTAACAATTATAATTCTGTACCATCTAACAATACTAACCAATCTATGCAGACAGATGACCAGCCATTAGATCTATCTAATCCAAATAAAAGGCCCCATGATACAGACAACAATACTCAAAATTCTAACGCTATCAAAAGAGCTCGTTATATGGGTATGAATAATGCAGAGAGCAATGTAGATAATTCAGCAATAGACATAGCTACAGAACCAACAATGGATCTAACATCAGAGCCAGCCCCAGAAATGCCTTTAAAAGAAACTTCAGAACTAACCGCATCCACTACTATTAATCCTCTTAAAGTTGATTCTAACAGTAAGTTGGTTATAACTAGTACATTGTATTTTTGTGCCGCTGAAAATCAATTTATTATACGAAACTATACGAGTTATATAGAAAGTTTTGAAAATGTGTTGTTTTCAAATTACACTGGACAGCTTAAACCCGAAGCAGTAAATCAAAAAACATATATAATAATTGAAAACTGGAAGAGTGAGAATGAAACAGATATTTGGACTATGATTAAAAGTGTGGACATGGATTTTCTTCTACTAAAAAGTGTATTTAAAAATATGCTAAAAACAAGCTTCTCTAATGATTACAGATTGACCAATCCATTATGGTATGATGGATTTATAAATGATCTAGTTAATTATATTAAAAGCCATGGTCAAACGACCACATATCAGTATAAAATTATTACTTCTTTACATATTAATAAAAGAGCAGAAACTCTTGGAAATATTTGGATAAATAAAGAAGTAAATTTATACTGTTGCTGTAGTGGTATAAATAGTCAAATGGTTTTAGAAGGAAACGAAAAGGACATAAAACTTAAAAAAAAGTTGAATGCTATTCTTTTAATGCCAGAGGTATATGAAGACTTCTATAAGATGTCACAGAATATAGTTGATAATTTTGTTAAAGAAATTAAAGCAAAAATAATGAATAGGGATAAAAAAAATAAGCGTACTAATATAATAGACTTTGCAGATAATTTAAAAATTGAACAGCTATCAGATTTAACATGCATTATGAAATATCTTATACACACTGCACAGAAAAATGAAGCATTGGCAAAAGAAGCATACAATGCAATTAAACAAATTAAATTGCAAGGGGATAATCAGAATTTAATAGGCGATTCTAATGCAATAGAAATATATAATTTTGTATGTAATAAAGTTAGTATTTTTTATAAATACCATGGAATGACATATAAATTAACAGCGGCACAGAAACATGCTATTAGAAATAGAACGCGATTGATTCATATAGATAATATGCATGAAATCCGAGTACACAATAAACTGTTAGGGGGTGATAGTTTTAATGCACAACAACTTTTTAGATCTATTGCACAGATAAAAAACATAAATGAAATAGAAAATATTGGCTCTACTCATGCTATTGTCATAGATGATATAAAACACACTGACATATTCACTGAAAATAACATATTACTAAGCATAAAAGACCATTATCATGTGCAATTTGTAGACAATGAGTGGCACACAGTTACAATGGTTCATCTTCCCTACTACACACATAGGCAAAAAAATGGTACAATTGTAAACTATCAGTTTCATACAATTAAAGACATAATAACTCATTTAAAATATACTTTTAATATAAGAGAATCCGGTAAACCAAGAGTCATTAAAACAAATGATAATGATATCTTAGACATAAAAAAAAAAATAGCATTTGTAGAAAAGGGAGAATATATCCATTTAAATACAATAGAATGGATAAAACCTGGTCGTTAATAACCGATGATTCGGATTTAAACAAAACAGTACATACAATAGAAAATGAAAACGGCAACGTAGTATTCTATTACATAAAAGAAGACATCAAAAAAACCGAGTTCTGTTTTGCACAATTTGTGTATTCATCCGAAGTAAAAAGTAATGTTAAAGACGGTAATATGGATAAGAATAACGTATCCCACTTTTTCTTTCTAAGTTTATGGTTTCTGGTGCAGTGCTTGGGCCGTATGACAAGAATAGCATTAATTATAACGTATTTAAATTGGGCGAATATAAAGACTTAGTGCCAATTGACTATACAGAGATTTATACTTCTCCTTCTTTTAATAATAAACCAAGTTCTTCCAGAATACAAATAAATAATTTAAGATCGCCAGTAATTGAAAGACATATGAAAGAAAGTGATCTGAATTATGCTATTAAACACTATTATAGCGACTTCTTTATACGAAATTCAACAGACTTCTATGAGGAGCCCCACTGCTACTACATGAATATTCAATCCGAAATTAATAATGCAACTAGTGGTATAAATATAACTTGGAATACAAGATTCCATGAAAGTGTCTATGAGTATACAACATATAAATTTGACAGCAGAATACGAGATGAAAGAACGCGCATGGGTGTTATTAATCAACCTGCCCATGTTTCTTTCATTGACATGCTACAGCGCAACAATCCTTCTCTTAATACAGCATTATATGGACACTGTTTCTATAAAAGCCGAACTGATATTGACTATAAAACCAGTGCTGTTTTTTGTCTGACTATGAAAGATCTTTTAGAAAGAATGAATGCATATTTAATGGATATAAATACAAAGGATGAAATAATCGTTTCTATCTTGGGCACGGTACTTAATAAAAAGTACTATGATCCAAGATTCATTCTAAAAGACATTTCAAGTGCTATTCAAAATAGCAAACTACAAGAAATTAGACAAAGTGATGAAGGAATTATATCCATAAGAGACAATAACTACAACGGCTGTAAATATGGAATCCACTATGATATTTTAAATACTTTAATTAAAACCTACCTAATCGTGCAATAATTACGTTTAGAACAACTAGAAAACTATCAAAAAAAACTTAAATCCGGCTCTAAACCCGAAAATATTACACTAAGAAAACACTTTAGCTATAACTACTCGTTTATTACATATGCTACCTAATTAGTCTATTTATAATACTACAATATACACATTAGTGCTTGCCCCTACATCACTACTATTCTATAGTAATAACCCAAAATATACTGTTTCTAGTTGATTTGTTAATGGCCTTTTATTTCTGTTTCATAAATAGAAAGCCAATTTAATATATTTATACTAGAATATATTACAGATACATCCCTCTAATTTGAACTTAAACCGAACACACCATATTGCACTAACTCAATAAAAATGGTTCATTTAAGTTTTTTTTGAGATATAATTAGTTATCTGGCAATTCTTAATTGATATATTCTACTAAAATGTGAATATGTTGAGTGTTACGCTTATTAATCAGTGTTTAAATATGTTATTGTATTATGTAATCATTAAATAGTTTTAATTTTAGTAAATGTAAGGCATAAATAATATTTTGTTTTTAATAAATTATGGATAGCTTACAGTAAATATATACGTTTACTATTATTTCTACTTTTCTTAGAAATAAACTCTATTTAATAAAATATTTATAGAAAAAGAGAACACTTTTTTATTCTGCCAAATTGAAATATTTAGTAATAGAACAATTTAACTAATCCACCATACATATAATAACATAAAAACAACCCAAAACTATAAAGATCTCAGACAATACGCAGTAAAAATCCTACTGATTTTTAGCACTGCCAGTATTCTATATAAAATTACATACAAAAACACTTTATCTTGTCTAAAATAACTAATAAAAATAGTCTGGTATAAAACATGAGTAAAATTTGTTTCTATAGTAACATAGGAGACATTGTCTAAATATATACTTTAAATACCAGTTAATCAATAAGGCGTAATTAAAACACTGCCACACATAATATTATAACTCGAAAAAAGCCAGATTAAGAAGTATTATAATGTATTTAATAGGCACCATATGATTAATAACTATCAAAAAATATTTATTGCCAAATAAATACTATTTAATATGATACTATGTTGCACTAAATGTATTATTAAATGTATAAATAAGAAAAGGAAAAAAGAAAAAGAACAATACACACTAAAACCAATAATAGTAATTTATAAAAAATAGCAGATATTATTAACCAATCAACCCATTAAAAAGTAAATAATATAGTAGATATATTTAAGACAGCATTAATAATTAGTGCACTGTGTATTTATAGTACCATGTATGTGCTTGGCCAATAATAGCAATATGATCTAACAGCACAATGCATATACAGCTATTCTTATGAAAAATAATAGAACAGACTATACTACAACCTACTTTTGGTAAAAATTGAAAAGACCAATTAGATAAATAAAAATCTGTATGGTGTGTATCTAATTGGTCTATTGCTAAATAGGGAATAGGTCAATTATATTTAGAATATTCTCTAATTATTTTAAAATAAGTGTAATATAAGCATAATTTATTAAAATAAATATTATTTATGCCCTACATTCTTTATTTCTATGAAAATGTCTAAAAAAGTGCAACTATTGTCCCAAGAAATTACTAGATTTATAGACAGACACCAGGAGGAGTCTTTTCTAATAAAGAAGTTTCCAAAGGAAATAGACAACTTAAGTGAGTTTGAAGAAACAATTGATAGAGACATTCAGAGGCTTCGGTTTTGTGTGCCAAACCCAAATAGACCAGGATCACATGAAATAGATAAAACTAGCACCCCGGTTGTTTATTTAAAAAGGCTTGCAGCCAAGTTATATAGTATAGATGAATACTACCAAGAGATTCTGGATTTTTTAATTCCTATAATATACACAGAAGTATCTGCAAACAAAGATATTGAGTACTCTGTTATTGAAAAGCACTGTATGGTTATTTATGAAAACTTTCTATATATGTATTTAAAAGACAACTATGCGCTAGCACTTAGCTATGAGCTAATACTACGAAAAATGGATGGGTATTATATAACTAAGCCAATTGACTTAGAGGAGATAAAAGGAATATTTGTTGAGCTGTCTCATACAGCACTTTGGTTTTCAAGGATATTTGCCTATGATGATTTGGTATACATATATTCGTACTTACTACAATCAGAGCTGTATACACCATACGTGTTTTTCTTAGCAGCAATTGATATAATTAGGGAAAGAGAAAATGCAAAGCCTATTTTTAATTTAGGAAACCCCTCTGCAATATTAGGAGAAGATAAAATGATGGCTCTAATTTCTAAAAGCAAAAAATTAGATAAAAAAATAGGACACTTCTTTAAAAAAGGAATATCTCCAAGCACAATTACGATGTTTTTAGTATTAGCAGGTATTGGTGTAGGGGCAGCTATAGCTGCCGGAGTATGTATGTCCAAGAACAGATCTAGCAAAGAATAAAACTTATTTAAACAGCATATATTAACACGTATATAAACTATATCACACAGTTATATGCGTTCTATAGTAGAAAAAAGGCAGACATTGGATTATTCGCATAAAATAAAGGTCTATTTATTCACTTACTCTACTCCAAGTACTTATTAGCAATCGAAATATCGATTTTATGTGTATAGTTTGGAACCTGCAGCATTTTCATCTGTACTGGGTTTTCTGGGGTAAATGTAAACAATGAGCCTTCCTCATCTAATACAGCATATCCTTCTTTCATAGACATGCCATCAACAAGTGGCTTGCCAGATAAGCTGGGTATTTCAGCACAGGATATATATCCATCGTTGGTTAGCTTGGATAGGTCTACTAAAAAAAGGCTTTCTGCTTTTAATATAACAACTGTTTCGCCATATGCAAGAATTTTTTTTACTCTGCTTTCACATTCTAGGTTAATATTTGATATGCTTTCAGGAGTATCTACACCAGGGAAGATATCTCCTAAATCTTGGGTTTTATGGGTTATAAGGTCAAAAATAAAGGTTTTCTTAGATTTAAAATTATACAATGAAACATACCAATCATAACCACCAGATACCAAATATTCTCCTGCAATGGCCATGGATATAAGTGGCTTGCTGTGCACTTGGATGAATTTTTGTATTCTATGTGGATATTGGTTTTCTGTAATACGTATTTTGTTATCCTTGTCAGCGGTAATAACCAATCCATCCGTAGCAATAATATCTGTTATCATAGAAATAGATCCAAATAAATGGGTTGGTATGCTTTCAGATGGGTTTTTAGATAGATTCTCTAGACTTTCTAGCCTATACACAGAGCCAGACTTATCTGCAATGTACATAGACCCATTGTCAACTGTGATCTTCGTTGGTATTTTGTGTGTTTTTCCAATAACATCAACTGTGTTGTTGTGTATTTCAAGTATATCTTTGTTTTCTGTTATTACATACTTATCATACACCAATACTCCTCTGCTTTGCAGTTGTATTTGACTGTGCTCTCCGTTCTTGTATATATTTAATACTTTCTCATTTAGAATAATTATACTAGAATTGGTGTATGTTATTGTAGAAAGCATGGTATACAAAAAAATTAAGAATAAATTATTTCTGTCAGTACTTCTATAACACTACAGAATATATATTTACTCCTGTTTTATAGTGATGGGCTTTCTATACACTAAGAAATAAAATACTATAATATACATGTTTCTATAACAACACTCCAGCCCATGTAGATACTTAATATATTATACAACTGCTATTTTTAGCAATAAAAGACGATAAATATAATAAAAATGTTATTTACGGAGTATAAAAAGACCTAAATGGAACAAATATATTTCGGGTTATATATTAAACCCGAAAACCCGTCTGAGAATATTATAATTCATAAATACATAATTTATTAATAATTTATGCTCTCAGGGGATATTAAAGAACTAGTAGTCTCCTCTGTTTTAGAGTCGTCTTCTACATCTTCTTGTTTCTTATATATTCTATTGTATATTCTATAGGTGCTTTCTAGCTTTCTATTAAGTGACTTATTCAGAACTTTTAGATTATTAATTGCTCCAATTCTTTCTGATTCCATTTCCTTTAATATCTTTATCTCTTCATTTTTTTCCATTATTTCCATTTCCAACTTGTTATTTATCAGCTCAATTTCTTCCTTTTCTGTTTTGTAGTTTCTTGCTTCTTCTTTTAGTAATGTTTCTGTTTTTACTTTGCTTTTTATATCCTCAAAGTTTCTTTTGATTATGTCATTCGCCTTTCTTAAGTCATCCTCCAGCACCTGCTTCTCTTTTTTTATTCTCTCAATTTCTGATGAGTATTCCGCGCTTTCTTTTTTTATTCTGATCAATTGTGTATCTAAATCGTGTGCCTCTCGTTTTATTTGATAATTATCCTTTTCTCTTTTTTCAATTTCTTCTCTATACTTGCCCATAAGCTCTTCATTTGTCTTTCTTGAAGAGGATAATTCTTCCTTTAAAATACTGTTTTCTCGTTCTAAGGAACTTGTTTTCCTGTTTAATTTGCTAAGTATATCAGATATGTACAATTTATACTCTGCCTGTGTCAGGTTCTTTAATGGCAGTTCTAAATGCAGGATATTTCTAAATGTATTCCTTTCTATTATCTTTAGAGTACTTCCTATTTCTATAAATAGCTCATTTCTCTGCACTCTTTTTAGCAGTTCACTAAGTATCACTATGAATGAAGAATAGTCCACACGAATACTTTGTGTTTCTTTAATTGTATAATATTCTGATTCATTAAGTTTAGAAAGTATGATAGTAAATGTGTCTTGGTTATACATCTTTAATTCGAATGAGTCCGTCTTTTTATGCAGCTCACAATTATATTCTGCTGTGCATGCATTGGTAAGCACAGAGAGTACTCCAAAGAATAAAACTTCACTCATAAATAAATATTTTTGGGCAGTGTTAATATGCATGCTGTGACTATAGTGGATTTAAGTAAAAAAGAGGTAGAGATAAAGAAGAAAGAGGTGAAAAAGAAAAGAAGAATAGTGGACGTGTATGACATAACAGACCCATTCTACCAAGAAGACGAGGAAGTGACTACATTTGAGTGCAGGTATGAGAACTTCTTCTGTTTATCAGGAGATGCTCCAGCTGAGAAAAAGAAAGAAGCAGAGGGCGAGTCCGAAGAAAAGACAAAAAAAGACAAAAAAGAAACTGCCCGAGAAAGATATGCTAAGCAGAAACAGGATAGGTTAGAAGAATATTCGGAAGTACCAAGCGATCAGAAGGCAAAGGCGCTAAAAGAACTAGCAGTACTTGAATTGCTGACTGCGCAAGAACCAGCTGCCAAAGATTTAGTAGATGCAATTATGGGGCTATACCCAAATGAAAACAAAGAAGAGATAAAAAACATTATAGAAAAGGTGCTTAGCAAAGAAGGTATGGAGGGAATATTTGCTGAAGCAGAAAAAACAAAGAAAGAGCTATCGAATGAAATCCAGCCAGAAATATTAAAGAGAGTCAAAAAGAACGAAGTGACTGATGCACAAGAAATTCAATTTGACAATGAACTTCTTGATCTGTTAGTTAGGTATACGGATGTGGAGTACTTAATATTTTACATAAAGCTATTTATATCTGGCAAGAAGAGAATATTGGAGCATAAGGTTAAAAAGAACGCGGTTATAGCGCTGCAAGAACTATTCCCAGCAGAATGTAGATCTTCATCACTAGGAAAGAAAATAGCAATGCATGTAATTAGAAAGAAAAAGCCAGACCAGGCAAAAGAGTCGTACTCTGAAGGAAATGCGGATGTTCACAGTAATACTGAAGAAGAGGCGCTTCCTAAGCAAACAGAAGCTCCAGAAAATACAAATAAAACAGATGAACCCGTGGCATTGAAAAAACCAGGGCCTATTAAAAGCACAGACGATGCTGAGATATTAAAAGAAGAAAAATTAGACTCCTCTGTGGTATTATCCGAAAATCAAGAGAAAGACTTGCCCAAAGAAGAAAATATTACAGAATCTGATCTAAATACTAAAGAGCCAGAACCAAACACTGATATAAAAAAAGACAATATAGACAAATTTGACGAGGGCACGATTAACCCAAGCAAGCTAATAGATGTTGTAAAAAAACCGGTAGAGAAGAAAGGGAGGCAGGCAAAAACAAGAAAGGCCGCTAATTTAAAGGTTAATTCATCTGGAAAGAGAAAGCCGCCTGCATTGGAACCCGCAGCACAAGAGGCTGAGCCATCACCTTTAAGTATTTCAGAGAATACCTCTGCGCCAGCGCCATCTGCTGAAATAGACAGCACAATAGACTTATCGAATAAAAAAACTTCCAAAAGACAAATTACCAGAAATATTTCAAAGCCAAGAAAAGGAAGAGTAGTGAAAGAAAAGGCGGCACCTGCTAGAGCTTCTAAGAGACAAAAGAAAAATCTTCTGCCAGAGTCTGTAGACATAGATACCTTGCATGAAGATGATTCTACAGGTCAAAAAGATGCAAAAAAAATCAAAAAAAAATCAAAAAGAGTCAAAAGATACTGATAATAATTCTGAAGAATTTGTTTCGTCTGACATGGATACGATAGTTGTGTAATGTTGTGTATATTTAGGGCATGGGAATGGCAAGCGTTTAAATATAATAAATATAATTTGAATTTTCTAATAAAATGTATATTAGAGGCAGTAAATCTATTAACTTTCAATTGTATCTTGATATTTGTATAATAAATGCAAATACCACCAATTTTATATAATTTATAGGACACCAGTGAAAATAATGATATGATGTGTCTATATAAATATTATTTTATATATGCGTATGGTAATCTATTTATAAACACATAATAATACATTCTATTAAATACTCAATAATAGACAAATATATTAATAGTTAACATAATATACGGTTAAATAACTAATTATAAGAAATGTAAACTGTATTAACCCAAAAAGCAGACTGTGATAATTACAGAAAGCTCTATTTAATTCAGTAAAAATAAAGTTTATTAAAAAAAGAGGTAAAAAAAGAGGTAAAAAAAGACAATTCCGCCAAAGGAGAAAAAAGCTGTTAGAATGCAGAGGATTAATTATATTATAGAGAATACTGCATAGATAGAATTAATCATATATAATGCGGCCTTATTGATAAATTCTATTTTTAAGCATGATGGGTATGCAGGATTTAATGCATCTATTCTAATAAAATTACGGTGGCTTATGAAGTGTATGAGACAAGTGTATGGTGCTTGCCATCCACCCAACTGGAATTTCTTAAACCTTATATTAATAAACTGTTTTTTATTAAACAAAGACTATGGTACTATGGTATTTATAAATTTTATTTTGAAATATAACAAAATGTATCGAAATAATACAGAGAGAAGAAAGCAACGCCCAAATAGTATTTTTATGGAGACTATTGAAGTAATAGAAGAGAACTTAGAAAGTTTTGATACGCTTGAAACGCCAATTTCCGCCGAATATATTAAATTTAAATTTGATATAGGGAATTTAAATAATAGGTTGAAGAAGCTAGTAATCCAAATACGAGATTACGTTCCAAATTCTATTTCTGTGCATGAGTATTTTTATGGAATTCTTCATACGCTTATATCAGATTCTGTGACAGTTGAGGTTACCTCAGATGTAGAGGAGAAGCACAAAGAGCATATTTTAGCAATTTTTAGAACTATGCTAGAAGCGGATATTATACTAAAGACTGTAAAAAGCAAAAGCTCGCTTTATAAAAAAAATAATAACTCTCAAATATGTAACAATGAGTATGTGAATATAATTATATCAGCATATAATGATTTAAAATGCGAAAATCTAATAATGGATACAGCAAAAAAGGTTAATGGATTTTATCATAATATTAAACAACTACATCATATAGACACAGACAACTATTTAAAATATATTAATATGAAGAACGCGCATTCTATCATGTACAATTTATATTTTTGTCCCACGTACATAGCCAACTTAAAGCTGTTAAAAGGGCTTTACTTCAAAAATCGTAGAATGTCAAGAAAAGAAAAGGAACCATATAAACTAGAAAAGCTATTCTTAATGCGACCAGACGGTGAGTATAATTTAGACTATATACTGAATCTACTTGTCAAAAATAGAAATAATATTAACAGGCACTATTCAAGCAAGCTAATAAATAGTACAATAAAGACATTCTTAGAAGAGGACAAAAGACTTCTAATGACGTTATTAGAAAATTGGGATTTTTTATCAAACTTTTTATGCTCATTGTATAAAATAATTGATAAAAGAGAAAATAGTTTTATTATTAATGATATATGCAAGTTAGAAAAATATAGTCTACTCAAAATACTTTCACCAATGTCTATTATAAACTATAATGAATACTCTGCAAGTATAGATGAAATGGTGTCTAACGGATTGGAGTTGAGTGATGAAAAATCAAAAGGAAAAAATAACTATATCACAAATACAATACTAAGATTAAAAAATCTTATAAAATTACCGCCAACTGTGGTTAAGATGAGAAATAAAAAAGAAACTGCTATAAAAACCATAAAGAAAAAGGAAAGCAGGTTTTCAAAACTAGTTCCATTTTTTAGTATGTTTGGATTAACATCTGTTGCTGCTTTTACAATCAATAGTGTAGCAGAAAATAGTTAACAAATAAAATATTCTCTATAGGCACAGCCTATTATTGCTATATATTGTTGCCAGAGAGCACAAATATTAAGAATTTAAATAAAATTTATCTTTAGTTTAAGTCATTGGAAGTATTACACAGAAATTACTAATTTAAAATGCTTTCTTTCTAAGCCCAAAATAAATGCACTTCCTAGTATAAAATTACTAATTTTTAAGAAGTTAGTAGAATAAATGGCAAATTTCCAGTATATTTAGAAGAACCCCAGAGATTAATATAGAATATTCGATGTATAATTTTCATCGAATTTGTGTATAATATAGCACATAAATCATATATTGGCAACCAGTATTTTTATATTAATATACAAGATTACAGTATTTATATAATTACATCCAGGCCTGTGCAAGAAATACCCTGTACTATAGATTAGTGCAAGATCTGTACTGTATTTCGATTTAAGCTGTATTTGTATAAAATCCTTCTTAAACTTTCTTCAAAGTATATATAGAATGCTTCATAAATATACATTTTAGAATTGACTCTATATTAATTAAGTTATACAGTTTTAATAAATTAATGTTCTCTATGGTTTTTCTTCTTAGCAAAGCACCTAAAAACTTATTTTCCGCTGTATTATATACTAATTTTAATAAATGCCCGATTATGCTATTTTTCTTTCATAATATCTATGCATTATATGTATACTCTTTTTTCACTATTTGATAAAATGACTCCATTCTCTCTATCATAAAGTAATAGAAGGAATCTTTATGTCGAATCATATACACTTTTTTTATATTTTGTATAACTGCATATAGTTTCTGGCGAATTTGCGCGGCGTGCTTCATATGCTCTTCTTTACACATTACATGCATATTTCCAGATAGCAGTTCTTCATTGAGTTTTTCAATTGGAGTTTTTATTAAGCTATAAAATAGCGCATATTTAGAACTGACCTGCCTCCACTGAAAGAACAAAGCAATTAAGCCAATTCTTATGTTTAAAGGAATTTTTTCTTCAATAGATAATAAGTTATCGTCTGCAAATACTTCTAACATATATGGTTTAAGTGCCAATAATGTTACTATTATTTCTTCTATCCTATACAAATTGTTTCTATCCTTCTTAAAAAGGTCTAAACATTCAACTCTTTCTACACTACCTCCTGCCAACAAAACATTCTTCTGCAGGTGCTCAGCGATCACACTTAAGTTAGACAATAGCATACGAGAAAGTATCCGATTGCCGAAATATCTTGGAATAGACAGGCACATATAGTTTAATATGTATGCAGATGGCCTCACCATAGGCAGGCTATGAACCAAAGAAGTCCATGCATTTATTTTTAGCTCCATTTGACTGATAATATTTGGTGCCATTATTTTGTTTATAGACTCAGTTATTATGGGTAAAATATTTTTTGACTCCATTACATTCGGGCTATATACTTTCATAAGAATAGAATCAATTAATCTACTCTTATGAAATAAGTATTCATCTAATATAAGGCTATATATTAATCGAATTGCAGATAAGTTCTTACTTAGTATGGGTGTGTTTTCTTCTACCAGTGTAACCCGAATATTATTGAATATCACACTTGCCGTGTGGATAAATAGCCAAACATACCGTTTTTCTATGTTTTCGTTATCCATATATTGTATTTTTAGTTTTTTTGCATCTTTATATACTCCATCCGTATACAAGTATATTCTAACTGGCGGTACATGCATTGAACTATAAGTAGAAACGTACTGTTTGAAGAGAGTTTTTTTTTCTTTAAGACAGGAACTGTTAATGTCTTCTATTCCTAGAATTTCTTTGTGAAGGGTTCCTGTCCCAAAAACTTCCCAGTGTTTCTGAAGGCTATTGCTTATCTTCATTTAAGTTTAAGTTTTATAAAATTATTTATACTTTTATATAGGCTTTAAATTGTCAGCCATATCAGAATACTTATTAAACTATTTATTATAGCATGCATTGCATATAATGAAATGTTTTATATAACCGAAAACTCTCTTTAATAATTAAAGTAGCATCAAGTAGATTTCATTTAAAACTATATAAAAAGAAGAAATTTCATAAAGTGGTCTATTTTTATTATCTGTAAAGGACAAAACTATTTATTTAATAAATACATGTTATCTTTACTTTATCTCTAAATTCTAAATGTATTCCCAGTTAATTCTGCTGAGAAAACAAACTCATTAGGTGAATGCTCATAGCCATAAAACCGCACGTTGCGACAAATGACATAGCAGCTATGCCTACTCCAGCCAATGGCGAAATATATTCTATACCATTATTAATTAATTTGTTACTGCTGTTCTGCCCCTCTATAAAAGATGGCATAAGAGAAGTCTTTATAAGACCTTTCAAACTATCCATTTTACTTTTAATGTAATCTATCTGGCTGTCTGGGTATGATTTAAATTCTTCTAAAACTGCATTCGAAATTTCTATGACTCGTTCATAGTATCTTTCTAGATCCTGCGGATATTTAGAAATTTTTTCTTGCGTATTATACTCTTCTGTAATCAAAAATTCGTCTTCAAGCTCACTTACCCGTGTGCCTATCGCCTTGTATAATTTGTAATAGAAGTTGCTTATGTCATACCAGTCTTTCTTTAATTTAATTAGATGCGCTCTTTCTGTTTCATCTAAAGGTAGCTTTGGAGTCTCTAACATGCTATGGTTTCTATATTTAACTGCATTTATCCGGTTATTTAGTAGATTGTCAATTGCACAATCTATATTATACTTACCCTTTGCATTCTTTGCAAAAAGATCTATTTGCTTGGTAGATTCTGGCTTCTTATTCTTCTGTGAATCTTTTTTTGCAAAAAAGGATATAGTTACATAGGGCTTTGGCTTTACACTGTCTTTTATTCTATTGCAATAGTCTGTAATCGCATGAAGGTCACAATAAAGCCTTTTATTATCCACTCTGTCTAGGAAAAGTTTTTCTGCATATTGCCTGTATATATATGGAATATACTTTTCTGGCAAAGTTGTCTTTGATTTTAGTATCTTCTCATATAAGTGGGTTATTTCCGTTTCTATGTTTTTTATATACCCGCCATTAATCAGAGAAATTGCTGCACTATATAATTTCTCTTTTATGTATTGGGTGCCTTCGTTTTTATGGCTTTCTATATCATCTAATTCTTTGGATATATGCGAAATTGCCGATTTAAACCTTTGTGTAAAAAAGCATTTAATGTGCTGAACCATAAATAAAGTACATTTTTTGTTTATCTTTGCTAAACCATGCATTTTATTATGCATATCTATAAATATCGCGGTGTGTAATATTAAAAACATTGTGCTGTGCTGTGTTTCTAATAGCAGTTCCTGCTCCAGTATGTCTACAAGTACGTTTATATTTGATTTTATATGTTCTGTATTAAAATTCACGCAACCCCATGACATTTTAATTTTGGGGGTCTGTATTTCTAGATTATTAATGCTAGTATAACCTGTTTGTTTGCTGGCAGATCTATCTGGAGTATGTTTTTGTTTTTGTGACTCTTTTATGCTTATGGGACTTGCTATTGCGCCTTCTATATTTAATATGTCTTTTTCTTTCATTATAGGATAATTTTTTTTCTTTCAAGAGGAAATTTAAATTTATTATGCAGCAAAAAATCATATTTAACAGTAAATATTCTAAATAGCAAATGACTTTAGATAAAATTTTCGACTTCAGATAAAATTTTCTATATACAGCATGCTCCGAAATTGTATTGTAAATAATTGGTGTAATTATATATAACATATTATGAAAGTCTTAAGATGGGCAGTAACTGTTTTTATATGTTAACTGTATATAAAACCTGAATGTGTATATATATTTTTATAGATAACTCAATGAACAGTGTATTTTGTTCGTAATTAATGCAGTTAATGGCGCAGGGGTGTTCCATAATCATTGTATTGTTGATTTTTTATGTTATGTAAAGCAATTTTTAAAAAGGAAGAAAATCATTAAATAGTTAACTGTTTTTATAATTATTTTCCTGTTAAAGGTATTTATAGTAAAAAGTTTTATACCTGCAATGAATATTGAAAAAGTAGAAATTAGTACTAACTGTGAAAGCATACAGAATAAAACAGAAACAAAAGCAACAACACCGCCGCCAAAACCGCCCAGACATGGCATAAAAATCAGTGATATATTGGCACCAGAGAGAAAGCTCATTAAATTTGCATTTGATAAAGAAGGCCTACTAAATGAAGTAGAAAGCTTAGAACAGGAAGTCGAGAAGGCCAAGGATGGGTCTACTTGTTATTATGATCGGCTGTTTGGTTTATTACATACAATAATATCTAAGCATGTAACAATAAATATATCTCTACATATGAACAATGAGCACATTGAAATAATGAAGAGTATATCCAGCCGTATTTTGGAAGAGATGGTAAAGAGTCTGCATTTTAGCAACAGCTCTCTAATTTACAAGAAAAATAAGCAGCATCCAGTAAGCACATCAGCGCTTATGGATATTGTCAAAAGAAGCGTTGTTTCATTTGCTGACTCTGATCTGCTTAATCGGGCCGAGCTAAGAGCGAATGCATGGTATAAACAAATGCTAAACTATAAAATACCAGATTTTACAGCTTATCTTACATATGTTAACAAAATTCTTAATGAAAAAATGCTAGCCGATGACATTTTTAACTACACTCTATACAGCGACATAAAGGCCTTTGTAGATGGGCTAGAGCTAAATTCCAATGGCCATCTTCCATTTAAAAGAACCTCTTCAAATGATATACTAAACAAGTCTCTATTTGGAGTATACAATATTGATAAAGCAGTTCAGATTATTATGAAGAATAGACATATTCTTAGAACATACTTTATCGACAAAAATGTGCAGAAGGAAAATCCACTGGATGATAGTGACATTCATTTAATCGCCCTATTCTTTTCGCAATATGAAGTGGCAAGGAAAGCCATCTCCCACGCACACAGCTTTATTGATGTAAATTCGCAGTACGTAGACATAGACAACCTTACATCCTCTTCTAAAAAAAACGAAAAGCGTGTAGTGTATTTTAATCCAAGATCTGTAAACAGCAACAATTGTGTTAGTAAGGATGTATTAAAGCAGGGAATGAAGCATAGGGCCTGGTCTGCAGAGTGTATAAGCTACATCCAAAATAGAATACTAAAATTCAAAGATCTTATAAATAAGAGCTATGATCCTAGCCAAGATGCAAGTAAATTAGCAGAAAATTCTAGAAGAGTCCATCTTGATGCAAATAGATTTTCCATGCCTATTATTTCTAGATCAACTCCACATACACAGGAATTAAATATTGTTTGCAACGAAAGTATGTGCAACCCCAGAGATGCAAACACCAGTTCTTCACACAGAAGAAGCATATTATATAGAATATCTCACTCTAAGCCTGCTTCTAGATGTACCCACGCAGCTGGTGTTGTAATGGGCGCATTAGGTGGATTTTTTTTAATCAGAGCAAGTTTTAATGAGATTATTTAATTTATACACTATAATAGATAAATAAATCTTCATTGCAATTTTATAGGTGTTTTTCTATTTCTATCTATATACACATCTGTATTATGTGTGTTATATGGTTTCAGTTGTCTCTTGTTTTTTTTCTTTAGCTTATTTTTATAATTTGGTTTTTTAAGTAGTACATAGAAAATACGCTTTGTCTTATTCATAAATACACGTTCATTTTTTTACATAAAATAAATTTATGCACAACCAAGCACTTAAAACAAATGTAAACACAGACAATAAAATACTAAAAAAACACAGCCGAACAAATCATACAAATCAGTAAAACACACTACAACAGACAGAGAACACGTACAAAACAGTGAACACTAGCTAGTATAGAAAATACACTGCGAACTTACTATTACTACTTAGCCATATGTACTTGTTTAATTCAAATGAACATACTAAGTAATAATAGTGAAATCGAACAACTTACTATTAGAGAACTAAGTATAGCAAACTCATTTTAACCATGCACATTGAAAAGAACCTTTCGTTCTTCTACTAAATTAAATAAGTAAACGTCTGGAGAAGTAGGTATACCGTACAACTAGGCTATAAACAAATATACATGCATAAAAGAAACATACTACTATACAAAAACCAGTGTAAACCCTGCAGTTTAGATAAATATAATAGGTGTTTATTGTGCAGACGAGGAAGGATAAATTATGTTTATTGTAGAGCTCCCGTAGCTCAGTGGTAGAGCACGGCACTTATGGGTGTGAGCCTCCTGTGTCTGAAGGCTGTAATAAGCTGAGTTATGCCGGGGTCGTGGGTTCGATCCCCATCGGGAGCATTTTTTATTAGTTTTTTAATAATTCATAAAGCCAACGTACTTCACTGCTGTCCGGCGTATACTTCCGGCACAGGTGTAGGAACATTGCCTCTAAGTCTGCGGTATTTCTAGGATTCTTCTGCTCAGCAACTATATGCGCAAGCATTAGTATAACATCCATGTCTGCAAGTGTTGTATTTTTTAAGTACTCTCTTGTGGTGGCCGCCAGGTCTGCCGGATAGTACAGCAGTGACAGAATAACTCGTGCAAATGGAGTCTCTTCAGACTTTTTATCTTCTTCGTAATAGTGCTGCACATCTTCATCGCGGACTATGCGCAACAAAAGTTCTACTTCCAGTGCATCTCTTGTCTCACCCTGCAAGTTGGCCTTTTTTATACAGTTTAGAATTACACTGTGTATTGCTGGGTTTTCCAACTGGTTGCTTACACTTGCATATGTAAGTAATAACTTGCTTACCGTTATTAGCTCCTGCTGATCATCCGTATCCAAGTATAATTTAGGTTCTGCACAGGGAGATGGATCCTTTGTAAGAACTTTTTCCAATAAAGTTGCATAGGCGTCTGATATTGCAGTTGTTCTGTCTATTTCAGTAGGTTCATCTGAACATTGCTCTGTAGAGGAGAGTAGTTGATACGCCTTTGTAAGCCCGAGCACATCTTCTGGTTCTTCTTTTTTTATAGCCGTCTGTATTCGCAATGCATATAAATGCTTTTTATACTGGAGCACTTTTGTTTTTTCTGCTTCTTTTAGTTCCTTCTCTAATAGCATATCAATTATCTCCTCAGCCCTTACTAACTCATCTATTTTTATATATAAATATACCATAAATATCTGTACACTGACCAGTACACTGCTGGATGGGCTCTTCTTCTCTACTTCTTCTATTTCACTTGCTGTTTTTATTGCATACTTATACTTTTTCTCCTCAGAGAGTGCTTCTACCAGAGTCATTTTTATTATATAGTCATATCCAAACATAAGAACTTCCTTCGCTCTTCTTTCTACCATTTCCCATATTTTTTGTTTCTTATGGTACTGCATGCTAAGTAGAAATAAATGTGGACTGCTGATATTTTGTGCTATTCTTAAATAGGTGTCCACTAGATGCAGAGTCTCATTAGACTCTGCTAGTATAGCTCCTAAATCACAAAGTATATAATAGTCATGCGGTCGAGCAGTGTGCAGTTCCTTCAAGAGCATTAAAGACATTGTTTTGTTTCCCTTTTCATAGTTATTTACTGCCATAAGGTGCTTAAAGTGCGATATGTTCTCATCGACTGGATATTTATATAGGCACACAGAAGAACCATTTGGTATAGCTGCCTGCCCCATATGCTGTTTGCTATAGATACTTATATAGTCACCAGGCACTTCAATTCCCGTGCTGCCAGAAAGTGCTTTGTTGATATATTCACATGCAAACTTGTGATAGCTGTATATCATTTCAAACTTACCTATGTTTGTGCCTGTTTGTCCAAGGTATGCTCTATACTCGTGCAATTGGTCTTCATGCTGCACAAGATACTCATAAACCTCTTCTATGTTACCAGAAAGCAATTTCATGTGTTTTTTTACTATATTCACATGATAGTTCGCATTAATTCTTTCAATAACGTATTCAAACAAGAATTCTCTGTAAAACAGTATTTTATATGCCATTACTCCTATTAAAAGCAGGTTTTCTTTAATTCCCTCACAATCAATAGACATTCCAGTCAAAGATAGTTGGGATATTTTATCTGCAATGCTCTCTGGATTCTGCTTGGTCTCTTTATTAAGAGCACCAGTAATGCTTGGTGATATTTTTTCTATCTTCAAAAAGGCCTCCAAAATACTATCCACTGGTAAATTAGAGGAACTATTCTGCAGGACTTCATTTATAACTGTTACATTCATTGCTTCAAGAGCACTGCCTAACAGAATTAGAATATTAGTTGCGCAGGATATTGCCATTTTAATTTCTGGGTAAACTGCAGAGACTGCACTAGATAACGAATACTCTCGATCAGTTAGAACATCATTTTGAACCGTATGGTCTATCAGAAGAGTAGATACATATTCTATTTTTAGATTATATTCTATATCTAAGCTTTCTTGCATCTCTTTATACACCTCTAATACACATTGCATAGTTTCCTGGTTATTTGGAAACCGCAGTAGTAAAATTGTTGGCGAAAGAGTATTATAGTATATTTTCTTGTAAGTGGCGGACACTCCGAGTATAGTGGGGATATCCAGAAAATCGGAAAGAATCATAAGTATCACAGAGTCATCTTTTATCTTTATACCCTTGGCCAGAATATAACTAACAAGTGATACCACTGCAGGCACCTTTGCAAAATTGCTATACGCATGCATTGTAAGATAAAGAAGATACCCATCGCAAACACTTTCAACAAACTCATTTCCAAGCACCCGACAAGCTCTGGATAGTACAAGTACAGGTCGTCTGCCTTTGCAAGAATGCTCTGCAATTCTTTAATAATATCCTTTCTTTCTTTAGAGAAACATCCACTATCAACAATACTCTTTAAGTCTCTATTAAAGTGTTTCAACCTTTCATTAAAGTACTCTTTAAGCATAAAAAACCCATCATCCTTAAAATCCTCATTCATGCAAATCTCTCCGCTAGTACAAATCTCTTGCATGCAGTACTTTATAAAAGCGTCTGTGTATTTATCTATATCATTATATAAATACAAATTTAATAAAAAAACAACGGTTTTTTTCTCATGCGCTGTATACATTTTGTCCTTTACGTTGCACAGTGTAAATAAAAGCACTTCTTCTATTTCCTTCTTTTTTTCTTCCTCTATATATAAATACTCATATTCTATGTATATTTTAGAGAGACCTTTATAGACTTCAAAAGATTCCTCTGGTGTGCTGGATAGGCTTAGTGCTTTTTTATAATGCTCTACAGCAGAAGGGTGGTTTTTATCCATATAATAACAGTACCCAGCATAAAAATGTATTTTATAGTCGGGATCATAGTATTCTATTGTGCTTATTGCTTCTCCAAGTGCTTGGTTTATTTTGTTCTCTTTTATATATTTGAGAATAAGCTTGCGCTGTTTCTTCATGCGGATAAAAAAAATAAAATGAATAAATACCTTACCTTCCCGCTCCCTTAGCGTGTTATCTGTTTATTCCTTAATACATGCTGTGCTTTATTTAAGTGCTGCTGTGCAGATTGTAAATGTACTAAAACTTGTTTAATATTTCTAGCAAAAGTATTTATATGTTTTTTTGTATATTTAAATGCGTGCGTATGCCCAAGCAGTTTTAAAGCAAGAAACCACACCGGATATATTAAATATTCTAGAAGTAATTATAAGCTAGTGTATAGAGGCCACATATAAATATAAGGAGAAGTGCAAGAAGAAGTACTCGGAGAGTGTGTGCAAAGAAAGATAAAAAACGTCCTGACAGGGACTCGAACCCAGAACCTCCTGATTAGAAGTCAGATGCGCTGCCAATTGCGCCACCAGGACCCGCAATATATTAAAACCCATTTAATTCGTTAGACAGTTATCAACAGAGTGCACCGCGTGAGAAGATCGGAAATTTTATTTTAAAATCCTTTTGTGTTGAATTTATTTTTTCTTCTTCTTTACTAACTTATTCTTTTTTGGTGTCTCATTTGTATGCTCATAGTATTTTTTAACTGTATATGACTCAAACATCTTAAAAATCATCCAGAAGAAAGGAGAGGCTATCCACGCCAGAAAATCTTGAAAAGAGTTTATATCAGAGGACTTACTAAACAAACAAGTGATAAAATCAGAATAAATGATTCCTTCTGTTGGCAGCGCATCCAGAAGAGTTTTTGCTCTGCTTTCTGGGATGGAGTCGGCGCCCAGAGAAGACCCTTCTATTTTCTTTGTGAACAGCGGTTTATGCTCTTGTTCTATTTCAAATCCTGGGCTCTGTATTGTTGACACGTAGTATATACACAGGTCAAGGCCGTGTATAGATGATTCAGTATGGACAGACTCATAAAATGAGGAAAGTGCGGATTTGCTGGGGGCGTACATGCCATACCCACCAAATGAGCGAAGCGCTAAGGTGGATGCAACAAAAACAAGCTTTTTTCTGGATTTCGCAGATACACTATTTAGAAAGTGTAGGTATACACGGACAGCTCCAAGAAAGTTACAGTCTAAATGACTCTGTGCCTCTTTTATGGTAATGTCTCTAGCATAAGATGGGCGGGCATATCCAGCACAGCACATGATTATATCAAAGTTAGTGGGGAGGGCGCTGACAGATTCTGCTTTGGTTATGTCTACACTTAGTGTGCTATACTCGCTTCTGAGCGGGCTTATCTTGGATAGAGAGCGGGATGTGATGGTTACTATGCCGCCGCGAGACTTTGCATACTTGGCTACAGAAAGGCCTAGCCCGCTGCTGCCTCCTATGATTAAAATCCGCTTTCCTGCATAGTATTTGATTGATTTCGATTGTGCCATTTTTGTTTTTGTTCGATTTTCGATAATAAAAGTATTCTACTGGTTTCCTAGCAACACAAATATTTTTGTTTAGGACATGTCTAAATCTATAAAAGAGCAAGTCTAAATAAATCCTTATCACATCTGTTTTTATTGCAGGGTGCTCGATGTGTGCTTATTTGTTGTTGCAATGTGTATACATGTTTGACACAGCTTCCTGGTCCATGTGTAATACTTTCTAGTGTGCTGTAGTAACAACAGCTATATATATTTACTGGTTTTTGTTGTTTGGTATGCTTTCTATTCTATGTTTTGTGTTCTTTGAGAGGCTCACGTTCTTCTCAATTAAAAGCCACTTATTTATGTATATCGTGCAATATCTAAACTACAATAGAATGGATGGAATTATTTCTGTGCATGCATTCATATTTTTGTCATATCTGTTTTGTGTTCTTGGTGGATTCATCTCTGATAAGTTCATTGGGCAGTATTTAATGATAATTATATCACTTCTAGTGTATACACTCGGAATAATTTCCATAAGCATCTCATCATTAGCAAAGAGCAATATATTCTTTATTGTTGGGTTGGTGTGTGTCTCATTCAGTGCAGGCGGCATAAAGCCAAACATACTGTCAGCTGGCGCAGGGTTGCTTCAAAGAGCATATGCCACGAAGGAATCCAGCAGCAAAGAGAAAGCAGATAAAATCGCTTCTTTGCTGGTCACTTTCTTCTCTCGCTTCTACTTTGTAATTAACCTAAGCAGTTTTATTGTTTTATTTATTACACCTTCTACAATTAGTAGAGCAATATGCGCCCTTGCTAACGCACAAACGCTGTCCCAGGAGCAGCTGCGTCTTGTGGATATTTCAGAATATTTTTTAATATTTTTATTTTCCTTTATCTCTATTTTTATTTCCATTGGTATATTCTTTATTTTAATGGCAAAATACCTGGTTCACTGCTGGCTTGGTAAGAAAAAGGAAGAGTCTCAAATGAATGTAGAAACATCAGTAGACCATAGGCCAGTCCAGAGGTATGATGTCATAAAAAATCTTCCAATAGTAATTGGATGGACAATTTATGACCAAATGAGTTCTACGTGGATAGATCAGGGAAAGAGAATGATAACCCAAATAGGCGTTCTGTCATATAAAATAAGCATACTACCATCACAAATCATACTTATTAATTCATTTGCTCTGATTGTATTTCTTCCATTTTACGACTCAGCCATCCCCGCTTTCTTTCGTTCTGCACGGCTAGTAGATACACACAGGCATAGAATGGCATATGGTTTGTTTATGATAGGCCTGTCATACTTAGTGTACTATGGCATTGAAGTGTATATGACAAGGAATGGATCTATTTCAATTTTATTTCAAGTACCGCAGATTTTAATTATAACTATTGGAGAAGTACTTGTTAGCGTGTCGGGTATGGCAGTTGCGTATAATGAAGGAGGAACAAATAATAAGAGTGTCGCAATGGGCTACTGGTATCTGAATGTAGCACTCGGGAACCTATTAGTTGTTTGTCTTTCGTCATTTTATAAGTACATTGACGCACAGATACACTACCAGGCCATATTATACTTACTTCTGATATTTACAGCTACCATTTATTCACTAAATAATACAAAGGAAAGATCTATTATCCCGCAAAGCATCACTACTGAAGATATACCATTACTTATAGAAGATAGCCGAGAAGAACATCCATTGGCTTTGGTGTGATTACCAAAGTCCATTATAGTTATTTTATGTTATACTTTTAAGATATTAAGATATGATTTTGTGGTATATCTTATTGCTTCTAATGATGCGCGTGTGCTTAATGGAGGCTAGTTTAATTTACTGTAGAAGCATTTCTTTTAGACAATTTCGGGCCATTGCATGCTATTTTATACACTTGTATATTTTTAGTCATTATGTATATTGTGTATAGTATGTATGAGGCGTTGCGTGTACTATATAATAAATAATTATTTAGATAAAATAAAGTCAATTGAGCAGTTTTGGGATATTGATAAAGAATGCAGCATAAAACAAAGCAGATAGCACATGAGAGACCAACTAGTGCGCGCATCCACTTTCGGTTAGAATTACTTTTTTATTTATTTAAATTATTTTTTACCCCCCTTCATGACTTTAAGATTTACTGAGAGCGCACAAATGCAGGATATCATTCGTATGTACAATACGAACATTAACGGTAGATCCACCATTATAAGATCCCTAACTGGAATTAGAGGAATTGGTCTAAGAGTGTCTACTTTATTATGTAAGAAGGCTAACATCGATACTAGCCTGAGAGCTGGTCAAGTAGAGCAGGAGAAATTAGACGTAATATCCAAGATTCTTGAGTCACCACAGTCCTATGGAGTTCCAGACTGGATGTTAAACAGACAGAAGGACCCTCTGACTGGAGAGTACAAGCAGTTAATTGCTAACCAAGTTGAGGCAGACTACAGACTATATTTAGAAAGAGCAAAGAGAGTAAAGCACATCAGAGGACTAAGACTTCTGAAGGGTCTGAAAGTCAATGGACAAAGAACCAAGTCTAACGGAAGAAGAGGAAAGACTGTTGGAGTGTCAAAGAAGAAATAAATTATTCGTGCATGATCCTACAGCGTCTTCTTGTGTTTATTCATGAGTTTGGAAGTGAGTCCAAAATATGCCGGGGAACAATGCCTTCTGGCACTAGTTCGTATCTATAAGGCAGAAGCTCTTTATACGTATTTTTAATGGTTACGTCAGTTACGTTTGTTACTATTTGGATATTTTTCTGTATTTTCTTTTGGGTGGGGAACAAGTATGTTATCAAGTATATAATTGCTGCAGCAATTGAGTCGGGTGACTTTCCTGCTATGCATCCAATGGCCTGTGCTCTCTGACTGATTGTTAGTGCCACTTTTTGTATGTCAATGCTCAATGTTAAGTCTGAACAGAAACGAGCCACAATGTCCTCAGTGGAGACAACAGCCAGCTTGTCTATGTGGGGGAATATTGCCTTGTAACACCTTCCTATCTCTTTCTTTGGCACTGCTGTTAGTATACTTACCTCCTTGAATGTTCGCACAAATCCTGCTTGTCGGCAAGCAATGTATATGCAAGCAGCTGCAATTCCCTCCAAGTTTTTCCCCTTTAGCACTTTTTTGTTCTCAACGGTTTTAAATACATACTTGGCAGCATCTGATATGGTTTTAGAAAGGTTTTTTCTTTCACAAAATGCGGTTATAAGGTTAAGCCCATTAATTAGTGCTCGCTCTGGACCGCGCAGACTGCTTTTCATCTGGGTTTTTGCAAGACTGTACGAAGCCAAGCCTGAGCCAGAAGAAATCAGAGTATCCAGCTGCTCTGTGTCCAAGAATGGGTTATTTGGCCCACCTACTCGGCTTGGATTCTCTCCAGAGTCACTAAAGGTCCTCCACTCGCCCCGCTCGTCTATGATTCGACTGCCCACAATGCAGCCGCAAGAGCCGCAGACATTATACCCATTCTTGTAATCCTCTATAATATTCTCCTCTTTCTTACAGTCTGGGCACTTTTCTCGCTCAATCTTCTTCATTTGCATTCTATTCTGCATTAAAATATTTTCTGTGATTTTCGTATTTCTGGTTATAGTGTTGTAGTGTATGCCAATTATTTAATAAATCTGCGGGTTCTGGCAGTTACCTGGACACTAAAAGATAGTCTTTATACTGCATAATACCGGAGCCTGCCATTTAATTCAGTAAACATATAGAAATAATATTAACCAGAAACTTGACACACTCAGAATTTTGGGATACTTAGAGCTTTTTTCTTCTTTGTATATGACTGAAGTAATCATCATTCTGAATTTATTTAAACCTCTTTGCGCCTCTATCTACTATATTTTATTAAAATTATTATATACTTCTTGTATATATTCGCATATGTAATGTATTTTCTATTTTATTTCGGGTTTCGGGAATTGCTCTGTTAAAACTTAATTCCAGATTAGTCAGTAATTAGAAACAAAGAGTTTCTTACACTTTTCTTACACTCTGTTGAAATGATCACTGTGGTGTTAATTGGTTCTAGCAGTCAAAGAATCAAAATTTCAATAGATTGTATACTATGCTTTTATGCCATATGTAATAAAAGTAGTATTTATACAATAATATAGACACTAAAAATTAAATAAAGCATAAATACAATCTCTATAAAATAATAAACAGTCAATTGTTTTGAATGTTTTAAGCCAGTGTTATGACTGTATATTTTCACTAAGATGGTGTGTTTCACTAGATCAGTGCGATGAAACTGTTATTTTGTATATAACCAGAAATTACTATTATTTTATTATGTACATATTTTTTATAGTTATATCTGCTATATGGTCAGTGTGCAGGGCAAATCCCTCAGATGACCCAAACGTTGGAATATATATTATTCCCAGAAATAATCCAGATATTGAAAATCCAGTTGTAATGACACTCACCGACAGTGGAAACTGGTATTTTGCGCCACCAGATAAGACAGAAATGCAAATCTTTGTTATAAGAAAAAACAGTGGGAGAAAGCTATGCTTGAAATACAAAAAAGGAAAATGTCTGCAACTAGAGAAAAAGATAGACAAGGACTTGTCTCTTTACAAAAGAACACTTTGTATACGGGCTGTCAAGGAAAATAGAATATCTATAGTACCTAGTGCGTATTCCAACTTTTTCATGATTAAATTGAAAAAGTGCGATATCTTCTGTCTTTTCAGCCATAAAGAGCGTGCATCTCGCGGTGATGAGGTGTTCCCATCTGTTGAAAGGTGCAAACACTCTAATATTAACAACCACTTCTATATTATAGGAGAAGACCACTTCGATGACTATTACGCACAGGCCCAGCATGAGAATAGAGAAATAAGCAAAACCCCTGCAAACACATCGCCATACGCAGATACTGGTATGCTTAAGAAACCCACAGTACCAGATTATGCTGCCCATCATGCTATAATTAATGCACTACATGCAGAACCTGCCTACAGAAGTCTTGGCCCAGGAAAAAACGAGCATGTTTTAAACAATTTAGTAAATAGACTGCAGGCTGCATCGCTCATGTCTCGTGCGCCCGGATACTATCCATCGCTATCTACTTCTGCTGCAGATAGACGGAACGGATATATTTATTCAATGTAAATACACAAATAAACATGAGGAAGGAAAGGATTTTAGTGAAAGTGTTCTTAGGAATTGTTATTCTATGGTGCGTGCTGACAGGATATAAAATGATAAGAAGAAGGTATTCGGATGTAAATGATAGAAGATTGCATAGTGCTAAAGACTCAGATAGTTTCTACAGCATGCCAAAGACAAAAGAGGAAAGAAAGGCAGAACTGGGTCGAGGTACTTGGGCTCTAATCCACACAATTGCTGCAAAGTATCCACCAGATGCTGGGAGAGAGCACCAGGGAAATCTCATTAAATTTATAGACCTGCTTACAAAGCTGTTTCCATGCGATGAGTGCCGGTCTCACTTTAAGAAATTAGTAGACACATTCCCACCAAAAGTATCTAGCCGAGAAGAGTTTGCTGGATGGGCATGCCAGGCCCACAACATTGTGAACAAAAGACTTGGTAAACAAGAATTTAATTGTTCTAGGCTAGACGACCGATGGGACTGCGGGTGCAAATAAATCTTTCGATTGCCTTTTGGTTATTTCTGAGTCTCTTATACGTTATAATTGTTTTTACAAACTTATATTTAAATAATTTTTATCCCCAGCTAATATGGCAGAGAAGAAAGAGAAAGCAAAAAATCTCGGATTAGTAAAGGTAAGAGCACTTGCAGCAGAAGTCATTGGCTGTGGTAAGAACAAGGTATGGATGGACCCAACAGAGTCTATTAAGCTATCTGAGGGAAAGACAAAGGAGCAAGTATCACAAATGGTAGAAGATGGTTTAATTGTTAGAAGGCCAGACGTTGGACAGTCTAGAGGAAGAGTAAGACAGTTCAGATTAGAAAAGTCCAAAGGAAGACATAGAGGTCTAGGAAGAAGAAGAGGTACAAAGAATGCAAGATTCCCACAGAGAAAGATCTGGATGCTTAGAATAAGAGCACTTAGAAAGGATCTTAAGGCTTTAAGAACTGAGGGAAGAATTGACAGGACAATGTACAGATCAATCTACTTAAAGGCAAAGGGTGGATACTTTAAGAACAGAAGAATGCTTAAGGAGTACGTCGTCAATGAAGAACTCAGAAAGAAGAAGGAAGAGATAGTTATGGCACAAATGAACATTTCTAAATAAATTATAGTTTCTTCTTACTTCGAATATAACCGATTTTTTTTGCTAAATAAAAATATTAAATGGGCGGAAACAGAAGAGCACAGAGAAAGCACTCAGCCGAAGAAATGGAAGATGACTGTGGTGACTTTAACAAATTGTTGGGCCAGGGGTGCGATGGAGTAAGTTCTGGGTCAGATGATGGAGAGTATGCTTTCAACGATGACGAAGCAGATGAAAATATTGGAAACGCGGCAGCTGATAGTAGTGATGAACAAGATGATGAGTTAGAAAGTTCAAATATAGAAGAGGAGTTACTGCGATTGGATGAAATGAATAGGGCGCAGGAGGATATACAGCAGAAGCCTGCACAGGTAGAGGATTTAACAAGTACGTATCGACTACTTGCAACAATGCATAAAGAAGGAGCAAGTGGCACAATTAATTCAGCTGACTACGAATTTTTAAAGATTCTCGGGGACCCCAGGGCAGTTGATCTATTGCAAGACCAGGCAAGTGATTTAATCAAGCAGGTAGAGTCGCTGTTTAAGACACCCGTGTATAAAAGAATGAACAAACAGAAATTACTCAGACAGCGAATAAACTACAGCATATCAGACAAAACAAAGCAGTATTTGAATAAGTATGACGATATGCCATTTATAGTAAACATAACAAAGGACTTCTGTTATAAAACAGGAACAAAGCTCTTTAGGAAAAAAACAAACACAAAACTCATTCCAAAGATAAATAGGAAGGTTTATGACAAGATGGTTGGGTTCTGCGTTCCAGTGGGTGAGTATACGTGCTCAGAAGAAAAGAATAGTGAACTTATAAAATGTGTGTTTATGGAGTAATAGTAGCTGATGAAAATTAAAAATTAATGAAAGTGTTTGGAAGCATTCTGTCGTGTGACAGTCTTAACCTTCAAAAAGAAATAGATAGACTGATTGGAATGGGGGTGAGTGCACTGCACTTGGATGTGATGGATGGGGTATTTGTAGATAAAATATTCCTAGGTGAGAGTGTAGTGAATGAAATTACCAGAAGGTATAAAGGTATTACAATTGAGTGCCACTTAATGGTAAGTACACCCGCAAAGACCATTTCACACTTAGATCTAGACCGGATCGATAGAGTAATTATACATCAAGCAGACTCGCTGAGAGATGTTTTAGCGTGCGTAAAGGCAAGTAGATGCACAGTAGGCCTAGCAATTGTTAATACCGATGAGTTACACAAGATAAATGAAATAAAAGATGCGATGCACGATAAAATAGACAAAATACTTGTTATGGGTGTGCTGCCAGGAGAAGGGGGGCAGCCTATGCGCTCAAACACAAAATACTTACTGGAGTTAGCACAGAAAGAGCACCCAGATTTAATCATAGGGGTAGATGGGGGTGTAAATATGCACACACTCCATGAAGTACAGAGCGCAAATGAAGCAGTTCTTGGATCGTGTTTATTCAATGAATCAGCAGAGGAAACACTAGCACATATTACGAAGCATTATGGTGAATAGATTAATAAACTCACCCAAATATATTTATAGTATTGTTTATAATTACTGTAATAACCTAAAAGACTTAAATAAATATAGCATAGAAATTAAATCGAGAACTATCATGTGTTTCGGGTAGAAGTTGCATGCGCACCAGTTGTATTGATTGTGTTTATATATTACCAATGTGTTCTTTTGTTGCTTTATTATATCATAGAACAGCGAGAAGTATAAATAAAAATGAAATGAAGTAGATTTGGATTATATTTTGCGTATGGATTTATAGGAGTGTTTGTTATGTGGGATTTTAATGATATTCTTTAGGCATATATATTTCGGGTTATGTATTTAAATAATTTTATAAAATAAAACCTGTACATATTCAGAAATAAATACAGAAAAGCTGAATTCTACTTTTTAGAAGTAAAAATAAACCAAAATAGAGAATAAGCATTTAACAAAGAAACAACAAAGCGTATATATGGAAGGCTTAGAGAGTAATTATGTAGGAATACTATTTAGGAGTATAAATAGGAGATGAAAAATAAAACTTTTAGTAGTAATACAGTATTAGAAAGAATGGGAATAAAGAGCATATGGAAGATGTTAAGTGGAAGAACACTTGAGCTAAGGGAATTAAATGGTCTGACAATGTGTGTAGACGGCAATCTTGCACTCTTTCCGTGCATTTGCAATAGCAATATTGTATTTATAACAGAGTATACGCTGAAAATCATCCATAAATTAATTACACTCGGAATAGACCCAATATTTGTATTTGATGGGAAAAGGCCACTATTTAAGAAGAGGCAAAGAAGAGAAGGTGTTTATATAGCTGGGCAGGATGATAAACAGCCGCAAGTGCAAATAACCCATAAGTATACGGAGACAGAAGAACTTCAGCGAGAAACCGAGAATGAAGAAAGTAAATATCTAGAAGAGGATGTAGAGAGCAACCCAAGCCAAAAGTTAAGTGACCGTGACTTTTCACAGTATCAGGTTCAAAAAGTATATGCTCGGTATAAGTACTTGAAGTCTGTAAGTAAAACAAAGAGAATGCACGGGGATAGCAGTCTTCTTTTTAATTTGAACTTACAGTCTGCATTACTTCAAAAAGAAGAAGAATCGAGCAAAGAGGCGGATCCTTTTAAAGAGGTATCTGATCATATCGACCAAATGAAAAGTATTCTATATAAGCAGCAAGAAGTAATAAATGCAGAAGAAAGTTCAATATCCAAGAAAAAAAGCTGCATAGGCAGAGATGAAAAAAAGCCAGCATCTATTCATTCAGTGATTATACCAAATGAACAAACAGAGTACCAAAGAGAACTTAAGATGTATGACCTACCAAAAGAAGACACTATGCTAAGCAGAGAAGCAGTGGACAAGGACACTCTTCCTTTGTCGTACAGAATAATTGTAGATATCTTTGATGCATTCTCTATAAAGTACGCAATAGCACCAAGTGAGTCAGACAATGTGTATAAAAGCCTTGAAAAGGTTCTAAACACAGACGGTGTAATAACAGAAGACAGCGACATGCTGATTTTTAGCACTAAGCCTGTATTTAGGCACGTATTTAAAAGGGCGCTTCTTCCCAAAGTATTTGCAGAAAAAGATACTGTTGAGTATACACAAACAGAGCTGCACATACTGGCGTGGTTATTAGGGAATGACTATGTGCCGGGTGTATCGGGAGTAGGGCCAGCAAAAGCCAAGCAGATTATTCAGAGGTATAGAGAAACAGCGGGCTCTCAAATAGAGAAAAAAGAAGAAGTATATAAGATAAACATAGATGTAATCTGTGATACTGTCTCACATGTACTTGGCAAGGACATAAGTGAAGATATTCCTAGACTACTGCAGGTACAAAGAGTGTATGCGGACAGAGAGTTCAAGGTATATATTGAAAATCTGCATCCAAAGCCATATGATAAAAAGAGAATTATTGAGTTCTTAACAAAGAGAACTACCTGGGAGAGTGAAGAAAAAGAAGGATACTTTAAAATGGTAAGTGCACATCAAGAGAGTAGAAATATAAAGAAGTAGCTCAGAATTCATTATACACAATTACTCTAATAGATTCTATATGTATTACTTAATGCATGATCTTACTCCTAATATAACTAACCATATGCAGTGGTATATAATATAGATGCATCAAATATGGATTAGGCAATTTACTGATGAGAACTTTGTATATAACACAGTTTAAGCAGTGCATATCAATTTTTGGGTATATTTTATTTATTGTTCATTCTTCTGCCTTCATTCTGGTATTCAAAACATTTCAGAGTGTATTTCGGTATATTATGTATATAATAAACTATAGAAAGCGTTTTGTTATAATTTCTATGCATCTTCTGTATCTTATACTAGAGACACCTTTATTCTGATATTTTAAGATTAGGCATCAAAATTCTTTTTGTTCTTGTCGATTAGCAATTTGTAAAGGAACATTAACTGATCTTTGTTTTCAACCATCCATGTTCGTTTGCTCCGTAAATACAGGAACAACTCAACAAAGAGAGATATTTTTTCTGCTTCACCTATGGCAGCGCCACCTGCATTCATGATGGCAGTTCTAAACATGTTGTAGAAAATAAATGTACCCGTCCTTCCTACGCCAGCTAAACAATGCACAGTAACTGGGCCAGAAGATAAATGCATTGACTCCCAAACACTCTTCAGAATATCGAGGGTTTTTACTAGATTGCCTGTGGGTGGAGTCTTGTCTATCCAGCACATGCATTTTATTCTGAATATAATATCTGAGAGACTATTGCGGGATGTATGTTTTTCTATTAAAAAGTTGCCATTTTCTTCTTTTATTATTCCATGCATATCTGCATAGTATGCCGATATACTATTTATATCTGCTTTGTTTTCAATCGCGTATGATATAAACTCTTCTGGCGAGAACACTTTGTCACAGGTGTAAGATATATCCAGAAAGTCACTTTCCCAGGGCGGGTGATCTCCAATTAGTGAAATAACTAGACCACACTTAGATTTCTGTAATAGCTCATTCGCTGCGTTGATTGTTCCTGCTGTTGGATATTCCATGGCAATGAAATTAAGCCCGTCTGGATTTTCTATTAAGGATGCATTTACCTCGCCATCTACACTGTATTTTCTTTTTAAATCACCATAATTGTACGAATGAACATCAGAAAATCTGAATTTTGGATTATGCGCAGAGGAGTGTGGCACTTTTATCTTAATTGCCTGTGATATAAATGCAGAATAGTCAGCTTGCAATAGATTTATAAGCTTCTCTTTCTGACCCTTTTGTGCCTTGTTAAGTTCCCATTTGGCCATTGCTATAAAAAGTATTTTAAAATAAATGGCAGATTATATATACAATATCCGAGAATGTTTCCAGCTAGCATTTATCAGACACTGTAATATAAATAAATAAACAGTCTATTTGTTATTCCATGAAGATTGAAGGAAAGGTAATTGACGAGTGCATTCTTAAAAATGAAATAGGCATAGGCTGTATTTCATCTCAAATACTAAAGAAGACTCTGCAGCGAGGGATTGAGTTTAATCTATTTGTGGCAGCCGAAAGGGGCCTTGGTGCGAAGACTCTGATCTCTTCGATTTACAATCTTACAGTATTCCCTGCAAAAGTACACACGCATTCTTCCGATTTAGTTGAGTATTCAGCTATTTTACAGTCCAACAAAATAACATTAAAACTAACAATTTTCTTGTATCAGGGAAAGGACCACGAATATATAAAAAACTTCCTGGTAGAAAGAAACACTATCTACAATAAAAACAACATAGGTCTCAGAAGAGAAAGAAAGGAAGATCCGCGGATGCATGCTGCTCTTTTTCTTATTTCTCCATTTTCATTCAAAAAGGAGGACATACAAATAATTCAAGTTTTGTCAGAGCTTACAAACACATTCCCAATAATCCCAAAAAGAGATATATTCACAGTACACGAACTGGAGGCATACCAAGAAAAGATCAGCACCCAGTTAAAAATGCAGGGAATAAAAGTGTCTGATCTAATACCAGAAGGAATATCAGTGCTATCCGTGGTTGCCAGCACTACATTTGTAAGTGTGAATGGGGAGCTTGTCAGAGGAAGGGAGTACGCATGGGGAATAATCAATGCAGAGAATCCTGCTGTGTCAGACTTAAATATACTGACGCAGCTGCTGCTTACAGTTAACCTCATAGATTTGAAAAATAATACCGCACAGTTCTACCAAGAATGGAAAAAAAGTGCACCAGAACTTAGCGATCCATGCTTAGAGGAGGCAGACAAAGAATTAGTCAAGGAAATTGAGTGTATTATTGCTGGGAATCTCAAAGAACGGCTGGGTCTTCTTGAAAAACAAGAAAAGGAAATTGACCAAAAGGTTAGGTTATTGGATGGCCCTGCATTTAAATCACTTAATGTGTAACAAGTCTTTCGTCTTAAAATCACAAGACTCCAAAAATAGCCCAAAAATGTCTTATAAATTAAAGACCTAAAAAGCTTTTGTGAACTATTTTAAAACATTTTAGACGTATACCAATATATAATAAGAAAAATATCATAGCAGTGCCAAGAATGCGTATAATAAGGCCAATATTCTTATACAATGCAAGGGAATAGATATAACTAGCCATTTGTTCTACTGTTAGACCAATATTAGTACATAATAGGCTAATACTCTATATACTGTAAGGATTAAATCTTCTCTGACTTTCTGATATTTCCTTCTTATTTTTGAAAATCCGAAATTAAATAAATACCAGACTAACATATATTTAACTGTCATTTCAATAGAATAAAGATATTAATAAAATAAGCTTAGACAACTCATAAATAGAATGCAGATTGATATCAAAATTTAAATGATTTGTGAAAGAAAGAAAAGAAAGGCTGAGAGAAGAGCTGAGGGCGCTTCAAAAAAAATAAAAGGAAAGATTTATAGGTACAGCAAAGAAGCATATGCTATTAGGCATGGAAGGCCCAAAAAGATTGAATACATGAAAGTCGTCAGGCCGAATAACGGGTTTGGCATATCAACTAAACCAACTGTGTGTAATGCTATGTTCTTTGATTTATACAATGAGCTTGGATTAGATCAGCCAAACACACTGTATAGGCAGTGCTACCAGGCCCTTGAGAACGAAATGATGTCTTCTGTGATTTGTACACCAAATGGGTATGTGGACTGTGCTCTGCTGCAGCACTCTTTTAACATACCAGCACCAGTTGACTACTACTCTTCCTACCAGTCGTATCGGTTATTAGAAGAAAAAGAAGTCTCAGAAGAAGCAGTGCAAAATTCCAGTGAGCAGACTGCTGTATCTCTATCTAGGAGTGATTATGTATACAGCAGTGATATGTGGGCCATCCATTATTAGACACTATGAATGATTCTGCTCCTGAGATATCTATTATGGATAATACAGCCACCCCAACCAACTGGAGTTCCTCTTCTGCTGACAGCTGTTTTATTAAGGAAGACAGTCGGTGCTTTCCTCTTATAGATTTCCCTTACAAAAGTGAAAATGTAAATATTCTTCCGGTAAGAGATGAAGAGAAGTGTGAGCATACGTTAATGTACACAGAAGAGATAAGGAAATAAATGCGCGCAGCCTTAATTTTATGATAATTCTAGAGAAATTATTTATTCCGCGGTAGCACTCTTTTTTATTATGCCAAGCACACTGGAGAGTCTTCTTAAATCGTATAAAGAGCTAGAAATTGCCAAAAGCAAATACGAAAAGGGGCTGATTAAAGAAAAGATTAGAGAGTTGGAGGCATCTTTAAAAATAAACCCAATACCTGCAGTAAGCAAGGAGGTTCAAGTGAGCAGAATACTTACAATGGAGAACACACAGAAAAGAATAGACAAAGTACTGAGACTGGAGAATGTAGACAAAAAGGAGTTAAACATAGAAGAAGAATATGACACTGCCCGTATAGCAAATATTACTGAATGCACACTGCATTTAAGAACTGCGCACTCTACGCACATATCCCAGACAAGAAATTCAATACTATATATAATGGCACAGCAGATAAGATTGTATGGATGTGCAGACTTAATCATATATGCATACACAGCAACAGGAGTGTTCATTGAAGATTCTGTAAACATTCAGGTGCTGGAGTACTTACCAGATACTCTGCCTCCGTATAAGAATAACTTAAGCATGCATGACTTTAATACAGTGAATACAATTTAGAAGAAACATTCTCTATGCGCGCACTGCATAATTAAACATAAATACAGCTGGATTCCACAATCCTATAAGAAAATAAAATTAATTTAGTGTACAATTCTTAGTGATTAATTGTACTATATTATTCAACTACTAGCTATTTATTAGTATTTTAAAAACCCAGTGTAAAGCTAATGTATTATTCAAACTGATTTGGATTCACACGATGTGTAGTATTTACTGTGTTTATTAGATGAACTACTTTTGTTTATTAATTAGCTGTTTATATAAAGGATTTTCGTATGGTATATGCTCCTCAGTCTTAATTAGGCGTATAATTAATTATTAATTTACAGACAATGGGCCCAAATGGCCGGGGTCTTATTTTCATATTGCACACAAGTAATAATTAGACTGAAAATATAAGAACAATAGGCCAATCTAAAATCACTTAATTAATAAACAGGCATGATGGTCAAGAAAAGACCGATCTAAATGTCAAAACATTACCTGAATGGGACAAGATCTAGAATTATCCAAAAAGATCTAAAAATTTTAAATACGATTGAAACTTATCAACACAATGAAAATTCAAGGAACAATCAGAAAGACACTAGCAGTTGTGGCACAGGTTGCCGTGGTTAAATGTGCAATGTATGGAGACTTTGACTACTTCAATGGAGCAGACATGTACAATGGTAACAACAGATGCGGAGGAACCGGCAGAGGATTTGAAACTCTGGATGACTCATACTACTATGGTGGAAACCAAAACCAGTTTGCAGACAGCGATGTAGTTGCAGGGTGTAACACTGGAAGATGTGGCATTTCAATGGAATCCAATGTTCCAGCAATTGGAGGAGGTGCATACCCAAGTGAAGATGTATTCCAAGCATACCCAGGTGCAATATCAGGAAATGCATACAATCAGACATACCAGCCATACCCAGTAGCTGATGCATATGAGATGTCTACAGGATATTTCAATACTCCTCAGCCAGTAGCTCAAGTGTCCAACAGCTACCCAGAGGTTTACAGCCAGATTGCACCAGTATACTCAGACCCAACTGTCCATGCACCAACATGCGCATTCAGCCAAAACAATGCAACTGTTGCACAGCAAGTCACTGAATCATTTGTTTCCAACGAAGCAACAGAGCCAATCTCTATTCTTCTTAATGGAAGTGTTCCTGTTAACATGCAGCCAACCACCATTACCCTTGGTGACCACACATACCCATTAAACAATGCTTCTGTTCCAGCCATCTCTGCACCAGCCCCAATAAGCCTGGGTGAGGTCAGCATGCATGAGCTTGACTTTTCAGCAGCCACAATCACTCCACTTCCATCCCTTACTAAAGAAGAGATAGCCGCAGCAGAGGCATCTGCAGCAGGTATCACTGTAGCACAGCTTAAGAAGGACGAGAAGACCAAGGAGGCCGATGGCAAAGGAAAGAAAGGCAAGTCTGGAAAGAAAGGAAAGTCTGGAAAGAAAGGAAAGTCTGGAAAGAAGGATGCCAAATGCAAGACCGATCTTAAGAAGAAGAACGGAGTAGCAGGTGTGTCCGCACTTGTTGCCATTGCAGTTCTTCCAATGATTGCATTGTTCATGTAAACAGATCCCTTTGTATCTTGAATAAAAGATATTTACATACTATCTTCTATATTTCTATTTCTTATTAATATTCTCATATACTGTACATGCCACTATGGCCTTTCTTTGGTATGTCAATTCTGCCGAATGTATGAGTTTATTGTGGTTGATGCATTTCTATTTATGTACTAATTCTATAATTATTTATATTGTATTTAATAAGACCATGTACAGAAACTATAACACTAAAAAGCCTGTGTATAGGAAGTATTGAATCAGTATAGATATAACCTGAAAGTGGAACCTGCCCACCGCGCGTGTTTTTATCGGAGCTCTTATGTTATTGGTAAGTATTGGTCTATTCAGATAAGAAATACAAATATAACTATCTATTTATTAAATTATTATTTTGCAAGAATGGAAGAAAGAATGAAGCAGGAGGAGTGCCCGTGCATAATGAAGGAAGAATCGCAGAGGGTGAAAGGCATTGCATTTCATCCCAGCAAGAAAATACTAATTGCTGGGCTACACAGTGGAGTAATTCAAGGGTGGAACTATCTATACAAAACCAAGATATTTGAGCTGAATGAGCATGAGGGGCCAGTGCGGGTGGTTGTCTTTCACCACTTAGTGGAAAGATTTGCATCTGCAGGAGATGACTGTCTTATTCGCATATGGGACTATAAAAGCAAGACTGTGGAGACGGTTTTTAAGGGGCATACTGACTATGTTCGATCAATTGAATTTCACAAGCATCTTCCTTGGCTTATTAGCACCTCAGATGACCAGACCATTAGAATATGGAACTTTCAGTCAAAAAAGCAAATTGCGTGCTTAACAGGGCATACACACTATGTAATGTGTGCTAGGTTCATTAATGACAAGCTATTTGCCAGTGTGTCTCTTGACCAGACCATTCGTGTGTGGGACTACTCTGCACTGGTAACAAAGAGCCAAACGAGTGTGATGGATATGCTTGGTGTGCCCGAAGTTGTGCTTAAGCATATAGTGGATGGGCACGACAGAGGGATTAACTGGATATCCGTACAGCCAGACGGAGAGACATTTGCGACTGGAGGAGATGACAGCACAATCCGAATATGGAGCGTAGGCCAGGATGGAATTCAGGAAAAGGACACATTACAAGGCCATCACAGCCATATAAGCGCTCTTTACTATACCAAGTCAAATACTTTATTAAGTAACAGCGAGGATGGAACACTTAAGATATGGGACCTGAAAAACAGAAAGCCAATAAAAACGCTTACTATAGAGGGCAGCCGGTATTGGTGCCTGGCAATGGACCAGGAGGAAAATATATTTGCTGCTGGGCATGACACAGGCTTTTCTATTTACTCGATTGGCATTCTATACCCAGTGTATGCGGTATATGATGGCATTCTGTATATATGTAAAGACACGGAATTAAACAAGATTGAAGAGGGTAAAATATCTAAGCTAATGAGTATACAGAAAGATGTGCATGAGATATTTGTGAAGGAGGACACAACAATAATTAATTCCCCAGGCAAGTACACTGTATGCAATGGCAGTAAAGCCCGATATAAAGGACTAGGGTTTGCTACTTTTATAGATGACAGAGTAGCCGTGTGCACAGATACAGAAATATCTATCAAGGAGCTTGATGGGCGGGATGTTGTATCGTACAGTATTGAGGCCGATAAAGTATTTGAAATATCTGGGGGAGTACTGGCACAGAAAGGAAACTCTCTTTTTAGAATTGAGAATGGGTCTGTACTTGTTAGCGCTCTGCTTCCTGATCGCTGCTTATACGTTCGATTTGATCAGACACACATTGTAGCAGTTTGCAAAAATAGCATAGTTGTGCTAGACTATAATTTAGTACAGATTTCTGTAATTGATGAGATAGTTTCTATTAACAGTCTTATAGTTAAGGATGGCACAATATTCTATACCACGCCACTGCACATTAAGTTTGCCTTTATGAATGGCGAGGGTTCCTCCTTCATGTCTATTGATGAGGCTCTCTGGATTGTTAGTGTGGAGGATACTTTGTTTACACTTGTGGCAGCCGATGGATCGGTTATTGAAATCGAGGTAGATATGATTGAGTGGAAGTTTAGAAAGGCGCTGGAAGACATGGACATGACGAGCATTAGAGAGTGCATTGATACTGGATCATTGATTGGCCAGGCTTCTTTGTCTTGCCTAATACGCAAGGGCTTTTACGAGGAGGGGCTTAACTATGTCGAGGACACTGGAGTAAGGCTTGAATTGTCAATTAAAACAAAGAAGTTTGATGATGCCTTAAAGTATGCAAAAGAACTGCACTCACCAGAAGTATACATTAAAACAGGAAGGGCTGCAATTAATTACGATATACAGGTGGCTGAAGAGTGCTTCAAACTAGCGAAGGAATTTTCATTGCTATTGCTTCTTTACATTTCAAGTGGGAAGCTGGATAAAATCGAGTCTCTCTTATTTGAGTGCACGGATGAAATGTACTGTGCAATTGCTGCAATTATTACAGGAAACAAAGAAACCCTCTGTAAGCTAATATCTCTGCAGAGCAGTGTAGATAGCATAGATGTCTTAGACACAGAGGCAGAATTCTCCACCAAATCAGATACAGCAGTGCCAGAGGTTCCAAATGAGGGTAGTTCTAATGAGTGTATTTTTATGTCAGAGTCACAGGATACTACTACAGATGTAGACAGCGAGGACATTCAAAGTATAAAAGAATTGAAAGAAGTGCCAAAAATAAGCGCGCCTTCTGCAGAAACAGGCAATGCTAAGGATTCCAGTAAAGTTTTTCCTTCTTTAAATATGGAAAGGCTTCAGCGGTGCATAAAAACCATTCCTGCTGAGATTGACATTGAGCGAGAAATAAAAGTAGCTAAGGAATGTGCAGCGAATGGAAAAGTGTCCACCGGTATAAGCAGTTTTCTTATAGCAATGCACTCTCTGGTGAATTCCATGAATGAAAAGGGCAGAAAGAGCGATGAAGAAATGAGAAGTCTTAAATCGGCTGCAGAGTACCTACAGGGGCTATTTTCTGAAAAGATTAGAAAGGCCGCACAGTCAGACAAGACAAGCATTTCTTGTGCTATATTCTATGCATCGCTTGATTTAGAAAGAATGCACAAGGAAAAGGCACTTAAAGCAGCAATACTCACCTGCTATAAAAAGGGAAACAAGCACTATGCAATGGAGTTGTCGCGAGAAATTGTGAATAACTATGGGTGCACAGATGAAAGAATTAAAATCCTTGCTGATTCGCATAAGCCTATGAAGGATGCATATGTAATAGACACAAGTCTTCCATTCTGTATAGATATTGGAGAGTACGCAGAAGACGCAAATCAATGCCAGATATGCAGTGCCTGGTCATCTAGTAGATGCAAGACATGTGCTTGCTGCTTTATATCTAATCTATAATAAAATGAGTCTTTATCTTTCGGGTTATATTAATACAATATTCTATGTTTTAGTACAGCACCACCGCAGTACAGCAAATTTCAAGTTGTTCCACTACTATTATATATAATGAAGTTAATAAAAGCTATTTAATACATTTTTATTAAAGTAGTGCATTAGTGCTAATCACTAAATAAATATATGTGAGAATCTGAAGTTCTTGCTTATAACTTGAATATGTTAATGTTTAAATATTTAAATGGTGTTTGCAGATTTATTTATAATTTTAAATTTCTAAAAGTCTTTACTTTTTATTTTTACAGAAATATAAAAGTACCATTTACATTATATGTAAGGCATAAATAATATTTTATTTTTAATAAAGAATGCATAGTTCACATAAACTATTATTAAATATATTAGGACAATTTCTATCTTATGTGATTGTAGGTTTGCTAGTTTTGGAAGTGTTAGAGGCTGCAGAAGAATGTGAATTTATGTCTATACTTCCTAGAGGATTTGATGCAAACGGAGCAGATATATACCCAGACAGTCTAATATCAGACACTTCCCCAGTATGTATTTCGCTTGAAGAATTACTTACTGTTTGAACAGATTGTTTTTCCATTGCAGCCAATACTATAATTATACTTGCAGTTATTAAAATACCTAATAGTGTATAAATGGCTATGGCAACATTGGATTCAAATACATTCTGATTTTTTTCATGATCTACAAATTCCTGATTCAGTACTGGAGGGATTATAGAAGGGGTTATATCAGGTTTAGAAATATCTTCTTTAAAATCTATAGAAGATGTGCTAAGTAATTGTGACATATTAATAGGTAAAAAAACTTATTATTAATAATTATTTTATTAATAATCACATGTCTCCTAAAAAAGCAAATAGCACTCTCTATTACAATATAAATATTAATTTCGGAATTATACTTCTTAAGTTAAGAGACATATACTTGTTATTAACATGCAATGATAAAGAAAAATTAAATTAAAATACTTGTATGGCAAGTTTCTGTAGATTTGAAGTATATTATTAAGTTAAATATATATTATTACATATCTATTACATATCTACTACATTCCGTATATATATTTTTAATATGCTATAACATTGTGTTAATACTATAAATTTAATTTTTTTGAAAGTATTTAAATGCTGTATATAAATAGTCCTTTAAAATAAGACAATTACTAGATTTGAATAAAGTATAATAAAACTCTCTAATACATAGATTTTTATTACGACCCTGTACACATTACATTTTACTCCGACTCATTGCAAATCTATCAAACTCATCATTTTCAGAATCACTATTTTCCAGCAATGAAGAATATTCAGAATCTTCTTGGTTTTTAATATTTTGTATTATGATAGCAAATTGTTTTTCATCTATAAGCGAATTATTAGATACAGATATTGCAGGGCTTGAGTATGAAAAAGGTTCTTTTTCTTTCGACACAGTTTTTTGTGGAGTGGCAAAAAATCTATTATTAGTAGTTATAGACCCACTTAATGGGTCGATATTTATCGAATTATATTTTATAAATTTATCTGCAGTTTTCTCATCTATGTCATATTCACTGTGCAAATACTTACTTGTACTAAATGCATTCAAATTATCTGTTTTATATGTGGACTCTGTATTACTTCTATTAAATTTAATATATACAACTATAACGATTATGCACACAACTATAATTGCCATAATTATAAAAATACCATACTTGCTAATCATGTTCGCATTAAATATATTAGATGCTTTAGTACATATAGTCTCTATTTTTAGGGATGTAAGAATATTCTGCATACATTTAACTGTATTGTTATATGCGTTAGTCAATAAATCATGCATAGTTCACTAAAAATATTTTAATTTTAGCTGATGATTAAATTAAAATAATGAATTGTTCATAAAAATTCATTGAAATATTAATTTCTAACATAAAATGCTTTACAAAATGTTTAATATTAGAAGAACAAGTTTTATCATAATAAAAGAATTACATTGTTGTATGCTAAGAATAGCATTTGTTAGCATGACATGAGTTATTGTAATGTTTTACATAAACATGACACAGCTCAGACTAGATCAGAAATTATTGTTACACAGCATGGCAACATAATTTAAATTGATTTTACGGTCTATAAATACGTATACAAATTCAATAAAAGTCAAAGTTTAAGAATGCCTTTTCCTAAGAAAACAACTTACATGATTAATTAATACACAATAGAGTATTATTTTGTCTAATTTTTAATTATTTAAATATTATAACTAAGTTAAACAAGGATTTATTAAAAATAAAACAATTCATCCTTTATATTATACAATGCGGCAAATGAATATTCAAGAATTTTAGATTATTTAGGATTATATAAAAATAATAAAATGTAGAGATCAAATAATTTTAATTAAGAAAATATGCCATAGAAAGCTTTAATATTACCACAATTAAATATAAAACCCGAATTTGCACTAATTAACTATGGCAATCAATAGACATCAACAGAATTTTAGTATAATTCAGATGCAGCACATATATATTTGTATTGTATTTCCTTAATATATACAGTTTTTTAATACATAGAAATTCGAACCTTATATTAACAAACTGACTTCTAATAAAAAAATACATAGTAGTGAGTTTAATTCTGTTTTTACTGTGCATTATAACTAGTATATAAGTTTATTAGTTAAATTTCAATATTTATATTATTTCGTAATAGTATACTATGAAAGGTAAAAGGCAATATGTTAACTTCTATACTGCCCTTTAAACTACCATACTACGATAGAATTGATATAATGTGTTTTGTATTGATATTTTGCTTTATTGAACGCTTGTAAACTTCTACTATTTAGGAAATAAATATTAATTTAATTTGGCCATAAAATATTAAATTATTTTACTTATTTATTAGTACTAAATTACATAAAAGTTTTAAAATATAAATATTTAAAAAATTTAAACTGTAGAATGATGAATATGGATTCTATAAAGGTAAAGGTAATTTCTATGAAAGAGTACATTCCAGACATGTCACTAAGAAACATTCAAGACATAGTGTACATAACCAATCCAGACCAGATTAAAAGAAGAAACAAATACATACTGGTTGGTGCTATAACACTTGCAGTAATTATGCTTATAGTAGTAGGAGGTCTTATAGCCAGACGGTTCATGAATAAAAACAATGAGAGACAAGAAAATGATAATGCAGGTATTGCTGCTTAAGAGCCACTGTTTTAAGAAACAGCTGCCGAATTATAACCATAATTAAGAAAAAATACATGGTTGATTACCGCAATAGGATAAATATAGACGTATCTTCTTATGTATATGCCAAAGGCAATGCATATATATTTTTAACTAAATGTATAATAGAAGAACAAATTATTCATAGCAAACCAGCCAATATTATAATCAGATATTTATATAAACGCTTTAATTAATTTTGGTTCGATTTTATAGATTTAAGAGGTTCTTTTATCTATACAGATAGCTATAATAAAATTCGTCTATAAATTGTTTTTTACATTTATAAATTTTCTGGGCATTTGGTTTTAGGTTATGATATAGCAGATATATTTATTAAACAGAGATAGACTTTCTTTTCTTTTGTTTGATAATATAGATTATAATAAATAAAATAGAAAGTACTCCTGAAACAGTAAGAAATAGCATTTTATGCCTGTTCCAATATGTGAGTTCGTTGCTTTGTGTGGTTTCTTGAGATGAAACTACACCTGGGCATCCTGCAGTGTTTTTGGCACCTAACTTTTTCTTTGGTGTAGTTCTGCGTCGTGTTGTGGTGCTTGCGGATGGATTACTTTCATAAGCCTTTTGTATTTCTGAACAGAAATCATTTCCAGCTATTTCTATATTATTACATACCCTTTCACCTATTTTACAAATTGAATTCTTTATATCATCTAAGTGATCATAAATTGTTGCTTGGCCTGTGGCTTTTCTAAATAGCTTTTTCATTTAATTAAAAATTGCTGTGAATATTTAAAAGATTTTTTTGCATTTTTATAAAAATAGCCGTTGTAATTGTATAGTTAAATTAAACTTAATATTTATTTATTCAGATTTTCTTAACATCAAAACCATTTTCATAACAATAAGTATAACTAAGAAAGCACCGGCACCAATAAGCATTGGAACCCAATTGTTTGTGGTATATTCTTTAGAAGTTTCAATATATCTTGGTGTGTTCTTAATCACATGTTCTGTTGTTTTTTTGCTTGTTTCAAAAACACTTTCTGCACCAGTCTTTATAGAATTCAGAACCGGCTCCTTGTTTGTATTATATGCATTTATTAAAGTATCTTTTGCCTCACCTGCCATTGAGATAAACTTATCTCCTAATTGTTTTGTACTGTCGATCATATTTTGCATAGCCATTTAGAGAATAAAAAAAATTTAATTTATATACTATTTGATCAGCTAATAATAATAATTTTTTAGAAAGTATTTTACTAGGCTTTGCATACTAATACTTTTATATAGAAGGGTGGTTACACTATGTTTTTTTGTTATTTCAACATGGGGGTTTCAAACTTATTATGTTCTTCATATAATTACTGTAATATAAACAGAACTTCTATTTATGATTAAGCCAATGCTCTAGTATCAAACATATGTTACAATACTTTTAGTGATGTGACGTACTCACGAGGAGTAACGCCACCGCCGCCCTGCTACGTAGCCAAGAGAGAGAAGAGAGTGAAAGGGGAGAGCTCTTTATTGTCTTTAGGAAGCGGCCCAAGCCTGCGCGGACACGGAGTCTCGGGCGCAGTTGTGTTAGGCCTGGCGCTGAAGTTAAGCCGTCGATGCTTCCCTGAGTCTCCCCCTAAATTGGGGGAAGAGCTCCGGTTAAATAGTCGGAAGTTGATATACTGATTCAGAGATCCCGGCCTTTGCTTTGGCGGGATCACCGCGCGAGCTGGCGCGCAGACGGATCGCCCTCGGGGGCTCCCGTCCGAGTGGTGGTGTCACCACATGATGTAATGTAAATATAAGAATAGAATGTTATATTTTACACATTTCTGTCTGTTATACAATAGACAAATAGTATATTAATACTACATAAATATTCAAGAGTATACATGAACATTTATTACATTATTATAAATAAAAACAATTTAATATATAGTATGGAATAGTAAATAACCAAGCTGTTAGTTTAATTAATGTTTATTTTTTATTTTTAGGTTCCTTTAGTATTATTTTTAAAGCTTTGGTTTTTACAGATTTACCAAATTTTTTAAATTGACCTGTCAATTTATTTTGAGACTTTTTGCTAGAATCAGTGCATGCAGAGGCATTTAAATCAGTTAAAAGATCTTTTTCTTCTACTTGTGTGCCAATAGTTCTTTTTTGGCCGTTGGCAGCAGAAAATATATTTTTGTCATTTTCTGGTAACTGCTGGAAAGTCCCAAAATTTCCATCACTTCCCCATCTTCTAGCTAAATTTCTTGTTGAGGAAGCGCCATCTTCACTATCAGAAGCTGGCAGAGCATTAAAAGAGGCAGATCTAGCTAATTTAGGCCGAGTTTCACTTATATCACCAGTTTTAGTTTGGAATGGCATTTCGTTAATAGTAGGCACAGAGTTAGTCACAGCCCCAAATCCTGTGGTTTGAATGGAATCAGTCATGCACTCGGCATCAACTTTTTCAGCTTTATGTAATATTTGTCCCCTTTGTTGTACTATTACTAGTATTAATATGTTGATTATTACAATTAATATAGAAACAAACAAAACATAGGAATTCTCTCTAAGGAAGGCTTTAATGGCATCTATTTTACTTAAACAGATGTGTACAATGTCTTTTTTATCTCTTGGTAATATATTTTCTGAAATATAAAACTTTAATCTATTAAGTCGCATCTTTTCTATTATGCTCATAAATAGCAATTTAAAATTTTTTAACGGATATAAAATTTAAATCTATTTTACTCCATAAAAAGAATTAAGAAAAAAAATAAATTAATAATGAAAGTTTAAGAATATTAATAATTTATTATTAATCTAATTAGATAAATTTACTACCACAATAATATATAATAAAATTAATGGCCAAATGAAATATTTCATGCCTAATGGTAGAAAATCACTAGATTAAATCTTTTTAAAAATGTGTGTGGATTGTCTTACAGCAGAGTCATTAACTTGTTGTTAATAGAGACTTAATTTATATGAATTTCGGGCGTATACGTGTAATGGTGCAAAATACTTATTATAACCTCTTTTTAATATTTCAAGTTGGATGTTTAGGGTATGTATACAATTTTACTATAATATGTTTTTATATTGAATTGATGTAAGCTTACATAGCCCATTATCTTTATATCCGTATATAAGCACTGTGTTATCGCAGTATACACTATATAACATATCAATCACAGCCACAGTTCTTATAAAGATACCTTTCTCTCTACAGTACAAATCTATTCTATCAATAAGGCCAACTACCAACAGATGGTTTATAATATAAATGTCTATGGCCTTGGTATGCGTATCAATCTGGTAAACTTGTTCCTTCTTTCTTACATTCCATTTAGAAACTGTTCCATTTGCAGTTAGTGTATATATATATTGCTCACTGTCTGCTTTAATTTGGAAAATAGTTCCATTCTGTGCGGCGCTGCTAAATACATGGTTGCCATCTAAAGTAACCACATGCAATTTCTGGTCCATTCCCCCTACTGCTACCCAATCCCCAATACACTGTACTTTATATATCCTCCTGGAAAGTTTTATCAAGTATCGGATACCTTCCCCTGTGCGATAGTTCCATAGTATGCAGGTGCCGTCATACGAGCCCGAAATTAATAGTGATTTATTTTTCACTGTCACCATATCCCGGATACTTCCTGTATGCCCGTTTAGCGCATGAATCACACCCCCAGTATTCAAATCCCACACACGTATAGTAGAGTCCCTAGATCCACTTATAACATATTTATCTGCTAGAAGAACCGTTCTTACTGTGGATTTATGTTCAGACAGAGTTTTTATGCTAATACCTAAGAAAATATCCCATACTCTTACAGATTTATCCGTGCTGCCGGATACAAGCACATTATTGGCATAATCAAATGTCCAAATACTTCCCTTTGCTTGTTTTAATTTTCTAATATACCCTAATGACTTATCTAATACATAGAGATGTGTTGAGTTGCTAGATACAACAATCATATCGCCATATGCTGTAATTTTAGTAATTTCACAGTTTGGTGTGTGCTTAATACTATTGGTACTGTTGCCAATGTTTTTTATCCAACTATGTGTAAGAATGCACTCCTTTTTCACTTCAACTAAATAGTTTCCATTTGTGCAGTCTCTTTCTCTTTCTTTTAATTTTTGCTTCCATATAATTGGATTTGCCTCTATTGCCTTTCTAATCCCATCTGAGGCGCACATTAATCTCTTTATATCCTTTATGCTAAGATACTGCGTAATTCTACTAAGTACTTCAAGAGGGAAGATACTCCGTATGATTCCCATTCTGTAATAAAATATTTAAAAAATCAAGTAACCACTCTTCTTTTTTGAATAATTAAAATTTCTGTACTTTGGTTGAAATATTCTGCACAAACTTTGTTATGTTTATAAAAATAAATTTATTCTAATTTACTCTTAATATGTACAGATAACTCTTTAATTTAGCAGTTTATGCAAGGAAAAAATGCAGGGGTATAAATATAAAGCAGGAGAAGTACGGTTATGCTGAAGGAGAAAAAGTGGCGAACAATACTATTGGTCTATTTAGAAGATTGGCGCATTTTATTGGTCAGTCTATTTTTATTTTAGATGTCAGTTTTTACAATTTTCCATGTCTAAGAAGCAGAAAGAGAAGAAGATAATAGAGCTTGTGAAGAGTCTTCCAATAGACCACAAGAAGTTTGAAGAACTATTAAAGAACAACTCACGCCGGGATTTAGAAGTTAAAATATATGGAAACAAGCTAGGGTTAAAAGAAAAGCAGATAATGCATGTGGTAAAAAAGTTAGGAATAAAGCTAAGAATAAAAGAACCACAGGGCAAACCAAGCCACATAATAGTAAAATTACACAACCACATGAGATTTGTTATATTAGACATTGAAGTATAGCAGAAGTCAACAGAAATAACCAGGCACAGCATACTATATATTGTTTTAAGCAATAATTCGCATAGCACAGGAATATCTACTTCTAATTGAATTGGATCTAATTAAACATGTGCCAACTTAGTTTATTAATTAAATAAGCAATGACTTGTTATTTGTAACACTGCGTGTGGCAGTTTTTATTTGTTGTTTTTACTTTTATGCGCTGCGATTATAGATAACCATTGGTTCGGGAATAAACTTAGAAGAAAATGAAGGAATAGTAGAAGATAGTAGAGAAATAATAATGTAAATAATAGAAGGACTCGTATTTATTTAAAATAAAAATAAGCAAAAATTAAGATGAAGTTTAGTGAAGCATTAGATGACTTATCTGGCAGATTTATTTCTTGCCTGCCATTGTCTGAGCTAAGAAACAGTGAAAGATTGTTCTTTCAAGTAGAGGAGGCCCACTGGTTCTATGAAGACCACTACCGCAGAGGATACGGCCTTCCGTATTTAAATTTAAAAGAATTCACATTTCAGCTTATAGCGCATAATGAGCACTTAAAGGGGGCGATAAAGGTGGATGAAGACTTCAAGAAATTTCTGAGGTATAAGAAAATAGTTCCTGTATTTGGGGCACTGATATTCAATAGCGAAATGACAAAAATACTTTTAGTTAGAGGGTTTGGGCCAAAGAGATCCTTTACTTTCCCGCGTGGGAAGATATGTAAGTCTGAGAACAGTATAGAATGTGCAGTTAGAGAGGTATATGAAGAGGTGGGGTATGATATAACAGACAAGCTAATAACAAACATATTTTTGGAAACAGGAACAAAGAGCAAAGAGTCTAAGCTATTTGCTATTATGAACGTATCTGAGCATACAACGCTATTTGAAACAAAAACCCGAAATGAGATAAAAGAGATTAAATGGGTGGAAATTGAACAATTAGAAAGCTCTCCGACAGAACAGTTCTCATATGTCAAAACATTTATTAGGGAGATAAAGGCGCTTGTTAATAAGATAGAAGCAGATAAGCACAGATTGAATCTTTCAAAAATTAAACAGGCCTTTGAAGTGGATTAAAGAGGCTTTTTATTTGTATATTAAATGAAGCAATTCGTGTATATAATTTTTCTAATTATAATCCATAGAATGTATACAGCAGCACATAAGGAGGAAATAGAGGGGAAACCCATGGAAGACATGAATTTATCAAAAGATATTCCTAAAGAAGAAAGGATATCTGCCTTGCGAAAGGTTCTTGCAAAGAAAAACGTCGGCGGGTGTGTTTTATATAGAAGAGATCCGCACTTAAACGAGTATGTTCATCCGCACTATGAACACATTGCCTGGCTAACAGGATTTACAGGGTCAAATGCAACTCTTTTGGTTCTTCCAGACACCGCGTATTTATATACGGATGGCAGGTATTTTATACAGGCAGAAAAGCAGCTGCCAAAGGATGTACTTCTTTCTCGGATGGGCACAGATCCAACAATAAGCCAGAGACTAGCAGAGTGCAATGGTACTATTGGGATTAATGCGCAGGATATAACACAGGAAGAGCATGAGAAGCACTTTAAAAATCTCCCAGAGAGTGTTGAGATAGATATACTTAATGAAGACATAATTGATCAGTTATGGTCAACCCGGCCAAAAATAGAGCCAGGGTATCTTGAAGTAATGGGGCATCAAGAGTCTGTAGGAAATAAGCTCAAAAAAATCCGAAGTGAAATGAAGAAGAATAAGGAAATGCGGTCTATGAGCGCGCCATTTGACATGGTTATTATTTCTGACATGGATGAGATTGCATGGGCCACAAATTTAAGAGGAAGCGACATTCCTATGTCTAGATTGTTTTATTCATTCTTGATTGTGCAGGAAGAGGGGGCTATTTTATTTACAGATGCAAGTTTGACAACCGAAGTACCAGATGTTGTTATACGGCCATATGCAGATTTTTATAGGTACATTTCAGAGATATCAGACAAATGCATAGGAATATCTTCTAATACAAACTATCAAATTCTGTGCACTATTGTAGAGGAAAACAATGTGGGGGACTTCGATGGAATACTTAATTTAAAGGCAATAAAAACAGAAGCGGAAATAAAAGGATTTGAAGAGGCCAACAAAAGGGATGCAGTCTATTTATGCATGCTATTTGGAGAAATTAAAAAGAATCTTGCAGAGGGCAGTAGTGTAGGAGAGAAGGACGTGGCAGACCGGCTGCTAGAGCTGAAGAAAGAAGATCCCGAGTTTATTGTTCCTAGTTTTGAGACTATTTCTGGATACGGAGAGAACGGAGCAATTATTCACTATGCGCCAGAGGACAACACAACTAAGCTTTCAACAGACAGCCTATTTTTAATTGACTCTGGGTCGCAGTACACAATGGGCACTACCGACATAACAAGAACCGTTTGTTTTGGAAAGCCAACAGACCAACAAAAAAGAGACTACACAGCACTTATCAAGGGGCACATTGACTTGGAGACCACTAAGTTCTCAGAGAAAACTGCTCTTGGCGCACTGTCAATTATAGTAAGAAAGCACGTCTGGGATGAGAACATTGACTATGCGCATAGCACTGGGCATGGTGTAGGATTTGGATTAAATGTACATGAAGGCCCGCAAACGCTAGACAGCTCATCCAGAGTAAAAGCATTGCCGGGGATGAATATAACTATCGAACCAGGTATCTACAGAGAAGGTAAGTACGGGCTACGCCATGAAAATCTAGCTGTAGTAGAGAAGTATAAGAAGACAAAAGGATTCTTACAGCTTAGAAACATTACTCCAGTCCCATTGCATTTGGATTTAATTGATACTGAAATCCTATCGCCACAAGAGATAGAATACATAAACAAGCAGTCAAAAAACATCCAACATATGTTGAAGCCGCTGCTTCTTCACCACAAAGATGGTCTTGCCTGGCTTGTGGAAAACACCCGAGATCTTTAATATCAAACAAGGCAGAATGCTAACAGACAATAAATACGCCTTTGTTCCAAGGCCGCTTTTCTGTAATGCGCAGTAAAGTGGGCCAGGCTTAAGCAGATGTCTATCTAGTTATGTCGCGATGAGATGATATTCATAGGAATACTTTTTCTTTTAATCGCAGTACTTATTGCATAACTACTATGCAACTCTCTTAGAATTCTATACAAGAAGTATAGTTCTGGGAAGAAACAATGCAGTAGTTTAATAGTGGTGCACAAAAATAAAGATAAAGTATAACAATAGTTCTTTATAGTAGTAATACATTTGATCTGTCATGTTTATTATCTATCAGCATCTGAAATAGCCAGAATATTCAGAAGTGGCCTAATTACACACACTTTAATAATAAGTCATTTATTCCAACACAATTCTTTAGCTAGAAAATACCGGTAACATCATATTATTTATACTCCTGGCTGTATTCATCATCGTATATACTATGCCTGCTGGATTTGGGCCGTTTTTCAACTGAAGACTCCTCATAATCTGTATTTGTGCTTCGTAAAGACTCATGTGCTTTCCTCCGAGAGCTTGCACTAGATTTTCTGGGTATATATGTGCTGTCTTCAAAATCCAATGATCTATCATCCTCTGGCACTTTATCGGATACTAGATCTTCATCTATTGCTTTTGACTTTATTTTCCTTGTCCTTGATATTCTTTCTGTTGTGCTGTACTCTGACTCAGGTTCCTCAATCTTCTTTCTTCTTGTTTTTTTTATTTCAGGTGTTTTTTCAGTTTTTTTTACTAGCTCTTTACTAGATGAATATCGGTGAGATAACCCCTTTAATGTGCTTGTAAGAATTGCTCTTTCCTGGGCTATGTCCCCATCTAAAATAGAATTAAGCATGCTACTAAGCTGGCCCAGCCTATTAGTCATAAGACGACTAGTTGTTTCCTTTCCTATCTCACACCAGCAGACAAAAGGCATAACCGCATAAAGTACTAATTGTCGTTTCATTCTATATATTATGGTTTATTATTATTATTAATACCTTGACTAAAACACTGTTTTGTCTTATAATGACAGTATAAAACAGAAAGTGTGCAGCTTTTCAAGCGCTCCAAATATTTGGTCTGTTTTCTGTTTATACTCTCCAGGCACAGTAAATAACTTGTTTTCCTCTAATGTTGATAGTTCTATGTAGTTTTCATTCAATTTACTTTGCACTTTCTGCTCAAGAATGCCAAATACTTTGCGAATGTTTGCAGACCATAGATGAAAGCTTTTGGACGGAGCGCAGTCTGCGGTTCTTGGTATCATCTGTAGACTAACAAATCTTTCTGATAAAAGAAGAAAAAGAGTTTTCTTGCATTCCTGTGACTCAAGCAGAAGATGTTTCTGTATGAACTTATCTTCAATATATCCCTTACTTAACAGCATAGAAAGAACAGTGGACGCAGTAGATCCTATATACATATCACAGTATTCCAGAAGAACCTTCTTTTTTATCTTGTCTAGATATGACTCGTGGTTTACTTGGTACATTTCATATCCACCAGATACTGCTCCATAGCCTATAAGATACTTTATGTGTTTCTGAACTGTTTCATTAATATTTGGTGGTGTAGATAAGCCGGTGCTTTCTGGGACAACTTGGAATTCTGCGCACCTTTCAAGAACTCTGTTGAGGGGGGATGGCGCTGGGTAGAAGCTTTTTATTGCAGAAAATACTTTTTTTGTATTCTCTGTAAAGTGCTGAGAAATATCGTTGTAAAAAAAGTTGGTAAGAATTTTCGAGTCAACCGATTTCTTGGAAAATATTAAATATTTTTCGCTTTCTTCTTTAACTCTTTTTACGCCATTAACAGACTCTTCTGTCAAAACTCCATCTCTAATCATTTTTTTTGTTGTCTCCATTAGTTCTTCTGGTATTGCGCTTACTCCTATTTTCTTCCTAATGAGCACTTCCATTGCTATCTGACTTCCATGTGGGCCGTATACATCTTCACAGTACTTAATGTACACGGGATAATTTATAATGGAGAAGTGAGCCTTTTTTATAAAGTATCTTACACCACGCCCGGTATAATTAGTAAATCCAACGATTCCAAAATGTATTAATAGAGAAAGCCCCTTAATTGCATCTTTCTTTCCTATTTGGGTGTTTCTATATATGGATATTAAACCCATATCCTTATTTTTTAATAGATAGTATCCTATCTTAGCACATACATTACTAAATATCTCAAGTATAAATAGTCTTTCACTCCATGGCATACCAAGAAAAATAAAAATATGGAAGAGGTAAATGGCCATAAGAAGAACAAAAGAATCCTCAATGTAATAAAGGAATTGCAAAGGCTGGGAAAGTATAATGAAATGGTTAATTTAGTAAGAAAAGAGGTAGATGCCTTTAAACCAACAGCTACTTTAACAGAAAAGTATAACAGGGCCTGTATGGTAATTGAAAAGTACTTAGCTAACCAGGATACAGTAGTGCTAGAGTCAATAATAAACAGCGTGAATTAGGAGGTGTAAAATGTAATAAAATAAAGATTCAATGGATTGTAGGCTGAAATTAATGTAGAGAGGTTTGTAGAATATATGAATTTTAGAAAAACAGAAAAATAGAAAAGAAGTAAATGCTGCCAAAACAAGCCACTAGTACGTTAGAAGGAGTAGATGAGCACATAATTCTTAAAGAGAACCACCACACACGGCCAATGTGGGTGTCTGCAGACGGTATAATAATACTAGAAATGCACTCTGAGCAGAGCCAGCAAGCCCAGGACTTTCTTATTGCCATAGCAGAGCCTGTTACTAGACCTAGTAATATGCATGAGTATAAGCTTACAGCGTACTCTCTTTATGCTGCAGCGAGTGTTGGGCTAAAAACAGAAGACATAATTGACACAATGGATCGGTTTAGTAAGAATAAAGTGCCGTTGAGCATTTTAAACTTTATTAGGTCGTGCACAACCAGTTATGGAAAAATTAAAATGGTTATTCGGCAGGGAAGGTACTTTATAGAATCCCAGGAGAATCAGAACATATCATTTTTATATCGCGACCCAGTTATTCAGGAGCTGTGTGTGCCAATCACCGAGGAGAAAAGAAGCATTGTTAATTTTGAGATAGAGAGGTCTAAAGTAGAGCTGGCAAAGAAGAGGTGTATAGAGCTAGACTATCCTCTGATCGAGGAGTATGATTTTAGGACGGAGAATACACTACCTCTTCTGGATATTGATCTAAAGCCAACAACATCTATACGAACGTATCAGGAATTTAGCTTGAACAAAATGTTTGGAAACGGACGGGCACGATCCGGTATTATTGTGCTCCCGTGTGGTGCTGGTAAAACGTTGGTCGGTATTGTGGCTCTGTGCACAATGAAAAGATCTTGCCTAATACTGTGTACCACATCCGTTTCTGTTGAGCAGTGGAAGCAGCAAATAAAGCATTTTACAAATGTGAAAGACGAGGCAATAGCAATACTCACGTCAGATACTAAAGAGAAATTTTCTGGCCAGGCAGGGATAGTTGTAAGCACGTACACTATGGTATCATACAGCGGGAAGCGGTCATACGAAACGCAGAAGATAATGGACTTCCTGACAAATACTGAGTGGGGGCTTATTATTTTTGATGAAGTTCATGTAGTGCCAGCAAACATGTTTAGAAGGGTAGTTTCAACAATTATTTCACACTGTAAGCTAGGGCTGACTGCCACGTTGGTCAGAGAGGATGAAAAAATAGAAGATCTTAACTTTTTGATAGGGCCAAAGCTGTACGAGGCTGACTGGCTTAATCTGAGCGCGCAGGGACACATATCAAAAGTGTGCTGTACGGAAGTATGGTGCAAGATGACAGGGGAGTTTTATAAACAGTACTTAGTGGCAGACATACGGAAAAAAAGGATACTGGCAACAATGAATCCAACTAAAATACAGATGTGTGAATACATTATAAACAAGCACGAGGCGCTTGGAGACAAGATAATTGTTTTTTCTGATAACGTCTTTACGCTAAAGGCGTATGCTCTTAAGTTTGGCAAGCCGTTTATATACGGACCAACTGGGCAAGCAGAGAGAATGCACATTCTAAACCAATTCAGAACAAATCCGAAGATTAACACAATATTTCTGTCAAAGGTTGGGGATACCTCGATTGATCTTCCAGAGGCGACCTGTCTTATTCAAATATCTGGTCACTTTGGAAGCAGAAGGCAGGAGACGCAGCGGCTTGGAAGAATTCTCAGAGCAAAAAGAAGAACTGATGAGGGTTTTACTGCGTATTTCTATACGCTGGTGAGCATGGACACAGAGGAAGTTCCATACTCCACCAGAAGAAGGCAGTTTTTAATAGATCAGGGGTACTCGTTCAAAATAGTTGAAGAGATCAAAGAAATGGAAGAGAACCCACCCACTGTTTATAGAACGAAAACTGAGCAGAATGAACTGCTTGCCTCAATCTTGCTGGCATCAGACAGAGACATACAGACAGAATCAGAGGATGACGAGATTGACAGAATTGATAAAAAAGTATCAAGTAAAAAGCTTTCGGCACCTTCGCATCTATCGTACAGTGAGAAAAGGTCAAAATAAAAGAAGTAAATAGGTAAAGCACAAAGAACTCCCAAAATATTATTTTGTAAAAGTAACTGCACTTGTGATTATAGAATTCAACTAAATGCGTATTATGATAAAACCGAGTCTGGAATTTCAGAAAAGAATGTGCAACTAAAGAGCTTCTTGCACTTACAATCTATCCAGCAGGGCACTCAGTGATGGCCTGTTCTGCTAGGGTATCTGATATTCCCGGGGTATTTTAGCTATTGCAGTACTGGAAAAATATTTATAATTTTCTTTCTTTTTTCTTTAGTCATGGGTTCAAAAGCATTTGAAGCAGAAGCAATTGTATCAACATTAGAAACAATTATTAACGGTGTAAAGCCAAAAAGAGCCGAAGCAGGTGAAACAATTGAGGTAAGAGTAGGAATCAAAGGGTACGACCCAGCAAGAGACAAGAGATTTAGAGGAGAGGTCACCCTTCCATATCCAAAGAGAAATGAGGAAAAGGTTCTTGTGTTAGCTGACATTCACTTAGCAAATGCATTAGAGGGATCAGACATTCCATTCATCTCCTTTGATGAGTACAAAGGAAAGACTCCAGAGGCAAAGAAGAGAAGAAGAAACTTGGTAAAGAAGTACCACTCTTTCATCTCTGTTCCATCTCTATACAAAGTGTTCGAGCCATTGATATTCACCGGAAAAAAGAAGCCAGTATACATGATCAAGAACGTAAATGAGATCAAGAACTACTATGAAGATGTTAGAAGAAAAGTTCAGCTAAATCTTAAGGCCGATTTACTTCTTGGATTCTCAGTGGGTACTACCAAAATGAACCCAGTTGAAATATCCCAGAACGTGTCCACTGCCATGCAAGCTCTTATTGGTCTTCTTAAGAAGGGAATGCAGAACTTAAAATCAGTTGATATTAAATCTACTCAAGGAAAGACTATTAGATACTTCCCATTCTAATAAATATACATTCTCTTAATTTTCTTTTTAGTCTAAAAAAATAACCGGCATATGCGCTATTACATTATAGGCATAGCATTTCTAATTTCTTAAATATTAGCATAATTAACGTATTTTGTTTAGTTTTGGGTTATGTGAATAAATACCAGTATTTAGAAAAATTAGTAAAATAGAAGTGCTCATTGGATTGCCCACATGGCACAGAAATATTAGATTATATCCATTTATTGGCATTTGCTACCATTGCAAGTATGAGTACATCTTTACTACTTCATGCGTTAGGAAGAAAGTTCTTTCTTGTACTTCTAGTAGTTCTGACTCATCGAGTGACCATCCTTCATACTCTTCCATTTTTATGCAAAATCATAATTGCATTTAATTTATAAATAGTTGAAGTACTGTCTATGCACATAGCGGGCACGCTCGCAGTAATTGCAGATTCGTCTGGTGAAATTGCATTTGCACTAATCTCTACCTCCCCCAAGAACTTTTTCTCTTTTAGAAGGGTCCATCCATAGACTTTTATTTCTATTGTGTCCACAGGAGTGAAAACTGGAAACGAAAAGCTTTCATCAAAGCAAGGAGATGCGATATCAGAAGATGCCTTTGTTATTTTAGACTCGCTGCCTACCAGTATTTCTAGGAATATGCTGGAATACACATCGGGCTCAGCTAAGTCTTTTATCTGCATGGCAAGGCCTGATATAGAGAGAGCTCCCGTCTGTATGGCCTGAAGAGAAGGACCTTTATAGTATCTGTTGTTAACATCTATGACAAAAAGCTGGCCATTAGTTAGTTTTATCTCATGCCTTCCGCTAGGCTTGAATAGATGGAACCTGCCTATAAGGAAGCCTTCTTTAACTGTAAACACTGAGATAGTCACGTCACTAAAGAAAATAAACTCACCATAAAGCTTCTTTCCAGAGCTGGGGGCACTTCTGTCAACAACAATGCCATCCTTTGAAAACTCCAGGAATATTGGATGGTTTACTCTGCATACCACAACACGCATTTGAATGAATGCGGATTTAATTGGCATTTCTTCGGGTGGAGAATTTAAATCTGATGACTCCATAGAAAGCACATGATTTATGCTGGATGCTTTCATCGGCCTTTTTTCCTTTGCTTCTTCTTCGCTAGTATTATTTTTTTCCTCACTTTCCTGGTCTATACTGACTTCGGCCTTTTTATCTTCGGGCGTGTGGTTGTAAATCTCATAATCTGTTATACTCATGTCAATTTTAGAGTCTGCAATGTATGACTCGCCATTCACCACATCGCATCCGCCATATACCTCGTCCTTTAGATATGCAACATATTTGGTTATTTCGTCCATTGACAAAAGGGGCACAAATGTGATTCCTGAGTACTCTCCAATAGCGTGCGAGAAGAATGGCTGTACAGGCACAACTCTACCAGAAGTTACCAGATAACCGGAAAACACACCCTCTGTTTCTATAGTATTGATTTTAACCATGCGCACGTGGGTATACTTCTGCATCTTTACCTTGATTCTGCAGCAGTACTCCGCAGAAAACAGAAGCTTGGCTCTTCCTGCAGGCATGTGCCAAAAGTCAAATGTTCCGTATGAAATTGATATACCTCTGCGAATGTTCACATTAAAACTTCCTAAAACTCTTTTCTTGTCAAGCGCTTCAATTGTTATTATAGCTCGCTTAGTATCTCTGGTGAAAAACACAAACTTATCATCGAATGCTGGACTTGAAACATTTCTTGCAGTTGAAGTCGTAAACACACCAAGTATTTCGTTGGCAGGAAGACTTCTCTTAGGATTTTTTTTAAGCTCCTCATCTGAGTCTGTTGAAGAATCATTTGTAACAGAAAACCCAGGACTTGCAGTATCATTTTCCTCTGGCATAAGCTCAGTTGCAGACATGTGTGTTGGATCTTTACTTTTTGTTCTTTTCTGCCGCATATACGCAGTTGCTCTAACAGAAAGATTCTTGTATGGCATGCCCATTACATCCACCATATCTATCAATTGCGCTAGCTTTACTGTCACAATAGCCGATTTTGGTGTTTCATTCTCTGATACTTTGTCAACATTTATCTTTGGATGATATAAAAAGGATACATCAATATATCCCTGTCCATTTGATAGTGGGAAGATTCCATGGGTTCTTGACTGCATGCAAATCTTCTCGATTGAAAAGGTCGTTGTTGCTATTGGCACTTTCTCATTATTTTTTTGAATAAAGATAAAGACCAAGTCGTCCATGTTTTTAATTGGTAGATATGATATATAGTTAGAATCTTCATTTTCAATTGGTGCTATGAAGTGTCCTTTTCTCCCATTTAATCCAATTGACAAAGTAAGATTGTCTTTTGCTTTTGTGTATACACGATGCACATGCACAGAAATAGCCCCCACATAGTACATTGACTTGGGCTTCAGTGCAACTGAAATTCTTTTGGGGTAAAGCACCTCTTTTTCAATGCCCATCTCAATAACTTTTTTTATTGTGCTTGCCAGTCCAGGAATGTCCATTATATCCAGCATTTTTAATGGAACAATATTGAATCCAATCATTGGCTGCTTCAAGAAAGAGAACTCAACTCCCTCTATGACACTTGCGTCGTATGTAAAGTTTAGCTTAATACGCACGCTTCCTCTAAATGACACGTTCTTCAGTGTGACTGGCATATCTATTCCGGCAGAAGATCCTCCTACCCGGATAGTGAATGTAATGTTAGAGTTCCAGGTAACATTGTTCTCTCCCGGAGTGCCTAAGCTAGAGTGCATTTCTTCAGATACAGATGGAATAAAGTGCATTGTAGCATCTATTATCAAAGACTCTCTACATGATTGTCTTATTCTAATGCCTTCTATCACCGGAGCCTGCCCCCCAAGCGTAAACCTATCCAGTCGGATATCACTAACCATTGGAACTTTAATATTCCTTAGTATTGCGCTGACTCTAAGCAGCAGTGTCTTTGAAATAGTTGATTCAACATATCTCCATGCCTTTTCAGTGACTGCATTCATCCAGTCAACCTTTTCATACTTAGACACAGTTTGCTTTCTAATTGAAAAATAAACAAACGCCTCCATGCTTCGCTTAAACTCCTTGATTCGAGAGAGAAACACAAAACCTATTGTGTACAGTAAAGGGATAATAACCCATGGCCTAAACTCAAGCCATCCCAAAACATACCCCCCAACGCCAGCAAAAAAAACTATTCCTGGTACCTTGAGAATGTTCATAAACGCAGATGGCCGGTCAAGTGCAAGCGCCTGCTCGTACTGTGCCAGACTTTTTGCATACTTCTCTGCAGATAGTTTTTCTTCTTTTAAAAGCTCATCCTCTTCAAACTGCTCGTCTGCCATTACCTATAAATGAAAACAAACAAATATTTAAGCAGAACCCATTTTTATTGTAGTATTCTAATTCTTTCTAGAAACATCTAAATACTCGACTTTATCAAGCTGTTTTCTCTGCTGTTTTTGTCAATACAATATACTAAATTAACCGGAAATAAAATATATCATTTATTATTCTATGAAATATTTCTAACCCGCTTGAAATTCTCTTTATTCTATTTAAGTATTCTCATATAACCCAAATAAACTAAAATATATCCAAGAATCTAATTTAAAGATATAAAATGTCAAAATGGTCTGCCATAAATAAAAGAGTTCCAATTTTCTCTCCATCCCCCCGTGTAAAATGATCATTTCTTTCCTTTTCTATCCAAATTATATCAAAAGAGATTGAAAGCGCTTTAGTAATAGCAATCATTTCAAGCTCTCCTGCATACTGATTAATTGCCTCTATATTTTTACTACAGTACTCCTCAATAGATGAATCAACTATAAAATCCGTAAACTCGTCTGTATGCTTTTTTATTCGCATTGATGTAATTAGTCTAAAGTATGCTACGCTATAATTCCAGAATATATTATCCAGTGCTTCAAGACCAGTAGTTTCATTATTTCCCACTGCTTTAAGCACAGACATAATTGGGTCAGAAAATTCATTTACTAAGTAGTCTTCGACCCCATCCAGAACCAGAGCATTATTAATTCTATTGAAATTTTGAATAAGCTCTGCAGCCTGTGCTGGCGTGGAGTAGTGCTCTAGCATTAAAAAGATTATTGAATAATAGAAGCAGTTGCCATCTCTTTTTATAAGTCTGACCTTTGAATCTGCGACAGGAAGTGCACTAATGCCCATGTATAACGGGGTTTCTTTGTAATTTTCTATAATTCCATTCAGTTCCAGTGGTTTTCCGACATAGCTATCATCAGCTGTGTTTGTATCCATAATATTTGAATGGAATTAATTTATTTATATACTATGCCTCTAAGACAACCCAAAAGAATGCAAAAGGAGGAAAATCTCTATATTAGTGAGGAGGATCGAATTCATCTGGAGTCTCTTCCGGAAACGGTAAGAGAGCGCATTCTGTACGAAAGACATCTGAAAAAAACCGAAGATAACGAAAAAAGAGAGCTAAAGCACAGAACCAACCGGCTAATTGAAGAAGAAACAGAAAGTGAGAGCGAAGAAGATATAGTGCAGAAAAGGGATAAAATTAGATCTTTTAAACAGAGTAGACCTGTGTCTTTTGACATGTTTAAGTGCACAGTTCTATGCAGAAACACTTTTGTGAGTAATATGTATAAGAGAACATTTAAGCTACTTAATGGATACTATGTGAAGATTCGGTTAGAAGAGGGATACCATATATACAGAATATCTAAGATATACGAGGGGAAGAGATATGAAATAGATGGTAAAGTAACAAATTACTGGATGCAGCTAGAAAGAACTGGTGATAAAAAGGAGGTGAACATACAAAGTATAAGTAATAAAGCTATTACTAAGAGTGAGTATAGCAAGTATATAAACGAGAACACAGTTCCTGGAGGAGACAAATCACTCCAACAGATGCATAATAAGCTAATTAAATCTTTGGAAAGCCGAATGTCTGAAGCAGAGCAGGACTATTCTCTTGGGCAGATGCGAAGATTTTCAAAGGACCAAAGAATTGCTGCAAAAAGAAGAGTTGAGTTAAAAGTGCGCTTGGAGAAGGCAAAGAGCGAGAATAATCTAGAGGAAGTTGATGAAATAGAAAAAGAACTTCATGAATTAGCAGAGCCATCAGAGGCGTGTGGAGCATAGATGGCTGCGATAGTTAATAAACTGTGCACCACAAATAATCTCTTTTCTATTTATGGTCTATGCTTGAAAAATCTCATGACAGTTGGTATATATTTCTAGGCCTGTCTAAATAACCGTATTTATTGGATCTGTCTGGTAGAGAGCATGCCTGTTTCTATCCGTAGTATAAGCTAGGAGTGAAAACAATTCCTCTTTTTAGTTTTTCATTTACTGCCTCAACTTCTTGGGATAACCTTGGATTTCCAAGTATTCTGGCTGCTATTATTAATTCTGTGCAGATTTCAGTTGCTTTTCGAATATACTTTACAATGACCCCTTCCGAAAGTGGGGAGGCATCAATTATCTCTGCTAGTGTTTTATCGTTAAGCCAGAGCGCCAGCTCCCCGCAGAATGCATGGTTTGGATTCTCCATTTTTATTCTATATGCTCTGTATACTGGCTTTAGTTCAGATACTATCTCATTTATTATTAATAGAGAAGGCATGAGAATCTTTATCTGCTCTGTGCGCGGCTCTTCTCTTGGATGTTCTGCCTCTTCTTTTAGCTGGTGCTTTTCAAAGAAGGTCAGCCCAACCAGCCCTATTATAAGCTCATGTGTCTTCATATTAGCAATTTGCGGAGAAAGAAGAACCTCTGTTGTAAGCACGCACTCTATAGAATTAAATTCATATGCAATTTTCCCTTTTAATGTAATATTATTTAGTCCATCTATATATCCTAGAGTTCGTAAGAAAATAATGTAGTTAAAGTAGTTGTTGCACTTTAACCCTGAGGTATTTGTTGATGCAAACTGCCTATCGATATTTTCTATCTCTGACCTCAGCAAGTATTCTTTTAAGTATCCTGGGTAGTGATCCAGGAAGTTGCTGCACTGAAGACATTTAAATCCCTCTAAATAATTCCACTCTGCGATTGCATCTGATTGTGCTTTGTGCAGCTTAAAGTCTTTTGTGGGAATTGCCGCCGGCTTCTTTGATTCCTTGTCAAGCACTAAAATAGGCCGAATGTCCTGAATGGATTCATTTTCAGGCGCTTCTCTTTGGACTGCCTCTATCATATAGTGGGGAGTAGTACTTAGAATCTTCTTTAATTCTGTTTGAACTATAGTATAGTTATGGGTTTTAGGTAGTTGAATGGACTTATATACTTCTTCTAAGTGGCCTAGGGCTTTCTGGTATTTTTCTACATACACCAAGGCATCTGTGCACTGTTCACATGACATAACAGAGTGGAGTAATTCTGTTTTTAGTGCGATCTGGTGGTGTATTAATTTACGTATTTTTTGCTCTATCTTAGACTTTCCAAAACTAAATCTCACCATTTCTTCAATGGATACACTTTTAACTCTAAGCAGCTTGAGGATCATTCTGGCTGTAATATAGAAGTTGCTTTCTATTGCCATTGAAGTTCCTGTTTGTAGCTTTACAAGAAGTGACTCTGGTAGTATTTCCTGACCAGAACATTCGATGATTGATGTTCCTTTTATATCATATCCTCTTCTTCCAGCCCTTCCTGCCATTTGTGTGTATTCACCCACGCTAATGTCTACATACGATCTTGTTTCTGGGCTATACTTTTTTGTAGTTCGAATTACAACGGTACGTGCAGGCATGTTTAGCCCCATTGCAAGTGTTTCTGTTGAGAACAAAACACGCAGGGCGCCCGTTGTAAAAAGCATTTCTATAATTTCTTTAAGAATAGGAAGCAGCCCAGAGTGATGCATGCCTACTCCTCTAATTAGACTTGGGATCACAAATGTTATCTGCGGAAGAGCTCTGTCTGCTTTAGGCAACTTTAGAAGAGCATCTGATATAAACCCTCTTATTAGCGACTTCTCCTCTGCTGTTGTCAGATCAAGCGAGTCGCACATGGAAAATGACTGCTCTATACGGGACTTTGAAAAGTCGAAAAATACAATCGGCGCCAAGTTTCTCTGTATTAAGTCTCTTGCTATATGAATGGGCGTCTCTAAGATAGTTGGTGCCTTTTTCTTTGCCTCGACCGTTTTTTTCTGTAGTGCTGGTATAGTTCGCTGTTTTTCTTTAAATATCTCAACGGCTCCCTTATTTTTTGCTTTTAAATACTCCTCCTGATTAAATTTATGGTTTTGTGTGAGCATGTACAGCTCCTTTCGGAAATAGATCCCATGCTCCAGCTCTACCGCTCTTTTTTCTGTTCCTATAAGATACATCTCTTTGTTTTTTATTGTACTTATCCATCCACACATATCTTTTGCATTTGGGCTGGTAGCACTCAGAAAAATAAGACTAATATGTCTGGGCAGCATAATTATAACTTCTTCCCAAACAACTCCTCTTTCTTTGTCCCCAAGATAGTGTATTTCATCAAAAACAATAAACTCAACGTCATCAAGTATCGTACTTCCTCTGTAAAGCATATTTCTTAGTATCTCTGTTGTCATAACTAGACACTTGGCAGTGCTGTTAATCTGCGCATCCCCAGTTAATATTCCCACACTGCTAAACTTCTGAGAAAATTCCCTGTATTTCTGATTGCTTAGCGCTTTAATTGGAGACGTATATATCATTCGTGTATCGTGTAGTTCTGCTATGTAACTTGCATACTCTGCTATAAGGGTCTTACCAGAGCTTGTATGGGCTGTTACAAATATGCTCTGACTTTTGTTAATATAGTAAAAACATTGCTTCTGGAAGTTGTCCGGTTCAAATGATATGTGCGGATAATCCGGCGTACACTTGCTGTAATCTAACGGTATTTTGTTATTTTTAATTACAATAACACCTGATACTTCTTCTTGCTTTATTTCTAGATTTTCTTCTGGCTTGGTGTTTGTTATTTCATACTCCTCAGTAAACCATGGCCTAGTTAGCGGCGGAATTTCAACTGTGGCTATAGTTCTACTTGCAAGCATTTTTAGCTCATTCCTATTTAATGTATTCATAAAAAATTATCGTCTAAAATTTTAATAATTATGTCACAGTGGTCTAGAAGAAAGACTGGCGGACTGCCAGTACGAAACTTATCACTTCCAATATTTTTTGGCGGCATTTCTGATGAAAACCAGGCGGCAGAGATAAAAGAAGCCTTGAATAACACCAGGCTGTGCAATTTAACCAAAACTAGAACAATTAATCTTAGCTGTCTAGCAATAAAAAACATTCCAATTACTCCACTACTATCCGTACTTAAAGAAGACCAGCTTCCACTAAATGAACAGGTAGACTATGAAACAGTGTTTAGTGAGATAAATATTATACTAAATCTTGAAGGAAACTTGATTGAGACCCTTCCTTTAGATCTATTCACCGCCACACACATTCATGCTATACTTCTTCGGTCTAACAAACTTAGAACTGTCCCCAGTAGTATAGGAAATCTGGTGCGACTGCATACATTGACTCTATCAAATAATCCAATTGAATATCTGCCTATTGAAATACTTTACTTACCCATTATGCTATTCACTATATGCAATAAACACTTTTTATCTGCTGAAGAGATTGATAGAAGAAATGCTCTGATTGCTTTTGATGACACAACTTTGAATGAGCTATGCTTAAAAACCGTGGTGTCTGGTGACATGCCAAACATCTCTCCATCAATTAAAAAGCAGCATTTTATATGCTATGGATGTAAACTACTAACCACAAGTAGAAATATAATATTTAAGCTAATTGCATATAAAGGCCATACGATTCCATTTTCCATGCGGGTTTGTTCTTTAAACTGCAAAGAAAAGTGCTTATACAATGAGTCTGACTCTGCGACAGCTTAACAAGAGTAAGAGTACTCATTAAAATGGCTGTAACTTATCTAAATCGGACAGAAAAGCTAAATAACCCAAAATTGTACTCTTTGGATTTAAATTTTAATAATTGTAGTAAACACTCTGCACATTGTCTAAAATTAAAAATCATAAAAGATCTTTTTAGAACAAATTTGTTATGAGAATCTTACAGATTTATCCTACAAATTAGTCTATCTAATATAAAGAATCGGCCTTAAAAGCAGAAAGTAACCCGAATAACCACTAGCTATAAAAGAATCTTATAACTATACATCCTTCTATACCCAGAAATTCACATAAAGTACAATTATGCGCACGCAATAAATATACCATTACCAATTACTTTACAATATATTCTAAACTATATTAGTATCTTACTTTACTGTAAATCTCATAAAGTATCTTACACTTCCCCTATAATTGGAAAGACAAATACGCATTTTTGAAATTTCAGGGTGTTTTTATGCTAATAAACACATTAGTCCTGAAAAATATTTTGAAGTATTCATACCATATGGTATTTAAGTAATATTTAGGAATACAAATATATTTTCTTATTTCTTTACATTCTTTCTATTTTTCTTTCTTCCTAATATTTTTATAGAAAAAAGAATTTATAATTCGAGCTTTATAGGCACAAACTTTGTTCAATTAAAATTTCTTAATTTTTAATTATATGCTAAAAATAAAGCTATCTTAAAAAGCTCTGATTACACATTTTATATTAGAATATTTAACATAATGCGTCAAATAAAATATTTTTTATACGCATGAAATGAGGAAGATAAGAATTTTTTCCAGATTTAAAGAGAATTCTCATAAAACCATAAAAAAGGCGCCAGAAATAGCATCCCCTCTTAAAAAAGACTCTGAGAAGTTTTGCATCTGCCGAGGATGCAGATATAATTCTATAAAGCCATCTTATAGCTATAATTTGCTATATATTAATCCAAGAGTTTCAAATTTATACGAAAACCACCTTTACTTCTATGGCCCCTTTTCAGTCCTTCCTTTCTACTACATGCACCTATACAATGGATTTCATGTGAAGAGAAATTCTCCAGATTATTTTAGATCGTTTGGTGGCGTCTCTATCTTGATTCTAACACTGTTTATCCTTTCCCATGCCATTCCCTATGTATTTAAGTATCCAGAAGCCTCTGTTCTCCTTATAACACTTGTTTGCTGTCTTCACTCTTCTATTTTCATCCAGATACTATTTATATTTGTTGTATATACTTTTTATACATTATTTTCAATATATGTATATTCTATTCTAATTCCAATTTCCTCTGATACTGGATACCTTATATGCCTTAGTGCTCTATTTATGTTATTATTCATATTCTTTGTACAAACATCCCACCTCCCTCTTACTAGAAGATAATACCTAGACACAGTCAAAAACTTCAATATAATAGTTTGGTTTATCTAATACACATATTTTACTTAGGTACTTTTGCAATTTCAGTGTTTAATTAAATCGTGTAAGGCATAAATAATATTTTATTTTAATAAATAATGCTTATATTACAAATCTTAACTGAATTTTCTATAACAGCGATGATCTTTTATATTTCTGGGATTATATTTTTCGTATTTTTCTCTGTAGTGAATGCTAAGTAAATTTATACAGAAAAAGGAGAAGACCGAATGTTTTACATTAAATGAGCCAACTGATGAAATAATTGAGGCAAGTAACAAACATGTGGGCGCGCATCTGTCTATCCAAGGGGGAATCGACCTTATCTTTGAAAAGCTCAAAGGAATAAAGGCGTATGCAGCTGGGTTTTTTCTAAAATCACAAAGAACTTTTAATGCAAAGCCATATACATCAGAGACTATCCGAGCATTCAGAAATGCAAACACACATGAAAAATTACTACCACACGGCTCTTATCTGATAAATTTGGCCCAGCCCGATAAAGAAAAGGCGGATAGATCATATAACCTATTCTTAGACGAGCTGGTCCGGTGTGATCAGTTAGGAATTCCATTGTGCAATATACACCCCGGTAGTAATGTTGGCAAGCTTCCAATTGAAGCTGCATGTATGCTCATATCTGATAATATAAATAAAGCGCACAAAGTAACACAATCGGTTGTTGTTGTAATAGAAAACATGGCAGGGCAGGGAAATACAGTTGGATCTAAGTTTAAAGAACTAAAACTAATAATTGATGGGGTTGAAAATAAAGATAGAATTGGTGTATGCTTAGATACCTGCCACCTCTTTGGCGCTGGATATGACATTACCACCAAGGAGAAGTTTAAAAAAGTTATGGAAGATTTTGACAGAACAGTTGGTCTAGAGTACTTAAAGGGCGTGCATCTGAACGATAGTAAAGAACCTCTGGGGAGCAAGAGAGACAGGCACGAGTGTATTGGAAAGGGCCTAATTGGTTTAGAAGCATTCTCCTATATTATGAATAGCTCGATCTTTAATGAGATTCCAATGATACTTGAGACTCCTGATCCAGACAAGTATGCAGCTGAAATAAAGCTTCTCTATTCTTTAATTGAGAGCAAATAAAAATATTTGTTGCTATTCAGTATTATAGAGTTTGAAGATCATTTTATTTCTGATTATTCTCTTAATTGTTTTAAATGTGCGCGCACCAGTTGTTTACTGCACTTAATGTGTCAATTATTAGGTTATATTGTAAATATTTGTGTTTTGTTTACTAGATTCATCTATTCGTATAAATATCTATTGTTTTGTTGATTTTGCAATGACAGAAAGGGATAACGAGAGAAGCACCCAATCAAGCAATCTATCAATCCTTCGATTTATAAAAAAGGTTGGAAAGAAGGCAATTAAAATACCCAAAAGCACCTATAAAAAGGTCAAGAAAGGTGTTAAGTATATAGCCAAAAAAACTATTTCCGTCTTTAAAAAATCAAAGAAAACTAGAAAACCTGAAAACTCTGATGGTTCTCCTGAGTCAAATGGAAGTGGTAATGAGATGTCTTTGGAAAAGCATGGCTCTAGCAAGAAATCACTTTCTCGTGGGCCTTTAAAAAACACTCGGCGAATCCACCCTTCTCATGCAATGCAAAGTAAACATGTCATTGTTGACATAATTAATGATGCATGCTGCTATATAAATGCAATAGAGAAGATTGTTAGAAACAATCTAACACACTCAATAGACTCTCGAACACCATTAGCCATACTTGAATACATGCGGGAAAACAATCTAGAGATATCTACTGCAGTTGAGGCTATTGAACAAAAGCACATAGATAGAATTCTTAAAGAAAAAGATAGTCCCTCAGAAACTGTTTCTCGAAGAATGCCCACCAATATAAGAACAAAGAACTGTATTTTAGAAGAATTGCAGCCTACAATCTACCTAAAATACCTGTTTGCACACAGCCCAGTGCTTCGCAAGAGTTATACTGGTCTGTATAATACTTTGCAGTATGCACTGACTGTGAGAGCACCACGAACTACCCATGTAGTAAATGATGTGTTTTTATATCTTGAGGTGGTTAAGCAAGTTAAACTACATATAATTGAAAAAGTGTCAAAGTTAAAGAGAGCAAGTTGCAACTTTGTTCTCTATTCCTGCAAAACCACTTCTTCTTATATAGAATAGTTTTTGCTACATCGATATAAATAGATCCAGTGTTTGTATTTCGGATTTGGTCGGCATTTGGCTATAATCACAGTATATAAATTCTGATTTGTTTTTTGTCTTTTCTTTAATTTATTTTAAATGTGTATACCTCCATATAATATGTTTAGGCTTTTAAAATAAACGCAATTATTTAATATTTATATAGAACCAAGATATACAGAAAACAGATGAATCCATCCAAACATACATAAATAGCAACAAAACCACAACACACACGTAAATGTATAATAGAAAAATCGGCACTCTGCATATACTGTGTTATAAATTAATCTGGCATACTTTAATATATCATCTATTTTAGAAACAGGCATTATTCTTCTAAGTAGTTTGGAAGCCGTTAGTAGAGCTAGAATTACTATGCTCTAAACGAAAAAGGAATTAAAAATAATAGAGTAATCATTTAATTATGTAAAAAGAACCAAAACATGCACTAATAGAAGAGTTAACTGATAACAGTGCCGCAGAGTATTCTTTTATTATAAACCAGCTATCTGAGCTCTAGATATTTATAGTTTGATTAACAAATAATGATCATTCTAGTTACATTATGATATCTATAGATATATAACTGGGCAGCACTTATTGGCCTAAACAAAGAATTCTCATTCGTATTATTTAAATTCATATGACTGCTTAATAAATAAAGTGACTTTGTATTTCATATATGGTTCTTTTTTCTTTGAAAGGGATTTTGCACTTTATGATTGCTACTATAAAACAACTCTTACTTAAATCTACTGCGGTATTAAGAAAGAATGCATACTTAATACAGATTCTATTTATTTTTAATTATACCGCAAAATTCTTTAATGGATTTAAACAGTACACTCTCACAGAAACTACTAGAGTTCCATCGGGCGATTTCAAACGAGTATCATTCTCTTCTGGAATATTTCAATTTATACATATACGGCTATGGATATAAGATAGATTTAGTAAAAGAACTGTTTCCAGATATTTTTATAATTGACTTTCAAGAAGGTGAGAGCGTAGTAACTACAAGGAATCTATATGAATATTATGAACTAGAGCCAGTAGAAACTGAATTAAAACAAGCATTGCGCCATATAAATGCACTTCTTACAAGAGAAAAGGCCAAACCAATTGCGATTATGAATCTGCGAAAGGACGTACTTGATAGAACAGAAAACTTAAAGATGATTGTTATCCAGCACAGAGAGCTGTATCTTTCCTTTGATGAGCTTTTGCAGTATAATTTTGTGATGAGAGACTTTACAACCTTCATAGCAGAAGAAAAGAAACGGCCGGGTATTTCCACACGAATTGATGAAACATTAAATGTGTACGACTGTGTGGGCGTGCTCAGTAAAAAGATATTTAAATTGGCTCTAAAAGCGGCTGCTACCAGGATAGAGTTTTCTCTTCGAGATATTTTCAACAAAGAGAAGAAAAAGCTGCTGATTGTTAATTATAGCGCGTTTAGAGAGGCTCTTTCTGCATTTATAGACTCTAACATTCTTGTAGAGAAAAATGGGGTAGCCAAGCTGACCCTAACAAAGAAAGAGCTTTCTGAGATAATTGGTATTTTAGATGGAGACAGTAAATAACCCGAAAAAGCCAAACTGAAAATATAAATTTAACTAATAACAGAACACTATTTATTTACGGGCATCTTTTAAGAAATATTCTTATATTATCAACCAAGACAGGGGATTTCTTTTTAAGCCCTGCTATTATGTAGGAATCAAGCCTTTTTCTGAGATCAGCCAGTTCGGAAAATGGCATTTTTTTAGAACAGACAGCTAAAAACCTCCATATAAGCGGGTGTGGTATTTTTAAAAACATTCTGGAAATACATCCAGGAGTAAGAAGTCCCGGGATAAGTTTGCATATGCCAAAGAGCAGGTCTGGATTTTCTTTCTTGAATATAACTAGAAGAATGTGCCCAATTAAAATTCCAGTTGTATTAGAAATAAACAGACTGGCCAAAACTTCTGGCTTTAGCGTTAGTGACGGAAGGGTCTCTTTTATAATAGGAACCAGCTTACTCACATAATCACAGAGATCTGATGTGTAATAAATATATCGAATCCTATCTATAAGAATAGATACAATTGTGCTTGAGTATTGCTTCCTCTCTTCTGGCCGAGTAAACAGAAGCTTGTCAACTAGCTCTATCCCCTTGTCCATGTTGAATAGATCTTCTCCTATTTCTTTAAGCTTTTCTATAATAGCTTCTGTATCTACTTTGTTAGTTCCAATAGAGTCTGCATCTTTATCCTCTGTAGAAGCAGGCTCATCTATGAACAGTTCTGAAATGTTTAAAATATCATATATTTCTTCTATTTTTCCTCGAGAGATTAACTTTTTAATGAATACTTGGCTATTTTCGCCTTCATCCTTTGTGGTTATTGTTTTCTTAGTTGACTTTCTAATTGCCATTCCAAGAACGCCCTCAAATAGCCGTTCCTCCTCTGAAGCCTCTTTTTTTCGGAGCTCTGGTCTGGGAACTCTTTCTTTGGTATAAAAGTCTGGACAGACGCGTTCTTTCTTCTTAAGAGTTCTCTCAAACAGAAAGGCGACAAAGTCTTTCTCTTTCTGTGTCATAAAATTATCGTAAGATATCTTTCTGTGTGCAAAATCTTCCCTTCGGATTCCATTATGCCGCAGTTTTCCCTTCATATAAAAATATTTCTACCAAAGGCTTTCTAATATGTGGGCAAATATCTTTCTATTTAAGTAAAAATACTCTATTCTCTATTGCAAGCGGCTTTCTCCTTAAGAAGCCTGTTGTACTCCTCCTCAGATGCTCTATAGTCCATTTGGTATGGGCATGCTCTTTTTATCCGTTTTTTTTGCTGGACTAGCCCGTCGATTGTAGTGCGCCCGTCTTTATTCTTGCCAAGTCCTTCATTTGTATTCCAACCCATATTTAGAAGTATAGAATATCCTATACTCTTCTTAAGACTGGTCGATACGTTGTTAAGTAGCATGCTTTCTCTTTCTCTTTTTTTTTCTTGGCTTCGTCTAACAAACTGCATATAGAAAGGCTCTTGTCTTCTCATTGAAAATTATTTTACCATGGCATATGGATTATTAAGAAGCTCTGATGAAATGGTTGGTAGCGCAGAAAAGCGTATAAAACGAGAAAGAACTGCAGAAGCAATGCTAGCGCAGAGTGAGCGAGTGATTATTGTTCCATTAGTTAGTATGGATAAGTTGGAGATGGCAATAGGCACATTTGGCCCATTCTTCCCCATGGCGCCAGCTACAGTTCCTTTATATGTAGCACTATTCTTAAGACACTCTCTTCTATGCACAATACAGCCACCAGACTGGCTGTGCATAAAATACTTGCAGAAAACAATTGATTTAGAGGAAACTTCCCCCGATGAATTTGCACCAGTTAGCATGTACATATTTGATAATGCAGAGACATGTTTAGATAGCTGTGACATAACTGAAAATATTGGAGAGATTAAAATACTCATAAAGAAGCTTAAAGAGCTCAGAATAAAAAAGCTCTTAAAAGGAGTAGAATTTATAGACACCCCCGTAATAGGAATGAACAATCTTACATTCTATGAATTTAGAAAAATAAAGGAATATATCTTACCACATATGGCTATACAACGAGATTTGGCAGATGAAACTGAATAGCAGCGCATTAATGCAAATCTAATAAGATGCACATATAGACGTAAGTAAGTATTAAAATATGCCTAAATGCACTGCTTCTAATCGAAACTTCTGTATTTAGGGTTATTTATGCCTAAGAAATCTCTGGCTAATTCTATATATACTCCTAGGTTGTTTGTGCATTATACACGCATATATCCTGTTGTATAAGACAAAATTAGTTGCTTTTGATTCTCACCCTAATATATAATAGAAATATTCCAGGAGTATACAATGCATCTTATCTTATTTTTATAGTTAAAAAGAAAATTCGATTAATACTAGATTCAATTTAAGAACAAAAGCAAACACTTAATTTAAATAAATCTAATGAAATTGTACAGTTGTTATTATTTCTATTACATGTGATTCCTATTGTTTTCCCTCGAAATGTACTATTAGGATTATTTCTACCTTTCTGATGTATCTGGTTCGTAGTCTGAAAATGATAGATTTGCAAAGAAAGAAGAAGCCTCAGGCCGGGCAGTGAATACGCTCTTTGTCTTTTTCTTTGCAAAAAGAGTGCTAAAGTCCTTTCTGTCCTTTGAGTCGCTCTCTGAGTCTGATGATTCTTTAAGTTTTTTGGTCTCTTTTGCTTGCGCCTGCTTTGCCATTTCTTTCTTGATATCAACCAGTTCTCCCTTGCTCTTTCTTTTACCGGACTGCTTAGCAGGTGCAGGCGCTTTATCTTTTGGTGCTGCTTGTAAAGCATCGGATTTTTTTGTTGCCCTTTTAACCGCCGGTGTTTTATCCTTCTTAACAACTTCCCTCTTAGGTGCATTCTCATTTATTCGCGCATTCTCATAGCTTTCTTCATCATTTTGTGCAGTTTCATTTGCTTGCGTATTGATTACAGCCGGCTTCTCTGGCATTATATCGGGTTGGCTTATTGCAGGTTTTGTTTCCTTTAGAAGAGTTCTTATGCTGGCAGAAGTATCTGTACGTTTACTCTGCTCTATCTGCGCAGGGGATCCTGCTTTGGGTAGAGTTATCATTGTATATTCCATCTGTTTAGAAAATAAAGACTCGAGTCTTTGAATAGTATTCTGCAATATTTCTATTGTTTTGTTTTTTTCCTCCACCTTTGCTTTACTTATTTCACTTTCAATTTTTAGCCGGTTTATCTCTTCATTAATTGATGCTGTGCACTCTGGAGTGGTTTTTATCCTTTCTTCTAGCTCTAAAACCTTTCTCTTTAAATCTCTTTCTTTCTCATATGTCTCTTCTTCCTTCTGATCTTTTAGCCTTTTTACTTCTTTCAAAGCCTGTTCAAACTGTGCTATTTCCTGCTCTTTCTCTTCAATTTTCTTTTCTCTTTTGGATAACTCGGCCTGCACTGCTGCTATTTCCTTAGAAAGTAGTTCTGCCCTTTCTATTTCTTTGTTTTTACTATCAATTTCCTTTTTTAGCTCATTTTCTTTTTGGGAAACTGCCTTTTCTTTCTCTTTTAGATCAAAAATTAGCTGTTTCTCCTTTATTTTGATATTTTCTATCTCTTCTTTTCGCTTTTGGCTTTCTTCTATTTCCTGATCAGCCCGAACCTTAAAAGACTCCAATGCGCCCTGCAGCTCTTTTAGCTGCTTTTCCATTTCTTTCTTTGTTTTTAATGTTTCTTTGAGCTGCTTTTCTTTTTCTTCAGTCTCTTTCTTTTTTACTTGCACTTCATTCTCTGCCTCTTGTCTTGCCTCTTTCTCCTGCTCCAGCTGCTCGATCTCCTCTTTTAATGTCTGCTTGTCCTTTTCAATCGCCTCCTGCTCAATAATCAGAAGCCGGATTATTTCATTATTGATTTTGCTTTCTATTTCGTTATACCTTCTTTCTTGCTCTGCTGTCTTCTTAAACAGCTCTTCGTATATTTGCTGACTATCCTTCCCAACAAACTGAGACGTATCCATATGTTTTCTGCAAAAATAATATTATTTTGTAAATGTGGTCAGAGGGTACTATAAATGACAGAAATTTGCATGAGCCTCCTGAAACTGTCACAGGGACATATTTAATATCTGACAAAGACTTTCCTTATGACATTGACAAAATACAGTTTAGATATAGCTACCGAAAGGACACAATAAGCATTTTAAACATAAACAACAGAGCAATTGAATTGAATGTTTCGGTTGGCTATATCCGACTAAGAGACAGAATGACATACAAAGAGTATGCAGAGATGGTTTTCCAGCAAATAGAAAGTATTCTTTCTGGCAAGCCTGTTGTGGAGTTGGAAATATCTCGAAAAGAAAAAGTAATTGAGCCTTTAGATCTAGCAGACACTCCTATTAGGGAAGGGAATTATATTTCATTTGAGTATACAGCCAAGCACATCCTGGCGTTCAAGGCAAATATGGTCTGTCTTTCTATATTCTGCAAGAGGTGCAGCACTTTAAATATAAAAACAATAGGCGGGGATGGACTGGATATAAAGAAAAATACCAAAACACGATTTAACTGTATTAAATGCACAGTTCAGATGAGCATTGATAGCACTTTTCATTTAATTCTGCCTAGCGGTGAGAACAGTAAGAATTTAATGCGCATAGAGTGCACTGGTATATATAATGTATCCATACGGGCCCTTTCGGTAAACTGCGTATGCAGTGAGTGCAGCACAGCCCATCTGATCGAGCTAAACAAGAAACTGCCCTGTGGCTGTGGATGCTTACTAGAAATCGCACAGGACAAATCAATGCCATTTAAAGAAGTGATCTGCCGTGCTGCATCCACAGCCAAAATGCCTGCAAAAGGCGATGTTCCGTCTCTTTTAAAAACTGGAGGAACCTGTGCGCACTATAAAAAATCAAGTAGAATATTCATATTTCCGTGCTGCAATACAAGGTATGCGTGCGATATATGCCACAACAAACATGAGTCACACCCAGCAGTACTTGCTACACGGATGATATGCGGCAAGTGTGGAATTGAAGGTCCAGTTAGTCCGGTGTGCGGAAGCAGTGTGTGCAAAGCATCCCTTACAGGAAAATCCTCTGCATTCTGGGAGGGGGGCAAAGGCTCTCGAAATAAAGTAACAATGTCTAGAAAAGACTCTAAAAAATACTCCAGGTAGGGCAAAATCGCCCTATTCTATATATTTACATCCTTTCCCAGGAGAACTAGCTATGCATTACTTATATACTTATTCATATTCTATAAGAAATAAAGTATTTGTGGCATGCCAATGTCTTATATGTTTTTTAGCTATTTCTTGTAGATTCATTTCTGGATTATGCCGTGCTATGTACCAAAATTTAGTTTTGTATAAACAATTTTATAGATACCAGTGGTGCTTTATATATTTTTAAATAAATACGTATTAGTTAGGTGGGATTCAGAAGGGGTTATAAATAATTATAAAATGGTTTAGAATTAAAATATGTAAAGAATATTTAATTTTATATTTTAATATCCACGTATAAATTACAAATTATATGAAAGTACATTCTTGATTAAATACAAAAACACATTATTATACAATACATTTATATTATAGCAAATAGACACAAATCTAATGTTCTATAGAGTGTAAGTATGAATCAATATTTTACGAGTTATTTATAATTTAGACCTAATGTATATCTGTCAGTTACAGTTATTTGAATACTTAGAAATTCAAAGTTATTATTATAACCAAAGTGTCTCAATTGCCATAAAACACGCTATTATATAAGTGATATAGCGTGCTATAGCAACTATATCATAATACAAGTTCAGGAGATAGATCTGTGCTTATAAAATCTCTTGGCATCGTATATGAACATGAATCTGTATATTTTTATATTTACAGAATTTTTCTAGAAATAGAATAAAGTACTGGCTATACATATTTTCCATGCTTGAAGAAATAAAAATATAGTCATATTTTTGCTTATTAATTAATCGGATACATACGCTTACTAAAAATGCATTGTCATCCAGGTGTTTCAATACTTTTTTAACTCTGCACATGTCCAGATTGGTTGTATTTATAATAGGCAGCAAATCACTGCTTTTCTGTAGAAAAACTCTATTTCCACTGGTTGATTCAATTTTTTTAATAAACTCAGCCTCCTCTATAAAAAATACCCTCTGGTCTCTTTCCATATAAAACTTTTCTCTTTCTTTTTAGCTTTATTTTATTTCATTTATCATTACAGTATTTCTTCAGCCTCCTTTTCCCGAAATAACACTTTCTTAGATGTAGGTGCAACAGGGATTATTTGACTCATTCGACCAGGCAGTGGGGATAGGACGTACTTTATAGAAGGAGAGTCATCTGATTGCCTTTCGCTCTTTGGGGTACTTGTTGTTTTGATTGTAAGATTCTTAAGTATACTAGGCAGCAGTATATTATATGTTCTGACAATTAGATTCTTAATTATTTCCTCTATGCTAATCCGTATTTTTCTGCTTTCCTCAATATAAAAAGGGCGCACAAAGCCAAGTGCCCGGTATATTTCATGTATTTTTCGCACAGTCATGTTTCTTCTGTAGACCTTTAGTGATACGTAAGTAAATCCTATAATAAGAATTTCTGCAGAGAAGTCTTTAAAATATCCCAGAGACTCTTCTTTCTGCAGGAAGATTTGTAGTATATTTACAGTGTACACCTCAACTTTTTTTGAGGCGGATATTTCTCTCATAAATCTATTAATTAGCGCATGCATAATTAACACAAATTTTCTATCTATAACTCTTTTCTCATAATTTTCATTTGCTCGATCTTCTGAGGACAGTCCATCTTTCTTATCCCCATTTTTCTCTATTAAAAAGTCTATGTCACACAGCTCAATTGGTCGGCGGTTATTATAAAATCTCTCTTTATAGTAAAGATTTAAAAAGTATGCCATTTCATATGATCTATAATAACTGTCGGCAATCACATTATTTTTCATTTTCATAAACATTTTAAACACCGGCTGTAATACCTGATACGAGAATCTGTCCCTAAAGAATGCATACCTCCCGCGCACTTCCTCATTTGTAAGCACTCTCATGAGCAGTTTATACTGCGCATACTCTACCTGCGTGAACTTGTTCATTCTTCTGAATCTGGCTATCTCGCGGACTATTTCTTCTAAGTCTAAATAAAACTCATCCGGCACGGACAGATCTGGTACCTGCGAAAATGAGAACATTTTGGGAATGTTTTCAATTACAGGCCAGAATAGCTCGCTTACTCGCATGTCTAATATATCACTCTCGTTTACTGTGATAGGCTCTTTCCTAGTCACAGCCCTTCGTATCCGCTTTTGTATCGTTAACTACCCCGGCAATATGCAAAGATGTAATATAAAGTCTTTTTATGGTTAGACTTGGATTGATTTTTAATATTCCTTCAAAGAATTCGTTGAATGGTTCTGTTACACCAAAGCTATCGTATGTCATTGCTTTGTTTCTGGCTGCGTACATTTCCAGCCAAGCGTATCTTTTCTTCTCATTCATCACTATTTGTTTATTAGAATAATATTTATATTAACAATTCGATTGTTCATATATGTCATGCAGTCTTATTTAATTTGTCTATTTTGGGTAATAGACTAGACTAATTTGTTTAGTGGAATATTAATTGTATTTTTATTGACATAAATATATTTTTATAGCAGATAAATACTGATCTATTAATGCATTAATCCTAATAGAATTATAAAGATAAATTCATAAATAAAAACAAAAAGATCTAGAAAGTATGCAGAAGACAGATCAGCATAGAATAATTAAAGAAAACCAAGTGTGCAGCGGGGAGCTAATTATATAACAGACTAGTCAGAAAGAGCAGAACTATAATGTATATACATAGTATTTTACAAATTACCGCCATTTATTAGTATATTAAATTTCGGATTATATCTATTTAGGAATATATGCATAATGAATTAGCAAGCCTTCGGGTTATTTCGGAATATAACAAAATCACTACAAAGCAAAACAAGACCAAATACATAGGATATTGCGTAAAATAGTATCTAAATTAGAAGAGTCCTCTTTAAACTAGAATTTTAGGGCATATTCTGGATTATGTATAAAAGAACTTTTCTTTTATACCGTATAGAACGCATGCTCTGCATTGAAAATAGGATATTTTTCGCTTTTTATATTACTGTGCGAGTTATTTTAATAATACTATAAAATATAATTATACTTGGTATGTTATAATACAGAGTGTATAGAACCAGGTCTATACTATAAAAAGTAGAATATTCTATAACTCAAAATTAAGGCAGACATATTTATGCACTTAATGTAATGCAGGAGAGCTCCTTGCCTAAGTATGCCTTTGGTTGGTTTTAAATATAACTGCCTTACATTGCAACTTATTTATAAGAATAGAATTGTTATACTTTTAGAGTTTTTGGATTATATTTCTGGCTAAACTATAAGTGCATTGTTTAGAGTCTATTGATTATATACACCCATATACAGGCATAGTGTTTAATTTGCCTGTATTTAGACAGACATTAATTACCTTTTGTCACATGGGGGCCAATTATACCGAATTAGGAAATATCGGAAGTACATCCAGAAAAGGGAATATTACAAACAAACTATAGTTTTAATTAAAACTAAATGAAATATAGAAATTAAAGAATGTCAAAGAATTTCGGGTTATTCCGGATTGGATGAATCCTATTGAAAATATTTATTCTGGCAATAGAATTGTCTATAAACTATTAGGTGTACCACTACAACAGAGGGCAACATACTTAAAAATTAAAATATAAACATGTCATACACCTTCATATACCACATAAAAATCTATATTATTTCAATGCACGGAAGTATTACACCAGATTAACTGGAGCAAGTACGTATTTTTTGTTTGGGAATGTATCCTCAGTTGACAGAACGTCTAATTCCAGCACAGCACAGTATTCGCCCACTACCTCTGACAGAGAGGGCGATGTTCTTCCCATATCCCCATTAACAAACTCCTTTATATACGTGCCAGAAGAAGACTTAATCTCTATTTGGAGCATAGTATTTTGATCTTTTTGTGTTTTCTCTATAACTATTCTACAGCTATGGATTGTTTTATTTCTTACTAAATTAGCTCTTCTGTGCAGCACGCGGATGGGGGTTCGTTGGTTTAGCTTTAGATCTGGCTCCATTAGAGAAAACGCTCTGTTCATGTCAGAGTGTGTATTGTCTGTTTCTTCTTTCCAATAAGTAGAAAGTAGCCTATTTATAAGGATCTTCTTTGGTACACTGCACAGTACTTTTACACTGTACACCTTGCTGTGTTCTTCCTCTATCTTCTTTAAATCTTTCATTGCAACTGCTCCGTCCACTAGTAGCGTGTCTAATATTTCTACATCCTTGCTCATGTTGTACTTTATATCTATTGGCTTATACTCTACTGTGTACTCTTCTACACTAGCCCCGCTCTCTGAAATAACATTGCACAGCAGGCCAACCTTTCTGGGAAGGTTTCTGCATGGATTTTCTATCCTGCAAATAAAGGGCCGTCCATTTCCAAGCATGCGCACGTCATAATCCTCTCTTCCTCCAGATATAAACACAACCTTATTTCCTTCAAAGTACTCTTTGAGAGGCTCCACCCAGTCAGAGACCGCTAGCATCCTATCTGCCAGATGGCCTCTGCCCTGCTGCTCTTTACTATTTAATAGCAACCCACCCTCTCCTCTTATTTCTTTCACACTTCTTTCTTCGCCTACTGCATTCTTCTGCTCCTTTTGCATTGCTTTGCAGCTCTCCATTATTTTTGCATCCTTCTTCATCTGCTTCTGCCTTCTTCTGCTTGGCATAGTCTCGCCAAATACCATTGGAGTATTAGATATACCTCTTATATTCTTTCGGTATCTGCCGCATATATAAATTGCATCGTTCACTAGCTTGACATTGATGGTTTCTTTTTTTATAATTATTTCAATTACTGTTCCAAATTCATTACTGGTGTATCGACCATATTTCTCTACTAACCTCTCTTTTAGGTATTCTTTCAGTGTTTTTGTCTCCGTCAGCTCTGCTTCTGTTGTGTCTTGTATAGATATCTGTATATTGTCAAATATTTCCTTGGTTTTGGCCGTTTCTATGATGGCTTGTTCAATTTCATTTAAAACTTCTTCCGGAATTTTCTTTTTCATTTAAATTTTAGTTCCGGATGGTTTAAATTACCAAAATGATTTAACAATTAAAATTAAAAATATTTAAAGATTTTTTTTTAATTTCATTATATGTCAATGTTCCTTAGACGAGTAGTTGCAGTTACATTTACAGTTGTAAGTGTTCTTGGGATAGTGAATTGTAGAGAGACAAAGTATGACGAGTTTACAGGAAATGCACCCATCCATGCAGACCAGAATAAAGATCCTTCTACAGTGGTGCTAGGAATTGACTTGGGAACAACCAACTCAGTTATCTCAGTGTTTGACAAAGTGAAGAAGACAGTAGAGACCATTCAGATCGACGGAAAGGTAAGCATGCCATCCTTTATAAAGATGGATGTAAAGGACGAGGGCATGCTTTCCAAGAACGTTAGAGACGAAATGGACAAAATTAGAAAAGACTACACCAAAGGAAGCCACTACTACTACAACGGTATGTGGATTAAAAACAGCTTTAAAGGACTAATTACTCCTATTGTTGGATGGCCAGCAATTGAGAGAATGAAGAACGAGAAGAACTCAGTAAAGAACTATATATACCGGTTTAAGCCATTGCTTGCCAGAAGTAAAATTGACTCAAAGGACTCAAATGTAGTCAAGACTACCATGGATAATGTGAAGTACATGATTAACCAGAAATACGATGCGAAGCTCGATAAGTCTGTGCTTGGAATTAGTATTAACGATGATAATGACACCGAGGTAGCATGGATTACTCCAAGAAGTCTGAGCACATTAATCCTTGATGAGCTTAGATTAAAGTTTGAGCTGCAGTGGTACAAGAGCCCTTCTGAGAGAACTGAAGAGGACAAGAAGCAGTTACTGCAGAAGAAGACTTGTGTTATTACTGTTCCTGCATACTTTGACTTTGTTCAGAAAGAAGAGACAAGAGACGCAGCAGTGTACTCTCTACTGAATGTACACCCAGATGGCATTATTAATGAGCCAACCAGTGCTGCAATTGCCTATGCGTACACATGCTCAAAGGCAAAGAGACTTTCAGATATGTCCGAAAAGAACTTCTTAGTTTTTGACTTTGGAGGTGGTACTCTTGACATTTCATATCTGAATCTAGATGAAGGATCCGATGTGCTTGTTGTAGACGGGCACGTAGGAGACAACTTCTTGGGAGGAGAGAATGTTAACGATCTTATCTACAAAGAGTTCCAGGAGCAGCTCAAGGTAAAATACAGCATTCAGCCAGAAAACTTCCCTATTAACACATCTCTCCGTATGAGATGCCTTGTTGAGGAAATGAAAATAGAATTATGTAATAAGCAAAACATTCTGGATGAGAAGGCTCGAAAGGAGCATCTTAGAAGCAACAGCAAGGATGAAGTTAAGTATGGCGCGGCCAATGAGGTAGTGAAAAGAAACTTAGTAATTGAGCTTGATGACGGAAAGCAGACAGAGTGCGAGCTGGAGCTTTCAGCAAACAGGATGGAGAAGATCTGTGCTCCAGTGTACGACAAGATTAGAAAGCTTTTGGACAACACAGTTGATCCAAACTCTAAAGGAAATGAAGTAGAGGGACTTATTCAGAAGCTTAAGACCGTAAGAAAGAAAGAAGACGTTGAGCACGTATTGTACGTAGGAGGATCAAGCAGACTCTTTGGTATAAGAAGACTTCTTATGTCAGAGTTTACTAGGGCAAACCACTGCTTTGACTTAGACCCAGACACATGTGTCTCTGTTGGTGCTGCATACTATGCAGCCTCATTAGAGGGCATGATTGATGAAGACCAATTCGTTGCCTTGGTTGATGCCATTCCTATGAACATGGGAATCAAGCTAGACCAAGACATGTTTGATGTCATGGCAGAGGCTGGTGCACAAGTACCAAATGTCTTTGAAAAATACTTTACTACAACTTCCGATGCACAAAAATCTGTGCGAATTGTAGTAGGGCAGACTCACTCCACCACCAAGAGGTTTAGTAACACTAAGACTGTTGGTACCTTTGATCTGAACATGCCACACAACACTCTTCCAAGAGGAAAGAAGAGAATTAAGGTAACATTCGACATTGGTAGTGCAGGAGATATGATTGTTAAAGCCACTGAAGTTGGTGAAGACGGTGCTGATCTACCAAATGGGCAAACCATCTCTATCACCAAGGATAAGACAAGACTTTCCGACATAGAGATTGAAGAGCTTAACAAGAAGTATGAGAAGACAAAGGAAACCGAAGCCAAGTGGCTTGAGAAGTGTGAAAAGACTAAGGAGCTTGAAGAAACCGTTCTTAGATTCAGAGACGAGGCAGCAATGCTTCCAGAGACCCATCCTAAGAAGAAGGTGCTTAACGACCTCTACAAAGAATCCAACTACTGGATTGAAATGGAAGTTAAGAACAAGAATGACATTAGCGACGATGAAATGGTTCAAAAAATACAAGAGAAGCTTACAGACCTTGCCTCTGCATATGCAGCACTTGGCGAGGAGCAGGAGCCAGTTGGAAAGCCAGAGCCAGAAAAAGCACAGGCACCAGAAGAGGCAGAGGAATTTATTCCAGCGGAAGACCTTTAAACACAAAATATTCAAACATCCTGTCGTTTTATCTGTAATAATAAAATGATTAGATGCTTATTCACTTTCTAGTTATACATATCGGTTCTTATCTTTTTCTTTTAATTAATATACGCTAATCTGAATTTGAATCTATAAAGGAAAGCAGGCATACTGTCTTAGTCTATATATATAGCTAACTCTGAGTTGGATCCGATTTATTTTATTTCCATTGGCCCATTTGTTTTTTCTTATCTGATTTACTATTCATTTTTACTCTTATAATATAAATAGTCTAATATTAACTAATGTATGTACCCGAAATAGCCATTAAATTAGTCTATTTTTCATTAAGATTCTATTATGTATTTCAAATTGTATATGAGAAAGCATTCTTTATTAAGAAGCAAATATTTGAAAGTGCCTAAGAAATAATGAATATAAGCAACTGTTTGTTATAATAAAAGAAGTTCGGGGTATACCCGGCTGGGCTGTATACACACACTCCTTCTTTATATAGAGCTGTTTGTCTATTTCGGGTTATTGATTATTTCATTTTTAATCCGGAATTGGCACAATCCTTCCAAAGGAGTATTTTAAGCAAATTTTTTCTCATAGCAGCTTAATACAAGCTATTAATTATATTAAAGGAGGAATAAAAAATAGTTTTTATATTGTATACAAATATCCTATGAGATCTGTAATTTGGCAGATTTCTATACTAAAATAAATCAAATATATTTATAAATTACGATAATAACGATAATATAAATAAAAAAATTTATTTATTTTGCATTATGAATTATTATTCAACGGGATCACCATTTTACCATGAAACAACAACTTGGTATGAGCCAACATACATACAGCCATCTATTATATCAGCTCCCATCTCTAGCACAATAATAGAGGGAAACACTTCACTGGGGACTGTAGAATTACATATTAACAATCCATATGTAATTCTTGCAATTTTAGTTTCTATTCTAATAGTACTATTGGTATTAGTTGGTATATCAGAGCATTCAAAAAGAAATGAACAAAATGCACGAAATGAACAATCCTCTAGACAAACACCGCCTAGTGATAATTACAGCGGGTCTAAACTCGCCTCAACAACCACCAAATACCAGGCCAGCAATGTGACTAATCAAAAAGGTTCACATGTGAATAGTCAAGATATAACAATTCCAAGTGCACCGCCTCTTGGTGTAAAATCGGATGATTATAATTCCCCTCCTCCTCCATACACCCTCCTCCCTACGAGAACAATTCCAAGTGCACCGCCTCTTGGAGTAGAATCGGATGATTATAAATACTCCTCTTCTCCATACACCTCCTATATGCAAAATATAAGTGAAGATAGTAATAAAATCTACGTTGACACTACAAATAAAGGTGGCTTAAGATTCGCTGAAACTGGTGTACTTGGCGAAAAATTCTCTCAAAATCGTGTTTCTGATTACTCACAAACATCTGCTCTAGGAGAATCTTTCAGTCAGGTAGAACCAAGAAAATTATCTTTTAGTAGTCCATTTAGCTATAATTAAATATTTAATTTATACATATTTTTAGTATAAATGATTATTAAAGAATATTTAAAATAAACATTAATTCTACTATAACTTAAATAAGATTTTATTTAAAATTATTTTCTAGCTCTATATATGCAATTATGAATTTCTCTATGTATTATTAAGCAACAATGCATAGTGATTTTGTTAAGTAGCAAATCATTATTAAAAGGATTTTTTAGATAGAAATTTGTATAGCCTGACTGTAGTATTCCTATTAGTTTGGTGTTGTGCTGGCTTATTTATAAATATATTTGTTTTTCTATCTTTTATTTGAATATATCACTTATTACATCTTCTTCTGTGCTGCTGTCTATTGGCTGAATGACATAAGAATTACAGTTAGAAATACTTTGTGAGTTAAGCCTTTTGCTCTGGCTATACAGCTTTGCAATTATTGCCATGAGACCTATAGATAGCCCTAAATTGTGACCCAGTGCTATATTACTGCTTAGCGATACATATGCAGTCTGACACTTATCTTGTATTTCACCCACTAGAAGCTCTTTTGTTTTTTTTGTACTATCTGATTTTAAATACTTTTTAATTAGCCTGCTTACATGCACTACATTTCTATAATAGAGAGTGCTTCCATACGAATTTGTGGATTTATAAATAACTCTTTGAAGCCTCTTGAACTCTTCTATGAATGGCTCCATACTTTCCACTAGAAAAAAAATAAAAGTACATAGGATTCTCATGCAGAATAAATTTAAAGCAACAGTAAGATGTCATTGTTAGCTGGTCCTTCTAGCTATTTATGTGCTTTCTAGCCATTTTATTTGCGTGCTTATCTTGTTTGTATTTTTATTTGGCATGCTGTCTTAATTATCATTTTCTTTAAAATAAACTTGTATACTTTTTGTTAACAAGTGGACATATTTGTTTAAATAAAAGGGATAATAATTAAATATTTAGAAGTGTAATTAATTGGATGTAACAACGAACCAATAAACCAAAAACAAATAGGAATAGGAATATACAAGAAATAAACTAATACGTATAAAAATCGATTATTATATAACAGCAGAAGTCTATTATATCACAACAGAGGTATACTATATCCCAAATTAAACATTTAAGCTGTTTTTTTGTTGACGGCATAGACATACACTTGTTATTTATTAAATTCCAGAAACTATATAAGAGTAAAAACTCTTATTATTTATGATAGCAAATGCACAACACAATATATCTTAAGATTTGTATGTATGAATTAGACTAACCTTATAGAAGATAAAGAATCTTTTGATTATTAGATTCGCAACAAAAGCAAAAATATACAAATCAAATTATTATCTTTTGATAAAACACAAATTATATAAATTGACTTATAGACTATTCAATAAATAAGATATTCACCCATGCTGTTTAGCAAGAACTTTTTCTTATAAATCCAGTATTAAAAACTAAAAATATAAATATAAATTAGTCAACATCTTTATTTATTATTAGAATTTCATTTCTATGGATCTCTTTTCACAGAAGATAATAGTGCTTTATCATATGAGACAGAGACAATTTTATGTTTCTAATGCCATAAAAAGACAAGAAAGAGCAATCGCAATTATTAATAAGTTGCATCCGTAATATAACAGTAAAACTAGTAAGACACTTATTTTGCTTGTGTCTTGCTAGAATTTAAAATCTCTGCTACACTTGATACCACACGGGATAAATAGATAAAATCGCTTCCACCACACAGCATATCACTTTCACAGCTGCCAAGTGTAATCAATAAATCCTTTAGCTGAGGAGTAATTTCATTCAGAGTTAGAATATAGCTAGAAAGTGCATGCACTACACTTATGGCAGAATATCCCATCAAGGCAATGTCTTTAGAGATTGAAAGCACATTCTCAACTGTACTGGCAGTTAATATCTGTTGAATCAGCTCTTTTGGGATGACTCCTGCTATTTCATCTATAATTGCTCTGTGCTGGGCATCTGTATCCAGTTGACTGCTTTTTTCAAGTGTGCAGGATCCCACCGTTTGCAGTAGAACTATTGCTTTTCGCAGGTCGCCCTCTGCTAGAGTTAGAATGTATAGCAGACTACATTCTGTGATGTCTATTCCTTCTTTTTTTGTTATTCTCTTTAGCACTTCAAGACTCTGGCGCTCTCCAGTTGATGGAATATAGAGCGGAACAAGTCTGCTTTTAATTGGGTCTATAACTCTGTTAATATAGTTAGTTATAAATATAAATCGGGTATTTCTGTGGGTGTCTTCAATAATTCTTCTAAGACAGTGCTGGGCATCAGCAGTAAGATAATCGCACTCATCCATAATTATTATCTTTATTTCTCCAGAATGCGCCTTGGATGCAGCAAATGTCTTTATCTTTCCTCTGATTGCAGAAATCTCTCTGTCGCTTGATGCATTTAACTCCAAAACATTCTCTTTTCTGGTAAGCTTGCTAGCCAGAATAAGCGCAAGCGAAGTCTTCCCACTTCCCGGCGGGCCATGCAGTATAATATTAGGAAGCGCATAGCTTCCTGAAAGCAAAGAAGAAAAAAAGTCTCTAATTTCAGAGGGTAGAGCCATACTGTCCAATTCTGTGGGCCTGTACTTCTCTGTCCATGTAATGTCACGTTGCATAAAATTTTATTTCAATTCGCTTTATTATTCGTGTTTTCTCTTTCTCTTTTCTGATCCTTTGCTGAGCACTTTTGGTCTTGCTGGGTTCTTTCTGTCACTGGCAGATCCGAAGTACTGGCACTGCTTTCTATTCTTCACTGGAGCCTGGAAAATGACCATCTGCTCTGGAGTTGGAGCAACTTTAAATATCTCATCAAGCTTGAAAATCTGACCACCGTATTTCTCTATCTTTTCTCTTGCTTTCTGGGATATACTTAAGCAAGCTACTCTGATTGGGTGTGGGATCTCAACTATGCTGTCATCTGCCACAATCTTTGTTACTACAACAGCTAACTTTTCTTGGCATGGAGCGGTGTACTTCACTAAATTTTTAAGTGTAAGAACAGATCTCTGAGTAATTGGCTTCTTGATGTACTTTGCGATCTTCTGGTACTCTGGGTGAGTGGTTCTTCTTGCTACAGATGAGAAAAGCTCAAATAGATTGTTTATTTCAGCATTCTGTGTTTTTGGGGTTTTTCTGCCTCCTCTTACTTTAGTTGGTCTTCCTAACATACTACTAGGGGTAAAATTAAAAGAAAAATAAAACTAAAAATTACATTGGAATAGCAACAAAACCGTTTAAAAAGGATTTGTTAACAAAGAAACGAGAATGACTCTCCTCTTTTCCTGCAGCCACGTACAAAGTCGATTCTTTTTGCATAAAGTCATTTGGAATGCCATCTATTTGGCAATAGCTTAAAATTTCTGCGGTTTCTGCAATTGAGACAATAATTATCTGTCCATTCGAGAAGCCGATTGCCGCGGTCCCTGGAGAAATAAGCTTTAATGAAGAGACTTCAGCAGATGCTTCATCCTCTGTTGGTATGTGCAGACTCTTAACAGGATCTGTCTTATTTATATTATATAGATGGAGAGTGCTTCGATTTGACATAACTATAAATTGCTCGTTTGTTACAAACGCACCATATAGCGCATGGCCGTCTTTAAGATTAAACAAAAGCTGTGTGTCTTTTTCCAGTTTAAATATTCGCACAGTCTCTGTTAGCTCTGCTGTGCACAGAAGAAGCTTTTTGTCTGGAGACATAGATGTGGACTTAATTGGGGTGTTTGGTCCATACAGCGCTTTCATAAAAAGAAGATGAACAGTTTTAGACCCCTTTGACTCATTAATATCTAGCTTCCACAAAAACACTCTATGGTCTGCCGAGGTAGTAATAATTTCTGTCTCATTATTCTCTGTTTTTATCGCGTGTATTGATATAATCTGTCCCCTATGCCTTTTTGAGATTCTTTTATACTTTTTATCACAGAGAGATTTAATTTCTCCCGTACGAGCACCCACCAGTAGAATGCCATCTACAGCACAAATGGCTGTTGTTGTGTTTTTATCCTTTACTAGAACTTTTCTTTCTTTTGCTTCTGAAGAGACTGTAACTATTTCGCCGGACTTCTGTGCAATGGTTATTTCGCTGTTTTGTATAGTCATGGCGGTTGGCGGCGACTTTAGCTTAGAAATTAGCGTATGTGTCAATGCGGTTGGCTTTGCTGACATTAAAAAAACTGAATATTTTCCGCATAATTAATTATAAAATTTTTATAATGCTTGCCCAGACACTTGCCCTACCGTACAGGACATCACTTACGACTATATAATTTTTGAAAATACAGCTAATTTATTCATGTATGGCTCCAAATTAAATGATAAAATAAAAATCTATCAAGTACTTATCCATTTACAGTTTAAAGCCCGTTGAAATGAATTATCTTTGCTTAATTGGCCCAGACATATAACGCAAAAGTCTTAAGTTCCATCAGCTATTGCATTAACTAATTTCTTGTAATAAATGATTTTGTATAGTGCTATTACGCTCTAAGTAAAGCAGCACGGGGCCATGTAGTATGTTTAAGCAAATATATAGTATTTACAGACAGTAAAAGGGCTTCATTTGATGGCGGGATACTTTTTTCGCTTTAATTAATAGTATAAAGGTATGTTAAATCAGTGCGCACATGCATGGCAGACAGTATAGTAGTAAAGATATCACGGATATGCTAGATAGGCGCAGCAGTTTCTTTTATATCACAGTTGCCAGTAAAGAGTATTTCTTTCGATTTTTATTTTTCTTTATATGTGTATAAGTGATTTGGCTGGAAAAACCTGCGGGGGGCTGCTGGCTATTGGCAGTGCAATTTTTATACTTGTCTTTGGAAACAGTTACATCATTTTTCTTCCTATTATAACTCTGCATCTGTTTACTAACTGGTATAGCAAAAAAGCCCGGTCTTTTTCCATGAAGAAAGCAATAACTGCACTTGAAGTAATTTTTTCGATTTGCACCATATTTGGCTATTTTGTTATTAGCAATGCGGTCTTTCTACTTCTCCCTGGGTCAAGTGCGCTGGAAAAAGTACCTAAAAGCGTGGTGTGTCTGATGTATTTGTACTTTTTCGTTTACACTGTATATATTGCTCATATATTACTAGGATACCTCGACCAAGATATACAAGAAGAGGAAGACTCATCAGACATAATACGGTACCACCAGATGAAGACTTTAAACAAACAAAGCCTATGAATAGAAAACATTCATTAAGATGCAAAATTTTAGCTAATTTTTTCAGTATGTCCAGTTATAATAAACGTATACGGGAAAACTATCTGTCAACTAGAGTAAGCGATGAAAGAGAGAAGATGGTCGCACAGAACGCCTTTTCCTTTGAGAAGCTTGCCGGGATTGATTTGCAAAAGAAAGAAATAATGGAGGCATTAAAGATGCCGCTAGAATACTATAAGTGCTATGAGCGCATAGGGGTAGAGCCTGCCAGTGGCATCCTAATCAGTGGGCCATGCGGGTGCGGGAAAACTGTATTTGCAAATGCAGCGGCAAAAGAGGCTGGGCTTCCAATACTTTCGATTACAAGAAGCGACTTTATTTCAAAGAGTGGCTCAACAGAGGACAATGCATCTGCCATATTAGAAAAAGCAGTTTCATTTTCTCCTGCTATTATACTAATAGATGACATAGATAGGTTCTGTATGAAAAGAGAAGGCCTAGAGAATGAATCAGACAAGCGGGTGGTTCTTCGGGTGGTTGAGTTTATAAGTAACCTTCCAAAGAAAATACTCGTTTTGGCCACAGCCACTACAATTGACGATGTAGATCCACTTCTTCGAAGATCTGGAAGGCTTGAGCGAGAGATAAAGCTGATGGTGCCAACAGAGTATGAGAGACTGCAAATAATACAAAAGCTCTTTTCAGGCACCTCACATGAAAGCCTAAACTATCAGATGATTACAAAAGCCACACCAGGGTATGTCGGCGCGGACATTAAATTACTAGTTACTGAAGCAGGGCATTCAGCAGTTAAGCGATTTGTAAGAGAAAAAGAAAACATCACTGCAGTGAAAAGCACCGAATCAGAATGTTCATTAATGATTACGCAGAATGATGTATCTCTAGCGCTATCAAGAGTGCAGCCGGTTGCAAAGAAAGAAGGATTCACAACAGCATCAGAAATTTCCCTAGAAGACGTAGGGGCTATGGAGCATATAAAGAAGATTTTAGAAATGGCAATTGTACAGCCTTCTCTATACCCAGAAAGGTTCCTAAAAGTTGGAATAAAAAGACCGGCCGGTGTTCTTTTGCATGGGCCTCCTGGAACAGGAAAAACAATGCTGGCACGAGCTATATCCAACAAAACTCACTGTAACTTTATTTCTGTTAAAGGACCCGAATTAATAAGTATGTACTATGGAGAAAGCGAAAGAGCTATTAGAAAGCTTTTTGCAAGAGCAAAGGCATCCCAGCCGTGTGTAATATTTTTTGACGAGATTGACTCGATATGCAGAAAAAGGGATGCTGGCACAAGCAAGCATGGCGATACATTGGTGAATCAGCTGCTAATTGAAATGGATGGATTAGAGGGCAGGGGAGCAGTATACGTCCTTGGTGCAACCAATAGAATAGATATTTTAGACAGAGCACTCCTCAGGCCAGGCAGATTTGACAATATAATTGAAGTATTGCCGCCATCGCCTACTGAGCTCATAGAAATACTTGGAAAGAAGCTTTCTAAGCTAGCAGTTGATAGTACTATTAACCTCGAATCCCTCTATCTAGAGGGCCTTACTGGAGCAGAGGTAGACCTTCTTATAAGAGAGGCAGGTAACATATGTCTCCAGGAAACCCCCTTAGACCAAGATCCAATTATTGGACAGCAGCACTTAGAATACGCACTGGGAAAGATTCGAGACAAACAGTACTCTATTCAAAAATAAAGAATAAAAATAATCTATAAACACCTTTATAATATTCTATTATATTATTACTTTAACAACAATGTAGTTTATATAAGATCTTATGTCTACTTTGGCTGTATATATTTGCTTAGTCTAAATAAAGTACACTTTCATATTATTAGTATGGCATATAGTTACCACATGCCTTGAACATAATAAAGGCACCCATGCATATTCCTGCTGCCATGCCTACTCCTGCATATTTTACTAAATTGCCAGAGTATTGCGGCTCTTTTATACTTACAGGCAGGGACTCTTTCAACACATTTGTATCTTTATTATCAGATTCAAATTCTCGTATTTTTTCTTTATATGCGTTTTCTGATCCCTCACTTGGCGCAGAATAATGTGCATTTTCTGGTTTTGCAAGTTTTTCAGAAAGCTCACTTAAAAGGGTCAGCATTTTCTGGTTAAAATGCGATTCATAACTTTCTAATTTTTTAACCCTGTCTGTTGTAAATTCAACTGTTTCATTCGCATTGGTTGTATTTGGGTTCTCGCTTTTTTCTATTATGTCATTTATCCGAGACAGAATCTCATGGCATTTGTCATTTGTTCTATTGGGCTTTGTACTCCTAATATTCCAATTGTATAGTGAATCTTTTCTAGGAAGAATGTTGGTATTTCTGGAATCCTTTATCTCTTTAAATTCATCTAACCTTTTCTGTCTCTCATTTTTTCTGTTAATAATGAATTTGTCAGTCAATCCGATATTTAGCTCAAGCGAGTTCTGTGTTTTTTCTGCTAGGTGGTTGGCACCCTCTTCCACATCCTCTAAAATACTTTTAAACTCATACTGCGTCTCATCCGGGGCCTCTGGAAGTATTATTGTATTGCTTGTATCTAGATCGTACCTCGGTGATTCTTTGAAGGTGTTTTCTAGCTCACACATGTCAACTTTGTTGGTCTTTGCTGCGCTTATTATTACCTCAACTAATTTTTTCATTATCTTTTTACTCACCCGCACTTTTCTGTAGTCATACATCTTCTTCTTTACCTCATAGAGAATATCCATGCTTCTCATTGGCATGCTGAGAGCAATTGGAAGAGTGTCCAGCGAATGTATTAGATTCTCAATTGGCTGTTCCCTCTCCACGCCATACATTCTATTTATAAATTGGTCTATTTCCTCTGCTCTGTCCGCCATCTCTCTTCTAGTAATAAAAATATTTACATCTTCTGCTACTAAATGCTGCTGCCAAAATATTTGGGCAGAGCAGAAGTAGGCTAGCTGCAAATTTTGGATTAATAAACTAATAAAACATAAAAGGACTAAAGAGTGCAAACAAAATTTAAAATAGAAGAAGGCTTAACAGTAAAAAAGAGTAAGTTTATGCAGATTTATTACGATAATGCAATCTAATGCTTAGCAAATATCATAACACCAACAAGAGCCAGAATTATAAGCACAAACAGAACGCCCAGAAGGCATGCTGCGGTTTTTATACTTCTTTTCTTTCTTAGTGTTTTTAGGTCAGATACAAATTCTTCATGCATATATACTATGAATGCTTTCATTGTATCTGATTTATAGTCCTGTTTGAGGTCCATGTATCTGTTCACTTCATCTACACTTACTATGTAGTATACTGACTCTCCCAATTTTATATGCTTTCTTCCCATTCCCTTGGCTGGGTTGAGCACATCCACATCTTTTTTTTCTTCATTGTTTGGCTTAATCTGGTCTTCGCCCTTTTTGTCCAAAGATTGCTCTGGATGGTTTGGTTTAGGTGGGGCTTCATTCTTTGGTGCTGGGTTAGTGTTTGGTTTTTCCAATACTGTTCCTGTCTCTGCTACTGCTGCACTTTCTGCCATAAATCACCAGGCCTCTTTCCCTATATACAGGGAAAGGGGCACACACCAATAGAAATGTGATATGAACGATTGGATTGAATTCTTCATTTGAGAAGAAGCGCAATAAGGAAGTGATCTTTTCTCCGTTCTATTCAGGGGAAGGATGTGAATTTAAGTGTATGCGCAGAAATTGAATGTCGGGCTATATGTGAATGAGTGTGCTGTAAGTTTTTTAAAATGGCGCAGCGGGAAAAGAGCAGAGGGGAATTTAAGAACGAAAAGGTTATTCCTAATAGCATTAGCTCTATATTGAGTGATCAGGACGAACTAGGAATTGACAACATTCGATTAATAGACTATGGAGGAAAAGACGACGAGATTTTCAAAGACCTGTCCATAAATGACCAGGAGAGTATAAGTGAGCTAGACATAACAAAGATATATGAAAACGAGCTAGAACAGAGCGATGATGATTTAAGCATAGATGAAGATGAAATAAAGAAAATAAAGGGATTTGAAGAGAGCATAAACCAAAAATCTCGGAACAACACCCACTTGTTAGGCACTTTTTACCCGCAGATAGACACAGCCTACAACTCAAGAGTGGCTGATCTAAACAGTGATGTTGACAATGACATATGCAAAGAAAATATTAAAAAGATTCACAGCTATTTAAAAGAAGATCAAGAGAAAGAAGAGGAAATACAAGTGGAAATCGAAAAGACTTTGGAATATATTCGCAAATTAAAGGACACCTCTTCGGATGCTGCAGCACATACCAAGTTATAAATAAAAACAGTTCTATTTCTAAATAATTTACTGCCATGCATGTTCTACTTTACTTTGGGGTTGCATTAAGCTCTCTATTAAATTCTTGTTTCTTTGGGATAAATAGGATTCTCCTGTATTTATGTATATGCTCAATAATTTAAATAATAATCAGATGTTGTGCAGTTATAAAAATTGAATGTTCTGTATTTTAGTATATTTTTAAAGTGTACACACTCAGACTTTAAACTAAAAATAGAATAAAACATAGCTAAATTAAAATGCGTTGTATTCTTAGCTATAAGAAGCAAAAGCATTGAATACTAGTCCGGATATATAGATGTAAATCATTTATTAGTTACTCTTTGGTTAATAATACTTCATGTTGTGTCTACTTTGGCGATTTTTTCTGTCTTTTATCTTTTGTTTTGCTGGTTTTATGCTTTTTATTTGGCATGGTTCGATTAATCATTGCTTCTGTTTTCATTTTGGTTGTGTATACCTTTCTCTTTTCTTCTCGGCTCTTTATGATTTCATTGATTCTATCCTCTCTTGCCTTCTGCTTCTCCTCTTTCATTTTTTCAACCTTAAAGGAGAGAGTTCGTAGAAGCTTGAGCTTGTGGATAGTTTCTTCTGATCCCACCATTTCCTCCTTCTCTTCATCCTTTTTAAGCATAGAAAGAGGGGCCTTAGACAGCACAGATTTTGGAATGGGAGCTGTTCGATTTGCTTTAGGCTCTTCAATCTCTCTATACACGCTGTCTGATTTGGCCTCTAGCTGCATCCCCTTTGCATCTCTTATCTCCTTCAGAAGCTTTATTTCTCCTGCATCTGCAAAGTTTTCTGCATTTAGGTATACCTTTGAGGGTGTGATTGGGAAGAAGCATGGAAGGAATATAATTTCACTCATTTTAATAACTCCCTCAAACGATGCTCGGAACACTCCGTTTTTTCCCGCCTTCTTTATTTGCCCACGCAGACCGCTTACTGTTTTCAGCATAGCGCCTTCATACCGCGCAGCTTCTTCTTGTGTGTGGAACATATCCTTCACAAAGACAGTGTGCCCTTTGATTTCAGACGGGTACCCAATGAGCTTTAGCTTTTTCATAATACGAGGATGCCCGCCAATTTCACACTGCACCCCATTTGCAGCAATTCTAAAGTTTTTGTCTTTGTTAAATTTCCTAAGAATGGTAAAGCTAGTGCCAGGGGGATGCGTTGGCGCATAGAAGGTTACATTGCATGTCATACTGTCAGGTATATACTTTAGTATTCGATTCCTAATTGCATCCTTTAAAGAAAAAATAGGTGTGGTCTGGAATCTTCTCCAGCCCATCGAGATGTAGTGGGCTTCTTTTGTTTTTAACGTCTTTTTAAACCACTTATGTCTTTTGACTCTTCCCTGGATAAATGTCATGGAAAGCTCTTCCTCCTTGTTTGCTCCCAGAATAAATATATTCTCTGGAGTATACGTGTTGGAAACAGCCATTGGAAGCACAATCATAAGCTTTACATACCTGCCAGGAGCAATTCCCTCCAGATGCTCTTTTGACTCTGCAGAGTGTCTGTCTAATAGGCCTTGTGTTGCAAGCTCTGCATCTTTTACCTTTTCTTTTTCTTGAGTAAATATATCTCTTTTATCTTTTACCTCTTCAATATACTTGTCATTAAAACGTTCAATATAATCTTCTTCTACCTCCTGTTTGGTTTTAAACATCATTTTCACTGCCTCTTCAGTCATTTCATCGCTTTCGGTATCAGAAATATGCTCAATTGAGAATACATCGGCAGCAGGTGTGCTAGCTTGCTGCGTGTTGTTCTGGCGAATCTCTTCTTCTAGCGAGTCTTCGCTATCTGTCATGCAATTATCTGGCATCACATCCTCCGGACTAATATTCTCTAGCTCTTCTGATGCATTGGAAAGGCCCTTGTTTATAGCCATATCTGGAGAAACCTCTTGAACTTCTGACTCAAGCATAAGTTTTTTGTCTGGCTCTGAAAAGAGAGAAAAGGGCTTTTCTGCCACCTCATTCGTATAAACAGGAGCTGGCTGATCGCCCTTTGGCTGCTTTATGTCCAAATACACCGCATCTTGCTCTACAAGCATTCCTCTAATATCACTAGTGGGCGCGTATAGCGGCTTTTTTCTTTCGCTTAGCTTTTTCTTTTGTTCATTTGTTAAAGGACATGGATCGTTTACAACAGTTATGCTTTCTGCTGAATAGTCGCCGATTCCAGGAAGATGGAATACAGCGCTTCTTTTTAGTGCAATTCCTCCCCGCACGTACCCAGTGAGCGAGAATAGTTTCATACCACTAGGAACACTTATATTTAGGTCTCCTTTGCTTTCTTCCTCTAATAATTGGTCTGCCACAATATATGGGTGTGTAGATCGCCACATAAAAGGCCTATATTTCATTTGTGTTATATACCGAGATGCCTTAATAATATCCCGGTCCAAATATCGACCTCCAACAACCTTGGACATTGGAATGACCTTTATTCCATTGCAAACTTCAGTCCACAGGCGCTTTTTCATCTTTTTAACAACTGATCTCTGTTTTGACACGCCGCCTTCTATCATATCCACCTTTGTAACAACACACATGATTTTAGGAAACCCATGCGTCCTTAGCAGATTAAGCATTTCAAATGTTTCTATTTCCAGGCCAACCACAGCATCAATAATTAGGATCACCAGATCAGCCACTTTAGAGGTGTCTGCCATTGTAGGAAGATCTGCTGGGCACTCATAGAAGCTCAGCCGTTTTGACTTAGCGGCCATTAAAGTAACAATTCCATTAATTTTTTGTATTTTTTGCTTTGTATAGCACCGGACAATTGAGTTCATGAAAAGAGTCTTTCCCGAAGAGGGAGGCCCAAATACAACAACCATGGGAGGCGCTGGTTCAACCCCATAAGATCGGGTGATTATAGGAGTCTGGTACTTTCTCTCGTCATACTTAACTTTTTTAAGTGCTGCCAGCCTGTTTGTAGCTAGTTTCTTTGTTTTACGCTGAATGCTTATTTCCTTGGCGCTTTCACTCATTCTATAATTTTGTAAAAATTTGCAGCTCTTCAACGGCTGTTCAGAACCCAAAATTTACTACACTGGCCAGAAAAGATTATTTGCATTCATTAATAAGTATTGCATAAACTATTTACTAAATATGCAATCCTTCACAAAATAAACAATATTTACCTTTATTTCCAATAACTTTCTCTATACACCTTAAAAACATTATATACTCTGCCATTTAAGGATTTGTTGTTGTATTTGATACACTAATTTCGTTTCTCTTGATCTGAACTATCATCTGAAAATAACCCGAACCATAACTAGTGGTTTCTATATTCTGGGCCCAGACCGGCCAAATATAGTCTAAATGAAAAAGTAATTTTCACATACATCATATGCCAAACACAAAAGAGAAGCTAAGCACAGAATTCTTAAGATATGCAGTAAGTACGGGAGTATTTGGCATGGGAATGTCACTAGGTGTTCAGTCTCCTGCCGCGCTTATGAACATCCATTCAGCAAGAATCTTTTTAACCATCCAGGATGTGAAAGAGCAGTGGACGTACTCTGGAATGGACCTTCCTAGAACACTTACATCGGTGGGGAGCGTGCTATCTTCCTCTGTTATTCTTGTATCTGGGTACTCTCGAGCAGCCCGTGTCACTGAAAGCGCATATCTTGCCATGGAGGCATTCTGTAAGATAGAGCAGTGGGTAAATATTTGGAAGGTAAAACGGGCCCAGTCTGTGCCGAGCAATCAGCTTATGACTATTTATTCAAAGGCCTCCTTCTCCGCAGTTATTTCAGTTGTAGAGCTCCTCTCTTTCATGTTTTCTATATGGCCGGTTTATTTCTTAGCAAATGTATTGAAAGGAAGCCATTTCCTATACACTACTTTATATGCACTGTTTAAAAATAGCAGCCAGAATTCTGGCACAGGAAAAAAGAAAATAGACATGCTTATCAGTGCGTGTTTTAAGCAATAAATATAAATAAAATCAAAACACGCAGACTCTTATCTATATTAAGGCCTGCAGCCGGCTTTAAATACAATGTCAGTAAAGCAGAGTAGAAAAATCTTGCCATTCACTGAAGTTGCAGTATATCAAAAATCTCCAATTCATAGTATAGCAGGCATAAACATACGCATAGACAAGATGATTGCTGGATTATTTATATTTGGAATAGTTTTTAAAACTCGGGTTATTTTTTGCTCTGCATATGTTTTCTCTATAGTTATTTCAAAGCTAATAGAGCCAATTCTAGGGATTAATATATACATTGCAAAAGTCATTTCTCTTGCTGGCCTGGTATTCCAGATAATTATGCTTCCACCAAAGGGAGCTATACCAATAGTTCTTACACTTATTTCACTTCTATTGATGTACATTGAGGTACTAACAACAAACCGGGTGCCAGAAGAATACAATAGTATTCTATGTGTAGGAATTACTATGATACTCTTTATTCAGCTAGATATGATCCTTAAGTTTTCCTGGAAGGAAATGACTATATCCCTACATAAATCACATACAGCACAGGATTCTGTCAAGTTCATACTACTTATATATTTAGGAATGCTTACATCCGCCTTTTACAGGTCTATATATAGTGCAATGCAGTTATTTAGCAGAAATGTTCTGCTTAACATACTGAATATAGTAACTGCAGGCACAATTACAATTTTATCTTATTTTGTCTATAGAATTCTGCACAGTTGTTATATTCTTATAGAATAAACTGCCATATGCAAATAAAAAGAACAATTCGATGCCAGCAAGGCTGTATGATAGGGCAAAGCCTGCGGTCAAATCATCTGTGAAAAAATAGAATTTAATTGGTTAGTAGGTGTCTGTTAGTAATTGGCTATTTTATGTGTACAAGAAAGGAGTTAATTTTTGTAGTATGTCGGAGCTGCTGGACTTTCTAAATAAAGCAAAAGCAACAAATGAAACAATTTCTGCTCTTGTAGAGTGTGTGTCAATCGCAGATGCTCTCAAGAAAAAAGCCAGGCACACAGAAGAAGAAAAGCTACACCAAATATGCGAGGCAATGGAGAATCTGTACAAGGACTTTAAAAAAAGAACAAGCGCAATAAAGCAGGACTTAAACAAAATGAAAGAAGAAAACAATAGGCACTTAGACAGGTACGGGTTTGACAGAAGTTTTGCCACTAGAAACAGTTTTATGCAGAATCTTTTGAGAAGGCTTAGCCTAGTTATACAGGACTTTGGCAGAGTCCAGGGAGGCTTTGCCACCAACCAAAAAGAAAGGCTAAAGGAGCAATACTTAATTGCCAATCCAGATGCAACAGCCACAGAACTGAATCACTTAGAAGAAAAAGAGAAAGGAAAATTGATTCTTCAGTCTGCATTCACCCTAGGAAATAAAACAGCAAAGGAGGCACTTCTTTTAGCAGAAAAAAGAAGAACTTCATTAGAAATACTCTTAGAGGGGATAACAGATCTAAAAGACCTAGCAGATGACTTCTCGGCTATTATAAGAAATGATACATGCGAAATGGATAAAATTCACATGGGGGTTAATTATGCAAATGTGCAGACAGGCACAGCACACAAATTAATTAACAAAACAACAAAAAGAAAAATAAGACTTTTCAAGGCGAAAAAAACCACAACTCTTCTGGGCATCATTATTCTATTTGTTATTCTGTTTCTTCTTATATTCAAAATAGCACACTAGATAATAAACTATTATTACGTTATAAATTACCTGTATGTTTGTAGGAGTAAGTTTATTTGTACATTAGTGAGAAGTTTGGTCCTATAGGCAATATACGTTGTTCTGCTATCTAATGCATATGTTCTTAATTGAATACAATAATTCATGCTAGAATAGTCTCTTTATAGTAGTATAATAATAATGTTTAATGCCTTCTCTGAATTGGCCCATATTCCAGATTTTTTAACATCTGCTCACTTACAATATTCTCTCTTTTTTTCTTATTAGAATTTCAGACTGTATGATTTTGCAATTTAGGGTTATATTAATGCAATGTTCTTAAGATATTTCTAAATAAAAGCATTCACTATTGTGCCAGAGCAAATAATGACTGCTGTTAGTTTTAGTAAATATTTAAAGATTAACATTAACTGTTATAACACGAAAACATAAAAAATTATTTTATGCTAGCGCCAATTAGTAGAACAATTCTTTCTGCAGAAGCAATGGGTGCTCTACCAGATATAATGAAAAGGGCAGAGTGTAAAAGAGGGATTAAAGCCGTACAAAAGTCCCTATTAAATAAGGGTGATGGCATAGTTGTAATGGCAGCTGATGTCGCGCCTTTTGACTTGGTCAGTCACATTCCAGCACTATGTTCTGATTCAAATGTGCCGCTTTTATACATAAATAGCAGATTTGATGTTAAAACGGATAAAGACAAACCTACTACCTGTCTATTCATTCCTTTAAGTATCCTATCAAAAGAAGAAGCATTACTTTTACAATAGACAATAAACTAAATATTTAACTGCCAAGTATCGCATATAAAAACCATTAGCCGAACAGCTCAATTTATGATAAACTTATATTTATTCAATAACCGAATTCACTTAATTTGCTTGTATTCTCCTAATTTTATCACACAAAGAATCCAACAACTTCTTTCCGGTGGTTTCTATTCTTATAAGAAGATCTTTGCCGCATTTGCAGAGTTCACAGGTTCTTAAGAATCCTTTGGCTTTCTCATATCCTGGGACTTTTTCTGCTATAATGTTTGCACCAATGCAAATTCTACACAAAACGCACTTTGCCACCTCAAGACCTTTTATCAATAATAACTCTGCTCTAAGCACAGCTAGCTGTAAAAGTCTTTTCAGAAGAACAAAATATTCATTTGTAAGAATTGGTTGCATAGCTGGCATAGAGGATAATTTTTCGCCTATTTTTCTGAAAATACCCAGTGATACGAAAGCGTACATAACAGCAACTACTGCTACAAATGCCCCAATTCCTGTAAAGCGGCTCTTCTTTGCTTTCTTGTTTCTTAAAAGAGACTTCTTTAGATCCTGTGGCTGCTTGTTGTTCTCTTGTGCTAGTTTATTCTGCGGCTTGACTACTTTCCAATTTTTCATAGAAAGAAAAAAAAGTCTTGCTTAAGAGGTCGTTTACTCTTTGTATCGGTCGTGCAGTAAATTTCTAATATTATTCTTAATTGCTACATCTTTACAGTCTGAGATGTTCTCACATGAGTGTCCTTCTGGGATGGAGTGCTTAATACAGAATGATTTTGAGCAGAACTTACACTCTAAGTCACTTGAAGAGTTAACCCGGTTTCTGCACATGGACAAAGCACACTTATTCTTAATCCCTGCTATTGTTATTTTGGGGTTAGTGCACTTAAATATCTGATCTGCAGATGTAATCAGTTTTTTATCTATCTCTAGCCGAATGCAAGAGAGCCCAAACAATTCCTTTGCTTTTCCTTTAATCTCTTCAAGTATTCCTTCCGATACATTCACTGAAATAGTTCTTTCAACATAGTTATGCACTATTATAATGGATATTTGTCTTACAACTGACTGTGTCTCTTCTACTTTATGTGTTGAGGTTACTGCTGGCTCACTTGACTCCATATTCTGTTTGTAATTTTTGGTTATATATTGTTGGTGTATATTGTAATGAAATGTAATTGGTCTATGGTTACAATACAAACAAAAACAGAATAATATGTAAATATTATTTTAGGCGTGTATTGTCATCGTAATAGAGTATTTTATACTTAGATGCCTGCAAGCACCATTTAAAGGCGTGTGGCTAATACTTTCTAGTAAATTAGACTTTGGGTGACAAAGTGGCGGAAGCATGATGTATTGTATCATAAATCTCGAAAAAATACAGCAGCGCATATATTAGACTAGAATATCTCTGATTACGCGGCGGTATATCTTATTGGACAAAGTGCAAGGGAATGTTTCCACTGCCGAGTCTAGAATGGCCTAAAGGATGTAGAGAAGACGCCAAATATTCGGGTTATATCTTTTATATTAATGCAATAAGAGAAGTGCACATAACAAAGTGTATATACGTAAAATTGCATAAAGTATCCGCAGCTGTTCTGGATTAGTAAGATAAGTGAATCTCATTTGTTTTATATCATAATTATATAATTAATATGTAAATATAAATGATTTACAGAAATGCAGTGTGTTTTAGGGCGAGCGTTAAAAGATGTCATTTTATATGTGTGATGAATAATTAAATCTTTTTGTGGTGATTGGCTGTGATTTATTTATAATAGAAACCGGCAGAATTTATTTTAGAAAGAACTTGCGGTTTTAACGTTTTTAAATTTTTTATTTTGGATACGCAGGGGTTATACTACAGGGGATGGGACGACAAAAGAAGATACTAAATAAGGAATGGGAGATAAGAACACTTTCACAATATGATTATAACTCAAAGAATGGAATTCTAGACAGCCAGGACGATGAGCTGTCTAGTGAAGAGACAAATTATGGGCTTCTGTATGAAGATAGAGAAGAAGACAGCAAAGACTTAAAAAGCAGCAAAAAAGAAAAAAGAGCCTCAACCAGGAGAATAGTGAATAGGCCGGCATCACAGCCGCATATAAAGATGGTAGGTGGAGAAAACCGGCTGTGCTTTAAATATCCAACTAAAATGTCAGAAGAAGGCAAGGGAGACACTGGAATAGAAGAGGTGGAGTTTTCTATAAAATATGACATAGAAAACGTAGACATTGACAAAATGACTGAAAAATTTAAAATGGACAACAGTGTTTACCCACGGGCAAATGTGCAGCAGGAAAGGTATTTAGGAAACAGATGGGAGTATGAAACTGAGGTCAACAAGCTTGCATGGAAGCTTACTGCCCTGAATCCTACTCTTCTTTATGGAAAGAAGGGTATTGTTCAGCGGGCAGTTGACTCATTCAGAAACCTACATAGATCAACTAGCTCAAGAAGAGTTGTTCGCATGAAAAAAATGAATGAAGGAACTCTCAGAAAAAGACAGCCAGAGAATAGCACAGTCAACTCACCTAGCGCAGTTAGTATCACATGGACACAAAAAGGTATTTCTAAGAGGTGCAAGGTCAGAATAGACATAGAAACAATTGACTATGACAAGATTGACAGTGACTTCAAGTTAAAATACTCTGTTTTCAGCGGTGAGTTTGATGACCAGTCGTTTGGGCTTGGTAAGTGGGAGAACATGAATGAGGATAATGTCTTAGCAGTAAAGCTGGCTTTTTTAAACGTAGACAACACCGCCTTTTGGAATGCAGTAAAGGCCACTGACAAAGTGACAATACTCAGAAAAGCTGTTGAGTCTTACAAGACAAAAAAGAACTATGAACAGTCTAAAGAAGAGCCATCTTCTCTTACAGATATGCAGCAAGAGGATCTTTACTTTATAGATCCATCTGAAATGAACTATAGAGAAAAGTCTTTTTACTATTATCTGTAAGAATTCGAAATAAACTAAGATTACACTATTAACTGCTGTTAATATGCTGTGCTGTTCTATAGCAACCTTCCAGTGCAATAATTTCACCTGCATAGGCTTATTTTTCTTGTCAGAATATAATTTTATCAGATATTATTTACTTTGCTAAACCACAGTCACAATCTATGGGCTGTACCAACACATGCTCGTTGTAACTGTTTTTGCTTTTTTTGTTTACCACACATCTATTAATCTTTTTACTAATAACTTGAACATTTAATATAAAAAGGATCTTTATATAACTAGAATAAAAATAAACAAAAAGGAGTAGCATACATTAATACCTAATAATTACACCCAGTCTAGAATCTGGTCTGCTATGTGCAGTTGGCCTGGTCTGCCGTGGACTCGGTAGCTGTTGCCTATTTCTTTAATACAAAGCGCTGGTAACCCGTGCAGTAGGATTCTACGATGAGTTTGCTCTATTGTTTTGGATGGTGCTTGGCATTCTTTAACCAGAGACAGGATGGGCCATTCTATTTAAGAAATGTATAATTTGTATTTGTTTACATCTGCATTTATGTTTATTCAGGATGTGTGGAAGATGATTAAAGATCCGTATCAGAGCAGTCCTGTTCGAATATTAATCGAAATACTGCTGCTTGGAATAGTGCTAAGATATGCATTTAATCGAAAGAAATCGTCAAATGATGTTATTCTTTCGCCAGAAGAGGCAGAGCAGTTGATTGATGAATGGGAGCCGAAGGAGCTAGGCATGTCAGAAGGCATCAATGTGCCAGACAAGTGCAAGGACCCTAAGTATATTCTGTCTACCTTTAATCCATTTCTTTTCAGCAGCACTGTTAAAGTGCCAGAGGATAATCCTTTGCCAATTGAAACAGCACAGCAAAAAAAGGAAAAGCTAAAGGTACTCTCAGATATCATTGAAGAATATGGCGTAGGGACCTGTGGACCAAGAGGCTTCTATGGTACTATTGATATTCATTTGGAGCTGGAAAAAATGCTGGCCGAGTCACTGGGTGTGGAGGGAGCCGTGCTGTATGCGCACTCTTTGCTTGCAATAGCAAGTGTTATAAAGTGCTTTTGTAAAAGAGACGATGTGATTTTATATGACCACAGATCATCTATTAGTATACGGCGGGGTATTTATTCATCCAAGGCCAAAGCAATTTCTTACTCCTCTACCTCTGACTTGAATCTTAAGCTGGCCATGGAGGGCTCTCTCAAGAATAAGAAGTTCATCATTACTGAAGGAGTCTTTGAAGAGACTGGAGAAACTGCCGACATTGCTGCTATAGTCAAGGCACGCTCACACCACAAGGCATTTTTGATTCTTGATGAGTCAGTTAGTCTGCCCATGCTGGGAAGCACTGGAGCTGTTGGGTTCTTTGGTGCAAATCCACTACAAGTTGATTTACGAATTGGTTCTCTCTCAACTGGATTTGGATCGGCTGGCGGATTCTGCGTTGGTTCGAAAGAGGCATCGGATCTACAAAGGCTTAGTAGTTTGGCCTATTGCTTCTCTGCCTCATTGCCCGCGTATCTGTCACAGGCTGCTCTTCTTAACATGACCTCTGTAATTGAGTGGGAAGAGTCTCAGATTGGCTTCGTAACGCAGTCTGTGTCTGAATCATCATCAGAAGAGTCCCAGTACACGCCTGCTATTGACTATCCAGCCAAGAAAACCATCAAATCCCCAAAGTTTGTTTCAAACGTTCTTCGAGAGAAAAACTCTCTAATTAACCAAGATGCTGCTAAAAGATTTCAGTCTGAGTTCAACCGGCTTTCTAAAACAATTCCATTTAGAGCAAAAACAGACCAATTTACACCAATTGCTAGAATAATTCTGCAAGATGACCACCCAGACCCATCAACTGTTTTTTCAGAAATTCACACCGGCCTAATAAATGAAGGCATTTATGCTCGGCTCTCAGAATATCCCAATCCCTCAGTTTTATTTGTGTTTCACAATGCATTCCAGCTGAGCGATGTCTCTTCGCTTGCTAAAACCGTTTACACAATCATTACAGAGGCTTACACCAATGCACTTTCATCTTACCAAGATACTGTTTGATGGCATTGAATTACTGGTCATGTATACTTTTTCTTGTAATTAATCCATTTGCTTTAAATAAAACATATAAGAAGCTTTTTTGTTAACAGCGAATATCCAGGCTTTTCTACCACAGAATGCTAAATGATCGTTAGATTAGAGTCTCTTTATTAATTCATATGTCTCATTTCAGATAATAATCTCTCTTGTCTGATCTTGGCACTCTTTAAGCTTCCCAGTCTCTTCTTTAAGAATTTTCTCATCTTCTTTTCTTCTCCTCTTCTTCCAAAGTCTATGGCCTTCTTTTCGTATGGGGCCAGTCCGCAGATCTCCTTTGCTATGTTTCTAGCTAGTGCTGACTTTTCCATGGCTATTTTGGCAAACTCGGATGGGTTCTGTTTAATGATTCTCTTGTGCTCGGATCTAGAAATAATTTTGGTGGTGTTGTGACCTCTCTCCTTTCCGAAGATGGTGCCGTTTCCGTATGGTTTACCTTCTATTGGCTGTACTGTATTTGGATTTATCTTCATGCAGGGATAAAATAAAAATGAAAATATTTACTTACTAGCAAATTTTATAAATTCTAGCTAAAAAGTATTATTTATAACGGAAACCAAGTACATACGCGCTGCTCAACTAGCCGGCAACATTATTCAAGAATAGCTAATGAATATACTAACCAGAAAGAAAATTTTGTATATTTCTTAGTTTTGCACTTTTTGCTAGTTTTCTTTATGTAAAGTGCAGATTTAAGCACTAGGGCGGACTTGCAGAAATATCTAGCTGGGTTTTAATTAATATTATTTTGTACATGGGCTATGTACGTGTATTGTCAGTATTTAAGGTAGAATTATCTATTTTGGAATTTAACAGCCCGAAAAGCAATTTCAGATCTCCTTAAAGCATAACTAATTTAAATCTATATTGCACAGTACTTGTTGATTTATGCTTATATAGAACTTTTATGCTCGTCTCATACTCTGCCATAAAAATCGGCAGTATAAATACCCTCTAGCGTCTGCATTAACACTGAATATTTATAGAAACAGGAAATATATCAGTGTATACTGTAATGCATTATTATATTTGAGTGCACTAGTATATTCTGGCATATTATTGAATTTTTAGTTTGTTTGCTCTTAAATAGTATATTCATGGCCGGTCAACAGTGTGAGAATCTTGTATTCATAAAATCAAAATGGCGCTTTGCCTTTATCTATAATAAAAATTTAGAGCACCATGGTGTTAAAAAGAGAGAAAAAACAGACCGTGTGCAATAAAAAACACGTATACTCCGAAGAGGCCAGAAGACATCAGATAATCGCGCTGTTTAAAGCCGGAAAGTCGCGCATAGAGATAGCAAGAACTCTTCCTGCTGTATATTCCACTGTGAAGAGGGTTGTGAGCAGATATCTTAAATGCGGCACTGTAGTTAGGAAGGAAGGGTCTGGCCGGCAGAAACACCTGTCTAAATTGGACCAGCTTTTTCTAAAGGAGAATCTAATGAATGACTCCTCACTTTCGCTGCCGGAACTAGCCCGCCTTCTTCAGGAGAAAACAGGAAAGGTTGTGTGTTTAAACGCTATATACTGTGCACTTAGAAGAATGAACTATTCACTGCGCGACACATCATCCATGCCGCTGCTCACTCCCAAGCTTAGGATAAAGCGTATGAGACTTGTGATGGAATAACATCAGAAATGTAAAAGAAAAAGTGTTTAAATAAAATACTTGCAGGCCAGTGCATATGTAAGCAGACACTTTAAAGAATACTAAAAGAATTTAACGGCCCAGCTAGTATACAATTAGAAACTTTAATTTAGTATAAAATGTATTAGAACATTGTCAAAAATATATGCGTGCTTAAGCATCCGTTAAATAGATGTATTAATAGGCAATGGCATATGTTACTATATGCATATTTTAAATAAACTATAAAGTTTTAGAAAAATCCAGTGTATACCATAAAGAATTAAAAAGAAAAGGAAATAAAAGTTAACCAGTATTAAATAGCCCGAGAATATAAAAAGAGGAAATTCTCTGATGAGACATTGATTATTCAATTGACGCATAGCTCATCTTTCATTAAAGTGATATGAACTACCATATGTGTATTTGCAATACTAAAATAAGTTATGCTTTTAAAATATCTATCTTTGATAGAAACCAGTTTGGCTATTTGATTTAAATATATTATCCATATAAAAATGCCATGATATTTTGAGAATAGAGATGGTTTTGTTCCTAAATATTTCTCTTCTTTTAAATTATGTAAGTTGTTGCTTTTTCTTTAAAAGCAAGAGAGAGCTTACATAACTGTTTATTCATGGGTAGCATAATTTAGGATATTTTAAGTTATACCTTAAGTATTTAGTGCATGTGCCAATGCCTTGTATTTATGGTGAATTTGTGTTTAGTATACAGTTTATGTAGAGTTTTCTGAATATAAGGCAGTTCGCATGCTTTGTGCTTATTTATTCTCTTTTTGTTTTTTTCTATCATGAAGCTCTATGAACTGAGAGGAGAGGTAAATAATATAGCAGCAAGATTGGAGAAAGATATTCTTTCTGGTGAGAAGCCTGCAGCAGGCGGCTTAGAGAGCATTAGAGACAATGTAAAAAGGATATACGGGGAGGTGTATCAAATGGAAGCTGCCTCAGAATATCTGATAATTGATAGACATGCAGTCGGAATGGACATAGCACGGGCACTTCTACTGGTTCGCATACTTGATCCAAAAATAGACATAGACATTCCTCTAAGTGCATTACAGCACAACATAAAGCCAACAATTTCCCAGCTTTCCTCCAAGGAAATTCTTGTAGAGGCCATATACATATATATTGTTACAAACCAGCACACGCAGGGAATGATAGAAGCCGTACGGATTCTAAAGAACAAGATGCTGATTAAAAAAACAATCACAAACTGTGAAAGCGCTCTTGACAGGTTTATACTTGAGAGTGTGGATAAAATTGTAGAAACAAAAGTGGAAAACATTCTTCCAATAGCGCAGTGCGAAACAGACAATGACCTAATATTGGCACTAAACACAATACTTGAGGTAAATAATCTAAAATACATTGAGGATGTTCTTTTAAATAACGTATATCCAACTGTAGACATTAGAAATGTGCTGAGGCAGCTTATTCTTATAGACAATATAGACATTAAAAGCGAGATGCTAGAAATATACCATCTGGTACTTCGAATTCTGTTCCAATACATACAGATGAGAAAGAGAAAGGATATTTTCAAAAGTAAAGATGTAATATATGAGGTTTTAGACGATGACTGTGTTGGAATTATGGTGCGAATACTTGAAAAGGATAATGTGCCTAGTAAGATTCGAGTAGAAGTTATGAACATTCTAATTGAAAGTGACATTCAAACTATTAACTATTCCCATATTAATATAGATAATAGCAACTTGGTTCCCTTTATTCGATATGTTGTAAAGAATCCTGAGCAGATTAGGTTGTTAGTTGAGATACTTGAGTCTCTGGAAATTGAAATAGGCGAGGATGGGAACGAGGCAGAAATGTCTAGTCTTATCGTGGTAATGGATTTCTTAAACATCATACTAAAAACATATACAGACAATTCATCAGATGGCGTAGAGGGCGTGTCTGTTGAGGGCGATCTAAGCACAAGAAGTGACGCAGGGATTGAGAGTGTATTTACTGACATGAATGAGATGCACATGAAGCCTACCATGAGCACTGTGCGCATGTCTCTAAATAGCACAGTGTCCATTGAAAAGTATATAGGAAATAGTATAGTTGAGGTATACAACAGCATAATACCAAATTTCTCAAATCCTCTCGTAATATATACGTATCTAACTATTTTCTGCCAGCTGATTAGTGATGGCCAGGCTGATAGTGGATATTATAAAAATCTGAATAATAAAAACAGCCTTTTAAGCCATAGCACCACTGCGCTTGGCACAATCCTAAGAACGCTCAGCATGTATGTTGTGCAGGATAGCATGCTATATGCGGAAGTCCCTGCTGTTAAGCTATACGACCTAAATAGCCCATATAGTGCTATTTGCACTTCAGAATTGCACGCAGACAAGAATATCCTTCTGGAATCAATACAGATGCTTTTTTCAATTATACTGCAGCTGCCTGAACAGATTAAAAGCGCAATTAACACTAGCTATGTTCTAAATATCGTGTTTAGGGTGGTAAGTAAGAATACAGAAAGCATTCCAAGGAATGTGCTAGAATTTATTCGAGGATTTTTCAGTGCATCTATACTCCATAAACTAGCTAATTCTATTGGTGGCAATCTTTATCCGTTTATTTCCATTCTTACAAATAAAGGAGAGCTGGAAACCGTATATAACTTAGTTCAAAATAGCAACAAACTATATAAGGGAATTCTGCAAAAGGACATTATAACAGAAGATGTGTTTTTAGAGTACAAAAACACAAACATTCTCTACAGTCTAATTGGTGCAATGATTGTGCAATATTACACAGAGCACTCAACGCTAAATAATCCTGAGATTAACAAAAAGATATCCATAATATACAACCTAGTTCTATCCAATATTAAAAGATCTCCAAATATTTCTTTCCTTAAAGAAAGCAAGGAGTTTGGGTATTTCTTTAAAATACTCTGTATTGTTGGAAAGCCCCTTGAGTTAGACTGCACAGAGCTTCTTAGTACAGTTCTTTCTGTTACTGGAAATACTGGCGCAAGTGTCAACCAGTGTTTGTCTTCTGTCCTGTATACTTGTGACAGCCGCAATATTGCTGAATTATACTACTTTTATCACTTTATATATAAAGGCATAAAGGAAAATACTAAATTAATCATGGGCAAGGATGCTCCAGAAGAAAAAGATCTTCTGTGCCTGACAGAATTGCATAACCCATACAGCAGCAATACCATTCGGTACTTAGCCCTTTTGGGATTAAATGGGCATGATGTTAAGAACCCTGGCAGTAAAAAGGCATATATGGACTTGGATCTTTCTTCTGTTTCTGTAAATGAAAAAGGTCTTTTTATAAACCAGATATACAGAGCCCTCTTTCTTTCTGGGCAGATCCAAACGGCAAATCATTCATTCTATGCACCACATAGTATAATAAAAAATAGAAATGATTCTTTAAGCACCAGCCAAGAGCAGAGCAAGCCTAACGAATATCAGCCAGCTGAATATGCATATGCAGACATGGCTATTCGATCAGCAATCAAAGCCACACGGGATACGGGTGTTCCAAAAACTCTTCCCCACACTGTTCTAGCGCTTGGCGAGCCCCGTCTTGTTTCAGCTCTGCTGTATACTTTATATGACAAGGCACCGAACTCTGCAATTATTCAGTCCTATATTAAAAAAATGCGGAAATACACGAAGAATGACAATACTATTTTTTCAAGAGTTCTATCACACGTTTCCTTATAGTCTAATGAATAAATAGTTATGTTTTAATGTTAAGTTTTATGTTTTTTCTTTGCTGATATATAAATTGCATAGTTAAAGTGTTCTATATGCAACTTTTTTTAAAGAGCCAGAGAATGTATTTATGCACATATGTGTGTGCAAAGAAAAGAGAGATTAAATTTTTATTTCTTCTGAAAGTAGAACTGTCTCACTTGGTATGATTGTTTTGTTCATTGCAGGGATTCAAATATTTCCTTAAATATGTGAACTATGCATGATTTATTAAAATTAAAATATTATTTATGCCTTACAACATATAGAATCCTAAAATTTCTTATACTTTGTCTTTTTAGATTGAACAATAACCCGAAAACATCCAATTTTTTCTAGTATTTGATTTAAAGTGGATTTAATTATTCTTTATTTACAATTTATACTGTACATCCCACAAAATTTTAATTTATATTTATATATTAGATTGTTCAATATATATTATAGACATTACACTAAATCTAATTTTTGTTTAAGTGCCCAATGGTCGCCACCTTCTTCTTTATTTTATTTGTAGTATATTTCTATTTTAGATTAGTAAAACATACTATATATGTGCATTAGTAATTATTTTATTTAAATGTAAATAAATTTTGAAATTTATAATTCTCTTCACTGGATTACAATATAAAATAAATGTGAAGACTTCTCATTCTATTTTAAGAAATTTAAAGAATATTCACAGAAGAAATTAAAGGAGGGCAGTGCATATTCATAATTTAGGAATACCACAAATTTATAGAAGTAGGGAAAAGGCTCTATAAACATTAAAACCCCATATATTAAACAGACACTTAAACACTCATAGCCTAACAAGACAAACACACAACAAAAACAGATCGCTGTATTCTGGGATACTCTTATGTAATTTAATAAAAACCATACTTACTATAATATATAAGGCATAAATAATATTTTAATTTTAATAAATCATGCATAGTTCACATATAATTCTGTTGAAATGTTTACATAAAATAAAAATAATTTATGACTGATTATTTAACTAATGTTACTCTTAATATAACACTTATATTTTTAAAAAACATTTAATTCATTTATATAGACATTTTGGGCTATAATGATATAATGTCACTCTTATAGTTAATGATACATTGTCATCCAATGCTTATATCTTAAAGCGCGTGCGCATAATCATATGAAACATTTACTTTTTTATTTTTATAAGTAGAAGTACTAGTGCAGTTGATGCTTTTATTAATGTTCTAGTTGAATAAATCTCTGCGTACTTATAAGCATACTCCGAAATACAGTATAAGTAATTTATATTCTTTTGTTCTTAATAACAGAAAATCTTTTCCTTTATGTTTTAGAATATATACTGCACAGTGAATTACTGAACATGGTGGAATTGATCGTTCAATGGGGTTGGAACAGAAAGATATGTTTTTCTAGGTATAAATTCTTTTCTATACTGTTTTGTGCAGCTTGTTGCTGCATTCATATAATTATTTCAGAATCTTTTATTTTTTATATTCATAATGGAGTCTAATGAGTTAATAGTTGGATGCAAAGTGTTGGTTTCTTCCATACAAAATGACACAGTTATTACCAGAAAAGCAGAGGTAGTCGCCATTAGAAACACAGGCGGCGCTATAGAGTATTATATGCACTATACAGGGTTTAACAAGCGACTAGACCAGTGGGTATCACAAGAAAAAGTAGATATGTCTTCAATTGAATTTCCCAAGAAAAAAAAGCAGAAAGAAGATCCAAAAAACAAAAACATATCAGCTGAAGATATTTACCGAGTGAAAAATATCGATCAGATAGAAATAGGAGAGTATTCTGTGGAGAGTTGGTACTTCTCTCCATACCCGAAAACAATGAATAAGACAATAATAATATGTGAGTATTGCTTATACTACTTCAATACAAAGGAAGAGTTGCAGACGCATTATTCTACGTGTGTACATAAAAGGCCTCCAGGAAGACAGATATACAGAAAGGGGGGCATATCTTTCTTTGAGCTTGATGGAATTATCCATAAAAACTACTGCAGAAATCTGTCGCTTCTGTCTAAGCTATTTTTAGACCACAAAACGCTATTCTATGACATTGATGTATTCTTGTTTTATGCAATGTGTATATATAATCCAGAGGACCCAGAAGAAACGAGGGAGTATAAAGTAGTAGGGTATTTCTCTAAGGAAAAAGAGTCTCAGCATGGATACAACATAGCGTGTTTGCTTGTCTTGCCACATTACCAGAGAAAAGGATACGGTAAGATTTTAATTGATTTTTCGTACCTGCTAAGTAAAAGAGAAAGGGTTTCAGCATCTCCAGAGAAACCCCTGAGTGATTTAGGTCTTCTCAGCTATAGAGAGTACTGGATTGGGGTGATATCCCACATACTAATATACAACAGACTTATATCAATCAACGGAATAAGAGACATGAGCAGTATAACAGTAGAAGATATCATACACACCCTTCAATATAATAACATGTTAGTATATTACAATGGGGTTCCTGCAATAGTTCTAAGAGACGACTTGATTGCAAAATATAGTGAACCAAGGGGAGTGCAGCTAGACCCAGACTATTTGCTGTGGGAAGCACAGTAGGCGCGCACACAATAATAGAATCGTAAATTATATAACCTAATAAATCCACACATAAATAAATTAACATATAATAATTTTAGGCCATTTAATCTCACTACCCTTTTTTGTTTCATGCAGCTTTCTTTTTCTAATAGTACTTTTTACTCTTTATTTTATAATACTTCTCTATAAGTATTTTTCCATTTTATTATAGGTGTGCCATAGAAGGTGTCTAATGCAGAGAAAAATTGGCCTATATTTAGTATACACTATATTTAAGAATATACTATTATCTATGTTCTGTGTTTTGGAGTATATCTAAGAACTAGGATGAACTAATTAATATACATTAAAGAACAAAGGAGCTATGCTTGGTAAGACTGTGTGGCTATATATATTTTTAAATTACGTAGAGAATCTTTAAATTGGCAACCCCCGATCAAACTGATCACTTTATTAATAGTCGACGTGATGTAAAATCATTTACTCTACCAGGATTAAAAATAAAGAATTCTTTCTTACTATAATCTCGGGGGCTTGTTCGATTTCGCATCTATTTTATTTTATTTATTTTTAAAAATAAATGGGCTCGGATATTTCTATACGGAGAGTGGAGAGTATTGAATTCGGTATTTTGTCTCCTGAGGATATTATAGCAATGAGCGTCTGCAAGATAGAGCACCCAGAGACAATGGAAAGTGGAGTACCTAAAGAAGGAGGACTGGTGGATTTGCGGTTGGGCACTTCAGAGAGGGGGTTTCTTTGCAGCACGTGCGGGCACAGATCAGATAGCTGTGTAGGACATTTTGGGTATATCGAGTTAGCAAAGCCAGTGTTTCACATAGGATACATAGGAAAAATAAAAAAGGTGCTAGAGAGCGTGTGCTTCTTCTGTTCAAAGCTTCGGGTGGAGAAGAGCATCTTGCACTCACCCAAGCCAAGGACACAAAAAGAAAGAAAAAGAAGATTAAATTACATATGGAATTTGGCAAAAAACAGAGCAGTGTGCATGGGAGAGCTGGTTGAAAGTGAAGACAATCCTGAAGAGAAGCAAAGAACTGGGTGTGAAAACCGGCAGCCAACTATAAGAAAAGAGGGTCTACACCTGCTTGCATTTCAAAAGGGCGAAGAGTCATCTGAAGGAAAAACCATGCTAAGCGCTGAAAAGGTTTTAGAGATACTTAGAAGAATTCCAGAAGATGACATTGAAGCGCTTGGGTTTGATTTGGAAAAGGCCCGGCCTGAGTGGATGATTATACGGGTACTTCCCGTGCCGCCTCCACAGGTTCGGCCGTCCATTGTTATGGAGGGATCTTTAAGATGCGAGGATGATCTAACACACAAGCTGGCAGATATAATTAAGGCAAGCAACAACCTTAAGAGATATGAGCAAGAAGGTGTAGCAGGGCACATTATTCGGGACTACGAACAGCTTCTTCAGTTTCATATTGCGACTCTAATGAACAATGATATTTCTGGGCAGCCACAGTCTCTGCAGAAGAATGGAAGGCCGCTTAAGGCAATTAGAGCAAGGCTGCGAGGTAAAGAAGGCAGGGTAAGAGGAAATCTTATGGGAAAGCGTGTGGACTTTAGTGCGCGTACTGTTATCACTGCGGATCCAAATATAAGCATGAACGAGGTGGGTGTGCCAGAAGAAATTGCAAGAATGCTAACCTTCCCAGAAAGGGTGACCGAGTACAATATTGACAAACTAACCCAGCTTGTGCACAGAGGGCCGTATAATCATCCAGGCGCGAACTATGTAATAAGAGATGATGGGCAGAAGATAGATCTGCGATTTCACAAGGGCGAGGTACATCTGCAGTGCGGATATGTGGTTGAAAGACATTTGAGCAATGGAGACACCGTGCTGTTCAACCGACAGCCATCTCTTCACAAAATGTCAATGATGGCGCACAGAGCACGGGTGATGAAATACTCCACATTTAGGCTTAACCTTAGTGTTACAGCGCCGTATAATGCAGATTTTGATGGGGATGAGATGAACTTGCATCTGCCGCAGTCAATACCTGCGCAGGCTGAGCTGAAAGAACTGGCTCTGGTGGAGAAGAACATTGTTTCTCCGCAGAGTAATAAGCCAGTTATGGGTATTGTCCAGGATACGCTGATGGGGGTATATAAGCTCACGAGGAGAGATCTTTTCTTAACAAGAAGCCAGGTTATGCACCTGCACTATGCAATTGACAATGGAAGCAAGCCTATAAAGCCAACAATACTGCGGCCAGCTGTCCTGTACACAGGAAAGCAGATCTTCTCAGCAACACTTCCAGACGTTACTTATAAAGGGCTTCATTCTGAGCATGTGCACGGAAAGAACTATAGAGCAAACCCAATGGATAGCGAGGTTGTGATAAAGAATGGAGAGCTTCTTGCAGGAATTATATGTAAAAAAACCGTGGGGACTGCGTCAGGTGGGCTTATTCATGTGATTGCCAACGATTTCCCGAGAAGCGTGTGTGTTGATTTCATTGATGCACTGCAAAGGGCAATTAGTACCTGGCTTATGGCGTATGAGACATTCTCTGTTGGAATTGGGGATACGATTGCAGACCCGTCCTCCATGGATATGATCAAAGAAGCAATTGAGCAGGCAAAGGGGGATGTAAAGGACATTATTGTACAGGCAGAAAGCAATAATCTTGAAAGACTTCCCGGCCTTACCATGCGTGAGTCGTTCGAAGCTGCGGTCACCCTTGCGCTAAACAAAGCAAGAGATACAAGCGGTACATCCACACAGAAAAATCTAAGATCCCAGAACAATATTAAGCAAATGGTGGTGTCTGGATCAAAGGGTTCGTATATTAACATTTCGCAGATGAGTGCATGTGTGGGCCAGCAGAGTGTGGAGGGGAAAAGAATCCTTAACGGTTTTAGAGACAGATCCCTCCCACACTTTACAAAGGATGACTTCACAGCAGAGTCTCGAGGGTTTATTAGCAGCTCTTATGTAGCAGGCTTATCACCAGTTGAGTTCTTTTTCCACGCAATGGGAGGAAGAGAAGGACTGATTGATACGGCAGTTAAAACGGCCGAGACAGGATATATTCAGAGAAGGCTAATTAAGGCGCTGGAAGATGCTCAGGTCCGGCATGATAAGAGTGTGCGAGATGGAGAAGGGCATGTTATACAGTGTGCATATGGAGGAGACTGCTTCGATGCAACATATGTGGAGATGCAGTCGCTGGCCCTCTTCTGCTCACTCGAAAAATTTTCTGAAATGTACATTATAGATTACTCAATTCTTTCAGACTACCATCTTTCGCCATCTATATTAAGCTCATTGAGGTTACCCAAAACCAAGGCGCTTTTAGCTGCAGAGGTGAAAATGCTGCAGGAGGAGGCAAAGAAGCTGCAGAGCAAGCACTCAAAAGGGAAAAAGCCTCTTCCGGTTCCTTTTGAGAGAATATTCAGAGTGGCAGGAGAAATGCGATCAGCAATTTCATCTTCTTTTCCGGGAGTGGCTATAAAGATGGGGGAGGCAGGAAGCCAGATGGGCAAGCACAGCCGCTTGCCGCAATATGGATCAAGCACATACCCAAATGGCATGGACATGGAGAATATTAGGTGGAGCGGAGAAGATCTTCTTCCAGAGACAATTATTAAAACACGGGAGGCATTAGAAAAGGAGCTGCAGGCAGCAATCAGTCATGTAGATGAAATATCCGAGATTGCGTTTTCTTTATTCAGAGCGCATCTTCGGGGGTATTTCACTGTGAAGCGAATACTTTGTGAATACAAGCTTTCTTCATATGCATTTAACTGGGCGGTAGATCAGATACGCACCTCTTTCCTTAAAGCTATAGTTTCAGCTGGAGAGATGGTGGGGACACTAGCTGCGCAGAGCATTGGTGAGCCAGCGACGCAGATGACTCTTAACACATTCCACTTGGCTGGTGTAGCCAGCACTGTGACAAGAGGAGTGCCGCGCCTTAAAGAAATAATCAACGCTGCCCAAACAATTAAAACCCCATCTCTTACAATCTATCTAAAAGAGGAAATACGGCATACGCTTGAAGGCGCAAAGAGAGCGCAGCAGGAAATAGAAAGATGCTATCTTAAGGACATACTTTTAAAGTCTGAGATAATATATGATCCAACGATGCGCGCGGTCAAGGCGGATGAAGACTTCATATTTGCGTATGGTATACTTGATCCAACTGTGTACACACCAGACTCGCCGTGGATGCTTAGGCTAGAGCTGAGCAGAAGCGCAATGGTGGACAGAGGTATCAGGATAGAGCAGGTCGCAAAAACGCTTTCACACAGCACTACGTACAGGTGCATGCACAGCGACCACAACTCTTCAGAGCAAATCATCCGTTGCGAGCTGCCAAATAATGAAGAAGCGCTGCGAAAGATAGAAACCGGCGTTTCATGCATTATGGTTAAGGGGATGCCAAAAATTAAAAGGGTGTTTATAAGTGAAATAGGCACAGAAGATAAAAAAGAGTTTGTCCTGCAAACAGAAGGAACTGGGCTGCTTGATGTGCTTAGCCATCCACTAATAGACCCCACACGCACTGTGTCAAATGATCCGCTAGAGATGTGCAGAGTCTTTGGTGTTGAGGCTGCAAGAACCAGCATTCTTAATGAAATTAGACTGGTGATAGAAAGCGATGGATCGTATGTGAACTTCCGGCACTTGGCGATTTTGGCTGATATAATGACACAAAGAGGAATTATATGCGGTATCACGCGGCATGGCACAAACCGAGGAGAGTCTGGTGCTCTTATGCGGTGCTCATTTGAGGAGACGGTTGAAATTTTGCTTGAGGCGGCTGCCACTGCTGAGATAGATAGATGCAAGGGAGTGGTTGAGAGCGTTATGCTGGGGAAGATTGCCTCAATAGGTACAGGAATAACAGACGTGCTAATTGACAAAAAGAGCATTGAGCTTGGTGTTATGGCAATGGAGAAGTATTCATTTGAGGATGAGGAGGATATTTCTGATGAGGGAACCCCCGTAGACCTTCTTTCACCTTCAAGCACAATACACTCCGACCACACTGTTATGTCAAGTCCGTCAGACAGGTCCATACATGGATGGTCGCCGCAGAATACTGAAATTGGATATACTGCATCAAGCCCCAACATATCATATGGATATTCTAGTGGTGGGTATGCGCCATCATCTCCTAACATTGTGCACTCTCCATACATGCAGGGTGTATCTTCACCTAGCCACGAATATGTTCCCATGACGCCCAGAAGGATGCCAGGAGTACACAACAATATGGGCGGAATGAACAGCGGGGCATACAGTATCAGCTCTCCTAGCTCACAGAAGCTGTACTCGCCAGTTCCATTCACACCTGCATATGGGTATGGTGCCATGGGCGATGACAGCGATGAGAGCAGCAGTAGCAGCGATGAATTCAAGAATCCTATACAAGATGAATAAGCTCTGTCTTATCCTAGAAGTGGAAATCAAAAATGCTATAGATTTCTTCATGCTCATTTTGAAATAAACATGCATCATAATTACTACTCTATTACAGTTTATTAGCAAGCCCTAGGGATAGATTGTTTTGTTCCTGTAGTAGTTGCTAGGTATTTTTATTGCTGGATATTTAGTTCTTATTCTTTCATTGGATTTACTGCACTGTGAATAAATATAAAATACAATTATTAGAAAATAAAATATTGCTTCTATTGGAATAATTAAAATTTAGGCTGCATTATAGCCTGAAGCCCAAGCTGCAGAAATATTATGTCACCGCCCAAAAGCGGAATTTTAGAAATAAGTTCTTTATACTAGCCAATCTCTTTATAGCAAGCAAACAATGCATAGAATGTTAAATTTGCCTTTAAATATTATTTTAAAAAATACTAATAAATACAATTTTAATGTACTTGATTTTAAGTACATTATAAAACAATATAAATTATAATTTGAGAGAAAATTTAGACAGTGCGCCACATATATACTGTGCATGCAACACTATAAATATTATTTATTTTGCTCTGGCATACCTTCCTAAAATATATATCTTGAAAATAGTAGAAGTACTACATTGGCGTACTCTATGTTCTATTTATTATGATGTCTATGCACGGCGCGCCAGAGCTTCTTAGATAAACGCAGTCTATTAATATTTCTTATGTGATTTTATTTTCTATTTTTAAATTTTGTTATATTTGTAATATGTGGGTATAATTCAAATAAAAACCAAATGAGCAAAAATGTATAAATAAGCATTTGGGATTATGTAAGGGTGGCATATGTAATCTAAAACAAAATATAGTACAGAAAATAAGATTCCTGATATATTTGTTATATGTATGCATTAAATTATCCTATGCAGCGTTAAATTTCAGATTTTTATTTCAGTGCATTCTGATTTAAGATTGTTTGTTTAGGCATTAGAAGTTTTTGTTTTTATAGATCTGAATAATTCTTCTGTTATTCTAAAATGACCTGCTTGTGTCTTGGATAAAAAATCTTTTCTTTTCTTAAATAAATGAAGAGTCTCTCTATTGGCGCAGAAGCAACTGTTTACAGAAACAACAACTACATTGTAAAAATAAGAACACCAAAGAAATACAGAATAAGCGAAATTGACACTTCTATACGAAAAAGTAGAACAAAGCTGGAGAAGATGCTTTTGAAGAGAATAGAGCACTTAGATATTTCTCCAAAGATACATGATATGAGTGTTCTGCCAGAAATATCAGATAGTACTATTTGCTTAGACGAAAAATATGCTATATGCATGGAACATCTGGAAGGAGAAACTCTAAAAGAGGCAATTATTAAAAACAGTACGGATGCCAGCTATATAATTAGTCTGCTTTCAGATGTTTATAAGTGCATAGGCCAGCTGCACGGCCAACAAATAGTGCATGGAGATCTAACACCTAATAATGTTCTTCTGTGCAGCGGAAAAGTGAAAATAATTGATTTGGGTCTAGGAAAAATATCAAATAAAATAGAAGACAGCGCAGTTGATCTTTACGTCTTTGAAAGAACAATTATGTCATTAGCAGGAATTGTACTGGAGAGCATGAGTGAAGCAATTGAAGCGGCTTATATAAATGGAAATGTGAAAAAAGGAAAGGAGACCCTAGGAAAGCTAAAGGAAGTACGAAGGCGTGGAAGAAAGAGAGAACTTAATGCAGTTGGTTAGGCAGTGCTAGTTTACACATATAAAATAGAGTAGTTTGCTTGATCTAATCTAATGTGATTTTTTAGTATTTTATTTGTATTCTTTCTAATTTAAATATTTCATATTATTTTGTTTTTAATGTGTAGCTTTTATCTTCTAAGAATATACGAAATGTAAAAATAAAAAATAGGAAAAGAATCTAAAATTAGATGACTTGAAATTTAATCGCAGCAAATGTCTGCCAAATAAATAAAAATAGAGATAATTTTATATTACAAATTATTTATTTATAAATTAACTGTGAAAATATCAGGAAACGTAATAAGTAGTGTATTATATACAAGGGGTTTAAAGTAAAATCCAAAACAATAAATGCCCACACTAATTTAAACCATCTTCCGAAACTAAACGGTTTTTTTACTTAGCACTATTTTCTGTTTAATTTTGTGTGGAGTGGTATAAGTTGGTTACTCCCATGCACATTATTAAGACTCATTTTAACTTTTTATTATTCTTACCTTATATGGCTTGAATTTCCAACTATACAGCTCTATAAGACTTCGCGGACATGGGCGTGAGGCTCCCACGTTAGGCATGGTTCCTCATATGATAGAAACCAACAGTATACACTAATAACTGTCCTTATATAGAGAGGGTTAAAGCACAAAATTGGCATAATATAAAAACAAGGGGTGTTATAGAACAAGAATAAATAAAGGAGAGAAATCTCCCCGAAAAAAAGATAGAATGGTAAGAAAGAGGGAAAGAGCGCATAGTAAAGGATATATATAACAGGACAAGTTTATAAGTGCCTACAAGAATTGCGTTATATATTGTATATATTTAAACTTATGTATTTTAGAATATTTTAATAATACTTTTACTTTTATAGTATTTGCATTAAGCTATATTTGAATTTTAGAATAATATGAATTTATATATTGAAAATATGTTTATAGTATTCGGGTTATATTCAGAAATTAAAAGATACAATACAGATCAATCTGTTTTACTCAACTTCAGATTTATAAATGCCAAGCGAATATAAAAAAAGCTCTTGTATTATGAAGTATGTAGAAGACAGAACAATGTGAAAGTTTTGGTTTATGCTTTGTGCCTCTTTGCTTTAATAAAAAATATTTATATCCTGCTTGAATATGCTAGCACAGGGAGCTGACTTAGTGTTATCAGCGCGAGGTAGCAAAATATATGTCTATAGTATGGCAGAAGGAATGCAATTAAAAAGTACAATTAAAGGAAACTCCCAGGTTTCTGCGGCTGCGTGTGCTTTAAACGATTCATTTTTGTTAATTGGAACAGTAAGTGGGCATCTATACTACTACAACACAATAGAAAAAAAAGAGCTGATTACTTTAGAAGAGTGCGAAGAGATAGCCAAGATACCACTTAAAATTACATGCATATTCATTTTAAATGATATTGTATATGTTACATCTGAGACTGGTACAATTAGAATATTTTCTATTCAGCTGGTACAGAGGGCTGCAAATACAAGTACAACTATAAATACGACACTCACAGAAGGTAGCGCCGAAAAGGATGGATGGATGGAGGAGATAGAGTCAATTGGAGAATCTACAGCAGATACACTCAGCATGAACATTAGTAGAACAGAAGGAACCCACCATGTATTTAAGTATATGAGAGAGATAAAACACACTACACCAATAACCTCTACTGCAGTATGCGGCTCCAACATATATATACTGGATATGAGAGGAAGGGTTATTGTGTTTCCGTCAAAGGTTGTATATGACAATATTTCAGATATTTATTTTAGGAAGTATCTATTTTGTATTGATGAGTGCACTGTATTTGCAGAAGTTGGTCGGGTTTTTACGTCAGTGTACTTTGCAAAATCCCCAATAAAGTATATATCAAGTACAATAGAGGGAGGATTCTTTTTTATATTAACAGAAAGTGAGCTGGAAGTAATGAAAATAGAGGAAATGGGAGGAAAGCGGGTGTACTCACAAAAGCTGTCCAAGGAAACCGAAGAGATTGTGGTAGATTCAAAGAGGTCTCTGATATATGGCATGCACAATGGAAAGCCTACAAGAATAGATCTAAACTATGTGTGGATCGACAAACCAATAGAAGATCTAAAGATAGAAGGAAGTACAATTAAAGAGGTGCGCAGAGAAGAAGAGCCAGATGTGGAGGGCGATGAATACTTTGACATACCAAATGTAAAGGCTGTGAAGGACATGGCGCTGCCTTCTGTTAAATATGCATCTGGGAATGTTAAATTGAACCTGCGCAAAGGCGCATTTGATTTTAGTTCAGACTCAGATGAGCATGATAGTAATGCAAATCAGCATAATTCAGATATTGAAGATTTATTTGAGTCTGGCGATGGGTCTCCTAGTGCAGAAATGCCAGAATACGGGCACTCCCATCTTTTGGAGACGACTGCAGACCCTGCGCCGGTAACAAGCACAAGAAAGCACTGTGTTTTAAACAAAATATGCGGTCCTGTATCAATTACTAACAATCAAGACCGATTAGCCTATTGGTCAGCAGAGTGCAGTATTAGGGTATCTGATCGAATGGATTATAAGCAGATTGAGGTTGTTACGCGGGCATCCTCTGTTGAAGTTTCCATTTTGAAAGAAACGGGGGATATTATGCTAGCTGCAGCGTCCAAGTTTATTCTTGTGCTATACACAGGAGTATATTTAAAGATATATCAAAGTGCATGTGGAATATTTTCTGAAATTTCATTAGTACATAAGATAGAAACAAAAAACAGAGTAGAAAGAGTTGTTTGTGGCGAAGAATTCTTCTGCATAGTAAGCGAATGTGGCCTATTATCTAATGTGTCTGTGTATTCCAAGACCCTAAAAGAGCTGTTCTGTTTAGTTGGTGCTGTTAAAGGAATTGCAGCAAGCGGAGAGTATTTAGGAATTATTTTAGAAGAGGGAGAAGGTGTTTCGGTCCGGGCATTCAGATATGTGAATGGCACAGTTCGAAGTATAAGCAGCGCATATTTCAATAGGCAATCAATTGATTTTTGTGGAATATCAAATACTGGGGTGTTTGTTTTTGAAGTTTCCTCGCTTTTCTATATCTTGGGCATGTCTAGAATTATTGGTCTGTCCAGCACAGTGGCAGGGGTTCCTATTTCCGTGGTTGGTGAAAACATAGCGTACTTATTAGAAAATGAAAATGGGTCTATTACCATATACCCGGAGGCAGTTCAATACAGTCGCATTGTGCGAGAGTGCTGCTTAGGCAAGAAAACGAATATTTATGCAGAAATCGAACAAGAAATGAATGATATTCCTGTTAGTTCAGTGCTAAGCAGTGAGTTGCTGCGTAATGGATCTACAGAAAGTGATCAAACAGCAGTACCTAGATCAGAAGAAGATGAAAATACTATTTTTATCAAAAGGGCGCACAAATCAGTAGAAACTATCCCACGCAAGCCGAATACTAGCTATTCAGATATAAGTAAAGTTGAGTATCCAACCATGCACACACCTACAAAAAAAGTAAAGCACTCAAATCCATTTGCAAGGAATAATACCACACAAAGCAAATAGAAAATGCAGTAGGGGGGTTCTGTATTAAATATTCCATAAATATTTCTGTTTTTCTTATAGCGGCTTTCATTGTTTCTAATTATTGTTGCAGATATACTAAATTCTCTGTTCTATTTATTCTTTTTCCTCTGCCCATTCTAATAGCGCCATGTGTAAATCTTTTTGTGAAGTCTTAGCTCCTGGAGTGTGCACCAAGTAGTCCAAGGCTAAATTTCCTTCGTCTGGAACAGCTACAGTCTTATACCGCTGACTAATATGTGTAATAAATAATTCGCATGCTTTAGATTTCTTAAATATATCTAATGCCTCAGGAATAGTTGAATGCATTGTGTGTTGCGCCTGAATGTACTCTTCTTCTTCAAATGTGCCCTCATGCACCATTAAGTCTGCGCCAAATGAAAGATCTGCAAACTTAGTATTTGGCCTTGTGTCTCCAGAATATGCAACAGAATATGCTACATTATCTGCATACTCCTTGAGTAAAAAGCTATAGCTTTCGTGTATGTGTAGTGCGCTACACATAGATAGTTTATATTTAAGTGTTAGCGCCTCTGGGCAGCTAAGATTCGGTTCAACTATTACTGGAAGGTTAATAAAATCAGCAAATGATACAGCATTACAGGATGCTTTGATTTGTAGAATAGCCTTTTTAATATCACACGCCGGCTTGTAGTTCAATGGATCTACAGTTCCTGTGCGGCTATATATATTTTGCTGAATTTTAATAACAAGCCTCTCTCTTTTCCCAGATATACATATATACTCTGTATGTTCTTTTTTATATACTTGAACAGACAAATCTGCGCGATTTTGAACAAAAATACACGATGTTCCGTATTTCTCTAGTGCAGGAACTAGGCATTTGTGGCCAAATACAATTACAGCTGAATTACCAGCTAAATTACACCGGTTTAAAACACTAAGCGTTCCCAAAACATGATCGGCATGGCGGTGTGTCAATATTATCATATTTAAACTAGCATAATTATATCTGTTCTGTATGCTTATCTTGTTAAGCTGTGTCCCGGTATCTTCACCGCAATCAAAGAGAACTGCTCCATTCTGAGATGTTATAAGAATAGACGATACATTTCGAATTACTCCAGGAACAGCGGCCGCAGTGCCTAGAAACACTGTATGTGGCTTGCTAATAGGCAAATTGCTGTTGTTAGTGGCTGAACTATTTCTTGCTGTTTCAATATCATTGTCTTTAAGAAGAACCTCTCTCTTCCACTGATTATGGACGGTCAGTTCATTACGACCAGTATAGTTTATAAAAGATTGGTCAATTAACACTTGGCTATTGCGCAAATATTTTGTATGGCATAATTTGTACACACGGGGCCTAATTAGTGGCGTGTAAACTGGGCATATTTTATTGTAAAAGTCTTTAACACAATCCGCCTCTACTTCAGACTTTATTAGAATGTATTGTGCCACTTCTGTTATAGTTTTTGCTGTTTTGTTGTGTAATACTACTTTGCATTTTATTTCTTTTTCTACACTAACAAGTGTTTTATGCTCTATTTGAGTGTTTCTAAATCCTTCTGGCGCTCCTCTTATAAATATTTCTACTCTTTCATTTCCTACAATAAAAGACTGTATGTCTTCTACAGATATTGAATAGTTCTCTGATAAGACCGTTATAACAACTATTTTAGGGTACTTTATCTCTTTGTTTCTAAATTCATCTACAAAGTATTCCACGCCCTCTTTTACAATTCTGCCTGTCTTATTCAGTGTGGCAAGATCGCTCTTGCTAGATATTCCTTTCTCTGCCGCCTTTTCTACATTAAAACTTGCTTTTTTATTTGGAAGTGTGACTGCTGTATAAACAAGCCCTTTTCTTTCTTCTATGCACACATCTGCAATTCTTTCTGGACATTTGTTATCATACTTGCCAAAAAACTCCAGATTTCCTATACCCATTCCAACTTCTTGAATTCTTCTAGCGATTTTTTCTGTACTTACATATTTAGTGTGCCTCTTTCCTTCGTGCATTGCGGTAGTTAGCATCCCGGATATTGCTGGAACTATTTCATATTCACTGCATATGCAGATAACCTGGGCCTTTGACGACTTTATCTTGTGTCTTCCCATATACCGCTGCATTCCCTCAAATCCTCCTATTATAATATAGTTTGATGTTGTTCTGTTGATGATTCTGAGTGCAGTGCCACCCTCTGTGGAGTTTATTGCTATTTGGTACATTTTTGTATTTTTATATTTTCAGTTTTTAACTCCCCTGCAATGGGACTAACAAGAAATGGAGAACACAAAAGAAAAAACACGGGTGGAAAGAAATCAGTAAGAATTAGTAGAAAGAAGCACGCCATTGCTAGACAGCCAGCAAGCACAAAGGTTGGAATAACCAAAGTAAAGCAGCTAAGAGTTAGAGGAGGAAGATACAAGATGAGAGCATTGAGATTAGCCAGCGGCAGTTTCACTCTTAAGACACACAACACCACAATGAAGTGTGCTATTAACCAGGTGATCTACCACGGAAGTAACAATGAGTTAGTAAGAACTAACACATTAACCAAAGGATGTGTTGTAAAGCTAGACCCAACTGGTTACACCCCAGTAATAGAAAAGATTCTTGAGGCAGAAAAGGACATTTTGGACATTGATCCAGTATTTGTCGATGAGTTCAAGCAAGGAAACTTATACGGAGTAATTACATCAAGACCCGGTCAGTCTGGAAGTGCCGATGGTCACATATTACAGTCTGAAGAGCTCAGCTTCTACCTCAGCAGAGTGAAGAGCAACAAACAGAGAAAATAAATAATGTGGTGCTTTTTTATCCTTATACTTCCTCTATTTATAGTTTTGTGTACCGGTAAATCGCCATAAAAATGAATATATGTAAGGCATACGCGAAAGCCTTCTTATGTATTATTGCATATAGTGTATATTATTTATTTGCTTTTCTTTATATTTTTATGATGGCCAGAACTCTCGCACACACAACTGAATATGGAACGGCTCAACAATGATATTATTATATTATTAAATACACGATATATTAAAAGAATGATTAGACATATGGTATATAAGTATTCTTAGTGAATATTCCAATATTTTATTTCTTTTAATTATTGGTTCATTTCTAACCATAAGAAATACTTTAAAGAGTTATTTACACACCTTCTGATACTATTACAGCGCATAGAAAGCATGCTAGTACCTACAATTCTACTTGTAAATTGCGGCCCATTACAATACTTGTCTATCTTAGAATATTCAGATGCTGATTGGTTGGTGCATAAATTCATTGGTTGATATATTTACAATTAGATTGGTTAATACAAGCATTAAAAAGTATCCTTTGCGGAGTATATACATGAGATTCAATATAGAGCACTTTCTATTTATAAGTATTTTTGTTATGGTTGTGTTTTCTATTTCTGCAGTTATTTCTGATACAACCGCCACCCCTGCACCTTCTGCTGCACCAACTGCCAATAACAACACACCAAGCAACCAAGATGAAAATAATTCTTCAAAAAAGAAATAATGTAGAAAGGATTTCTCTGTACATAAATAGAGATGGATTAGACTATATATAGTCTATGTTGCTATAGTCTTTAGATTGAATATTTTTAATACCTTCATTATTGAGTTTTCTATTACTGGCATTAAGAGTTAACAAGGTTTTAAAGAGATTCTTGCCACACCCCGGTATATTTTCAAATAAATTGCTCTTTTCTTCCTTTTTAATCGGAATAAATCCGCCAAATGGGTACTTGCTTAACATTTCTTTGTCTTTTTTTGTTACACCTAGTTTAGTGACTATTTCTATTATTTGGTTCATTTCGCAGTCTCCATTGAAGCAGACTTCATTATACAAAATCTCCCAAAATGTGCATCCCGCCGCCCATATATCAACCTCACAGCCATAATCCCTGCTGCCTATCAAAACCTCCAAAGGAACATAATGAAGTGTTCCAACAATGCCGCTTTTACTCAAATTGACATTATTTAGTTCGATTTTTTCGTGAATATTATAATATTTATCATACTCGATCTGTTTTATAATCATTTCTTTTACTTCATTCTTAAATATTTCTACTTCTTTTGTTGTGGGGAGTGTTGTGGGATTGTTTTCATTCCCCTTTCTGCTATCTGACAATCTATCTTCTTTTATGTATTTAGCTGTGCCAAAGTCTGTTATTTTTACATTCTCCTTGTATATTAAAATGTTTTGTGGTTTAATGTCCCTATGGATTATTTCTTGGCTATGGAGATATGATAGGCCATCTGCAATACACTTTATTATATAGTACTTATATTCTGTTGATTGTATTGGGAATATCTCCTTTAAATTCATTTTATAGTACTCCATTGCAAACCATCTTTTACCTATCGAATGTATAGTAGAATGCATTTCTATTATATTTACATGGTTTAGCTCTTTAAGTATTTTTATTTCCTGGCTTTTCTTGTTTTTAACTACTTTTATAGCCAATTTTATTGGAATTTTATTTGATTCTCTGGTCTTTTCTATACAATAGATGGAAGAGTGATTTGTTTCATATATTTTCTTACATTTGGCCTGCATAGCGATAATATGGCAAAGAAAAGTTTTAATTTAAGAAAAATTAATTTGTATCTTGGCTAAAACAGATGAAGTGCACCACATGTAATAAAGAAGTTGAAAATAAAAAAGAGCACTATAAAAGTGCAATACATGAAGAAAACTCTAAAAGGCGATTGGCGGGCATAGAACCCATGGATAGTCTGGAGGTAAAAGAGTGCGAGAGTATAAGCGTAAAAAAGCCAGAGACTAATAATAAACGGACAGAAGAAACTGGCGTGTATGCGCTAAAGGAGAATGAGTGCCTATACTGCGATGAGATAGTCAGCGGCGAGTATATTGAGCATTTAGAAATGCACGGATTTAAACTGCTTCTTCCTCAGTATATAGTGAATGTGTGCGGTTTGATAAAGCATTTAAAAGAAAAGATTGGATACTGCATGTGTACTTGCTGTAATAAAAGGTTCTCGTGTATTAGCAAAGCACGCAGCCATATGGTATCAATGCATCATATGAACTATATCAACACGGAGGAATATGACAGTTTTTATAGCTATCCAGAGAAGGGCATTGGATATATTTCACAGGATGGAAGTGAGCTGTACTTGCCATCTGGAAAGATTGCTGGAAACAAGAGGTACAATAAGTACTATGCACAGACACTGAGAGATATAGAATACTACCAAGATATGAATAAGAAACACACACAAGTGGTGACAAAAGAGGTACCAGAGCAGACAGAAGAAGAGAAATTAAAGATAAAACAGTTTACTCAGCGCTTTGAGAGAAACAAACTCAAAATAGGAAGAAGCAATAATAATCAAAAACACTTTAGAGATGACTGGATGCAATAGGTATATTTGCATTGGGTTGTTTTTTCAGTGTGCTATGAAATATTCCAAAAGTTTGCAGACATAGAGCGTATCTTATTCTGAAATATGAGTTAATATTTCAATTGAATGCAGAGATGTGTGCTAGGGGAATTTAGGATGGTTCGTATGAGTAAATAGCTGTCTGCATATAGATTTGTAGAGATTGCATAATTTAAATATTCTCGTCTAATTTAATTTTCAGTTATATTTTAGAGTATCTCTGATTATATTTAGAAGACGAAGGCGCTTAGTGTTATAATAAAGGGTCGGCACAAAATAAATTTTTCTTTATTATTAAAAAATAATTATATAGTTATATGTATTCGGGTTATCCAATGCATTGCTTCTCTTATGCGAAATAATAAAATAACACTAAACATAAAGTAGATCTTTTTTAAACAGTAAAAAATGTTGTTTCTAGCGCACAGGGGTTTATAGTGAATTCGGCCTATATTGTTTATTTTAGATATTAATTGATAAATTGCTGATTGTTAGTCATTTGTTTGCACTTTCTTCTGTATACACCAACTTCTTTCAGAGGGGTCTTATATTTTGCGTCTTGCTATTTTTGGCACATGTATTCCTTAATTAATTAAATAAATTATTTTTTGTGTGTACTTTTGGAAGAATAAATACAAATCTATTCACACTGTAAACTTAGTTATATAAATTGTGTACGCATTATTGTATTATTTGTAAAATAAAAACATTTTAAAATAATTATAGTAAAAATAGCTTAAACCACAGTAGAAAAGATAAAAAGGTCTATTCCAAGGTAAGCTCATTAACAGGAGAAAAATCATGGCAAAAAATTGCTAACTCATCGACTAACTGACTTATAATAATTTCTAGTAATAATATGGTATCACACATATTCTGTAAAGTCAGAAAAGAATTTGCTACCTGTTCATTGCTTATGGAATCCTCTATTTGTAGAATCTTTATAATGCACATGCTGATATAATCATTTGCTGAGCAGAGCTTAAAATCAAGTGAGATTTTTTCTTTGTTCCAGGTACAAAACATATTATTAAAATGCCCTAAATACCTTTTAAACACAAAAGAAAAGAACAATATTTCATCCGAAAGATTGCAGTATATTATTTTATCATCTATATCTAAAGTATCTAATATTTTATCTGAATCTTTTTCTAGTTTGTTTAGTGCCCATCGAACTTTTTTCCATAGCAAAATGTAATTATTGGATATAGGAATTTTTTTAACTAAAAAAAGCATTTCATGTGTATTGTCTATCTTTGCTTCTGATAGATTCAAACTCTTAAATGTCATACCACAGCTTATAATAGCATCTATAATGGCATTATAGTACGCACCGCCCCTTTTAAAACATTTGTATCTAATGCCTAATAACGGCACTATATAGGATCCAATGATTATATTTTTATTGGATAAGAATAAATTAGTATTAATATCATTTTTTCCAATACTGTCATTTACAAGAGCATCAACATTAGAAATAAGCTGGCATACAACACTTTCAAATACATTGTACCAGGTCGTGTGCCACTTATGTGATAGAATTACCTTGCATGGCTTTGCGAAATAACATATAATACAAGAGTTGTTTATACATCCAATCGGACTTATAATTATATCATTAGTATCTTTTTTCATTGTATTCAATACAAAAGTTGATTTTGTGATTATTGTTTCCAGCGCGGTGTGGATGATGTAAATATTAAACATAGCAGTTTTAAGCTCTCTTGCGTTAGCAAGGATCTTTAATAACATTTCATTTTTCTTGTTTATATCATATACCCCCAAATTCTTTATCCAACATAAACTTTTAATATTCACTAGTTCATTAATTAGAAGCTCGGCTTTCTTTAATGTTTCCTTTACCTTGATATCTGGTTGTATGTTCTCAATGCGAGAAATAAGATGCTTTAGCTTTTTCTTTTCTGCCATAGTTAACTTAGATGAATTTTCATAGGCATGAATAAACAATGGCTGCATCATTGTTACATACGTAGTGTATTTGCCAACAACATGCACTATATTTGACACAATAGTTTGTATTACAATTGATGTAGAATTTATGAACCTAATCACAAAATAAAAGTTTGTAAATGCATCCATATTTTCATCATTTGGAAATTCTTGCAAATATTTTATTGTATCTTCATTTATCGGGTCAGTTTCATTCATTGTATGCATCTTGTGTATGTAGTACAGTTCATTTATTCTTAATATTGAAACAAAATCGGGCTCTACACCGCTTTGCCCAAATTGCGGCGATGTTGATGCCGCTTTAAGAGCAGCAAGAAAGGCCATAAAGAGTATTCCTTCATAAATTCGCATATCTTAAAAATTTATAAATTCTTATTTTGGTTATTTATATTATACTTTCTGGGTGTAATTTCTATATACGTAGATTTTATAGCTATACATATATGAGAACAGATAATTCAAGATATTTTAGTAAAGCTCTGATTCTATTATATAAGATGGTCCTGTTTCTTCTAAAATATAACTATTTAATAAATACGGCCACATTTATTTTTATACATAGCATGAATATTCTATAGAATTCATTTTTGTTCTGGCGCTGACCATTAGCAAATAGATAATTGTAATAGTTATACCTAAGAACCAGAATATAAGAGTGTGCTAGGAATAGAATAGAAATAATCTATTAAGCATTTGGCAACTGAGTAGTGTTTTTGGATAGTATAATTTCTATTAGGCTGCGTATGCTATATATAATATAGCCAACTTTCACTGCTAACTAGCATAGAATAAAAAATATCCAATGTACTCCCCTTCCATTCACAGCTTCTATAATCGAATATTATTCAGAATGAAGACAAGCAATGCTCTGGGACAGAATCTTCTTTACCTGATACAGTTCTTTAGAGATATCTCCTTCAAGTATAAGCTTCTGCTTATCAAAGTATATGGATATTTCATCACTTATGATGAGTTTGTTATCCACTACATCTGCTTTAATCTTTTCATCTATAAATATCTGTCTTAACTCGCTAAGTTTTGCTGTTCCCACACAAATGCTTTCGCCTATATTTTCCATCCCATCTATTTCTAGAATTGGTATTTTTTCTGCTGGTTGGACCTTTGCCTTAAAGTATCCTATGAGAGTATTCCCCAGCTTCTGCACCTGTATGTGAGACAAGGCATCATTTCTGATTTTTAATGGCACTGTGTGCCGAATTCCCTCAAGTTTCTGCCGGTCAAATAGCTCAAGCACCTGCATGGATGTTTTTGTACACGTAAAGTACTCTTTAAGAACCTTTCTAAGAATTGGATCCTCTCCATAAACAACTATCTTCTCTGAACCTATTCCAGATAAAACAATCTTTAAATTGAATATGTCACTCTCGCTTGTAAATAGAAGAGTTTTTATCTGGGCGTATATTTCAATTGTTTGCTTTTTTCTAATGCTAATTCTAAATGCCTTCTTTTGTATCACTTCTGGCTTCATAATTACCTCCACTTCCTTTTCTTCTTCCTTGTCTTTTTGAATAGACACAGGCTCTCCATACTCGTCTGTTGGCTTTCTTTTTGCCGGATTAGGGAACAAAAGCTCGCTTCCAGTGCACTTGATATCAAAATCAAGATAGGTTATCTTTTCTTCCATTGTTTCTATTTCATCCTGTAATTCGTGCCAGAATCTATTGAATATCTGCTTTCTATCTTCCTCCTCCTCTGAGGAGTCCTCGATCTTTTGCTTTACCAAGCTGTCTATTTTTTTCTGTGCCTCTTGTTCATCTTGTTCTTTTTTAGACTTTTTATATTCTGTTTCTATTTCTGTGGTAGAAAGACGAGCATACTTAATTGGAGACAGCATGATAGTGTGGCTATATTGGCATTGTCTAGCTTTCTTAGAGACTTGGTTGCAATCGCTTGATGCCTCTTTAGAAATAGATTTGTCATCCGAAATCGCATCAGATAAAGAAGCATCATTGGAGTTTTTTACTTCTGTGCTGCCGCCCTCTTCTGCCCTCGTACTGCCTCCTGCGCGCTCTTTATACTGGAGAGAGTCAGACATTTTTAAAATTAGATTCTGCGGATTTTTTGCTATGCCTGGTAATATAACAGGAGAGAATCCAGAATTTCCATGCCTATCAATCACAAATATAATATCTTCAGGGATTTCGCAGTCTGCACACTCATTGTAGAATTTTAAATTGAGCAGATTAAATGGATTCTCTTTTTCTTGGTTGAATTTCTGCAGAATTGAGCTACCTGTCCACTCTAGGATGGTTTTTACCATGTCAAAATACTTACTCCCATAGAAAGAGTATAGTGCCATCGTGAGTTCTTGAGTATCCTTGTGGTTATAAAGGGTCATGACAATCTCTAACAACTGGGAGTACCCTGTTGGTATAAACACCTTTCCTTTATTATTTATACACTTAACAATGCAGTCTACTAACTCTTTATCCCTCATTCGTCTAGTATTTTGTTCTTTAATTACATGTGTGCTATTCACTACTATTCCTAGTGGCTTAGAAATATTTGATGTGTCAAGACCATCTAAGTGTGCCTCTTTTCTGTGGTTTACTTTGTCACATATTAGCCACTCCTGCTCATTTTTACGTATTTTCCACACTGACCCACCAACAGAACTACCGCTGTTCAGTGGCCCAACAAAAATTCCATCCGACAGCTCCACTGTCTGCGTGTATTTCAATGGAATTATTTTGTCAAATACCTTGTCTTGCTTGGCCTCCGATGAACCAATAGAGTGAAACTTTTCTAATACCTTTATTCTTTCTAGTATTTCTATCCGACCCAAAATCTTTATTGGGACTGTCCCATAAATAGGCACATCAATTCCCAACGATTCCAGATGAATTAGGCCGCCCAATGAAGAAATATCACTAGAGCACAATATAATGTGTGTTATACTCTTTAAATACTCCAGATCAGAATAAATATCTAAAGATAAGTCATATTCCGTGCCAAAGTTGACAAGAATCCTTAAATTATCTATTTCCACAATAGTACAGCAGGATTCTAGTGGTATGCTCCGTGGGACATGCACTGCAGTAATTCCGTCTTCCATAATTTTTACAAGATTTTTTTATATAAATATATTCAATAAGAATCCAAGTATAATAACAATCAGAACCATGTCTAAATACTTATTCTGTGATCTATCATAATTCTATTCATATTTTTTGCTATATATAAATATAAAATGCAACAGACTTTCTGTATTATTACAAGGCACTAATTTTCATAAACACTTTTGGAGTATAAATTCCAGTATTGTTTTATTTCTTGTTATATAATTATGGAATATTTTTATTTAAAATGGCATTAAAGGAGAGTGCGTACATCTTCTACACATTCACCAATTGCATTAGTGACCTGGAATTCCTGCAAATAACCTGTAATGAGTTTGGACTGTATTTATATGTTGAAGAAAATAGAAAAACCGCAAATTACATGATAAGTGGAAAGACATTCGTAATTGATATTTTCTATGAACGGGAAGAAGAAACCTGCACAGAAGAGGGAGAAGATGCCCAGAGTATTGGAAGTAGCGTCATGCAGATAGGAAAGGAGCAGGTTGAGGCGGCTTTTCAGAGAATAAAGAAAGTAGGAATATCCCTATTAGAGGAGGAATGGTCATCATACTTTAAACTATGTACATTTTCATTTATGTTCCATTTAAAGAACAAAGACTATTATAATGCGTACCGCCTAATAAGTAGTATAATAAAATATGATAGTGAAGAGGAAAATGCCGGGTTTTCAGAAATTATAAGAAAATTAAAGTTAATTGAGAGTACGCAGTGCGGGCCATTAGACTATTCATTTCTGCACCATGTACCGCTTGTTCATCATAAAATAGATAGTGAAAGCAAGCTAAATAATTCCTTAGGAATATTTTCTTGCATAAATGAATCTGGTAGGGAGAATCTCTATAATATCACAGACATAAAGAATATACCATTGATAGATGTACTGGTTGATGTAATTATTGAGATGTTTATATATGGGATTGAAATATCAATAGAGAAGAGAGTTATTATATCCGCATGTATAAATAAAGAGAAGTGCTGCATTGAGGTAGATGGACGAGGCCAGGTTATAGTGAATGGCGTGGTTGATAGGTACAGAACCCTTCTTTTCAAAAGAACAAGTTCGTTATACCACGTAATATGTGAGACTGGAGTAGAAGTCGCGCACACTGTGTAAATAATAAATGTCTGGTGTAGACACGATTAGAGAAGAGGATAGATAAGTATATAGATGCAATTTGAGGTTGGATAATATTTAGTAGATTGAAAAATAAAAAAATATATTTATGATAATTTGAAATGTATATAAGAGTAAATTGAAACAATTCAGGCAAGATATATAATTAGTGCATATTTATTAGTCTAGTTCCATTATATGATCTGCTAATTTAGTACAAACCGCGTGTTTATTAAGAAATATTATGTGCAAAGCATTCTATTGTATTGAGCGCTATGAATCATATAATACTTGTGTTATGCCCTGTCTCTTTAAGGTGCTTAAATAGCTCATTTCTGTTTGAAAATGCCTCCTTGCACTTTGCACAGGACATTGTAAAGGCAGTTCCTGTTCTTATATCAGAGTCAGTCTCTTGCTTAGATAAAGGCTTCTTATAGTTTTTGTGATCTTTCTTAGCTACAGATTTTGTTTTCTGCTTTTCCTGCTTTGCTGCTGAGTTCTGCTTTTTAGGTATATTTGACAGATCTTCCACGTCGACAGTGCATTCTGGCTCATTGTTTCTTTCTGCAGAATAGTTGAAAAGGTCGTCTGCTTCTTTTTCTTGAGATTCTTCTTTTCGGGACTTATTTGTCTGAGTGTCTTCTTGCTCGGGGATTTCTTCTATTTTGCACTGCTCTATTTGAGATATAAGCTGTTCTATCTCTTCTGGCTGCATTGATTCTAGCTTTTCCCTGTGCTTTTTGGACTTAGAGTGGTTTCCTAACTGGTTTAAGCTTTTAAATGTTTTATTACATGGCTGGCATATAAATATGTCTTCGTCCTTTTCCATCTTTATTTTCATTTTCTCTTCCTTCTCTCTCCTTTTCTGAGTTTCATGCTTCATATACTCTTCCTCCAGAGCCTTTTTCTCTTCTTCTGTAAGATTGTGGTAGTCTGTTATAATAACCCCATTTTTACTTATTTTGGGCTTAACTATATTTAGATCTATCTTCTTTGGAACTATTTTCAGTCTTTGGTCTTTTCTTTGAAGAACCTTTACTAACTCCTTTATTTTAGAAGAATAGTCTGCTCTCCGTGCATCTAACACCTTCTTTAAGTCCTTTTCCACTTCTCTTTTTAATGGGCGAGAATAGTGTGGGTAGCTTAAGTCAATGTCTTCGCAAGTGATATTAAAATGGCGTAAAGAGGAAAAGTTTGAATAGAACTCATAGAATGGCTTGGGAAGACCCTTTGCATATCCAAAAGATGGTGCCCTAAATAGACCGCCTCTTGTTATATTTTCTATTTTAACGATCTCAGCAAAAAGATTGTTGATCATTGAATAGTTGCTTTCTTCTATTTTCTCTATTGATTTGGCTTGTCTTATGAACCCTTCTATATCTATCTCTGGCTCTTGTTTTCGTGTTGGCAGTTTACTTACCATAGATGGTCCTTGCATTAGTGTTTCATACGCTTCTTTTATTTCTATAAATAAGTCATCAGAGACTTCTTCACCGCGGGCTCGCGCTGCGTCTGGGTGGTGCTGCATGGCAAGTCTTCTGTACGCTTTTTTAATTTCATCTTCTGTTGCAGTATTTGATACTCCCAGTACTTCCCGAGGATGTCTTTTTCTTGCGATAGTAGAGGTTCCTTGTCCCATAAACAATAATACAGTATAGAATAGAATAAATATAAAAAATATATAAATCCGGTAAGAATTATAGAATATCTACAAACTTTTAAAAAGGCAGGTGTACCCAGATTTCTAGTTTTATTATATCTTTTTATTATGTTTCTTTATATATAGATAGTTTATATTGTGGTATGTGGCCATATATATAGATTCAAATCGAATTCAAGAGATATAGTGTCTTAATTAGTTTATAGCTTTCTCTTCTAGTTATTTACATTTTTCGGGTTATCTGTTCTTTCTATGCACACATATTTGTTTTTAAATAGTTCTTCATTTGTTTTTTATTTTGTGGTATTTTATGATAATCAAGAAAACATAAACCCTTCACCAATTTAGGAGAATATATACGGGTTGTGTTAAGTTTAATAAAAGAGTAAAGCACAGGCAGCCGCGTGCCTACATAGAAAACAAACAAGTGAAAACAGCCATACAGAGCATGTGAAAAGTTATTCTTTCATAAATAGAAAATGCTTTAGTGCACACTTGTTACTCTAAATACACATAGATTTTAAATAGCTACTATTTAAATATAAATTATTTGCAAAAAACTTGCTCTTCACATAAATAAGATTAGATTTTTAAAGAGTATTCGGGATATAATTTATGCGCTGTATATATTATACCATACATATATTTATAGAATGGCAAGCCCTAAAATTAAACACAAAATTATAGATGTCTTTGGGCATAAGAAGTGTCTATCTAGCAGAGCAATAAAAACAAAGAAAGTGCATTATATTTAGTGCCTATTTCCGCATAGAGTATGTTTAAAGCACTAATATATATTTTAGTTTAAATTCAAATAATTTTAGCAAAAATATTACAGATAAATATGCAGCTTATAACGAGAAAATCGAGTAAACATAGAACACTAATTGCACTTATACTAATACTTGGGTTAGTTCTAGGAAGTAGGGAATGCGCAATAGGCGGGCATTCTCCAGCTGATGAACCCCAGAAAAAAAAGGACGATACTGAAGAGAGTGAAGATGAGAGCTTTTCATTATGGAAGAATTCAAATGCACAAAAGGCATTACCAGAGTATAGAGACAGTTACTCTAGCGATATAAATGAGTATGCATATCCATACCGTATGGTATTCTAAAAATAGTAAAGATTTTCTGTATTTAATAGCAATATATGAATTACTGCATGCTTGTTTAAAAAGTATATGTGTGTGTTATATATTGATTATATTAAATACTATATAAATACGGTCTTTTCCTTTTTAATCACATTGTGCGGCTTTTTATGCTGTTTATGTTAAAATTCTAGCATTTCTAATAAGTGAATCAAACTTAGTAGCACCTACTCTTTATATTAGAAAATACGATCCTAGTATAGAGCCATAGGCACAAATGGCATATATAGAGTTAAATAAAGCAATCTAGGGTTTAAAAAAACTAAAATACACCAACTTCTGAATTATATTTTCTACTCTCTTATTGAATTCTTTTTGCAATGTTTACAAAACAATATGGCAGTATTCAGGACAGGACCATTAAGGCAACAATCGGTTAGAAGACTGGCAGCGGAATATATGCAGCTGAAAAATGATCCAGACACAAAGTGGTTTGAAATAGATCCAGAGCCAGAAGACTTTATACCATTTTCTGACAGTAATATTGAATATGTAAGAAAGTGGGAAATAACTATAACTGGATTTAAAGATACAGTCTATGAGGGATACTCCCTAAAAGCAGACATTTACTTCCCGTCTGACTATCCTTTGTCCCCACCAAGAGTCATGTTTACTACAAAAATGTACCACCCTAATATATATAATGATGGAAGGGTATGCATTTCTATTTTGCATACTGCACAATCAGACCCGCACTCTGATGAGCTGGACACAGAGCAGTGGACTCCGGTTCTTTCTGTAAGAACAATTCTTCTGTCAATTATGCTTCTTCTAAATGAGCCCAATCCAGATTCGCCTGCCAATTTAGATGCTGCTTTGCATTTTAGAAGAAATAGAGCAGACTATGAGGAGTACGTTAAAACAAAAATATTAGGTGTACACTACTGTGAATAGGTCATAAAGTGCAGGAGAGATCTATTCTTGTAGAAACCGCCGATTAAAATATTTAATAAATAATTATTAGCGGAAAGATGAAGAATTTTAAAACTACACTTAAGGAAGAGACTAATTTAATTATGAACAGAATTAAGAAGAATTCTATCAGCCTGGCACTCACGCAGTCAAATGAGGGAATGGTCATTTCTGAAGAAATGGAGATTCCCCACGTACTTAAACTATTGAACGACCTCAAAAATAAAAAATGAGCGACGAGACAACAGAGACTTTTAAGAAAAGAATAAACAATGCAATAAATACAATAGGAAACATATTTGGGTATGAAGCAAAACTAAAGGGAGGAAACACAGTAATTATTAGATCTCTTTATGCGTTTGATGAAGATGATGTTTTCATTCTTATAATAAGCGAGGAGGGCATTCGCCTGGAAAGAAATGCATATTTAAAGAAATTTGAGAAAGAGAAAAAGCTGTATTTAGACCACGGGAAGTCCATAGGTGCTTTTCTATCTGCTGTCACTCTTTCTTTATTTGAGCAAAATACATTCCAATAAATACTAAATCTACTATACTTCTTATATTACTGGATCTGCACTATAATCTGAAAAATCTATTAATAGCAAGAATACTTCCAAAATAAAAGTAGTTAAACATATAATTATAGAAATTTATAGCAAATTTGTATATAAAAAGCGATTTATATGAGATAGTTCTATGTATTTCTAATATAATATATTTATTAGGCAACAAATGTTTTATTATAAGTACAGAATATTTCCTGTTTATTAGCCCCTATTAAATTCTATTTATTTCTTAAAAATTTAAAACTTTATGAATATAGAAGAAGGGGTCAGAGATGCCATGAAGAAAAGAAATTACAAAAAAGCAGAAACCCTCTTTTCTAAGAACCTGAATGATTCATTCTCAATTGAATTGTATACAGAGTATTTGATATTTATTAATACAACAAATAAGGATCAGTTGAAGGACGCGCTGGCATTTGCCTACAATCATACATTATATAATATAGACAGTCTAGATATTAAGATCCAGTATTTAGAATCGTTAATGGAGGAAGGCGACTATGATAAAGTGAAAGAAACATATACGAATATATTGGACATTCCGATTAAGAAGATAGATACAATAGTAGAACTATACAAGAACTTTGAAAACACCAAAAGTAAATTGAAAAGAAAGGATACAGATCTTGTATCAAAGGAGATGGCAGCTATAGAAGAATCAAAGACTTTACACAAGCTCAATCAGATTCAGGCCCTAGAATACTTTTTACTGCAGTACAAAAATAACTATCCTATTTATACTATAGAATATATATTATATAATGTAGACTATGTACTGAATAATAGTAAAATAAAGAATAGAAGTAGAAATAAGGTGTTGTTTTATAAGATACTGGTCTTGTCAAAAAAGATTGATAAGAAAAATATTATAGATAAGAGTAGTAAGAAAATAGTTTCAGCACGGGGAGTGTCAGAGAAAAATCAGAGAATAGGAGAAATGCTTTGGAATGAAATACGAGAAACTAGAGACATACTTCCTCTTTTACCGCTGTTAATAACGTACTCCTTTGACATTGATGCGATATTAGAAATTGCACCACCAGGCATAACAAAAAAAAGTGAATCATTTTACTTGATTTTGTTCGGCGCTATTTTGCGGCATCGAGGGCTGGAGGGTATGCGAAAATATTTGATTAAATTTACAAAGGAAAGAAAAATTGGATGGATATCGTATAATTTCTGTGCGCGGGTAGAGGCACTCATCGGGGGAGGAAATAAGTATGCAGGGGGAATTCTTCTTACAGCATTAAAAATGTTTATAAAGAGAGAAGAGAGTAAGTATTATATGTCTGCAGATGAAAATGCATATAAGCTGACGGTTCATGGGACGCAGCTGCTTCTTTCTCTGGGTGATGTGCAGAGAGCTCATATACTAACGGAGCTGTATAACAAAGAAAAAGAAAAGAGCGAAGGGAAACCAAGCCATTTTGAGTTTAAAGAGCGTAATGAAGAGAAAGATCCAAAGCTAATAATGGTCAAGCACCAGATGCTGTATGAGTCAGGGTTCTCTGCACTATTAACAATTTCAAATATGTATAGTTATAGCGAGTTATTTGAGTTCTTGTGCCGAGTCTATCGAATAGAGGACGAGGAAGACATACCAATACCACCTGTGCTGAAAAAGCTACTAGGCGACCTTCCCAAAATAAGAGAAACTCAGAATATCTTTAGTGGTGTAGATATTAACAGCATAATCAGTATGCTGATAGAAATAGAGATATGATGATTTGGCTTCTATTTTCACCTCTAAAAGAATAAAATCCTCTGCATCTTTAAAGCAAGCATGCTTATAGCACTATGATGGTAGAATTTAAAGAGTTTGTTACTATTTGTAAAAACAAATAGAAAGCAATTATGGTTAGAAAATTTATATAAAAGGACTATAGTGCGCACCTGTTGCAAGTTAAAAGCACTGAAAATATCCAAAATTAAAAATACTTGTATGCAGATTGATGTGTTTTTATTGCACTGTGTATTATTATATATACCTCAAAGTAATATATATAGCAGTGAGGATAAGATAGGGCATAAACTTTCAGGAAAGGTAGAATAGTAAATAAAAATAAGGCAGAAGAATAGAACCCGTTTAAAATATAGTAAACATAGCAGAAGAGACCGCGCGCAGTATTATACTTATTTCTTTGGGAAACATTTATAGATTGGAAGAATAAAAATATTCAAATTTGCATGGCAGCCAATGGTCAGCGAGCATTCTCACATGCTTGATTTTGTTTCACGCCGATTGGTTTTTATGGGAAAGGAAGAAGAGCATAAAACAGAAGAAGAAAGCGAGGACAGCAGCACGTCAAGTAATGATAGAGTTGAAAACAGTGATCTCTTTGATATAATCAAGAAGGCAAATAAGGGCCTAGCAGGATCTATAAGAACATCAAAGGACACAACAAAAACACTGAATAAACAAGGAAAGAGCTTGAACAAATCTCTTCAGAAAAAGAAAAGCATTAGAAAGCGGGTGGGAAAGGATGAAGACCTAGTGCGAAATATAAATGCAGAAGGAAATATAGTTGTTATTAAAAGCTCATTTCTTGACAGGCTTAGAAACTTTTTCAGTCCGCAGAAATGGCACGAGGCATCGGTTGACCAATCAGCAAAAAGAGAAGAGGAAAGGGCGGAAGAATGCTCAAAGGATGAAGAGTCTGATGGGCTTAGCTCAGAGGATGAAATTGCAGATAATCTAGAAAATACTGGATCGGATGAAGATGTAGATGCAGAATTAGAAAAAACACTAACAGGCCTTCAATCTTTAAGGCGAAGCGTTCACTTTCAAACACAGAAAATCAAATCACAGCGGCATGCGGCAAAGGAGATGCAACTATTAGATGAAGATACAAGCAAGCGGGCTAAAAAACTTGAAGAAGAAACAAAGCACATAAAATAAATACCAATTTTTCCCAATACACACACCTAACACCTAAATACATTCGATTTGTTCTAACACAGATGAATAAATACCGACCATGACAGATTAACGTCAATGGGTTTGCATATGCATTATATAACCCGAAATTTTCTAGGATTGAAATAGTTGCGAGTTGATAGCATCAGAAGGCAAGAGCGCATTTTATTTGTGCGGGCATATGAAATAAAGAAACAATACTCAGTTAACAAAATATGATTTATATTTATACTAATGACGTCCTTAAAAACAATTTATAATGTGCCTTTAAGTAATACTGAAATGTTAATTGTAATTAATTAACTCTGCTTAAGGTTTGAGTAGATTTAAATAATTAGATATATCATATATTGACTATGCGCACGGCCTAGTTCAGCTATACTTTACTTCACGTTTATGTGAGTGTTCCATCCAGATATCCTTCAATAATTTCTCTTACTATCTCTTTTGGTACAACAGAAACTCCATTTTCTTTCATTTTCTTGAGGAATTCGCTGTATATTTGATTTATATTTGTATTTCCCTCCTGTACCTGTTTTTTTATAAACTGATGATATTGCCCAAGCGTTTCATTACTGCTTGGCGTAATTGAGTCAATTTTTTTACTCATTATAGCTCTAAGATCTGCCTTCTCCACCCCGCTATGCACTTTTATAATACTATCTGCCTTTGATTCGCCGGACTCTTCTTTCTTTTCTACAATATCTTTTATAGCATTCTCCTGGTATGGCTTAAATTGTATTCCCTTGCTGTTGTATTCATTGCTAACTAGAATCACTTTGAAACTGAATTTTTTCCTTTCCTCCTTTCTAAAAAGACGTTCTAGTTTTTCCTGCTGTCTTATAAATAGCTTGTCTTTTTTTGAGCCTTCAAACTCATCAACTATAAGAAGCACTGTAGTGGAAAGACTTTTTCCTATTTTTCTAAAGTTTTTATCTATAAGAAGATTGCTATAATACACTTCAACTCCTTGCTCGCCCAGTAGTTGCCCAATTTTCTCCATTACATATGTTTTGCCCGTGCCAGGCTTTCCATATACGTATATAGTGTGCCTAGTGCTTTCTGTTATATAGTTTGCCAGCTGGATTATTTCTTCTTTTCTTCCCTCAACCTCTAAACTGCATATTTTTTCCCTTATTTCTTCCTTCTTGTCTGGGTTGTTAAGCACTTCTTCTATTACTAGTTCACCCGGGCTGAGTTCTTTTTTTTCTTTATTTTTATTTCTTTTGGTACATCCTTCTTTACTTTCTTTACATTTTTTGCTTTATTTTCTAAAGTAGCTGAATCAGCGCTTTTTTTAATTGTTTCTTTCTTGCCTTTTAGTTCTGCTGCGCCTTCTTTCTCTGAAAGAGTCTTTTTCTTCTTTTTGGGAATTGGCCCCTCTGTTATTGGCCTAATTCGTGGCCTTCCCCTACGCCGTGGTGGTGAATTTCGAGCCTCCTCCTTTTTTCTTTCTTTTTCTGCTAAAGCTAATGCTTTTTTTAGAGGCCGCTTCTTCTCTAGCTCTTTTAATTTTTCTTCGGCTTCTTTCTCTTTTGCTTTGCTTTTCTTGCTTTCCTTCTTTTCTTCCTTAGGTGCTAGAGTTCGTTTTGCTTTGTTTTCTTTTTCTGCAATACTCTCATCAATTCTCATTCTGGCTTTTATAGCTATCTTTCTCTCTGTCTTCCCCATTAAAAAAAACACACAATACTAGATATTTTATTGCAATCCTTTATTTATAATTCTTGCTATTCCACCTTGCGCGCATCCAGATACTTAAATACTGCTGGTGCAATTATCTTTCTGCTAGTGGCGAGGTCCACCTGATAAATAACAATTTCTTCATCATTTAAAATGGTCTTTGACTCAACAGTTCCTCCAGCAAAAAGTGCTGTTTTTATCATGTCCTTCATATTCGATGGGCAGTAAACATATAGATACCTATCATTGTGGTGCTTGCAGTTGATTATGAAGATTTCATGCTTTTTCTCTTCTACAAACTTTTTAATTTCCTCTTTCCACACGGCAGGCCCATCCCGCTCAATCCATTTTTTATAGGGGTACTTTACTGAAGAAATTCCATATGTTTTTTCTCCATACTTTTCTGGATAGTCAAACGACTTATAATCCATCCGAAGGATCATTTTAGTTGGGATTTTGTCTTCACAATGCTTAAGATGCTTTAAATCAGACATAACAGATTCTGCTGTTTTAAATTCTACATTTGCAATGCTTAGGGCGCTATTAACTCCATTAATGTCAACATCGTGCTGCTTTCTAACAAGACACGCAGTGTCTGTCAGTATTGGAACACTTAAAAGAAGTAAGAAATCATAATCATGTGTGTCCTTCTTCTCCTTTAAAACATCAGCAAATAAATGATTTATTCGCCTTAGTATTAAAGAACAACAAGATCCCGCCTTTAATTCTATTTCCATTCCATCTGTCTGGCTGTGCACATGCTTATTGTATTTAATCAGCTGGTGGTGGTCTATTATTCTGTCTACTCTGAATGTTTTGCACTCTATAAGGCTAGTTTCTGGCAGATTGAAGTCAACCAAATGTGCTTTTACATTTTTCTCTGATAATCTATATCGTACGTCGCCTCTTTTTAAAAACCATTGGTTCTCCTCATAGACAAGAAAGACCAAATTCTGTATTTCTATTCCAAGTATGTCGCATAGCTTCATTAAATCATGCTTGCACTCAAATATTTCTCTCTGCATATTTACCACTGGAATACGTCCCAGCATTACTGCTAATATATGTGAACCTAAGAACGAGTCTTGATCACACGATGGGTTTCCCAGTACTATGTCTATAGACTGATTTTCTAAGTTTGAGTATGCTGTAGTGATCATTTCACTAAATTTTGAATTCGCAACTATTGTTTTATAACTATCCATAAAACTAAAACCTCTTTTTCTATTTATACTTTTACTTTACAGTGTATAAATTATTACACCAATTATATAACAAAAATAAAAATCAATCCGATTGCTCTAATATGATAAGACTCTGTCAAAAGTTTAAAAAGAGTGATATATTACTCCTGGAGAAGAATTACCAATAGAGAATGGCATTTTATTCGGAATTAAAACACAGAAAAGACTTAATTAATACATAAGCTCCTAAGTACTATTAGTATGCTCCAGAGCATTTTAAAAAACCCCATAAATAGAGAATATAAATACACTATTGCATATAGTAATATGCTAATAAAATACTTTTATTATATAGAACTTATACATATTTTATTACTTATAAATATAACAGACAATATTTAAATTTTCTGGCCATTAGAACGATTAGTGTTGTTCAATTTGTTTCCTGCGTTTTTCTGTATATAACCCAAAATAATCAAAGTTTGAATCTGGCAAATAAATTTATTGATAGCCACGTTACACGATATCCTACTACAAAAATAATATAGTAAAATAGTCTGGTATGTATTTCTATGCCTATGATTTTTGTTACTTAAGATAAATAAAGAGTTTTTGGCCATTTCTGACCAATTTAATAGTGTTTGAAGCCTATTAAATATCATATAACTAACCAGAATGCAATCTTTAGTGATTATAATGTCTGATTGTATTTGAAATTTAATAATTAACAAGAATTTTTATGATAATTGCTGAGTGGCAAATTCAACTATTACTATTAAACATAAATCATTATAAATATTAAGCTAAAAAAATTGCAGTTAATAGATTTACGCTCTTAATACTCCATATACTTGCTATACATAGTAAACAAAACTGTAAAGTTAGTAAAAATAATTAATATACAGTTTATATACGCATGCATTGTAATGCCCTCTATTAAACAGCCAAAAATATTAAAAGAACCTTTGTAATCTTTATGCCCTTCAAATAGCATGTTACTTTGTGCATATAATTCTTTTAATTATTTTCTCTTTTCCATAACTGCAGCATTCATTATCCCAAACTAATTTCTAGCCAATTTTCGCCTTTTAATTTTTTTAATTTTTCCCATCCCTGCAATGAATACAGAAGTAGTCCCAAAAACAGAGACAGAGTACAAGGCAATGGTTGAGGCCAGAGAAAGAATAGGAATTCCTGCCACCTTCATCTCATTCAAAAGATCTCAAAGAAATGTATACCCAAGATATGCATTATTAAAGATGGAAAATGTAACGTCAAAAGAGCAAGCAGAAAAGTACATTGGAAGAGCCGTTGAGATGTACATCCCAAAGACCAAAGTACAGCTGTCTGGATACAAGGAAAGAGTTGTTATGGGATACATACATAGAGTACACGGTAACTCTGGAATTGTTAGAGCTAGATTTGAGAAGAACCTTTGTGCCAGTTTTATTGGAACCCACGTATACGTACAGTTATACAAGGCCAACCCCAACTACTTCCAAAAAGACTAAATAAATCATATATTGGAATGAGATAAGGATGTGATAATTTTAGTTTTGCACTATACAAAATAGCACTTTTTCAGTGTGGTTTTCAATTTTTCTGTTCGAGTGGCATACTCACTGAACACATCCCCCTTTTTTGATACGTATGTTGCGTGGTTCGATGGAATTACTGTTCTGAATGTACTGCATAGTAATCTACTACTACTTCTAGTACTTTTCGGGCAGTGCTCTGCTAGCTTTGCAATACTCTTTGTGCACCCTGGGCAGTCTGCCTTTTCTTTCTCTCGGCACACGGGAGTAATAAACCCAGAAATGCCAAGCGCCACTCTTTGGTAAAAATAATTGTTGGTTGATTTGTTTTTATAGACCAAGCTCATTAGCAGAGGTGCAGATATTGCGCATTCTTTGTATTCTTCTGCAATATGCGCAAAAAGAGTAGAAGCACTTGGAAGCACCACAAGAGAAAGAATTTTCTTTGGCAGATTTTCTCGGTGCTTTTTTATAAATTTACATACTTCTTTCTTATTATTTGTTTTTGCTTCACATAGCCGTATAACTTCTCGGCAGAGAACTGTCATTCTGACTGAATTATCTGGGGTGTCAACAATTGGTATGTTATGCGACTTTCCTGATTTTTTATAATATTTTATTGCTAGCGCATTTTTTACTGATTCCTTTGCTTCTTTATATGGTTGGATGTCTACTAGTGCTTTTATCGGATACTTCTCCTTTATTGCCTGGGCCGTATTTATAAACCCTCTTTTTCCCAGAAAACTAGCCAGCTCTATAACCATTTCGTTTTTTATTTTTTCTTTCTCTATTTGCTCTTGTGTTTTCTTCTCTTCTTCTATTTTCTGGCACTCCTCCTCTTTCTTTTGAAGGTATTCGAGTAGTTTGGTTATTTTTTCAGATATTTTATCAGGAGACGTTTCATTTAATGAATTACCAAACTTTTGGACAGATAAATATGTAACCTTTAATAACTTCTGGAGCATTACCTGCTTTTCTTCCATGTAAATAAATCTTTGGTCGATTGTTTATTAAATTTACACATTAATTGCCTGATTGTTTGGTAGTGCATTTTATAGAGTAGGCGCATGCTTGTTGTAAAAGTATATATAAATAGATTTGTTATGGCAGAAATCAACTTGAGTCACTTTATAAACACTTCTGCAGATAACTAAGCACTTCTTTTTCAGAGTATAAGATAATATAATAAGAATTATTATCATTCTTTATTCAGATGCCAGGATATAGTAAATAGTCAATTAATTCACTAGAATGTGCTGCACAGCACTTGCGCGGCCAGAAAATTCTATCCTCGGTCACTTTTTAATGGGCCTACCCATTCACATACTACATATTACAATAGCGAAACTAGAGCTGTTTAATGCCATCTTCTGTAATAATGCAGAAATGAAGGATTCCATAGTTTAAAACCAGTCTTTTTTTAATTCCCTCGTATATCTCTTTCAAAAGCTCTACTGTCTCCTCTACCGGGGTTTCTTCATTATGACACATTTTCATTTTAGTCAGAAAGAATGGAGAGCAGTACCCAGTTGCCATATATTTATAACTAGTGCATGCACCATATTGATCTATCATATATAACTTTCCAACTCCCTCGGACAATCCGCCAACTATTGAAGTAACATCCACTGGTGACTTTCTTAAGTTATTATGTATTTCCATTTGAAGGGTACTTGCAAATGCTTGTTCGGTTATAACTAGGTCATGCGCTATACTTTCATATTTTACCCCTTCTAAAACACCGTGTATAACTCTAGCACAGTCCCCCAGGTTTCCTCCAGAGATTACTGCTGCTTTATCGTTTATTTCCACACATTTGTTATGGTCACTCTTCGGAACTAAAATATTGTTTCTATACATCGTGTCGCAGGCCAATACCACATAATTCTTTCCAGCTACTCCAAATAGTGCATCCATTATAAATAAATAAAATATTATTATGTCTTATAGATATACTTAGAATCTTTCTGGGCCATTAAATTAAGGAATATTTAAACTTATTTAAGAATAAATAATAAACAAATGAAGAATATTTTGCGCACTCGCATAGTTACCTTGGGTGTTTGTTCATTTATTCTTTTTTCTATAATACCTAGGATAGATCTAAAGAATATTGATAGAATTAATGTGTTTAGTATTTTATGTCTGGCATACTGGATTGGCACAAAATATTACAAATCTGCAACTATTCTGTACTTTATTCTAAACTCATCTGATGTTGTTTTTATGTTGGAGAGTGGTCGGATGGTTCTGTTTTATAGTTTGGTGTATTTTAGTGAGGCTCCTGTTTTATCTGATCTCTCGTATGGCAGATCTATCTGTAGAAGTATTAGAACTAAAAATTTATTTCCATTGGCTGTATCCGTTATTGCAGGAGTTTCTCTTGCCATTTGGAGAGTAGCAATTTCCGAGAGTGGTTCTATTTCCGAGAGCACTCCTTTGCGCTCCTCTGAAAGTATTCACATGCAATCTCAAAAAGTTTATCTTTCCAGCATGGATAGTCACTCTATTAGAAACAATGAGAATTTTGGCGATAATGGCACAGTAGTATTTGGAACAAAAAAAGTATCTGAGCAGACAGAGTGGAAAATAGTTCTTGAGGGACTTGAAGGAAATCCTCCTCCACCTGCTGTGATTACTAGTGGTTCTGTGGTCTATCTACAGAATTTATACACAAAAGAGTATCTTTATGTGTTTTGTCTGCCTTCTTCTGGCGTAGCCAGCGGTAAGCAGAAGATATTAAGTACTTTGCAAATAACAGATCTAAACCAATTTATAATTCTAAACACAGTAGAAGATACATCTAAAACTGCACCAATATACAGAGATGGATCATTTTATCTGAAGCATGTGAGTAGTGGTGTGTTTGTTCGGGTTTGCAAGAAAGTAACGCAAAAAGATCTTAAACATTTAGTAGATGCGTATGAAATATGTGGAGAAGCTCTGGAAGCAAAAAAATCCATCATGGACAAACGGTTTCTGTGGTCAGGCCGAAAAAATGCTGGGCATAAAGAAGCCTTTACAAGAAAGATTACAAGAATACTATTGAAAACATATAAAGAAGAGCTAAAAAAAATTAAGAGTCTGTTTTCTATAAATGAAGCTGCAAAGAAAGAAAGAGAAACTTTTGAACAGATTCGTGCTGGTCTATACAACAATTATAACTTAGTTGTATATTTAGCGCTGTTTATGGTTTCTGCTGTGCGTGGCCTACTTGGTATGGAGGTTATTTGGGAGCAGGTTATGTCTTGCTTAATTGATATCTTACTTTGCTTAATATTCAAGAAGACAAATACAAAAGAGATTGTATATGCAAGTAGTGTGGTTGGCATTCAGCATGGCCTAAAACTGCATAAATTAATTTCTGAAATCCTTTCAAAAACACGCTCTAAACTGAAGAAACAGTAAGATTGGAGGTTTCTTAATTTTTAAGATATCCACTTTTATAATCTTTGTGATGTTTCTGTCTGTTTTCTAGATTGATAGTCTTGGAGTACTTTAAATATTCTGACACGTCTTGATCTATTCTTGCTATAAAAATGTTTTCAATTAGATTAAAGTTATATAAATTTAAAATTTTCTAAAAAGAAAGTGTACATGCTAAAGAATCCATAAAAAGACTTTCTATATTTAAATTTCTACTCATTAATAAAATTGATTAAGAACCATCTAATCGCATATTTAAAACACAGTTGCATTATGCATAATGGATATAAAAATGTATTAGAATTTTAATTACTAAACAGATGGAGTGCATAAAAACAATAAACTACTTTTCAATTAAACCCCATACAAAAAGATATACAGAAATGACTGGTACATTGCCAGCTTTGGATATAGGAAAAGAAATAATAAAAATCATGCAGCCCGTTTTAAATATTTACCAAAAGCAATATATATTTAAGTTATTTATTCCAACACAATTTGCGCATAGAGTTTTCTTTGCCAACTCTCTTTAAGGAGTGCCAGACCAACAAGCCAAGAGGAGTTTGTCCATCCAAATCCTTCCCGTGGCACATGCCGTATTTCACTGCCAATGTTTCCGTACTCTACATCCATTTTATGTGTGCCTGTTTGTACATTGTACTTCTCAGTAACTACTCCATTGTAGTTTGAAAAAAGCTTTCCTACCATGGTGCACCATTTTAGTGCCAGGCTTTTTGCTATTGCATCATGATTATAATTAGTCAGTCCTATCCACCCAAGAATCTGGTGTGGAGCCCATCCATACGGGTAATCCCACTGCTTCTGGCCATCATTGCCGCGGGCATGCACTGTGCAACTTTCTTTAGTTCCTGTGAATATACCACCTGCGCCAATTAGGTCTCCCATGTTTGCCACTAATGTATCTGCTTTGTCTTTATCTGCCGCCATGGAAAATAGTGGGTAAAGAGTAGTTGCTCCTTTATATTTACTTAGTCTGTTTTCTTTAATGTTGTAGTCATAGTACGCTTCTCCATTCCACAGATGCGTATTGATCGCCTGCTTTCTTAGCTTTGATATTTTTTCTATCTCTGGTACATGCCGAAGCTTAAGAATATCTTGTTCTGTTTTATAGAGCAAAGAGTTCAGATCAACAGTATATAAATACGATGCAATTCCATCTACTCTTTTAGAAGTATCATGGCCAGACTCCCGGACTGCTCTGTCGTGCTGCAGAAATTCTTCTAGTGCTTCAGATGTTTCTTCTCCCGTGTTATATTTAGCAATATATGCATTTAGTTCGTCTGAAGACCACTTTTCTGCTCCTGGAACTATTCTGCGAATTATGGAGAAAAAGTGTCCCTCTTCTGTTTCCATAGGAATTCCTTTTCCACCAGGAACATGCCTGGTAAGATGAAGTTCTGCATTGTATCCTCGGTGAAAGTAATAATATTCCTTAATCATAGCATCTGCTGCCTTGTCTATCCAATTTTGTAGTGAGCCTTTCTCTTCTGATGTAAGATGAGATATAAGCTCTATTACAAGAGTTGAAAAGAGTGGGGGATTTCCTCTAAATAAGTAGTACGATCTATTTGCATTAAGTATTTTCCCATATGCTTCTATCTGGTATCTGAGATTCTCAGCTATACAAAATGCCTCTGACAATTGGTTTGATAGTATAAGGCCTTTGGCAATAAAGTATGAATCCCATCCATACATCTCATTGAATCGCCCGCCGGGTACATAAAATGGGCATGGCCCCTTTCCCTGCCGAATGTATCCACCTCTAGCAGAGGGGAATATTTTAGGGTTATGCCAATGGTCTGGAAATGAGCTATTCTTCTGACTAAAGGCCGGTTCTGAATGTAATTCTTTTTTGTTTCCCTCTGTACACTCGTCTACTGAGTAGGGGATTGCCTCTGGTGCTTCAGAAGAAATAAAGAAGTATGTATGCGATAGGGCCAGAAGCCCAGGAGCAGTGTCACACAATGCTTCTCTCGAAATCAATGAATCTGTAAAATAGACTCCAGACTCACATGCTTTGTTCATTCGTATTTTAATCAATTTTACTAAAAATCCAGAATCTGCCAAGGTGGATATAATTTCTTTATAATAATTAATACTCTCGGTGTCAAAAGAAGGAACATAAAGAAAATATTCTACTCGAGATATTTTTGTGTCAATCAATGCAAGCTTCAGTCCGTTCAAATCAAGCATTCGCCTAAGATTTGGCCAAAAGCAAGTTTTAATAAGCCTGGTAAGCCTATTAATTGTGTGTTCATTTATAATTGTTTCTGGAACTATAACTGTTTTGAGATTAATATCAACAAGTGCCAGCTCTTGTAAAAGCGTAGAAATAGAATAGTTGCCCTCTAGCCAGATCTGGTCGCCGTACTGTCCTTCTATCAGATATTTTTTGGGGCCGGAGTCTTCTATTGTAATTGTTCCATCCTTGGTAGTATCTTCTTGGTCAAGTAAGCCTTGAATGGTTTTCTGCACGTCGCAAACAAATTCTCGTGCTGTCTTTGTTTGTGTAGATTTTCGTCTAATTGGTGTTTCTTTTACTGCGCTACTTTGTACAGTTCTTCTTCTTCTTTTGGTGGGGACCACTTCTGTCATAGAATAAAATAAATAGAAATTGCTCAAATATATAAGAACAATTTGGCGATATTTTACTATAAATAACAAAAGGGAGATTCCATTTTATTTAGAAATTCTGTAATGGAGTATTCACGTATTGATTTTATTGGGATTTTTGGTATAATTTCAATCAACATCTAGTAATTAAAACTCTTTATATTTATTTATTATATGGTGTGAACTAAGCATAATTTATTTTAAATTATGTTTATATTACATTTGTTATAAAACAGTGCGATATTCTAATATCTTAATTAAATAATATATGGTTACCTAACCATATTTTATTAAAAATAAAATTTATGCCTTACACCTTATAATAAGTAAGTGCATTTAAACTGTCTATTTCTAAAAGAAAGGAGTATATTTTGGCATTATTTTTTTAGAGTTGGTATTTGGATTAATCGGCATTAAGCTCCACTCTGTTAATTATTATTATGCACCTGGCCAATAAAATCTCTTAGAACAGCTTCCATTTGGTTTTGGTCACTACACTCTAGCTGGTTTAAATAGAAGAGCCTAGATAGTAGAAGATGATTTCTTTGGGTTGTATCTTTCATCTCCATAATAATCCAAATCTTTTTATATTCTGGCAGAATTTCATTTATAACGCTTTCTAATAACTCATAATAATAGTAGTTTTCGTTGTCTTCTAGTGAGTTTTTAGATAGCGCAGGCAAAATTTGATTATTAAGAATGTTAAGTAATTTTTGCATACTTTCTTTATATGCCCTGTCTTTATCCAGACCAGTATCATTAAACAACTTGCGGGTTTTCTTTTCTATTGTTTTAATTAATTTCTTAATAGCATTTAAAACGCTAGGAATTATTGAGCCAAGCTCTTTGCACGAAGAATCAAGCCCGCACGTGGTTATTTTAGCCATGCATTTCTGCATATTTTGAATTTTATTCAACTTTTCAATAAATTTATAGTTTGTATCCCAGAAAATCAGTAGCTGATCAACTGGATAGTATTTCATCCGCAAATTCTTAATATCTATAGCCATTATTTCCTGATTTATAGCTCTCTCCATGCCATTGTGCATTTCCCAATACAGATCTATTACCATCTTATCAATATCACTAATAGTAGATATTTTTTTAACTACCCTGTCTATTTTCTTTTTTATTGAATTTTTTTTTCTGCGTCTTGCTCTAACTGGATGCCAACTATTAATTTAAATAGTTTGTCATAATTATATTTAAAAATATTATAAATTGCAGTTATACTTGGCCGTGAGCTATCTATAGATTTGTCATAATTATCGATAAGTTTTGTTATAATCTTTTCCTGCCCGTTTATGTACGAGTTAATGCTAGCCTGGAGTGCTGAAAGATCTGCCCCATGTGTTGGTCTAAGTACAGTAACTATATAATTTAACTGACTAGGAGAAGTAGGATCGAATTTTATTTGAGAAAACTCACCGACATGAAGGATTGTTTTATTGCCTATTTTGCTAACCAAATTATATTGAGTCTGCAGAGATCTTCTAAAGTCTAGCGTCTTTTCTTTAATGCTATTTAGATTTGTTACCACACGCATCAGCTTTCTTTTCAATCGCTTTGTTTTTTTTATTTCTTTTACTTTATCTAAAAGAGATAGCTCGTTTGTAACAAACAGGTTAATTTTTAAAACAATTGCTCTGACCAGTTCGCCATACGCATCTGAAACTAGTCCATATGTAGAATAGTCCAAACTATTAAAAACCATATTCACAAGATAATCAAGAATGGCCTTGGCGTCTTTTGCAGTTGTTATTTTATAGTCATAGGAATTGCATATTTTGATTAATTTATCAATAATAATATTAGGAAGCCCAATAATATTTAAATATCGCTGGGATATGTATGTTTTTTGATATGCGGTTTTTTCCGTGGTAGTTGCATCATCTTCTTCATCATTAAGGTCAACTTTATATAATATCGATTTAAATTCATTATTCAATGAAGAATCTAGCTTACTTAATATTCTAGATATAACCAAACTATTTTGATGGTTCTTTTCTACCAAGCTTCTAAATCCTGTATTACAATGCAGCTCTATCTTTTTTTTATCTAACTTGTTTTTGCCATCATATAGATTAAAGCTGTGCGCGGTCTCTACACTTTTTTTATATTTATCATATTTTGCAAATACATTATTAATTCCATTTTCTGAAATTTCCAGTGTATTTTGGAAATTTATAGAAGGCTTAATAATACTAAGCCTATTAGAGAACTGATCTAAGAAGCTGCTAGAAATAGAGCGAGTAGGCGTACTTGCATGATTTGCTGCATTTCCTAATACAAAAGAAGATGCAAAACATACATGCAAATTGCATAGTGTCATATATATGATGGAAAGCTTCATTAAAAAGTTTTTTACTAAAAATTATATATTCCTGTTTGTCATAATTGGCATTTCTCCTGAATTTTAATTGATTTAAAATTTTATACCCTAGCAGCAAGAAAGTTATATTCAGGTAACATGAGAGAAGAATACAATAATAAAAGAACCAATGATTTAATACAAATTTACCATAAACCGTCGTCATGCTGAAGCCTATTAGAATACGTATGGACTTCTAATCAGCTGCTACCAGTTGGTCACGACACTGTTAATAGTGCAGTTAAAATATTATTTAACTACTTTTTGCAAACTGCACAGTGGTGTTTTCAATTACATCGTTACAACATTACCAATAACACAATGATTTATTCTTTTTCCTAATTTAAGCCGAAATAAAGCTGTAAAGCCACAAGTGTTAATGTTTTTACAATATAATAGAATATCCCTATGTTACAAGCAGTAATTACATCACAAACATGATTCATTTTGTTTGATCACTTTATACCATAGGATGTAAGATTCCTTGTTTTCTTCTATTTTATTTTGTATAACAAGATAATGGATTAAAGTGTCTGCTTACATATGCACTGGCCTGCAAGTATTTTATTTAAACACTTTTTCTTTTACATTTCTGATGTTATTCCATCACAAGTCTCATACGCTTTATCCTAAGCTTGGGAGTGAGCAGCGGCATGGATGATGTGTCGCGCAGTGAATAGTTCATTCTTCTAAGTGCATAGTATACAGCGTTTAAACACACAACCTTTCCTGTTTTCTCCTGAAGAAGGCGGGCTAGTTCCGGCAGCGAAAGTGAGGAGTCATTCATTAGATTCTCCTTTAGAAAAAGCTGGTCCAATTTAGACAGGTGTTTCTGCCGGCCAGACCCTTCCTTCCTAACTACAGTGCCGCATTTAAGATATCTGCTCACAACCCTCTTCACAGTGGAATATACAGCAGGAAGAGTTCTTGCTATCTCTATGCGCGACTTTCCGGCTTTAAACAGCGCGATTATCTGATGTCTTCTGGCCTCTTCGGAGTATACGTGTTTTTTATTGCACACGGTCTGTTTTTTCTCTCTTTTTAACACCATGGTGCTCTAAATTTTTATTATAGATAAAGGCAAAGCGCCATTTTGATTTTATGAATACAAGATTCTCACACTGTTGACCGGCCATGAATATACTATTTAAGAGCAAACAAACTAAAAATTCAATAATATGCCAGAATATACTAGTGCACTCAAATATAATAATGCATTGCAGTATACACTGATATATTTCCTGTTTCTATAAATATTCAGTGTTAATGCAGACACTAGAGGGTATTTATACTGCCGAATTTTATGGCAGAGTATGAGACGAGCATAGAAGTTCTATATAAGCATAAATCGACAAGTGCTGTGCAATATAGATTTAAATTAGTTATACTTTAAGGAGATCTGAAATTGCTTTTCGGGCTGTTAAATTCCAAAATAGATAGGTTTCATATAACATGAAATTACTAATATTATAAATACTAGCATTTCTAAACTAACAGCTATGTAACTTTGTTAGAAATATATGTCATTAATTTATTACTAATTTTTTGGTTTCAGGTTATTATAACAGTGTTTAATTAACACTCAAAATATTTCAATACAATAAAATTAGCTCAGTTAATTGAATCCACTCTATACTGTTTACATTTTATGTGTGCATAATTCAACATAACAGATCTAAATTATTATTCGGGTTATATAATAATACCAGTAAACAGGAGTTTAAATTAATTATTAACCGTTTATTTATTTTATTTATTTTTTCACTAATTAGTAGCTGCTGATATAACATTTAACACATTAACCAAGCTATTAGATCTAGTCTGGATGGATGATAGTATATTTAATATATTAAATTTAGAAATAAACTTTTTTGTTATTTTAATCACAAAAAGAACTACAATAAAACTCTTTTTTTCTATTATATCTGCACAGAAATACACTACAAATACAAATATAACACTGCATATAAGGCCTATAAACAATGAAATGTATGCCCATAGTCTTGTGTAGTCCTCTCGATTCATAGTAAGCCCATCGTGTTTTTCCATTGCACTGGAGGATACGTGGGGATGCTCTACCCAGCGAATAAGCTTTAATAATAATCTTAGTCCAAGAACTGCCCCATATAACATTGTTGAAATTGCTGTACAATACGTGTATTTGGCAACAAACGCATATTTAGCTGGCAGTATTATAAGAAGTCCTGTGTATATCAAGTATAGAGTTATAATTGCTGTAATCCCAGATATTAGTGGATTTTTCTTAATTATTCCCCATGATGCTTGGTAATTGAACAGACTATTTCCAAACACTGCCATTATGAATATAACAATTACCCAGCCAGTTGTAATGAGTATTTGTAAGATGGAGGGCATGTTAGCCAAGTGCATATCGTATAAAAATCTAGATAGAACTATAAGTAGAGTGAACATTGGCAAAATGGAAAATGAAAAGACCATTTTGATATCTTCTGTTGTGGGAACGATCAGCTCATGAATCAAATGGCAAGCTCCTATTGCACCAATAAGTATGTATTTAGTGTATGCAAGAAACTTTAGAGACTCTGCTTTTTCATCAAAGTATTTGTGTATGTTATATATATATGTAGCATATCTCATATCATCAACAAACACAATACTAACCCCAATTAAAGCCAGTATTCCCATGGCCAGTAATATGTAAAATATTCCAAACATTGATATAGTTGTGTAATCAAAATGCTTTTCTTCGTTCTTATTATTCTTTTCATTGCCAATTGGTTGGTTATCGCCATTGTTCTGCGCAATGAATCTTGTTTTGTCATCATTTACACACGTTTTTGCTTTTATTCCATTTTCTGAGAAAGTGCCATTGAGTTCAGCATTAATTGACATGCGGTTACCAGTATCTATGTCACATGTGCTATGCGAATCCGTTAAAATACTGCTAGATGTACATACACAACTGCACCCAACTTTGTCAACTGTCAGCAAAGCGAATATTATAAGTATGATCGTATTGATTCTTCGTACTATTTTCATCTGTTAAAAAAATTTTAGAAATTCGGGTTATATAAAATTTATACATATTTGGTGATCAAATAAAACATAAAATGCATAGCACATAAACACATTTCCAGACAACATAATACTCTGTTTAACACACAAACAATCTTCTTTTTACTAGCATAATATTTTCAAATGATGGCATCATGCTGTAGTAAAAGATAATTGGATAGTTAATTTACGCAAATAATTGAGTGCTTTTCAAAAAAGTGGCCAATAAGACAAAAGCATAAAAATTAAAGGAAAGTATGTTATAATTATCTATATTTTATTCTAAAAAATAATGAGAGAGGCTGTGAAAAGAGAAGAGTTGCTGACGGAGATTAAAACCCTTCCAATAAGCCAGATAAAAAAGAACAAAAGCGCTCTAATTGGCAGGATTATTCAAGGAAAATTTAATGAGCTAGAACAGATTGAGCTAAGGAGGGAGTTGCAGAAGAGATTCATAAACGACTTAGAGAGAAAGGACAAGCAGGAGTCAGAAATGGAAAAGGCAGAAAGCGAAATAAAGAAACAATGCGACGTGTCCGTGCAGGCCTCAAAGAAATTAGCAGAATCAGATGGGAAGCTAAGTAAAATTAAGAGGAGTCAAGAAAGAATTTCAGAAGAAATGAAAAAGGCAGAGAGCACACTGCAAAAGAAGAAATCCAAGGAAATGAGAGAAGAATTTCTCTTTATAGGGGCGTTTGGAGTGTTTTTCAGTATTTGTTCATACATTCTCATAGACAAGTTTGTGTTACAAAGAATCTGAGTTTTTGGATAACCCGAAACAGTGTAGCAGATGGAGTATTTATGAAAGAGCTGCAATAAGAAATATATGTGGATTGTCATACTTTTGCTATTGGGTTATACTATGTGCATAGAAGAGGAGAGTATAAAGCTGGATTCTATTAGAGCCGATACGGTTGCTGTTATTTCACTATTTATGATACTAGGCCTTACTTTTTCTGTTTCTTTATATGGAATAAAGAAGTTATTGGAGAAGAGCCCAAAGCACATGGTAAGTAGAAATCAGTTGTCGCATAACTATATTCCTAAAAAACAGCCATCTGAGTATGAGGTGATTTCTTTCTAATAATCAGATAGAAATAGAAGATTTATATCGGTATAATACGAGTCATTTTTATCCCAGGCAGTAAGAATAGAAGGTTATGGATTAATTGCAAAATATTAAAACACTTTTTATTAATATTCGGGTTATTGTTTTAAAGTTATTTATGTATATTAATGCAATGCTATCTGGCAAAGCATGATTTTAGAGTTTAGGAATTGTTTTTTTGTTTGGCAGAGGGAACGCATGCTGCTATTTAAAGCATAGAGAAAAATTGCATAAAAATAGAGGAGATTGCCATTATTATATTGCATAGCCTGCACCAAAGGGCTTTCAGCCCATTTAAATTTATAATGGATTGGCAGTTATGCCAAAAAACACTCTAAAAACTATTTTTAATTAACAAATCATTGATTTATTTACGCCAGTTTAGAGGAATCTTATTTAGAATGCCTTTTAGCATTCTCCATAAAGATATGCCTTCTATTTGCTACTTGCCTGGCTGTTGGTTTTCTTCTTGGACCTTTTGCTCGTTTGCATCAGCTTGTGCTTCCTGCTCTGCCATCTTTGCCTGCTCTACAATCCGTCGCTGCCTTTCTTCCTCGCGCTTTTTCCGCTCTTCCTCATACTGCCTCTGCCGTTCCTTTCTTTCTAACTCCTTAAGTGTTTCAGACTGTATTCGGGCGTTTACATTGTAAAGATTAATGATTCCTGGATATGGAAGTGGCCTTAACTCAACACTATACTTCTCCATTTGAATTGCAATGTGTTTTCTTATGTGCTCTGCCCACTCACCTTCTAAAGAAATGCCTTTGTCAAGTCCTTCTTCAAAAGCAATTACCTCTTGCATACTTTTTGCAGTTGATGCCATGGTCTCAATAGTCTGTGAGTACTCCCAAAGGCTTTCTGTTACTTTTTCTGCAGATGGAAGGCATGCCAAGCTGTCAGATAAAAGTTCAATTGCATTGTATATACCCGCCTGTATTGTATTAATCTTGGCCTCTATCTCTCTTATAGCACGTTCTTTGCTTAAATAAGTGTCCTCTGCATTCTTTAAAGAGGCAGTGTTCAGCGTGTCAACCATGTTGACCATTTCTATATCCTCTGAGGATATTTCAACACCGCCGTCCGATGTTAAAGACATAATCATTTTAACTGTTCTCTGAATGTCTGTGTTTTTGGGCTTCTTGGGCGCCTCCTTATCATCCTCTGATGGCTCTGCAGCTGCTGGTTCTTTGAGCTTTAATAAGTACACCGGGCAGTTTCCAGATACAAGAATAATTTGGCTGGTCTCTGTTATTTTTGTAATCTGTACAGTTTTCCTTGGGCATTGCTCTAAAACTATCGATGAATCATGCTTCTTTCCAACTATCTTCAGCTTCTTGTCTTTTACAAATGATGCCCCCTCCTTAAATACCATTATAGTTCTCGGCGCAGCGCCATTGTTCAGTATTACTATATTGTAGGAATAAGAAATAGTGTCTCTGATCACAGGGTCATATCTAAATCGGTGGAATGGGCTCTCCATAAGCCTTCTGTATACACCTCCTAGAGCTACTGATTCATCGGCATTTAAATGCACATTAGGCTTTTTTCCAATAATATTTCGTATGGTTTCTTCAATAAAGAATATTTTGGATGATCCTCCAGTCATTTCTATATTCACCTCCTGTTCACTGCTTGTGCTATTAAGAGTATTTATCATATCCTGTACTCTAGGCCCTAGCTCTGCAAAGGCCCCTGCCACCTCTTCTATATCATCTTTTCTTATAGTTACGTCAATTGACCGATCGTATGATACATCCACCTGGGTGGTAACAGAAGTAAGTCCTAATATAGCGGCCTTTATCCACTCTATCTTCTTTAAGTTTCGTATGGTGAACTCTTCCTGGGTAAAAAGCTCCGGTGTGCTTTTGTCAACTCCGTTGTATATCTTTTTTATAAGATGCTTTGTTATTGTCTGTCCTCCTACATTTAGTGTGGCCTTCTTTACGATGGTTATTTCTTCATTTTTTATATATGCAGCAGTGAGGGTGGACTTACTGTGCCCTACATCAACAAATACCACGGGGGTTGTTTCCTCTGATGGTCTTTTACTTGCATAGTAGGCGCATAGTGCAACTGAGTCTGAAATGCACTGCACTTCCATCTTTGGGTTGATCAGTTCAAGTATTTTAATAAGAATATTCTTATGCAGCTGTGTGTATGTTTCTGGCACTATTATCTCTATTTCTAGCTGGTTTATAGAAACCCCCTTTGTAGTTGCATAGTGTGTAATTACATGGTTTAAGAGCGCGTATACATGGGACTTGCGCGGTATATTTACCTTTTCAGTTCCCTTTTTTTTCATCTCATCTGCAAGAGCATCTATTTCACTTCTTATGCTTTCTGCTACCTGCTCTCTGTCTTTGCAGGAGACATTGACGTTTCCAAATATTCTTGTTTTGTTTCTATAGTCTATTGCCATTTTAGTGCTTCTTCCTCCGGTTTCATTCAGAATAACTTCACCGGCTGATGTGTCTGATGATGCTAATACTGTTTTATAACTTCCTAAATCTATGGAAAGAATCTTCATAAAAAAAAAATAATGCGTTTATTTATATACAAGGAAATATCCAGAACAATTTGAAAGTTTTCTTTTAGTTTTCATTTTCATTCAACAATACACATAAATATGATTAAACTAACCCGTTCTTTCTTCATTATGCACAGAAAGCACAAAAGTGCATCAATAGAATAGAGACATCCTGTGTATAAATTGTAAAATGTACATGTGTAGTTTATATAGAATTTCGAGTTATATAGCTTGTTATTAGTGCTCTTTGTGCTGCTGTGCGCATGCCTGTGCTATATACAAAGCATTGTTTGCTTAAGTTATTGTCTTTTGTATAAAACAGGCGGCACTGTTGTTATTATTTCCACTCTCTCTAAGAATATATATTGACTGGTCTTTATATACTCAATAATGCTAAAATTCAAAATACTTTTCTACTTGTTTTTCCTTCTTTTCTAGTAGCAGTACATACATTAGCCACTATTTTTCTCAATGTAGCAAAGTGAATGTATTATTTATATGTGTACTAATTTTATTATAAATATATTTAGCTGCCCATTTTGATAATACCAGTATTCAGACAAAATTATTTATAATTCAAAATATAATAAGCTACTTTTACTTCTTCTAGTTATTTGTACTAACATAATATATAAGCATATTTATTAGAAATACCCCAAAAAGAACTAAAAAGATCAAAAAGCAAACTTACGCTGTTATACAACATAAATGAAACATTGCTATAGCTGATTTTTCCTTAAAGATATAGACATATGGAAACTTGTTATTTATTAAATCCTCGTTGTCCTTATATAGACGACTTTTAATCAGAAAAGCTTTCACTCACATATTTTGGCATCCCAAACATTCTTATTTTGTTTATTATTCTGAATCTGAGAATCCAAAACCAACAGCTATAATAAATGTAAGAATATGCTTTAGCGAAAATCTAAGAGTCTCACACAATCTTTCTATAAGACAATTAATACTTTGAAAGAAATAGAGTGTTTCAATAATACAATAAAGCTATAGTCTTAAATATGGGCGTATTATGCGGTCTATTTTACTTTTCTTTTATTCTATGTAGGAAAACTCTATAATAGTTCTTTTTCTTTAAAATAATAAATATTTTTATATAAAAGCGTTTATTCTTCATTCGTAGAAAGAAAGCATTTTTATTTTTATTTTATTAAACTAATATACACTATTAAAAAGAATGCTGTCGTATCCGAACAAATTAGGATAAATTAATTAATTTTTTTATACAGCGTCGGATTAAAACAAACATGTCAGAAAGCATACCAATAAAGAAGCAATCAACTAATATTAATTACAAGCTTTTCCGTTCCAGGAACTTAGTGGAGTATTACATAGAAACTTCACAGTTACCACTTACGGGACACGACAAATACATTATTAATTTTTATTAAAACACTAAAAATTTAGCATATTAATTTTAAAATTTTATTTTAAAATGAAAGGAGTAATAGATAAGAAATACAGAAACATAGCAATATACTCCATTATAGTTCTGGGTTTAGGAATAACAATTTTATTATTCTTTATAACTGTGAGAGAGCAAGGACATGAAGATGATAGCTCAGAAGAAAGCCAATATAACATAGAAAGTAATGAAATGGAGTCAATGCCAGAGCCGCCTATGCTAGACGATAGTATAAACAGAAATCCAATACATACTCCAGGGATAGAGGAAAAGCAAATAGAGCACGACACGAGTGATTGTGAATCAATGTATTACTCTGCTGAATCTTGGAGTGATAAAAACAATAGTGTAGGAATGGGCGGCAGAGTGGCAAATATATTCTTATCCATAGCCAGTTATATATATTTGGCTTTTAAAGCCCCTTGGAATTCAAACGAGAACTCTTATTTAGAGGGCGCGGCAGAGAACAGAAATAAACCCCTTTCTTAGTATATAGCAGAAGAGCCATCAGTTTAAAAACTGCTTGCAATAAAATATAAGAATACTGGCGCGGCTGTTAAATGGCGTGTATTATATTACTTATAAAGATGGTATTTTAATTTAACCCCGCATAGCGCATATTCTAGTAGGCTGCTAGATATTCCAATACCCTGATACAATCTCTTTGACTGTAAAAAATCTATTAAACATATAAGCTAACTATAATTTTTATTACTTATATCTATATTTTATGCCACTTCTGCGCTTATACAGATTTTATTTCACATTTTATAATTTAATTATAGCTCAAACTATCAAAAAGTATTTTGTACACTATTTTATCATAGTTAGAGATATAATTATAAAATGTGAAATAACTTCATTCTAACTAAAAATATTCTGTGAACTATGCATAATTTATTATAAATAAAATATTATTTATGCCTTACATATTTTAAAAATTTAAAATAGTTGATTCTTTCATATTATAGTGCTGTCACTTAATAGTAGAACACCCAGCATATTATCTATGTATAAACCCGGCATTTTCTATCAAATAATGAATTTTACTACAACTAAGCACTATTGATCTACAAAAATTTCGGGTTGCTACTTTAGAGTAAATGTCACATTTAATAATAAAAAGAATATAGATACCAACTGCTTGGCATACTATACTTAAATATTAAAAATTTTTATAGCACAAGTAATGGCACCATCCAATGATATTAATATATGTATAAAAATATGCAAAGTTCTTTTAGCAATGTATAACTTAGTAACAAATATATATTCCAATGAGACAGGGTTTATTATTATTTTTTCATTTAACAGAATCCTTTTTGCTGTGCTCCACTACATAGAAAGCGCTAATTATCTATCTAAAAGAGAAGATCTAACTCTTGTATTACAAGAGGCAAGAACAACTTTAAATATTATACAATCTCATCAAGCAATTTTGTTTGCTTTTACTATATACTCTATGCTATGCAGGGAAATAACATATAGAAATACAAGGCAACTGGCGGGTGCTATACTTGTAGAAATGTTCGCTCTATTTATGTTTGAGATTTTTGTATATAATGCGCTTATAGAATATATTAATTCAAGTGATATGGTAGGTATACAAGATTCTTACATTCATCTATTTATACTCTATGTTTTATCTTTTATTTTTATAATATCTATATACCTTTTAATAACATTCTATTTTGCTATTAAGCCTGTGCATACTATGTATAAAGTAACAAAACGCATGCGGTATTTGTGGCAGGTGATGATAGGAGACATCTTGTGTTTTATATTATGCCTTTTTATTCTATTTGTATATGCCGGGAATGTCTTTTGGATGCTACAGCAGCCGTATAGGTTTGTTTGTAGATCTTTTCCATCTTTATATAAATGTACATGATCTAAAAAATTAAAGGAATCATATTTTATTCCGCTTAGTTAAATAATTTAAATATAAATAGGATGTCTTAACAATTCAATTATAAGTTATATGCTTCTGAGTGAAAAGAGCTGTATATTAATAGCAGGCTAGCTCTTAATAAAATTCTATATAGACTTAATTTGTTAGTAGTGCTGTATGCTAAGACTAGCATTTGTGTAGCACAGCATGAGTTATCGGAATGTTTACATAAACGTGACAGCACAAATTAAATCAGAAATTGTTATTGGCACAACAAGTCAACATAAATTAAATTGCTTATACGGACTGTAAATACGTATACAAGATTCAATAAAAGTCAAAGTTTAAGAATGCCTTTTCCTAAGAAAACAACTGGTAGCATTATATGTAAGGCATAAATAATATTTTATTTTAATAAATCATGCATAGTTCACATTATATAATAGAGATATTATAATCTATTTATGAGTTTTTCAAGAAGTCTATTAGAACCAGCACATCTATATATTTCGAGGTACACATTGTGTATTGCTGCTTATATATTACAAAGAGGTTAAAATAAAACGGGGCCATCAATGAGCATGGCCCCCACACCAAATGGTCCTCTATAGTAGAGCCGGCGGTGATTTTAGTGTGTGCAGTGCGCCATCTGCTACACATGTAACCGGACTAGATGATACTAAGAATCTGCCTCAGCCAACTTAATATAAACTAAGCCACTTACTACAAAGTACTTGTCCATCTCTAGCTAAAAAACAAATTAGCATATGTATTTATAGGCATGAAATTTCCCCATTTAGGAAAATGTCTAATAATGGATAAATATTTGTTCTGGAAAATAGAAGAGTCTATTATAGACCCATCTTTGATAAATTAGGCCCATTGCGCGTATAGTATTGGCAATTTAATGTAATAAATATGGATAATGCATTTATGCATGAAAAGAAAGAGTTACATTTACTATTTATTAGCTATTATTTTAGTGGTACCCATAGGTGTTAGAACCAGAATTTTGGACAGGATATAATGGTGTTGGTGCGTGTAGTTTAGAGCGCCCTCCTGTTACTGGCTGTTTGTTGATTGGCCGAAACCCTTGCTTATTAGCACTGCCTTGAGGAGCGCTAGTAGGAATAGATCTTGCTACATGCGCTCTGCTATCTACAACAGGCACTGTTACACCACTATGAACTGCAGGCCGCGGGGGTTGCCTTCCACCTTCTAATTGATGATATGGAGCAAATGCTGACATAACTAAGTGGTTATTATTTATTGGCACCTGATGTCCATTTTGTGTGAATAAATAGTTGATGCTTTGTTCTGAACTTTTGCATGGGGGCTCTTGGAAGTGTACTCTTCTTGTGTTCTGTCCATTTTTGAGAATTCCCTTTGGTTTAGAGGGCATCTGTAACTCTTGCTGTGTGCCGCAGTTGTTTAAAGCTTTTGCAAGGTGGTCTGCCATTCCAGAAAGCTTGGTTTTCTTTTGGCAGAAGGCAGAGTATGAATCTGTATTATTGCAGCTAGAATAAACCCCGGGATTTGGGTTGGAGCGGGATTGTATGCTGTATTGTACAGGCGCATATGCACCCTGTGCATTTCCGCTCTGTTTACATGCTGTCTGAACAGTAGAGAATGATTTCGGGCTGTTTACAAGACTGCTAGGATCTGATTTAATTTTAATCGTAATAGGGATTTGGTGTGTTAACTCAAGATTTGCCTGTGCGTTTATTGTACTGTCAAGCCAAACCCCACTACTTTGTAATGTATGGAGAACCCCTTGCTCTACTTCTGAGTTGCCCCCAGTGTATTCTCTTATATATTGTATAATATTAGTTGTATTTACACCAGCGGTTTTAACTGCATCATATACCATAGTGCTCATATTATAGATATTTGGAATTGGGATTAAACCACCGTTCTGCTGCATAAAGCAGTAAACGCCTATTCCATTTGCAATATTTAGAACAACAGAAAGACCCAGCACATTCTGAAGAACTTTAGAGAGCACTTCTGCAGGCTTTATAGTCTCATTTAATGTTTTATTTCTAACTATGAATGCATTATTATTGAAAATATTGAAGGCACTTGTGTTTAGATTTACTAACGTAAATACGCTGTTAAGAGCCAGAAGAAGTTGGTGCACTTCCTCAAGAGACCCTAAGTTTCTCATAAGCATGGACATCCCGCCATTAAGAGAAAGGCTTTCTCTCTCTTGTGTGTGCTGACTCACTGCTCTGACAACTCGGTAAATCATAAATCCATTTCCCTGATAGAGGGCTCGGCACATATCACAGTCATACCTGTTGCACATATCCATTAGGATTGAGTCCAGTAAGACAATAAGGTAAGTTTTAAGCATTGTGCGGGTAGCTGGAATGTCAACAATTCTCTTGACTATATCAGACACTACAAACCCACCTATATTATTCTTGTTAAATAGCCTGTTTATAATTCCATCGGGTGTATTTGCATTTTCTCCATTTATTGCTGGTGTGCAGTGCTCATTAAGAATTCTTTCAATTTCATCTATAAACTGCTTACAGCACCGAGAGCTAGATTTAATTCCACCAATCATGCCTGATGATATTTGTATACATGTACAGCACACTCGGCAGTTATCTACTCTTAGGAAGTTTCCTGCGAGAAGTGCCAATGAGTTTTTGATTATTTTTTCATCCTCTGACTCCACTGTAGAAGTGCTTTGACTGGGCCTTATTTCAGGCTGTGGATATTTTGAATTTATTGTTGTTGCACCTTCAGCATTCAGCTGCCGTGATAGCTGGCCTGTTAGCTCGTTTCTATTTTTTAACTCTTTATGCATCTCCATAAAGGATTTCACAATATTATCAGCTATATCTGAGTTATTTTCCAACTCGTTCATAATATAGCTAAAGTCTGATCCTTGTCTCCTTTCTCTTTCATTGTGGTTTGTATCTACATACGATGCACTGACTATCCCTAGGCAAGCACTGCCTACTAAACAGCATATAACCGCAATAGAATATTTTGTTCTGCTCTGCATGATTCTCTTTATACTCATAATTTTCATGCCTTCTGCCCTATTTATACCTTAAGAGCGCATCATTTGTGATAGATGCTTGCTGTATCATTGTGTTACCTCACTATATTGGAAATAGCTAATATATATAGGAATACTGGATCATTTGATCGGTTTGGGATATTAGATTAAACTTTCTAAAGCAAGCGATTAACTACGCATAGAGGTAGAGTTCTATAATATTGCAATGTGCTTATAAACAAAACTTTGCATTTTTCTTTAATATTGAACTGTTCATTATCAGCACTAATATTTAAAATCTAGTGGTTCTTAGGAGTTAAAAATTATTGAAATTATAACTTGACGTACTCACAAGGAGTTACGCCACTGCCGTCCTGCTACGTAGCCAAGAGAGTAAAGAAAGTGAAAGCGGAGAGCTCTTTATTGTCTTTAGGAAGCGGCCCAAGCCTGCGCGGATACGGAGTCCAAGGGCGCTGCTGTGTTAGGCCTGGCGCTGAAGTTAAGCCGTCGATGCTTCCCTGAGTCTCCCCCTAAATTAGGGGAAGAGCTCCGGTTAAATAGTCGGAAGTTGATATACTGATTCAGAGATTCCGGCCTTTGCTTTGGCGAGATCACAGCACGAGATGACGCACAGACAGATCGCCCTCGGGGCTTCTATTTGAGTGGTGGTGTCGCCACATAACTTTATTTTGTTTCTGATTTTTAGGTATTTTCTCTATTTTTACATTATTATCTTTGTATTTGACTAACAATCTATGCATAATATCATTATTCTTTAAACTTTTTAATAGGATATATAGCTTGAAATAACCCGAAATTCTATCTTATTTATTCCTATTTTATGTTGAATAGATCAGTACTCTGGATCTCTCCTGTATAATAATTATATCCTAGAAGCTTCCTTCTATCCTTGTCTATTTCTACAGTATACACTAGATCTGTAGTTGGTATGTGTTTAATAAGTATTAGATCTTCTGTGTATATGCCTATCCCGTCATATGACTGTGCTATAACATTGTATACTGCCCCCTCAATTTCTACTCTGTTTATCCTCCATATAATAGATCCTGTGCTCTTTTGCAGTAGTATTTTTCTTTCTGAAATTATTGCGTATTCTCCCATATATGTTCCTACTTCTAGTCCACTATAACTATGCCCATTCGCAGCAGAAAGAACACAAAGCCAAGTTATTCCGCCTGAAAAGCTATGTGTTTCTAGCACACTATGCGTGTTTCTATCGATATATGATAAGCACCCAATGTCGCACCCTATGTAAATGTGCTGTTTGTCTACTGCCACAGAAAGAATATCGTGTATGCACTTTTCTCCATTGCAGAAATACTGGTGCCAAGTGATATCTCCGGTTTTTGTGTTAATTTCTGTATAGCACCCCAGGCCGACTGAATATATAGTTCCTTCATACTCGGTATGGTTATAGTTTATTATTTTATTGTCATAGATGGTGTACGGCGCAGATGCCCGTTCTAGGTCTATGACTACTATGTTATTATAGTTTCCAGCTATTAGTCTGTTTTCTTTTTGGGATATAGAAAATGTGCCTGTTGTTTCTATCTCCGCACCTTTATACACAATAGCGCCCTTCCGTGAAGTCTCGCTGTATATATACGTTGAATATATCGGCTTATTTTTATAGTAAAGGCAGTCTGTAATGTACTTCATTTGCATGAAAAAGAGAAAAAATGAAAGAAGAAATACAGCCGCAATCTAAGCACAGGGCAGGAGATTATAAAGCAATATGTTATTGTATGATGTTAAAACAAAGTGCCTCAGTAACCGTTGTAGTTTATATTGATGTGTCATCACTTCTAAGCTATCTTAGGTTCTCATCATAAGCAGAGTATTTAAAAAAAAAGCCATGGGTATAAAAAAATTTCTCTTTTATATTTTAGAATTCTATAAAAAGAGAAAATGTTTATCCCCCTGCAGTTGCAAGCAGAGTGTTTAAGACATTTCTGCAATGGAGTGCATTTATATGCATATAGTCTTCCATTGCGATTGTATACCAATGTGACTTTGTCTTAGTTTCCACGGTAGACTATTCAAGGCGTGTGCAATTCTCCAATCACAATATTCTTAATAGTGCGGGATAGTGGTTCACACTACATTTTATACTTAACATCCTTTTTCTAAATAATTTTTGTCTTAAAGCTTTTTTATTTATTAGGCAGAATGTCCTATTTTATATTGACTTTTATATAAAGTGCGCTTTTTTAAGTATATGTTTTGTATGTACTCTTCATTATTATAACTTTATGGTTCTTTACTGATTATTTTAAATTTAGTCTATCTAAATTTATATATGTGCTAATAGTGGCTAAGAAGTTTAATATTTCAGTAGTGTACAATTAAGAAAATGTTTAATCCACAGATGTACATCTCTTAGAGAATGGAGCATAGATAATTATAGGTGTTTTATACACATACCAAATTATATATTATAGCATAAACCTTTATACTATAATACGATGAATATTCTATTACTAAGCATTTAACTATTTATTAAATACCTCAAACGTATTTATACAAATCGCAACTGTTCAAGCGAAGTCTTTCTATAGTATTGTTGTACTATTTTATGCTTTTAATCCAAATAAATATATATAACACATCAATGGTTAATGAATAATAAATATTGTACCAAGCGGCTGAAGATTATTTCTATGCTTAATAATAATTTCGGGTTATATAATACTAATGGTGAATTAACAGAATACAATATTTATTTATTGTGCCTATTTAAGTGCACATATAATAATATTTTGGTGCATATATTTTCCATCTTTGGCGCTCTATTCAATTAAGTATCTTCTAACAAAAAGAACACTAAATACACTGCGCACCCAGTAATTTGTTTAAATACATTTAAATCTGATTTGAGTAGATTTAGCATGTTCTTAAAGATGCTTTTGTGAAGAGTCATAAAAGACGATCAAAATGTTGCGTAACTCACATAGAAATTCCTATATAATTGGCTTAAAACTTGGATAGTTCAAAATGCTTAAAGAACTTGGCATCTGCATTTTTAGTTTTGCTATTGGCTTATATATATTGTATATTGTGTAAATAGACAAGATGGCTTTTCCGCATATTCATATGATTTTGTGGCTATATTTTGCATTCTTGCATTAAATGCGGCTGTTTGTCTTAATGCTGCCAGTATTGAATCAAGCAATAGGTCTATGAATTCTCACATTTTCTATAAAAACTTATTACATAATTATAAAATACAATGTCTTCACACTTATTTAAAATTATGTACATATTTATAAAAATATGTTCTACAAAAAAACATCAAAAATTTACATGGGGTGATGCTAGTGAGATTTGAAGAATGCTATGTTGTAGTGTGCTTGAAGTTTCATCTAAATTAAATCACTCATGCACAGACACATGGATTGAACTGTTGTAATTAGAGATAGTATAATATTTATACATTACAAATAAGCACTTAATTTTGTGCATTTTAGATTACATCTCTATATAAATACTATTACCATGGATTTATATATAAACTCCAGTCTACATTCTGTTTAAAGTGCCAATATACACAAAAAACCTGTAACCTTCATACTTAATAAAAACCTATAGCAATTCCTGTTATATCTATAATATGCTGCACATAATTGGACACTTTATAGAAAGTAGCATGCTGCCCCGTCTTTTCTTATTAGAACATAATTAACAATCTACTAAATTTTACTAACCCGAATTCAGGGTACTTTTCTCTTAAAGGACACTTTGTCCAGGAATTCTAGCAATTCATTATATTTCTAATCTTTCTCGCTATATTTCAGCAAACTTTGGTATTTCATTTAATTTACACTGCGCGTATTCTGCTTATATTGTAAGATGAAGAATGTTTCCGGTCACTTTCAAACTATTTCTTCTAACTTTTCTTCTTTTGGCCTGTTTTGCTTTATTTTTCATGTATGGCTTGCATATATAAAGAGAAAGTATTAAAAGTACAAATATTCCCTTTGTAAATCGCATTTGAATGAAAAGTACGGAGAAATTACATATTTAAATGTTCAATGCCCAATAGGCGTATGAGACATAAATCACAAAAATAAACCAATAATATATTTATTTGTTTCATATAAGTCTTTGCCCCCTGCTAAACGCCGGACTTTACTATACTTACATAGCCAGAAACCGCATTGTAAGTAAACCGCTATGGTGTGCTATGATTTTTTAACGCTATACAATTATGCTATGCCTGTGGTTTTTCACCTGCTACTGGTTGTTTCGGATTAGATCCCATTTCCTCTCCAGGTTTTTTGGTTTCGTCTCCTGGGGTTTTAGCCTCCTCTCCAGGTTTTTTGGTTTCGTCTCCTGGGGTTTTAGCCTCCTCAGCTGGGTTTTTGGTTTCGTCTCCTGGGGTTTTAGCCTCCTCAGCTGGGTTTTTTTCTTTGTCTTTATCCTCGTTTGTCTTACTTGGTGTGTTTGCTGGTGGCTGATCTTTTTCAGTTGGAGCGTTTTCTTTCATAGATGACTTTTCTGTTGAATTATTTATAGGCTGAACAGATCCAACCATTACAAATGATTCTTCATTTACACTTCCAGTTTCTGGCTGCTTTGAAGCTACGTCTTTATTGTCAGATTTCTTTTTCTTAAAGGAGTTTTTAATTCTTAAATATGTCCTTTTTATAAAATTGCCAATTCTTTTAAAGATGCCTGGTTTTTCTTCCTGTGGATTTTCTTGCTCTGGATTTTTACCATCTGGGCCTATCTCATCCGCGGAGGACAGTGCTGCACTAGCATACAATGCAGTAAATAAAATAAATAACATTATAATTTCTTTTCTTATTCTCATTTCTTATTCCATTCGGGTTTTATCCTATTTATCTTTAATCTAATCAGAGAAACTAGATAAACGAATCGTTTTTATCTTCTATTTTAAGATATAAAATCTAAATTGCACAATGATGGCTTTTTATATGTATTTTTGCATTTTATTGGTTCTTTTTTGAGGGGCGATCTGTCACTTTTTTCTATTCTAATTGGGGTTCTCACAGGAGACAAAAAATTGAAAAGCTATTGTTGTTTCAAAACAAAGAAGATGATAGGCTTCTTTGATAAAAAGCTGCTTAGATCGCTCTGGAGCTGGCACTATGGAAAAAGTGCACTCTAATGGCAAGGTATAGCACAAGTTTTCATAGGCTCCGTTTTTGTGTATTCTATGCTTCTTTTTTTTATTCTTTAGTCTTTTAGCTTAATATTCTTTGTATGTCTAAATATATAGTTTTCATTAATGTCCACTGTTTGCAGTTTTAGAGAAAGCCTGGGTCCTATTTCATCTAGACGAACAGTTTCCTCTTTTGTACTGTCCTCTGGCAGCCGGACAATATATCTGTGCTTTCTGCATAGAATAAATCCTCTTTTCTTTGTAAAGGACACTAGCTGCCGCCCTTCAAAGTCTGGCTCTTCAGTGCTGTACACTGATTCTATATCCTTTATAAACCGCATGTCGTTTTCTGTGTCTTCAAAGTTGTTTATAGACAGCTCTGGCATATGGCCGGAGTCAACAGCCCCGCCTAGCCGTCTAGAAAGCGTATACGATACAATAGAATATGTGCTTGTCGTAAGATTGTTCTCTGCATCTTTTTTTATAAACAGAAGACGCCTATAAGAGCTGTCTACCTGGTCTAATCGTATGATCATGGCCTCTTCCTCAGTTACTTCTTCTTTTAAGAACTGTGCAAAGTTTCTTTTTTTACGCGGAATTGGCGTGGCTCCCGGAAACAATCCTTCAATGTCTAACAACAGCTCTTTAGTTTCATGTGTTAACTTCGAATTACTGGATGTAATAATAACTTGCATCTATTATACAGCAAAAAAATAAATGAAAAATAACCGAATGTCCTGGCGTGTGAATTGCAGAAGTTCTTTCAATAAATTAATCTAAGCTTTTTAAAGAAGTGTAATGGATCCTTTATCCAATGTAAGTATTGTAGTGCTTAAATAAACATCAAAATAGTATTAATAAAGAAACAATTTATAGCGATTAATGTAGTAAAAAATCGCACTTTGTAAATTTGCCGTCTGTATTTAGAAAATTCGAGTTATATATAATAGTAGTTAAAGGCAATCTTCAATAACCACCAGTAACAAATAAAAAACTCTGTTAGAAGCCAATAGAAAACTATTCACTTTTAGTAAAGCCAGTGTATAAATAACCCGAAATACTATGTTTGCTCTTCGCCTCTGAAATGTACAAAAAATGCATATTGTTATCTATTATGCATACCTCTTTGCACATGCGCTGCAAAAATCTATACCTTCTATTGCAGCTGTAATAGATGCATCTTTTTATACTTAAAATACTCTTTTATTAGTGGTTGTATTTGGTGTTTCAGGCTTTTTGATTAGCACTTTTTATTGGGTATTTGTATTTTTATACCTTTACATGTGGCTAAACAATTCAGCCAATTAAATACGTATATAAATATGATTTGTAAATTTGATAAATTTCAAAATTTACTATTGGATAATCGTAAGATTATAAATTTCAGTTTATTCCCATTGTCTGCTTCTATTATATGCCTTAAACTGTAATGAAAGTGCAAGTAAAATTAGCCGAATAAAAATATTTTATAATCACCTGTTATTCAAGTAGCTAAACCAAGTTTTTATTAGAAAAGAAAATATAAAAAGCATTTCTCTAGGGCCTTCCATCAAATAAACAAGTTTATACACCATCTTCTATGCCATAATGCATAAAACGGAATAAATTATAAAAGGCTATACAAAATGTAAACACAGAACCCCCTCCTAGCCTATACAAAAACGTGCTCAACTGTACTAAAGCAAATTATTCACTATTTCAACATATTCTGATTTATACAGCATATTCTATAATACTAAAGAATCTAAAAATATAAAAAACATGGAAATAAAATAAAAATAACGTTAATTATATCACAGAACAGAGTATATCTATTACTTATTTGCCACTATAACACTTGATGTACCAGGAATACGTCTAAGTATAACCAGCCTTACTGCGCACTCTCTGTAAACACTCTTTTTAATATGCCTATACACCGATATATTGCCATATATTTAGTCTATTCTTACGATAGATCCTTATAATTCATGCAATTACCCTTAAGTTTAATTTAAATGGATCTAGATGCGTATAATGCATGTCTCTCTACCATACTTAGACAAATTAATTATTTTTTGAAGGTATTTAAAGGCCTCGCATTCTGAGTTTCAGTGTCCCGGAGAGCTGCTTCTCTTTCTGGTGCAGTGAAGTTATAAGTGGTGTGCTGAGAGGTGCAGGAGAACCCGACAATTCGACACTCGGGCGGGGTCTTCTACTATCACATCCCTTCGGGGGAGCCATATGGGTTAGATTATGCTCCAATCTTTTTATTAGGTAATTCGACGCATGTTACTTTTTCCCTTGATGCTTGTACATCTAACATTTAGAACCGCTGCGTAGTCTGCACCGACTTAATAAGGCACTAGCGCGTACATGAATTCCCCTTCCTGTACCTCTACCACAGCACACTGCTTATAACTTCGCTGTATTGGATTATACTATATCACTGGCATAGGCGTAATATATATGCGATATCTGTGTAGTAAGCTGGACCTCAACTCGCGGTAAGCCGCTGTATCAATTACATATACATATGTTTAGTAATGATTTACTGTAAGCAGACAGTACAGTGCAATCCTCATGTACACAGCCAGTACACCTATTATTAAATAAACGGCTACTCCAATCTGTCTGCTATTTATAAGGCAGTGCTTGGCTCTGCTGCTCTACCCCAGCTGTATAATATCCTCTGTCCGTAAGCCTCGAATGGCTTTTTATTTTAAATTCCTGCTTTGCACATAAACTTAAAATTACTTCTGCTATATGACTATTATTATTACAGTGGCTATATTCAATTATGAAATATAATTTATTTTAGAAAAATAGTTCTTTAAATAGGCATATGCAAATATAAGTATTAAATAAATCAACACATCTATTTATGAAATTATCTATATTTCGGGTTATATCAATCAGAAAACCCCCACACAACCATAGGATATCATGAAATAACACAAAATTTTGTTTTTCGAAATATTATGCTATTTTTAGAGTACTTTCATTGTATTTTGGAAGTGTACTTTGAGGCAAGAAAGACCACCATAGTTTCATCTATTAATTTTAGACCCTTTATAATTGATCCAGATCTTTAATTTAAATATAATACTATTTTGATTTTCATTTTGTTTATTCTTGTAAATGGTTAAAATGACTAGAAGAGCAAAGGACCCAAATAGGTTGACTAAAATAGAGCTGTGTGCAATATTAAATAAGCTGGGGGTTAGTAGGATTACAGTTCGAAGCACTAAAAAGGAAATCATAGATGAATTCAAAAGAAACAAGAAACAGATCGAAGCAAGGCAAAAGGAGGCGATAATGATTCTTAAGGAACTTGACAGTGTTAAAAGCAAGGATAAAGAAAAGAAAAAAGTAGAAAAGCGGAAAAGCGAAGAGCCTAATAAAGGAAAAAGAGGGAAAAAAGGCACAGACAAGCCAATAAATGCTGCGGCCATTCCAAATAATGATAGTAATGATCTTAATACACCAGGTATTAATAAACAAAATCAGTTATCAGAAAGCGGACTTACTGATCTACTAGAGAAAAAACAGATAGAGCAAGTCTCTGCACAATCAAAAAAGAAACCGGTACGTGTATCACACCATGGCCTGCTTAGTAAATCTAAAGCTACTGTAAAAGAGGAGGATCCTGCTAAAGAGGTGAATGTTTTTTCCAAGAGAGTAGAGGAGAAACAAACAAACAAACAAGTAAACTTAGCAACAAAAGCACGCTTATATATACAAAACATATACACAAGGAGGATGTTTTTAAAAGGAAGATATAGCAAGATACTTATTGTTGGGGTAACAGTAGGTGTTATCGCAACCATGGCAGCGTACACGCTTTCTACACAGAAGGGCCATGCTGGTGGTACGGGAGTGATTGAATCAGCAAAGAAATATTTAGTAAATAAGATGCATCTTAGAAAACAGGAGGCCGATTCAGTTCAAGCAAAACTTAATGAAATCGCTATGGCAAAGAAGAAGCTAGAGGATACAAAGAAAGAAATTGAACTAAAGAAAAAAGAAAGCGGCAGAGCGCGAGGCCAAGCAAGCAGCAGAACTCAAAGCTAAACAGGAATCTGAGCGACGAGCAAAAGAAGCAGCAGAGCTCAAAGCTAAACAGGAATCTGAGCGACGAGCAAAGGAAGCAGCAGCTGAAAAGAAAGCTAAGGAAGAAGCAGATCTTAAAGCGAAACGAGAAGATTCTGAAAGAAAAGCTAAGGAAGAAGCAGATCTTAAAGCGAAACGAGAAGATGCTGAAAGAAAAGCAAAGCAGGAAGCTGAAAAGAAAGCTAAGCAAGAGGAAGCGTCTAGAAAAGCTAAAGAAGAAGCTGATCTTAAGGCTAAGAGAGAGGAAGCTGCCAGAAAGGCTAAGGAAGAAGAGGAGGAAAAAACTAAACTGAACGAGGTAGAAGAAGTAGCCAAGCAGGAAGTTGAACAGAAAATTGTGCCATCAAATAATAACATAAATGATAAGGAAAACCAAAATAGATCAGATAAAGCAGACATCTCTACTGATAACAAAAATTCCGATTTAGACCATACTAATATAGAAAAGAAAAAAAAGTATTTAGTAACCCGTTAATACATTTAAAGCGCGCTATGGGATTTCTTTGGAATATGTTTAAAATAACTATAGTAGGATTAATTGTTCTATTTATAGTAGGATCGATCGTTATAACTGTTCTTCGTATTATGCATCTAATGCGAGCCAAAGTAGAGAAGTATAGAAGCTACATTGTAGAAAGAATCCATAAAAAAAGCAAAAATGCGCTACCTGCTGACACAATTAAGGAGCTTCGGGAGCAGCATCCGGCATTAAGTAATATGGAGTGGAGAATGCTTTGTAATAGAGTTTTATTAGACAGTAATATTCGTATTTCGAAAGTACTACGTGGATATAAAGAAGAGGATGCATGGATATGGATAGGTGATAATTAAAATGTATGTGGTTTCTTTTGTGTTTTTGTTTTTGTGATTTCTTTTAAAAGCCAAGTCCCAAGAGTTTCTCTTTTCTTTACTTCTTTCTCATCCTTTACTGGCATTTTCATAAACTTTAACTGTCTTAAGTTGTTGCTTATATTCATTCACTTTAAATTTTTTCATTCACTTCTATAAATATGCTCTAAATTGAAGAATTCCTGGAGTGTTTATATTATTATGCTGTGTGTTAAATTCATGCAGAAAGCATGTGTTTTATTGGTACAAATACATTTTAGTAGGCATGTCATAGGCATTTGCAAGGAATGTGCGAATTAATTCATTATAATTAGAAAAATTTATATAAATGCCATATATGCTTGAATGTATTGTATAACCATACTGTGTTTTTTATGTAGAGGTGTACTACATCATTCACTATTTTCTGTATTTTTCTTAAGACTATCTATAGCCCGATATATAGCCAAAAAAATTCAAAATATTTTCATAGAAAAGATGTACTTAATATAACTAAAATTGGTAGAAATGCATATATTAACATAAAAGTGTAAAAGAAATGAATATTTAAACGCATAAACTTTTTTAAATTTTACGTGTATTATTATATGGAAGAAGGTATAAAGAAGAAAGAATATTAGTAATTTTTATGCCATGCAGCCTGAAGAATAGACATAGAAAACACACAAAATCAGCAAGCCTGTAAAAACACACAAGATACATAAAGCAGAATTTGGATATATAATTTCATAGAATCGGCGTATAAATGATAGGCTAAATGATTTTTATTGAATATTTCTATAGAATATATAACCCGAAAATGCCAAAACAAAAGAACGGGGCATTTATTCTGCCTGGTCCAATGCATCAGCACATGTCTGTATGCTATCTGCCTCTCCTTCTTTGTTTTTGAGCCCCTCATATGATTTATCTCCATATTCAATCACACCATGGGACGTTGCCAATTTGAATCCATCAAATATAAAAAGCTCTCTCTTGATGGCATTTGGTGAGAGGGGAGCTGGGTCCTTTGCATGTGGTATTTTCTTTATTGCCTCATGGTATGGAATTTCGGTGGGGTCCATTCTCTGAATGAATTCTTTAGATATTAGATGATTTGCTATGTTTACTAGTCTACTTCCATCTGCATTAATCAGCGGAGTGCTATCCTGTTTCTCATACGTATACTCAATTACCTCAATTTTTTCATTATTAAGCTCAAACACACCCATTTTCTTATTTGGCACTTCTGGAATACCAGCACTCACCACCTCAAAAAGATACTTCTGGGCATACCCTAGCATAGCAGGATCAGCTATGCGAACAAGAACATTGTCAATAGATATAATATTAAAATATTCAATGGCAGGCATAACATTTAAAATTGATTCACTGTGGGTAGTGGCAGACCTTTCAGTGAGCTCAATATAGTTCTTTGTTTTAAGCGTCTTAAAAACAGATCCATTTCCATTTGGAACTTTAATTACTGAACCATCCACGCCATGGAGGGGCTCTTTTGTATCTTTATCAAGCGCATCTATATTTTCTTGTATAACCAAGAACACAGACCTTCCATACTTGGGAAGAACCACCTTTTGCAAGTTCTCTACGGTTTTCTGTATTGTTTCGCATGAGACCATTATAATCCAAGTGGCACCAATCGAGAATATTTTCTCTGCCTGTCTTTGGAAAAGAGAAAGATGTGGGGCAACTTTTGTTGGAAGTATAAATGTTCCCTTGGGGTTCTCATATCCTAGCCTGGACCCACTTCCTCCAGCAAGTGTTAGAACAGCTATCTTTTGTTCTTGTATAATATTTTTTCCTATTTCTTCTAGTTTAGCTCTCTCAGGGTCTGTGGTTAGTAATAAGTGCATTGTATATTACAACAAACACTCTAATTTATACTTGCAATAAATGGATCAAACATGACATAGAAGGTCTCCAGTATAAACAGACAAACTAAACGTTTTTGTAACTTTCTTGTACATTGGTTCTTTAAACACCAATTTAGAAAGATACATCTGATTCTGCTATAGTCTTTTCTTTGCACAATGAGTTAAAAGCCCCACATGAAATAATGTTCTGTAGGCTAAAATAATTAAAAGTATGAGAAATATCCTTGTATACTCTAAAAGTACTAAAATCCTGCATAAAATATAAAGTATTTCTATACTGTATTAAGCTATTCTATAAAGAAAATAACAATAGGGCTATGGATAAATTCGGGAGAGTGTTTGTACTGCACATAAACCATGGGCTTAGACCAATCCTTGGATTCTGTCTCTCCTGTCTTATTCTATATTGGTCAATATTGTCATACAAATAGATGGAAATAGATATGCTAGACTCATTTGGGTGTAAAATTGCGTGTATAGACCCATCTATTATTCATTTTTGTTTTGCATCTGACTAATCCTTTGTTTTATTTGTTAATGCTTAAAGTAATTTGCCTAATTAAGAGAATAAATAGTTGAATTTATTTTCAAGATATGCAGAGAGGATGCAAAGAAAAGAATCCTCCTCAATAAAAAACCTTATAATACACAGTGCATTATTAGAGCTGTACTACAAACAGAAAAAGCCCCAGGACTTAAGTGGGATTCTAAAGAAAATCCATGTTCTCAATCGATTCACACTGATAGAAGTGATATGTGCAAAGATATACAGCAACATGGTAATTGCGCACCTTCCGCAGTATACAAGCATAGAAGTATTCTTTACTTCCTGTATAATCTTTAAAAAGTACTGGAGTGACTTCTCTTTAAAGAACATAGAAGAGATAGACACAGAAATAATAGATATAAAGAAAATGAATCGAGTAGAAATGGCCATACTTAGACAGATCAATTACACCATACACATAACTACAGAGCAAATCCAGAAAGAAATAGAAGCAGAACAGAGCGTAGACATTAATTACCAAGAGGCCATGTCTAGCATGTCATTCTATGCAATAAAATCAGGTGAATAACGGGATAATTCACAACAAAAAATCTGTCACATTAATAAACTGTAAATACATAATAGATGCGCTTTATTATTATATGCGAATTTTACTGTGCCTTTCTTTTAGTTATAATTTATGGAGATAGTGCATAAGCGCATTTTTAGGATTTTCTATTTATTTTCTATTTTATACAAAAATTAATTTATATCTTAAGATAAGATACTGCTGCAGGAAGGAAAAGAAAACACCGTAAGGATTCTTAGTAGAAAACTAAATATAATTAGAAAAGAAAACAATGACGAATATATATTTTATTATATCCATTGTGCATAAAATATTGAAACTAGATGTACATTATATAGCTGCATAGGAAATTACTGTATGCCGCATCTTTTAGTTAGCAGGAGTCAATTCCTTCTTGTCTAAATCCTGGCTAGCTAGCGTGCTGTGTGTTGTTTGTGCTGACAAGGGAGGGGCAGGAACTTCATTTCTATTCTCTCCCCATAGCTTTCCGTCGATAAAGCCGTACTTTAAGACAATCAGGCCAATTGCAATAAGAGACAGATATGCACAGCCATTAAACACCATCTGCACACCTTCATAAGTGTCTATTTTAAGGAAATGCCCGGCTATTACACCAGCAACTGTTCCTAAACAAACAAAGGTGCCAGTGTAAATCATTTGACTCGTTGACTTCAGATTGCTGGGCACTAATAAAGTGGCCAGCTGCACGCCTGAAAGATGAGTAAGTCCAAAGTTTACACCTTTTAGCAACTCAATCATACAACACTTCTCGAATCTGTATGGATCATCTACTTTTATAAATGTATACAGGAAGAATCTTAGCCCCTGGGCGGTTTGTGACAGCAAAAATGACCAGTATAACCCAAACATATTTAGCAGTGGTTTTGAGCAGAAAAACAATCCTATTTCCAATAAAATTCCAAATGTACTGCAGGTGGACATAGGATTGGCATATAGCTCCTGCAGACACCATTGTACATATGTTGGAAGGTATTTAGGTGGCTTGAAGTCTACAAAATTAAGAATATTTTTATAGTAGTTGCTTAGATACATGCTCATCACTCCTCTAGTAATTCCATTCATAAGAATAATCAACAAGAAGAACATGTATGCAGGGTTCTTAAGAACCTTTGAGAACTGTGGGGGATTTCTGGATGAAGACGAAGATGATTGTGCGTTTCTAACTCGATCAGCAGGTGCAAGCAAAAGAACAAGCCCACTAGCCACCGATGCACACAAAATATATGGTATACAAAGCCTTGAGTAATTTCCTTCCTTGCTGCTTTTTCCACCACTTCCAAAGACAATAGACTCAGTGAAGTAGTTAATCAATGCATAAGTCAGAGTTCCAAACATTCTCTGTCTTCCATAGAGAGATGCAGGTGCCTGGAGTACCTTCTGCAAATAGTCCAGAACCAGTCTATCTAATAGTGGAAGTGTGGATAGAATAAACATCGAGTATAGTACAAAAACAGCCGAAATTAAAATAGAGGGAATAGGAAGCAACAGAATTTGGAACAGAAGAGAAGAGAAAAGCAAACAAAATATAAGAATCCCTTTGGGTCTTTGGAATTTGTCTGCTAGATATGCAATCCCCATATTACTGAAGAAGGTACTCAAGAGCATGACAATAAGTGTGAGTGTTTGCTGTGTGCCGGTTACCCCTCTTGTAGTAAGAAATGTCTGTCGTAGATTGTAGAATAGAAAATACTCTATATTTACTGCAATATACAGAAGTTTTGGCGTGAGAAATATTGCTGAGTTAAGTTTCTTATAAACCATTGTTCACAAGCCAATATAAAAAATCTATTTATATGAATATAATTAATATAAAACAAACAAAGTTAATAACACATTCGATCAAACACGTATATTATTATAATTGGTGTTTTTGAAGTGCACAATGAAGGCAGTGTGCATGTGCGAATGCCACATAATGTGAAATAAATTATGTGATAATGCTAATTTCTATAGATAATAGCAATAAAACATTGTGTATTGCTTACACACTACTATTTTTAATATCCTACAAGTATTGTTGCATCACCACCAATAGCTCAAAACAGTCTTAATACATACTTTGTGATAAGTATAAATCAGAGGAAATGTTTAGTCTTTCTGGGTATTCTATGAATTTACATAGATGATTTCACGACATATGCAGTGCTTTATATGTATATTTAATAAATTTGGAGCGTATAGTGCAATATAACAATAGAATGAATATATTTTGCTAGAGGTATTTATATTACCAGTTGTCACTATAAACCCGATATGTATTACGATAATTGATATAGCTATCTTATTAGTAAAATTCTGATTCTATAAGTTTATTTATTGTCTAATATTCCAAAATTTATATGCAATATATGTATTATTTAGTGTAGAATAAATAATTTGGGCTATTTAGTATAAATTTAAGTTTTATTGTTGTTTTCTAGACATCCTAAATAGCTAAAATAGTCTAAAGATTTTCTTGTCTAGTTTTGGGTTATGTTTAAACGTAAAGGAGAATATATATGAAATTATTCTTCTATACGTTTAAACAGAAACCATAATATTAGCAGACATAAATAAAACAGCTAGGTGTCATATTAATACTCAACAGCAAGTACTTTAATCTAGATGTATTTCCATGTGTGGCATATTAGTACTTATACTTGTCATTTTTGTATGGACCTGTTACGGGGACATTCAGATAGTCTGCCTGCACTGGTGTCAGCGTGGTGAGAGAATGGCCCATTCCTTCTAAGTGCATACGTGCTATTTCCTCGTCTTCTTCTCTTGTTAAGAAAAGAACTGCTCCTCTATTTTCGCTACTGGGCTTAAACTCTCTCCAGAGCCGCAGGACAGCAAGTGTCTGGCAGGAGAAGCTAGTACTCATAACAAAGCTAGAATGGCCTGTTGCACATCCAAGATTAACAAGCCTCCCCTCAGCCAGTAAAATAACTGACTTGTTGTTTGGAAGGACAATTCGTTCTGCATTGTTTCCTATGGGTACTTTTTTCACAGCATTCTTATATATCCACTCAGCATCAATTTCTACATTAAAATGCCCAATGTTTGAAAGTACTGCCATGTTTTTCATGCGAAGAATGTCTTCAGACATTATGATGTCTCTGTTTCCTGTAGCAGTCACCCAAATGTCTATCTCTGGCGCAACCTGATCTACTCTTCGCACTTGGTATCCCTCCATTGTTGCCTGCATGGCACATATTGGGTCTATTTCTGAAACAGTCACTACTGCGCCCATTTTAGCCATTGCCTGTGCACAGCCCTTTCCAACATCACCAAATCCGCATACATGCACTCTTTTTCCTGCAATCATTGCATCAGTTGCCCGCTTTATGCCATCAGTCAGTGACTCTCGGCACCCGTATATATTATCAAACTTGCTCTTCATAACACTTTCATTAATGCAGATCGCAGGTATTCTAAGAACTCCGCTTTCATGCATTTTTTCAAGAATGTGAGTTCCTGTTGTGGTTTGCTCTGTCTGTCCAATAATTCCTGGAAGCAGGTGTGCGTACTCCTTGTGAAGAAGATTAGTAAGGTCACCGCCATCATCAATTATCAAATTTGGCCCGTTCTCCCATTTTGAAAGGACTGCCCGAATGCACCACATGTACTCCTCATCGGTTTCTCCTTTCCAAGCATATATGCTTAGTCCTCTCTTAGCCAGAGCAGCTGCTGCTTTGTCCTCTGTGCTTAGAATATTTGAAGAGCACCACGCAACCTCGGCGCCCATTTCTACAAGAAGCTCAATCATAGCAGCTGTCTGGACAGTCATGTGGAGGCATCCTGAGATTCTTGCACCGGATAGCGGCTTTTCCTCCCTGTATTTTTCAGAAAGATGCCGGATTCCTGGCATTTCGTTTTTTGCAAAGAGAATTGCTTCTTCTCCGATCTCTGCAAGCTCTATTGATTTTACCTTGTATGGTGGGAATGTTTCTTTTCCTTTACTCATCTGTTGGGGCATTAAAAAAATTCATTCTGAAACAGTATTCATATAGAGGAAATAGAGAACAATATATGAAAACAAGAGCTGAAGTGTGGAAAGAGCTTATGTACAATCCTGTCCTTCAGGATTTCAACTCTCTATGTATTTCTGAAATTCCAAGCGATGCACTCCAGAACATTGAAGTGGACATCGAGCGATCCGTTGATTCCAAGTCTCTGCCCATGGAAGAATTTAATTCTGAAATTCGGAAATACGATGTCATAGAGCGGAAAAAAGAGCTAAAGCATGTTCTGGTGGCATTTGCCAAGCATAATAGCTTGATTGAGTATTGCCAGGGCCTTTCCTACTATGCTGCCTTTCTTCTGCATTTTTTCACGCCCGAAGAATCTTTTTCTATTCTATGCCATACTATTCAGAAGAATAGAATAGAAAGACTCTTTGATAAAAAGCTTTCATTAGTTTCAAAAGTGCTAAGTGTGCACGGGCGAGTGCTTAATCTCACCCTTCCAGAGGCCATTCGAAAAAGCATCCATGCAATTAGCAATTCAACACATGACTATTCTGCTGGGTGGTATCTTACGCTCTTTTCCAGGCTATCGCCTAGTATATATGCAATGATACTTGATCTGTTTTATACCCAGGGATTCCCCGTGCTGTTCCATGCTGCATCTGCGTTAGTGGAGGTTGGCCACAGGAGATACATAACCGATGCAATTAAAGAGCAGGATCAGAGAATGCAGATCCTTTTTAAGCTAGCTGAGTACCCGCTCCCCGAGGACGAGTTTAGAAGTGTAATGCATCGAAATATGCAAATGGTCAGCCTGGCAACTATTGAGCACATGCTGCATGAAGCCAATATCTAAAATAAACTAAAGCTGCTATTTTCAGAGTGTGTAGTTGAATTTATTAAACTATTTAGTTCGTTGTGAATCATGTGTAAATTAATTTTATGGCAATTTTAATTACAGTAAAGCACAAAAGTCTCTTTAAACTCTAGTTTTTTTATTATTTTGGGTTGTATACATATCATACCAATAAGAATAAGCTAAATTTTTGTGTACTTTTTATTATATGTATTTAAATGTTCATAGACAATACGCATTAAAAATACTTCTATGACTATCAAAAAGTTGAAAGTGGTCAATTGTTTTTGTGTATAGGCTGCTGTGCGTTTATGCTGATTAGGCTGTGTGTTTATTAGCTAATACGATATTTTCATTTCATTTTGTTTTATTTTTTGTTATTTGTATTTTTACAGCAGTAAACTCTTCATATATGAACTTTCATATGGCAATTATGTACATCTTTTATTTCTAAAATAAAAAGAGACATACTAACAGTGTGCTTGCACAGCGAGGGGTAGAAAAAGCAGGCAAATTTCGGGTTAAAGAGTAGAAAAGAAAATAGGCAAGCGCACAGAAAGGCGCATATTAGACAAAGAACCTATAGAACGGCTAGGAAGAGAATGTTATAAAAAGAATAAATATAAGAAAGACTAAGGGCAGACCAGTTTATTAATTGCACTTATTCCAACATACGAGGGAAAACTGGGCGAGGCATCTTTTGGTGCGCCTCTTTTGCCTTCTTTATTTTCTCTGTAATTGCGGCAATATCAGCTGAAAGTTGTTCTTTCTTTGAAAGGAAGTTTTCTTCTTCGCTCTTTGCTACCATGTCAATCTTTTTAAGAGTCTTTTCCACATCAGCAGTAGTCTTTGGAATTGAGATTCTAAACATAACCAGCTGGTTTACGAGATGCATTGGCAGAGTAACCATTGTGCTCTTACCTTTCTGGGGAGCAGTGGCGTATTTAGAAAGAGCACTCTTTACGGACTTCAGCTTCTCTGAAGGGTTTCCGTGCAGGCTCTTTTCCATCATATCCTTTTCCTCCTGTAGACTTGAGATAAGTGTCTCCTGATCAACAAGAGCATTCTTTCTGCTCTTTGCAAGTTCGATCTCTGCGGCCTTTAGGTCGAATTCCTCGCTCTTCTTTCCCATGGTTTCAAACTCGTCGGTTCTCTTCTGGGAAAGAGCTGCGATGTCAGCGTTCATTGCTGCAATATCAGCCTGCATTTTCTTTATATCTTCTGGGTAGACAGTCTTTTTAATTGCCCCAATCTTCTCCTGAATATCAACAAAAAGCTTGCTCTGGATTTCCAGCTCCTGTTTTTTAACAGAGAGGTTGGCCTCCTTTTTCTTTTTCTGGTCTTCCATTTCCTTAATCTTTTCATCCTTCTCCTTGAAGATTCCCTGCATTGAAAGAAGCTTTATAATTTGGTTCTTTTCTGCGCTAAGTTCTCTCTCCTCCTTCACATTCACTGGCTTCTCCATAATTCTGTTGTTGATTGAAGCGAGTTTGTTCTTTAGCTCGGCAGTGCTTTGCATGTTAAGTTTCTTTTTCTCTTCACCTACAGCCTGGGATAGCTCTTTAAGCTCATTCTTTGCAAGAATCACCTCATCACTCAGCTTCTTCTTTTCTTGCTTTAGCTCAGTTATGTTGGCTTGAATCTTGTCTTTGCTATCATACAGTTCCTTTTGTCCGGTCTGCTTTCTAAATTCTTCAATTCTGCCCTTTAGTCTGTCCTTTGTGCTCTCTATAGTATCCTTGATTCGGTTGATTTCAGTAGTACACTCTCTAACAATATCAAAGTGCTTCTTTGCACCAGGGAACTTAAACTGTTTCTGGTTCTTTTTTGTATCCTCTTCTGGCTTTCTTTCTCTAACAGCATTCATATTCATTTTGCCCAGGGCCGTAAGAAATAAAAAAATAAAAGAAAAAAATATCCAATGAAATCTGGCGCAGGAGATGAGAAAACAAAGGAGATATTTGCTGGGCCATCGTTTAATGACACCCCTGACTTAGACGCGCTCCCCACACCAACTATTCCAGAAGGGTTTACTGTAAAAATAGACAAGCAAGACAAATCCAAGAAAAAAACAAAGAACAAGAAGAATCCGCAAAAGAATAAATAGAATATTTTAATTTTAATAATTACTTACATTGCAGAAGAAAACGCGGCGCTGTATTAGGAAGTGTACTCCGTTTCTATAAATGTGGTACACCAAATAAGCAGATGACCAGTTATCCACTGCGAATATTTATCTGGAGGAAGTCCTCCTTATCCTTTAAGCGCCTTATAGTTTCTTTTATGCAGCTATATGCAGCAAGAATGAAAAGTAGTCACTATAAAAGTGTATAATTTCTGTCTATATATAATAGAAATAAATTTAGAAAAACAGTAGTGGGTATGTGCATACATGAACTCAGGTGGAATTAAGGTGTTTGAAACAACAAGAATTTCAACTAAAGTACTTTGAAGCTGCCCTAGTGAGGATTATGTGCTTTTATTAAATTCCTGGTTATTACATATGTAGAGATTTTTAATTTTTAGTTTTAACAATAGCGCATTATTGAACTTTAAACAACTTATAGTAAAGTACTGAATAGTTTTTATGTAATATGTGGAGAAAAAATAAAGAAAATTTTCCTGTGGAAACCGTTATTCTATTTATTAATTATTGGAGAAATAATGACACTCAATAAACTCGCAGAAAGTTTAAATATAATTTATTCTTTCTTTGAGTCAAGGAGCGCTAGCTTTGATATAATGCATTTTGCATATGAGCTTTTTTTAAGGTCTGCAATGTTTGCTCTGAGATGAGACATAAGAACTTCTTTATCTGCTCCAGTTAGAACATCTAGCAGGCGCTGAACTACATAATTGCCAAACTTATCCATTGTTATGTGGACAAGCAGATCTTCTCCTGCAGGGCCAACTGCAGACTTAAGCTGCTTTAGCATGTATCTCCGGTCCTCGCTTGTTCCGCAAATTACACACTTTTCCATGACATTAGATGCAAATTTGTGTATGCTGTACTCTGCTATATTGTCAGAAAGTTCAGTAATAATTTTTCTTTTGTGCGCATGCGTTCCCTTTTCTAATATGTGCTGTATTACATAATTGCCGTACTGGTCCTCTACCAATAGTTTAGCATTGCTAATGATCTTGTCAATTGCGCTCGCGCACTTTGTGCTGTTTTCAAATATTCTCTGAATAACTCTGCAGCCATACCGATGCCGGCTCAAAGAAACCGCATCTTCTTCAAACTCTTTAATTACAAAATCTGAATCAACACACTCAACACACTTTTGAACCACGTGATTTCCATTCTGATCACAGACTAGATCGATAACATGCCCTTTGATTTTTTCTACAATCTTTCTATTTATATCTTTACACTCAAGCGCCTTTTGGATGACTCGGCATCCATACATATGCAGGGCAAGAGAAATAATTGTGCTTTCCATTGCAAAGAATATTTTCTCTCTTTGCTCTGTTGTGCCAATTTCAAGAAATTTTTGCACAACGTAGTTACCAAACAAATCGACAATTAGTTCAGAAATCCATGGACAAATCTCCTCAAAAGTTATATCAATCTCCTCGATAGTTGCACTGTCAAGCTTTTTCTGGATAAAGCGGCTTCCCTCCTGATCCTTTGATATTGCACATATTAAGTTTTCACTGCTTGTAATTCCCCGTTTCTTTGCAAATGCAAGCACCTCCTCAAAGAACTGCTCTTTTTGCGGCTCCTCTGAAGATCCGCTAGAGAACGAGTCTATTTTTATGCTATTCAGAAGAATATGCCTCTTTCCTTTTTCTTTAAGACCTCTCCCAATTGGGGGCAGGACAATCTTCTTTTCCTCTATATTATACTCAATGCTTTTGTGAGTGGGGTGGTCTTCCTCTATTCTATCCACTAAATTCTTCTTTGATTGCCATGTAGTGCATTTAATCGGGTTAAACGCATCTTCAATTATGTCTGTACACTCTTTATCCATTGTTTGTATATTGGTTTCGCATAATGAAAATTCTTTCTGTTTATCATTTGAATTTACGTTACTTCTTGCTATATGCGAAATAGTTTGCATTCCCCGGTTGCTCTTCTCAAACATCTTTGCAAATTTTTACTCCGCGTTGAAATACTTCTCTCCCCTGACGGGGGCTTTCTTTATTTTCATTTCGATGCACATTCTTTTCTTTTATATTCTGTATTGATAATACTCCCATGTTCTACATAAGACAGATGGAAGAGAGAATTGTGCTTGAGCCAAAGTACTTGGGAAAGAAAATAGAGGAGACTGTAAGAAAGCGGTTGATGTCTGAGGTAGAGGGCAAGTGCAAGGCTGACTGTGGATACATCATAAGCATAATTTCAATAGACAACTTATATACCACGGAAGTAGACAGCACTTCTGGGTCTGCTACCTTTCTAGCGGAGTACTCTGCGCTAACTCTTTTCCCAAAGAAAAATGAAGTGGCCAATGCAGTGGTTCACGAAATAAACAAAATGGGCATCTTTTGCTTCATAGGTCCATTTTCTGTGTTTATTAGTATACACCAATTATCAGGGCAGTTCATAGAGGCAGGAGCGCATTCTAGCATAATACAGCATGATGGGGGCTCTGTTATAGTTAAGGACAGTATTGTTAGGCTAAGACTAATTGGTGTTAAAATTGAACCAACAAAGATATTTGGAGTAGCCACTATAAACGATGACTACTTAGGAAACATCCAATAACCAAAAATACAGCCCAAAATATTTCAAAGTGCACTTTGCATTAACTCAACCACCAAGATTCCATTTGTACGCGTGTATCTAGCCGACAATTTCAAATTAGTGCTATATATAGTGGCATAATATACACTCAGTGAGATCTGATCTACCAGGCTCTCAGGGTTTTTAGTATATCAAGCGCGTATGAACCTATTTATATAAAATAAAAGAACCCTACCTACACTAATCAGATATTTATTTCATTTCAGGCGCCTTCTTTTTGTTCTGGCTTCTGGCTTGTTTACCTTCTCTGCTGTCTGATTCATTTTTTGTAAATATCTTACCTCTGCCCGAATAAGAGCACTCCAGTTAGATGGAAATCCATTTTTGAACCTGTTTAAAGTGCTATCCCGGAACCCCGGAAATGGAGTCACCGTGCTGTCACAGGAGTTTTCCAAGATATATGTTGTATTTTTAGACATAACCTGCCGAATAGACGCTCTTTTCTTTATAAAAGAGCTCTGTACTATATCATCGCTGCCTTTTATTACACCAAGCACAATTAAATCCAGAGAATTGTCAGTGGTTGGAACTAACTTTAGTGCCCATGTACTAAGACTTACTATTTTGCTTGGGGTTTCTTCTTTTGCATCAGCAGTATCTTCTTTTATTTCGGAAGTATCCTCTTCCTTTATTTCATCTGATGTGGATTTGTCTGCTTCCATGCTGGTGTCTTTCTTGCTATGGCTTTCCTCAGTTACTTGTATTTTATTTACATGGAAGCTGCTTGGCATCTTTTTCTTTGCTTCTTCTTTCTCCTGGGCCTTTTGTTCATCAAGCAGTGCGGATATGGCTTCTGCGTATTCATTTGTTTTGTTGTTGGAGGTCTTTCGGTACGCCTGGTAATTTTTTGCTCTTAATAGCACGCCCATTGCATCTTCTGTGAGGGGCTGTATGGCAGTAGCAGGCTTTTCCGCTTTCTGTCCTGCTTTTTCTTTCTTTGCCTTTGTAGATGGTTTGGACTTTCGCATAAGCTGAATATTTTTGCAGAAAAGTAATTTTAACTCTTTTTAGCAGATCCACTGCATTGATGGGTACATGGTACTGAAAATAATTCAGGTTCCATTGTTTGTTTATTTGCTGTTCTACGAAACCGTTACCATGAAACTGTTTCAACCCCGGGATATAAACCCAAATATGTGTTGTTGATTATGAATTATAACCAGTTAGAAGAACAGGGAGATAAAGAGTTGTTTCATTTTCTAGCCAACTCACCAAAGGATTTTAGAGAGGGAGAAAGAATTAGAAAATACCAATTAAAGAATGGGGACTATATCCATTGTATTCTATGGAATATGCACTTTTATATTACAGGCACAGATATTGTGAAGGTTCTTGTGTGGAGATTCCAGAATGCAGGGCGGCACATTTCCAGCCACAAAAAGTTTGAAGAAGGAGTGTTTTCAGATCTAAGAAATCTGAAGCCTGGTATAGATGCCACCTTAGAATCCCCTAGGTCAGACTTTCTTGAGTTTCTGTACAAAAACGGATGTATCCGAACCCAAAAAAAGCAGAAAGTATTTTTCTGGTACTCAGTTCCACACGATGCCCTTTTCTGCGATGCTCTTGAAAGGGATTTAAGGCGAGAAACCAACCTGTATACCTACAGCAAATATATGTGCGGTATGCCCGGGGTGCCTAGGCCACAAACATTTGCGCAGCAGAAGAGAAGCCTGAAGACATATATTAGAGACACCAAGATGGAGGAAAAGAAGAAAATGCTTCCTCTAGTTAAGCCAATGCAGCGCCCCAAGGAAAGGCCTGAGATGTCTTCAGTGGAGATTGATTTGTTTAAAGACTCAACTCTTCCAAACCCCACGCCGGTGTTTACCCCGGCTGCTCCTTCATATACCTCGCACATCCAGCAGTTTATACAGCCTACAGCAGCAAAGCCCGAAACAAATACGTATAGCTTTAATGAACTTGATTTTTTCTCTGATGATTCAGCATTCATTGAAAGCATCATAGGAGACAATTTCTCTTTTCCACAGCCATTTGAGAAATCTTTGATATTTGACACGGGCTGCAGTAATAAGAAGTCAGAATTAGACGACTTTTCGTTTATTAACCCGAAAAAACTTACATATGGGAGCAGCAGTGGTGGATTTCAAAGAGGATAAATAAAAAGTGTCAGTTCTATTTAAATTATGTTTGTTGTGGCTCTGTACATAGTGAATAAAAAAATCCCCCCGCATTTTCAAACACTCCATAGTACAGCCATGCATTGCTGATTTCATATTATTTTCTGTTATACCCACGCGTTTACCTAAATATCTAAAATGATGTGTTCTCACATGAAAACAACAAATACGCATGGGCTCTTATCTTTTCTTCTTCTGCGCACAATTACTTACAAATAGAATAAATATTCCCTTCTTTATACGAATAACCAGAAAGTTCTTATTTTATATAAATATCCGAAAACTAAAATCATTTGTTAAATATAGTTTAGAGTACACACATAGAATTTTTTGTTATATAACATAGTTTTGTGAACATAACCCGAAATAAACGTATTAATAATAGTGTATAATGATATTATATAAAAATAAACCAAACTAAAACAGAATGCATGCGCATTTATTCGTTTAAAGTATTAGCTAAAACACCAGATTAGCAAGTATTTTCTTTGTAATTCCTGCCAGAAGTAGCTCATTGATATCTGTAATTGGTTTCTTCTGTGCATACTTTATAATCTTTTCTGCCCTTTGATCTCCTATCATAGGAAGAGATTTTATTCGCAGAAAATCTCCACTATTTACAATCTCTAAAACAATCTCTATGCTCTGCTTTTTGCAATGCTTTGCAGTTCTTTTCTTTTCCTTTGGTTCGTTTTTGTTGTGGGATAGTGTAGATTTTTTGCTTGTCTTCTTCTCCTCTCTTCTTTCTGTATTATTATTTGAATCATGGTTTTCATAGCTTCTATTAAACCCTAATGGCATGCTGCCTTTAATTCGTTTTCCGCCCGGAAAGGTTCCGTCGCCAGAGTACCCTCTAGTGGGCAGTCTGGATTGGGAAAGCGTCTTTTCCTTGACTATACTTGTCCATTTGTTAAACGCTATTTTTTCACTCTGTGGCTTTAGCTTGACTTTCCTACTTTTTCCGGAGAATGCAAGTGTGCTGACTGTTTCCGCTGAAGAGTCCCCCTGGATGTTTACAATAAGGGCACAGTCACTTAGGCCGCCAAGAGAGTCTTGGAGTATTCTTGTCAGCTTGCTGTCCCTGTACGGAATCCGCGCGTTGCCTTTTCCCAGACTCTCAATTACTTTATTCAGTACAAAAAGGCTTCTGTTTATGCTTGCACTTTCTACCATGCTCATGCCCTCATTCCCTGTTCTTTTGTTGTTTTCGCTGCCCGCCAGGTCAACTAGATTTATTTTTGTTCTGACCATTGTGGACTCCGTAGAAAGAGTGACAAAAAGGGTTACAATCGCATGACTTCTGCTGCTTTCTGTGTTTAAAAGAGTTTTTCGCTGCTTTCTTCTTTGCCCACCTTTTTTGAATAGACTTTCGAAATCATTCTTATTTCTCACCTTTTCTTCCAAAACGCCCTGTATCACCACCTTCCCGTGCGAGTCTTCTCTTACAGGAAGAGAGACGGGCTCTTCTGCGAGAAGATCGTACACCTTTTCATTATATATTTCAATGTAGGACATTTCAATCTGAACCTTGAACAGAACAGAAAGAGTCTCTGTGTACCTTCCAAATAGGTCTGCCGCTATTCTTGGAATAATACCTGGATTCTCTGAAGACCCGCACATTGTGTATGTCTTGCCAGAGCCCGTGGCACCATAGGCAAGTATTGATGTGTTTATTCCTCTTGCTATGTTGTCTAAGTACGCCTCTATGTCATGGTATATATCCTCTTGCGTGCTATTGCTTTTGTACGCGGCGTCAAAAAGAAAAGACAGCTCCTCCTGGTCATTCTTATCTACATAAACCGCTCTGTCCTTTACTCGTAGTCTTTTGTCTTTGTGCGGTGGTCGAACACGAAGGATACTCTTAATTGAAGTAGACTCCACTCCCATACAAGAAAGAAAAAGAAATTACTAAATCACTAATTATTCCACCGGGCAAGATGGAATCGTATAGAAACACTAGGCTTGAAAGCCGTGGCATATAATAGAAATAAAGGGAATAAAATTCTAAGCACCATATTATGCAAACCACTTGGCATTACCCAAAGAAATAATGTGTATACTCACCCATTTATAATTTAATTCGAATAGTCTTTAATAAATACCACCACTACAAAGAGAATGAAGAACGCATGCAGTTCCATTAGAATAAAGCCCTGGTTCATACAGGATCCAAATAGCTGGTGGTCTTTAATAATAATTAGCATATATATAGACTTGGAGTATGTGCACTTTATTATGTATATTCTTCCTGTTAAGGCACTTTGCCAATATTACTCTGCCTAATGAGATTGGAAAATCCAGATAATAATTCTGAATCCACCACACTCTTTTATTTACAGATCAGTTATCTTTCTTATTGGCTGTTAAAACTGCAGCTATATCATTTCTTTGGTGGAAATTTGCCTTGGATAAAACCATGTCTTTAAATGCAACCTGCAGCCTATTTCCCAATGGATCTTCTACGTTATTTAATAGGTCCATTATTTCCTTTGTTCTTTTAACTATACTAGAAAGCTTTTCTTTTTCAAATACTTTGTTCTCTGCGAGATATAGCAGATTGCTCGTTGTTTTCTCTATTTCCTCATCTAAAAGGGAATTTACGTTGGATTCATACAGCTGTTTATTTTCTAAACAGTGCGCCTGGATAGATCCAAGAATAGAGGCTCTTTTTACTACCTGGTAAACTCTTTCTGCTTGTGCGCTTACTTTGCTGGAGTATGTTAAATTTAGCTTTAGCACTTCAGTATTTACAGATGGAACCACTGATACATCTACCGTATTATAGAATGTTCTGTCTAGCTCTATTGCACCCTCCTTTGAGTACTCTTTTGATATGATCTTTTTCATGTTTTTAAGGTATGTTTCTTTCAATTCATGCACTTTCTTCTTTATCTGTGAAATTAGCCCACTTATTTTATGTGCAGCTGTTTTTTCTGATGGCGTATTGCTAGGAGTGGCAGGCCACTCGAATTTGCTTGCTAAAAGATTAATCACCCCAACCTCATACCCATAGTTGTACAGAATGCCAGGCAGCGCAAGTAGCTCCTGCTCTGCCGGTATAAATATGTCTCGAAGTATGTTTGTGTTTGCCCCGCTCCCGTTCATAGTAAATATCTCTGACAAAAAGTACTCTTCAGTTGCTACAAGAGAATACATCAGCTGTATTAGCAATATGATAGCAGGCTCTATCTTTCCGTTAAATTCTAGTATGTTTTTGGATTTTTTGAATGGTTTTGCGATATCTTCTACCTTGTTCAGAATACAGGCCCGGTGCAACTTGGATATAGTTGCAGTGTATGCGCGCAGGCACTCTTCAAATACACCTTTTCTTACCAGGTAGTTTATTATTTCGGTGTATCTTCCCATAAAATCATGCACCTCTGTTGGTGTTTTTTTATTTCTTAAGCATACCTTAAGAATGAACTCTCTTGTCTTTTTTTCAAACCTAGTAGACACTCCCTGGAATACCTTCTGTCTTTCTTGAACCAGCCGAATTGACAGAATTCTTTCATCCTTTATTCCTAAACACTTATCAACTTTGTGTAGAGCCTCTTCTATTTTAGCTATTTCTTGCGCAGTTGTGAATATTGGCTCTTCCAAGGCCTGCATCTCATCCTTTGATATTTTTATGCTATCTACAATATTATCAAGTATATCAAGTGCCTCTCTTTTTATTCTTATTTCCTTTTCAACTTCCTCTGTTAATCCTTCAATTCGCACAATATCTTCCTTTGCATCCTCCATTGTTTCTTTTATTCTGGATATTTCTTTAGCAGCAGTTCTTATTTCTTCAAGCGCTTCCTGCGCTTTAGGAAGAGCATCCTGCGCGCGGGCCCACGCAGCCTCTGTTTTGCGGATGGTTTCTTCTTGGGCACTCCTTCCCTGCTGGATCTGCGATCCCCACGGCTCTCTGAATATTTTGTCTGGATTATCCATAAAAACAAAACACTCTCAAATTCTACTATTAAACTGAAAGGACTAAAAACACCAAAAATGCCGGTAGCAAACATCATTTATTTCCTGTAGGGCACCCCTTATTTCCACGCGTCTATATCATTGCTTGTATCGAGTGCATACTTTGTTGTCCACTCTTGGCATGTCTCACTATATTTGGCGCGCTCTGTCTTGTACATAGAGGCAATGTTAGGAACCAGCGGATCATCCGGGTTTGGCTCATCTAGCCAACTGCATATAGACATCATTACCTTTGATATTGTCAGTGCAGGGGACCACTTTTCATTTAAAATATCCAAACAGATGGTTCCATTCGTATTTATATTAGGATGGAATATGCGAGTAAGGAATCTAATTCTGGGCGGCTTGAATGGGTAGTCTGTTGGGAATTTAATATCCAAATAGAACACACCCCCGTGATAGTCACTGCCAACAGGCGGAGTTATCTTGCCTCTCCATGTGTACATGTCAGCTTCATCCACTGGGCCTATTCTCACCACGTGCTCTCCATTGCCTTCTGGATTGTTTTTCTCAGACTCTTGGATGTCCCTTAACTCCTTCATTATTCTTTTAATCGAGTTCGCATTCTGAAGCATTCTTTTCCAAGGACAACAAATATTTTGTATTTAAAACTGGAATAATAAAACAGAAAAAACAAAAGAGGCTAATACAATTAAGAGGCGGAATCAAACAAACAGCAATATATTCTCCTAATTAAAGAAAGAAACACATTAAACTAGAACAATAGAGAACATTTGATAGAGTTCTCTAGAATTCTATAGGGATTTCGGGTTATGTAGCCTAGACGCTGCCAAAACCTATACAAAGTGATTTTCTTTGAGCTAAAGTGATACTAACATCAAGAGTAGATTTTAATGCCAGAAAATATTCATATCATTCAAAATATCCAAAACCCCTTCTAGCTATGGCGCGGTACTATAAAATGGCTCAATATAGCCTAAATATTTGAAATTCTAATTTATTGATTTCTGACTCATACTAAATTTGACTAGATTATTATTAAATTTGCTATAGTTTTTATTCGGGTTATTCCATGTATGTTTGCACTAGCATATTTCAGAAATACCCAAAAAAATAAAAAGAAGGCAAACATTCTAAACTAACCTGAAAATACAAAATAGGCAATCTGTTGATATGCAGGAAAAGATTTCTATCATTAGGGGCTAACTTACATTTTAATTACTCTTCGTCTGAAAAGCTATAAGAGTTAATTGGCTTGGTTGGAGTATACACCTCTGATTCTATTAAAGGCGTGCCTTCATCCTGGACGGGAGTTGTGCTGCTGTCCTCGTCATCTGAGTATGTTCTATTTTTGTCCTGTGTTATGCTATTAAGCATTTCTTCTTTTTCAAACTGATCAGTCTCTCTCATCTGCGGTGCTGAGTTCCTCTTGTGTATCTCGAAATCAGACTTCTTTACAGATATACACTTCAAGGAGGTTATCAGCTGTATTCTATACGCATTTGGTAGCACATCCTTGATAGTTCCCCGCTTTCCTTTGTATTCTCCTGCAGTTATTTCACCCTGCCTATCAACAAGTGGGTCTCTTTTAGTCCGGGTGGCTATCTTACCCGGTGCCTTTTCTGTTTCTTTTGGTGCATCTGGGACAGAGCTTAGCTTAACCTCCTCTATTTCCGCCTCTATTTCATCGGTAAAGTTGTTGATTCCTATCATAAGCTTATTGCCCTCTATCCCCACAATAAACCCACACTTCCCTCGCTTTCTTCCTGATACAACAAGCACCTCATCTCCTATTGCATACTTTTTACGTATTTCTGACAATGAAACTTTTATTTTTTTGTCTCCTATCTTGATGAGCGCATCCTCCTCGCCAACACTCAATACCTTTCCAATCGCGCCTTTTAATCCACCATACACGATCTCTACAACCTCATCCTTAACAAACAGCACTCCTGCTATCTTTTTATTCTCTGCCGTATCAAACCACTTTTTTTCCTCTTTTGTGACCGCTGGAGTTGCAGCTAGATAGGATATGGGCAACCCCTTAAGCAAATGCCCGTCTTTATACATTTCCTTTTTATACACCCAGGTGCTCTTAGACATTTTATATATTTCAGATTTGTTAAAGTCATTTGGATTAAACAGCTTATGCTTATGATTTATCTTTGGAACCAGCATAACCATTATTTTGTCCTTTCCTGTGCCAAGCGAGTCAATTTTGGCGATTTCTCCTGAATGAACTCCTTTTACTACCCGCAGATAATTTCCTTCCTTATAGATAACTGGATCTAGCTCTGGTATGTACAGAACATCTGCCATCTCCTTATTTGGTATCTGTGTTATGTTAGTTTTAAACGCACCAAATATTCCATCTATTGCCTGCAGCACTTGCTGTTTCTGGTACGCCTCTACATATATGTATCCCTTCACTAGCTCGTTTGTGAGTGCGGCAGTTATATTTAACTTATTCAAGATGGCCTTTCTGATGATCGACAGAACAATCTGCTTCTCTTTGGCAGGAGTGCATCGAATAAGCCACAGCTTTGGAGACTTATCTGTTGGCAAAAGCAGCTGCTGCGGTATTTCTTCGACCTCCATTGCATCCACTGCTTTGTATCTCTCTTCCACTGTTTTTGTATACTCTTCAAAGTCATGTAAATCTTCCTCTTCCCCGCTCTCCTCTGCATATTCTGCCTGCTCTTCTGGCTCTTCTTCCTCCTCCTCTGCTGCCTCTACATCCTCTGCTAGCTCATTTATAAAGGAGTTCATGCTTTCATCCTCCGATGGCTCGTCCTCAGACGCTTCAACATCTACAAACTTGGTTGCTTTGAACTCTTCTTCACTATCAGAATCTACTACATGCTTTCTCTTTACCATTGCGTGAACAATAAAAATAAAATGTATATTACAATCCAGTTCTATATCCTATCTCATTTACATAACGAAACTGCACACGCTTTATTATTGCTCCATATGTTCTACTATGAAGTGGTATGCGCGCAGTGTACCATTCGTAAGCGCCTTGCGCCGTTGGTGGGAAGAAATCACATCCACCAAAATAACCCGAAAAACAATAGAGAAATTTAAAATATTCTGGAACATGCTTTATTTTTCTGTCTAGCCAGTTTTTCCTGATTTTTATGCCTGCTTACCTAGGTATAAAATATATGAAAAGATCTTTTGCATATATAATGGCAATGTGCGAGTATTAGCAGCTTTATTGCCCATACCACCTAGGTTTTACATCCAGTGCTATTAACACACGTACTTATTCCTCTAAATCTGCGAGTGTTGTTGGCCTTCTTGTGCCTGCAGGCCTTTCGGACTGGGTGGGTTGTGCTTTTCTTTTTATAAACAGATTTTTAAGAAACTGCGGCGTTGCCAGCGGGTCACTTCCTGGGTTTGTTTTTATGTAGACTGTTTTAAAGTAGAAGTACACATGCCCTGTCAAAATCCCAATTAGATCATTTATTGGAAGAGACCTTTCTGCCAGGTATGAGAATATAAACATAATCCAAGGTATGTAATGTGCTGGTAGGCTGAACAGACCCATATACTGCACTACAATAAGAGGGTTTTTCCTGCTCCATACATAAATAATATATGTTGATAATATACTAGAAAGTCTCTGCAGCCCAAGTGCAGTTGCAAACACTAGAATTTGTGCCATTCCTACAAGAATCATATACAGAAACTCTGCTGGATTGCTTCCTGCCTCTTCCATCATAATGCAGTATTTCAGCATAAAGAAGTGATGCACTAAAGTGTCAAGTGTGGCAGGGCCCCAGTAGAAAAACGCAGTTACAACCCTCCACAGCTCGAGCTGCTTTATATGGGGGAATGAATATATAAGATTGTATGGACTGATTATATCTAAGTATGTAAGCACAGTCTGCCCCATGCTTATTGTGAACAGAGTTCTGCTGACTATTGGGATAGATTTATAGAATTGTACAATATGAGACTCAATTTGCATTTCAATAAAAATAAAATAAACAATTATATATCTATTAATAGTGCCTTATCGCGTTCTTTGGCTTTCTCTGCTAAGTCTTCTCTGCCACATGCTTCTATCATCAACCTTTTTTCTGTCTTTGCTGCCTGTCTTTTTCTTCTCTTCTCCGTCTTTAGCAGGTTTCTCTTTTTTCTCTTCTGGCTGCTCCTGCGGAACATCATCCGTCTCCTCTCCCAAATAGAACTTTTTTCTTGCTGTATTAAGATATGGCCGGAAGACAAACTCTTTTTCTGCATATGTCATGTCCAGAGTACCAGCCCGAATCTCGTACAGCTTTAGCGTGAACTGTGGGCATATTTTTTGCAACTCAACCTCGCCCTGTTTGAATGAGGTCTTGAACTGTGTAAACAGTATGCTGTCCTCCCTATTAATAAAGCTCACCATTCTCTTTGGCTTCTCTCTCCCCGGCAGCTGGGGGAAAAGAGATGACAGAATTCTTTTCACACGCAGACCAAGTGGCGTTGTAAAGTTGTCAAAAACAACTGCAGGCGCAGCTGTGCTCATTGGCTCTTCTGTGTCAATGTTTGGGTGGTGTATGCTGAAATACGTAGTTGGCCCATGCGGCAGATGCGATATAATCAGCGATGATGGAACACCACTGTGCTCATTTACCATTATAAGATCAGTATGGTTGTTTTTTATTGCGCCCTGTACTAACTCCTGTATCATATGTTTTCCTCTGTTAAGCTTTTCTGCATTTGGCAAAATGTTCTTTAGCGCTTTAGCAAATCTAACAAGCGGATCAGATGGCGATCTTGACGTTGTAATAATTGGCCGGGCCTCTGTATTTGAAAACTCATCCTCCTTTTCCCCGCTCTCAAATGCATAAATTGCATCTTGAAGTGCCTCCTCGGCAGTTAGCTTATCCTCGTCAATCTCGTTACGTATTTCTTTTGGCACAACAACATCTCTTTCGTATGATTTATACAGAAGTTCCTTTCTCTTTTTTGATTCAAGGCGTCTTTCCTCTGCTCTCACAGAATCCATCCACTCTCTTCTTTCTCTGCGCAATTTTCTGTCCAGTAACATTCTAAATAATTTGCAGTAAAGATTTTTCGGGTTAAATGAAAAAACAAAATTAGCATGAAACACTCAAGTCCCAGTACAATTTGCTATTTTAGCTTATTTTTGTGTATGCTCAGAAAGAAACCGCTACTAAAAATATATAAATACAGGCCCCAGGCACAAAACAGAATATAAATGAATAATCCAAATAGCGGTTTGTATCTCTTCTATTCTTACATTCGGGTTATATGAGAGTGTAACTAGAAATAGACCATTTGTGATAAAAGTCCAGTATGTAAATTTTTCTTGATTTACACTTATCTATGTATATTTTATATAATAATACATCTCCCGATTATGCCTATCACTGCACAATGCCCTGTACAAACATTTATGTGAAAATTCTCTAGAAATGAATAAAATTATTAGCTCAAACTAACTAAAAGCTATAAATTAAAAATATTTGTCATTCTGATTGATTCGAAATATAAATAAGGCTATTCTAATCTATAAAGAAAGAATAATTTTTATTTAAGCCATACTATAACGAAAACAGTTTTTTATCTTCCGATGCAGATAAAGAAACATAGACAATGAAAAAGAATTTAGCACTATAACTGCCAATGAAACTAAAGAATCTATGAACAACTAAAATTATAATGAACATGCGAAGTGTCAACAAAAAATAGATAGTAGAATATATTCTGAAGAACCATTAAATCAATATAATCCAGTTGTTCTACCAGAACCAGTGGCAAATAGTCAATTTGCTCCATTTTATCTTAATGATTTGGTTCTTATACTATAAGCCTTCAAGAATATTTTCGTGCATTTAGTGATTGGATTCTTGATCATGATGCTTAGGCCCATTTTTAATCTCTCTGATATTATATGGCTGGTCTGTTTTGCTGAAATTGTTCTTTCGAGTTCAGTTATTGGCTCTTTCATGATTAGACCATTAGTCACAAAAATGTACGTAGCGTTTATGGATATAAAGCTACAAGATACTAGACTGCTTCGGGATGAAAATGAACAAAATGCATACCAAAAAAATATTATACCGAATAATATTCTCTGCAGTATATTAGCACTTATTCTCTTGACAGCACGTTCATTTTGTCCTAATGGGCATGCTTTAGTAACAATAATAATCATGCAATTCGCATGCATACTATCTGCATTCGCCTGGTCTGGCTTCTTATTTCAAATACTAAGAATATATTTAAAAGGGGGACTTAAAAAGAAGAGTGTTTTAAACCATGAAGCATCTCATAAGAAAAATATATTTCTTTTGTTCTCTATGTTTATGATAACTATTCTAGCTGCTTGTGCGTGGTGGTTATATTTTGTTATAATGGCGTTTGGATCCTATATATTTATGCCTGGTTCTCTATGCTATAATAGTTGATGGATTTATATAATGGCATAAAAGTAAAAAGAAGTATTTATGTTATATTAACATTTCTTATTCTGGTTATATAAAGGATTGGCTGGATATATTTATATAAGAATTTAATTTACATTAAATGTAAGGCATAAATAATATTTTATTTTTAATAAATCATGCATAGTTCACATTAAATACCATAACTATACTCATATATAACCCGAATTCTAATATATTTATTGTTTTGGTTGTGTGCTTGGGTTATTTTTATAGTTTAATTTAAATAAATACATTTAAATGATCGAGTTGGAGTTTTTTAGGCTTAAATAGCCATACTTTTTAATTAAAAAGAGATTGTGTAGAATATAAGCGAAGGTAAAAATAAAAGACTAACAATCTAAAGTTCATCTGTAGTAGATAGTGGTATCTATAATTAAACAGCCCATAAATTATTTAGCACTTTATGTTTTTATATCTATTTTATACTATTGCAGCTATTTGGGTTATATTTCTTACCATTTTATGTGTATAAACACATTTCTGCTATATTTATCTTGTTGTACATAATTTCTAGTTTTATTTCCGATTGTTTAATCTAAGTACCTGTTTATATTTCATACTATTATTTTGAATCCAAATTATTCATCTGAAAACAATAGCGCACTGTGTATATTTTGTATATAACTCAAGAGTTATTAAAAAAATATATACATTTTTCTTTACATAATTTGAAATTCTAAACTCCTTCAGAAATATAAATATGAAGAGGTTTTAATATTTTGCAGCACCAGAAATTCTATAAATTATACTAAAAATATATTCGAATTATAAAAATCAAGTACCATATAAAAATTATATAGAGTTTATTGCATTTCACAGTTTAACTCCCCCTAATGCATGTACCTGCTGCAGCACAGGCCCTGTGACTTTAAATACCTTTAAGAACTCTTCACCATACTGTTTTAATATTTCTATAAGGTGTAGCTGGAGAACCTTTGTTATTAGCTGATCACTCTTCAGATCTCCCCTAAACTCTGCGTAGAATGAGTTTAGCCGATTGATAATGCCCATTACTACTGACCGGTCAGAAATTGCGGAAGAGGAAAGCTTAGAATGCTTCCACAGAAGTTTTACAAGAATTTCTCGCACTTTCTCTTCTCTGTACCTATTTGACAGCAAGTTAATATATATTTTAAACATAGTCAGAAATGGTGCATTGACACACATCTTTAGAAGACTTTCACTGCACTCTTTTTTAATGCCTTCTGGTGAGGCAGATCCTCTGGGAATTTGCCCGGTAATAATCACAATATAGTCTGAAACAAGACTTAGAAGAGTCCCTGCATCAAGTGTAGAGAGAAATACATCGCTTTCACATATTCGCTTGATTATGCCAATAATTATATAGACGTTCGCATATGTGCCGCCAGAGGAAAGTGAGTCACTCAACTGAAGAAGCAGCACATTCACTACAGTGGACGCACTTCTTAAAAGCGCACTTAGATTCTGTACAGACACTTGCTCAAGCTTTTCTAGAGACGCATGCGAGTGCACAGAGTTTTGGTCTATTATATCATTAAGAAGTAGATTTATGTCTGCAATTTCCTCTGATCTTCTGACCTTCTTTGCACACGGTGAGTATGTGGTAATAATGTTTTCTTTTTTTAATAGAGTTAAAATCTGTGCTGATGCAGGTGTTTCGGCTCTTTCTAGCAGAGAAATAAACTTTTGGCCACCAACCACTCCCTCCACCCATGCATTTGGGATCATAGGGGCTCTTTGAAGCAGGAAATATATGCTGTTAATAAACGCTGGATGTGTCTCTGCAAGAGAAATAAGAACCGTGAGTATTTTTAAGATTGGGAACACTTTCTCCAGCATTGAAAGCACATCCCAGTACTCCATCTCTGCGGATGTTTTTATAATAAGGAATGCTTGTTCCTCTTTAAGAACAGTAGACCTCTTTTCTGCCATAGAAATAGCAGACACAAGCGCCTCTTGAGGAACGCGCTCTCCTTTCATCAAAGAGTCGCAGAGAGATGCAAACAAGCACTTTTCCTCAAATGCAGACTTTTCATTGATTATCCGGAATACTTTGCTCTTTAGACTTTCTGCCATTAGAACAGAGTGCGGCTCATTAACACTAAGGGTCTCCATTTTTTCTTTAATCTGCATTGCTATTTCTTCGTTTATGTTTATTACTGAAAGAAGCGATAGCGCACGCGCGCTTACTATAGGGCTGCTGCCGAGCGCATCGACGAGTGAGCGCAAGACAGATCCATCAATCTCGCCTGTTTTTATAAAATTCATTATCTCAGACTCGCTAGGACTTCTGTTCATACTGCTTGTACTACACACTGATGGCTGCTGAATCTGAGATGCCTGGTAGGGCGCATCTATGAACACATTGTCTCCATTTATGTCCTGGATGGGGATGTTCATCTTATCTCTTTTTAAAGACTGCGTTATAATAGGACTCACCGTCATATTTTCTTGGCTCTGCGCGGTGCTCTGTGCCGTGCGGATCGGCGTAATAGGCTCAGTCTTAATTGATGTATTTCGAATGTCTTCGCAGAGTGACTCAATGATTGCTGTTATTTCTGCATCCTTTTTTTTGAATAACTCTTCTGTCTGCGCCTCTATTTTTGCGGCAAGAAGCCTTTCTACTCCATACGCTTCTATCTCTCCCTGAGTAACCAGCTCCTCTTTCTTTGAAAGCACCTTAGCTATGCACGTACATGCAAGCGCCCTTATATCTGCATTTTGGTCTTTTGTGCACTCTACTAAAGACTTGAATGCCTTTGCACTTTCTATCTCTTTCTCGCTTACCAGATCAATGCACGCATCAAATGTCTTCAACACACCGTGGCGTACTGTTTTATCAGAAACAGCCATTGCTGAAAGCTCCAGAAGAATAGAAGCTTTGTATATCTCAACAAGAGTAACAATTAAATTTGTAACAGACTGCTGCACCTGCTCCTTTTTATCCTTTAGTCTTTTTCCTACGGCCTTTGTGATTTGAATTGCAAAGGACTCCTGTATCTTTTCTCTGCTTGCAATTTTGGAAGCCACAGACATCGCTGCGATAAACACTTTATTGTTGCTTTCTCCTATTTTTTTAATAATCGCATCTAATACATCATGAGTGTCATTTCTGTCCAGTTTTTTGTTGCTCCCAAGCTTTTCGTCTAGCTCTTCCATTACTAATCGCTCCTTCCACTGGGCTGACCTAAACCTATCGTAAAAGCTTTCTATAAGAGAAATAACTTTGTACTCCTTTGGCTTGGCTGGCTGGGCAGCGCTCTCTTTCCCCTTCCTAGGCACAGGCTTTTTTTCTACTATAGGCATAGTACTCATGCGCGTGCTGTTTTCTGATGAGCTGCTTGGCTTAGCAGATGCACTTATATCACTTGGGGTTTGTGGTATGCTTTGTGCACTTCTCCCCTGCCTTTGTACTTGCTGCACCGGGGCTTCTGCTTGCTGCGCTGCAGCCTTTTGCTCCTTTTCTTGTGGCGGCTGAAATATTTCCTTTACTTGAATTGGCCGGAGAGTTTTCACTGCTTCTCCTACCTCCTCTGGATCTTTTTCTGCAAGTATCTGAAAAAGTCGAGTGGCCTCCTCTCTTACTGACCCAGTGCCGTGCCCAAAAAGAAAGGCGGCATGTGGCAGTATTGATCCCATTAGATACTTGTCCAGCAAGGCTGCATGCTCCACTAATATTTTGAGTGTTTCCGTTATTATTTTCGGATTTTTATCCTTTATATGGATAGAAGCAGCCAAAACAACATATGAGGGGTTGTGGTGTGCTTGCGCTTCCATAATTTCTTTTACTGCCTTCTTTGTAGTTGGCTTGGTTGATGCCACATTCTTAAATAGAACTGCTAAAACATCCCGTGTGTATTCCTCCATTGTGTTTGCCTTTGCCAGTGGTATAATAGCTGATAGGCCCGCTTCAAGCGCAGGTATAGAGGTCTCCTTTACAATCTCTACAATAGTGCTTATCTGTCCCTGCGGTTTCCTTTTCCACTGCTCTTCTAGTTTTCGATACTTTTCTACTCTGTCTTTCCATGTCGGCTGTGCATCCACCATAAAAAAATAGATTCCTTAGTAAAATATATATCCATATTATTAAAATACTAAATAAAGAAAAAGTATTTTATGTGGGTGCAATGCATTATAACACATTGCTCATATACAAAACATCTAGAAATTACACGAATTAGTGTGACTATTGCAGAAAATTATGTTTGTACAAATATTTTATGCAGAATATGATTATTTTATATATAATGAAGCTTGAACCATGCAAAACTAGGTTTGCTAGCATAGTACACCGCATGATACAATCCAATGCCCTAAAAATCTCTCTTTAAACAGCGCAACAAATTCTTATTTAAATAACTCTGTTGTAATTATTACCAAATATTCTGGAACAATTATCATATTTATCCTGCTGAAGTTAAGCTTGTATCTTTATTACTTTTAAAGATTTTTGGGTTATATGTGGATATGCTTGTCCGTATGTCCTGTCCACAAGAAATTTTCTTTATTTTATGCTGTGCAGTATATATGTAATTGTGGCAATTATAAGGTATTTTATTTAGATCTGATGTTTTTCGGGGTATATCCATGTTTAATTTGTTTGTTTGTTTGCTATTTCTAAATCCGCCTCTTGTTTATTATTATATGAGTGTGCATTCTATAGTGTGGTGGTTCTCCTTCTTTCTCGTGTCTGCTCACTCTGTGCTAGCAGGAAAATGCAGAATAGATGCAGATTGCCAGATATCAAAAATAACAGGACCACACAGTCTTTTCTGTGTGGAGGGCCAGTGTGTGCAGCTAAAGCCCCCAGGCAGCGCGTGCTCTGCTGCAAATGAGTGCGCGTCGTATCCCTTTTTTGGGCCACTGGCGTGCACTGCTCCATGCAATGAAGGCCTGTGTTGCAGATTTGTTCCTAATGGGGCAGCATGCAGTCTAAATAGGCCCATCAGCATAAGCGGGTGCACCTCTGGGTTTACTTGCTCAAATCGTGAGATAGGGCCTATATGCGTGCCATCCATTCATAAGATGTGGATATTTGGGCCGATTCTTTCAGTTACTGGAAATATTTTTATTAACATTGGACTAAATCTACAGAAAAAGTCATATGTCATGGAAAGAGGAACCTTCTGGGGAATGACCATTAATCTGTTTGCACTTGGTGTGCTTTCTTATGTCGTAGGGAAGATTTCTGGGTTTAGCTCTTATGTCTTTGGAAATCAGTCTCTTATGACCTCCCTTGGCGCGGTTGGAATTATTGCAAATAGCATTTTTGCTCCAATGATTAACAAAGAGGTGTTTACTGTGTACGACTTTTTGTGCATTGTGTTTGTTCTTATTGGATCTTCGCTGGTTCTTTCAAATGCGGGGACCGGGAAAAAAGACCACAATCTCTTTGGCCTTTTGAAGAACTACTTCAGTGCGGCCACCTTTATATGGTTTCTCTGTCTCCTCTGTCTTATTGTAGCGCTGATTATTTTCTGTAGAATAGTTGAAGATAACAGCGACTGGAAGCTAGGGACAGAAAAGCCATGGATTTCTTTGGATAAAAAGCTCAGTAAGAACGGGTACTGCTTGAAATACATCATGGTTGTTGCGTATGTGGCTGTATCTGCATCAATAGCCTCTTTTACAACTCTTTTTGCAAAGAGCTTTGGTGTATTAATCAGTTTAACTCTGGATGGGCAGAACCAGTTCTATGGCCCAGGGCCATACCTCTTTGGGTCGCTCGTGTTCTTATGTACAGTTGGGCAGATATATTGGCTGAACAAAGCGCTTAAGCGATATGATGCTCTGCTAGTGATCCCTATCTTCCACATTATGTGGACTCTTTTAAGTGTGACTACTGCTGGTATATACTTCAAAGACTTTTCTATGTTTACCTCGTCACAGTTTAAAAACTTTCTTTTGGGCCTTGTTACAATATTTATTGGGTCGGGCTTCCTTATTTTCCGAATGGTTGGAAAGGACACGCCATCAACAGAGAGTGAAAAACTTACCGTGGAAACAAAGCAGAAATAAATCTAATAGATATTTCAGTTGGCAACAAGCAATTTTGAAGGGGTTCTTTGTTTTTCTTAGATTCTTTTACATGCAGAAATTATATACATTTTGTTTGCTTGTTTGATGCAGTACAATAAGCACACGGGGTGTGCAATCTACTGTGTATATCTCTACAGTGGGAATAAGCATAGCTTTTGTTTTCTGTATAAGACATTTAACAAGATTTATATAGTGTTCTATAAAAATTTAAAAGCGTACCTAGATACTTTATTCTCATTTAGTGTGGTTTTATTTGTTTTATGTTCAGAAACCCCTGAAATATCCCAAAATTCCCTCAGAATGATACATAGCAGCAGTAGTGAATTGAGTGCTTATATTGTATCAATTGAAAACTTCTCAAATATTCGAACAAGCTCATTATACTTAGAGACTCTTTCTGTTCGGCAGAGTGACCCAGCCTTAAGATAATCGGCCGACAGGCCAACTGCTAGATGTGCCAGGAAAATATCCTCAGTCTCGCCGCTTCTATGGCTTGCCATCACCTTCATGCCCTGCTTTCTTGCCTCTTTTACAGCCTGGATGGTTTCTGTGATGGTTCCAATTTGGTTCATTTTTATGAGAGCGACATTGCAAAGCTTTTCTTCTCCTGCCTTCTTGATAAGCTCTGGATTAGTCACAATTAAATCGTCTCCAACTACTTTTGTTCCTAGAGTATTGGCTTCTTTCATAAACACCTCCCAGCCCTCATAATCTTTTTCATCAAATGGGTCTTCAATCATTGCCACCTTGTACTTATTAATTATTTTGACATAATAATCAATCATTTCAAAGCGGGATACATACTTGTCCTTTGTTTTCCATCCTATGTTGTATTTACCATCCTTGTAGAACTCGGATGCAGCCACGTCAAGTGCAATTGATGGAGTTATTCCAGAGGCCTTGGCTGCCTCCTGTATTAGGTCAAGGCCCTCCTCCAATGAGGAAATTGGTGGGGCAAATCCTCCTTCGTCCCCCACTCCAGTAAGTTTATACTTTTTTTTAACTAATAGACTTAAGCGCCCATATAAACTCAGACGCAGATGTCAGAACATTGTATGGAGTGTTTCCATCGAATGAAACCATGATCTCCTGCACAAAAAGGCCGTTGTCGGCATGTCTTCCCCCATTGATTATATTAAAGAATATTCTAGGAATGGTAGGCTTTTGCTTTTTCTTTAATAGAGCATCTTTACAGGTTTTCTCTGTCTTAAGCTTTTCTTTTTGTTTTGGCTTTTCATCTGCATCCTCTTCTTTTGCTTTTCTTTCATCTGCCTCCTTTTTCTCCAACTCTGGGTCCTTTTTTTCATCTGCCTTCTTTTTCTCCGACTCTAGATCTTCTTTCACTTTCTTGCTTTGTTCAGACCCTTCTTCATCTTTCTCATTTTGCTCAGAATCATTTGGTTTCTTCTCATCTTTATTCTTTTCTTTCTCATCAGATTCTTCTTTTTTCTTAGTACTCTCTTTCAATTCACTATCAATCTCAGTATTGCTTACAAGTACACTTCCATTTGGAAGATGCTTACTGCCCTGGGAGTTTATTAGAGCACACTTTAGATTGGGAGCAGTAGAAGAGCACGATGCACATGATTTCATATCACTTCTCTGCATAAGTGATTGTAGGTACACCCACTCCTGCATCTGCATGTACTTTGCACCCAGCCTGGCAAAGCAAATAGACATGGGGAGAATTGAGTTTGCACCAACCCTGCTCTTGTTTTTAGTGCCATCCAGCTCAATCATGTGCTTGTCTATAGCCTCTTGGTCTGTTATGTGCATGCCAGTAGATATTAAAGAGTTTGCAAGCTCTTCTACGCCTATAAGAGCTTTTTGAACACTCTTCCCCATGCAATTAGAAGAGTCGCCATCTCTTAGCTCAAGTGCCTCCTGCGACCCAGTAGATGCTCCAGATGGGCAGCTGGCGCGCACAGTTCCAATAGTTGTTTTAAAATCTACTTCAACAGTAGGGATTCCTCTGCTGTCAAAAATGCTTCGCCCAATTACCTTTTGTATACACTTTTTAATCTTCATAAAGGATAAACACAGAATAGAATATATAAATAAAATAATGATTAGTTGTTGCCGCTTAGCTGCAGACCATGTAAAGCAAAACAAACACATGTAAACTCTGCACATAAAAAGTATGCCCAGGAATATTCATAGAATATAAGACAAAGTTTTAGAGAGCAAAGCTATACAGAAAGTAATTTAGTGGAAGTATGTGTAAATATGGCCTGAAACTCTGAATGTAAATTGGACGCTAGGGAAATATTTCCATTTTTAGCATAATGGATTTTTAAGGCCCTAGAGAATTAGAATTATTTAATAATAGCTTATTAAAATAAAAAGGTGTACATATTAATTATAAAATTAGATTTTTAGAATATTACCAGTTATGTGAAGGCTTTTCAAATTTCGGGTTATATCCAAAAATAAAACACCAGAAATTTAAACTAAAGATATAGAATAGATTAGTTATTAAGATTTATTAATATTAGAATGAATCTTCTGAATGTGCCTGGTAAGTGATCCTTTATAATTATATACTTTAGAGCAGTGTGCGCATGGGTACTGCAGGTTATTATGTGCGTGTGATTCATGAAACTTGCAGTTTTTTTCTAGCTTGAACCCTTTACCACATATTTTACAGCGAACAAGGTCTTGTTTCTTTGTTTGATCAGGATTCTTGGATTTTTGAGGCATTTCCTCTGCGTTCGGTGTATTTAGTGATGGTTTTGTATTTTGAGCTATTTTCGTGTCTAGAGCTATTTTTTTATTATCCAGAGAAACAGTTCCTATGCACGCTCTTGAGTGGTTCAAAAACCATTTTGCCCGAACAAACGTTGCAGAGCATGCATTACATGTAAATACCCGGCCGCATACATCTTTGTGCCGAGAAAGGCCTTCTTCCGATGCAAGTGTTTTATTACATTCTTTACATATTCGCTTTTCAGTGCATCCATGCGCTCTTAGCGCATGAACTTTTAAATGGCTATTTTTAAAATATCGGTGATCACATTCTTTGCATGCAAAGGGTCGGGTGTTTGTGTGGGTGTTCTCGTGGAGCTCTAGAAGAGATGGTTTTTTAAATTTTTTGGAGCAGCCTTCAAACCCGCATGAGTACAAGCTCATCTTTTTTTATTTTCATTTTTATGGATCCAACTATTTGCCAGACAGCAGCAAGAATCTTACCGCTAGGGGCGGGAAGTGAAGTGGGCAGATCGTGCGTAGTCACAAAGTTTAGAGGAGTTACGGTCATGTTTGACTGCGGGGTGCATCCTGCGTACACTGGAGTGTCATCTCTCCCGTTTTTTGATTTAATTGACCCAGCAGAGATAGACGTTATTCTTGTTACGCATTTTCATCTGGATCACGCTGGCGCACTTCCATATTTCACAGAAAGGAGCGGGTTTAAGGGAAAAATATATATGACCCACCCAACTAGAGCAATCTTTCGATGGCTACTGAACGACTATGTTCGAGTATCCAATGTGTCCTCAGAGAATGACCTATTTACAGAGAAGGAGCTTGCGCAGTGCTATGACAAAATTATTCCAATTGACTATGGGCAGGAAATACCTCTGAAAAACATTACAATAATAGCCTACAATGCAGGGCACGTGCTAGGAGCTGCCATGTTTCTTGTTAAAAATGAAGATATTTCTTTGTTGTACACTGGCGACTATTCTCGGGAGGAGGACCGGCACTTGAAAGCAGCAGTGATACCGCCCATGCCCATAGACATACTCATATCGGAGTCTACGTATGGGGTGCAGTGCCACCAAAGCAAGGAGGAGAGAGAAACAAGATTTATAACTGGGGTGTCTGATGTAGTGAAGAGGGGAGGAAAGTGCTTGCTGCCTGTCTTTGCCTTAGGGAGGGCACAAGAGCTATTGCTAATACTTGACGAGTTTTGGGACTCTAGAAAAGATTTGCAGGGGATTCCTATTCTTTATGCGTCTGCGCTGGCAAAGCGGTTTATGGCAGTGTACCAAACATATTTAAACATGATGAATGACAGGATACAGGGAATGGCTGAGATAAGCAACCCTTTCCATTTTAAGCATGTGCAAAGCATAAAGAATATTGAGGCGTATGAAGACCGAGGACCGTGCGTGATGATGGCTTCACCAGGTATGCTGCAGAACGGGTTATCCCGTGATCTGTTTGAGATGTGGTGCGGTGATAAGAGAAACGGGTGTATTATACCAGGATACTGTGTGGAGGGCACGCTTGCAAAGGATCTTCTCTGCGAGCCAGATGAGATAACATCGCTGAAGGGAAACAAGCTTGTAGTTCGTTCGTCTATAGATTATATATCATTCAGCGCGCACGTGGACTTTTTGCAAAACGCAGAGTTTATTGAGGGGTGCAAGGTATCAGAAGTTGTTTTGGTGCATGGAGAGTCATCAGAGATGAACAGACTGAAAAGTGCTCTTGTTCACCGAAGCGAATCCAAAAGTGAGAATATGGTGGTGCACACGCCAAGAAACGGCGAGTGGGTTCAGATAAAGGGGACTGGAGAAATAAATGTAAAGTACCTGGGAACAGAGGTGCCAGATGAATTTTCTGGATTTATGCACATAGCAGAGGACGGAAAGGTATCAGTGGTAGAGAGGGACAGTGTTTCTAAGCTGGGTATCTCTGAAATAAAAATAGTTGAAAAGGCAAAGATGCAGGGTGTTTCCTTCCAGCTTCTGATAAGCCAGATAGACAGGATATTTGATGAGAGCCCGGAAATAAAAGAGTCTGAAAGCATAAGAAGCATTGAAGTGGATGGAGTGCATATATATGAAGATGTGGAGGGTTCCATTACAATTCAATGGGAGAGCTCTTTTAGAACAGATGTTCTTGCTAACTGTATAATAAAGGCAATTAACGATACTGTGCTGGGGAAAAATTCGGTGCAAATACCGTTGAATAAAAAGAAGTCAAAAAAGTGTGGAGGCAAAGAGTGCACTAAAGAGGACAATCCAACAGAGGAGGAAAACTCTACAAGGTCTTTCCAAATGCCGAAAGAAAGTATGAACACGGTAGCGCATATTCTTTCTAACTATTTCAGTCTAACTAAGACAGAGGGTGGTTTAGAAATCCAGGATAAAGACAAAAAAGTTACTCTATCGCCAAAAGGGCTAATTGGCGATGAATCTCTTGCTAAAATTGTCCAGGAAGTGTTTGATAGCATTTCTTGGGCAGTTAAGAATGAGGTGGCACTGCTTAAAGAAGCTGAGGCTGTAGAGTGATGGGCCTATGGGGCCTGGTATAGAAATTTCAGGTTAAATACTAATAATTCATGCCAGCGCTAGGAATGCGTACCTTGCTATGCGTATTTAGGTAGAATAGAGCACTCTGCAGTGCACTAAATCTATATAGCAAAAAGTATCGGAAAAATATTTTTAATTTTAATAAACCAGTAAAGATTATAAAAGAACAATAAAATATTTTTATATCCTTAAATATGAACAGACCCCGAAATTTAAAGGCTTAATTTCTCATTCTAAAATAATTGGGATTCTAAAGCAAAATCATGTATTTCTATTAGAAGCAGCTCTAAATTAAATATTAAATATATTCAAAATAACATTAAATTATTTTTCTAATTATCCAATAAAATTGCCCAGAATACGCACCAATTATCTATCCAACGACAGCCCGATATAACCCGAAAAGATTTCTCATATTTTACTTTATACGTGCGTAGTAAACAAATATACTATATTTTACAGAGGAAGCTTTCCCATGCAAACAATATAGCCCAAAATGAATGTATTGTATAAACACCACTTCACTAGTGCAATAAAAACACTAGGTAACTTCGGTAATAATTCTATATAAACAGAAATGTGTATAAACAAATGTGCTTTTCTTTATGCGTTCTATTCCATTTCTATGGAAGGCTTGTAAATACATCTGTGGTGTGTGCGTCAATATGTATTTACAGGGCGCATAGAGTCTAGTGTATACAAATTATTTTACAGTAATTGGCGGATGAAACTGGCTGTCTATTGGTAGGAAATCGATGAATCCCGTCTTCGCTTGATTTTGGGATAACAGAAATAGACTGACCCATATTTTACTTCTTTATTTGTGTAATAGAATGACCAATTATTTTCGATCATTTAATAAGACAGCCAACTGTATCATAACTATATTTCTAGCTTTTTTTATTTGTTGATAACCCGTTCATATGGATGAACATAACAACAGTCATGAAGAAAAGGAGATAACTAACTGTCTTCCAGAGGAAATAGAAGAAATGCCAGTGAAGGGCCCATGGACAAGAGACGAAGACGACAGACTTCGAGCGCTTGTGAAAGCATTCGGCCCAAAACGGTGGACCTATATTGCAAAAAAGCTAAGGGGAAGAGTAGGAAAACAGTGCAGAGAAAGATGGCACAACCATCTGGATCCAAACATAATAAAGACACCATTTACCGCAGAGGAGGACAGCATAATACTAGCACTGCACACAAAGTATGGAAACAAATGGTCAGACATTGCAAAGCACCTTCCTGGAAGAACAGACAATGCAATTAAAAACCATTGGAACAGCAGCATGCAAAAGAAAGCATTAAAGGCAAAAAGAGCCAACAGTATCTCTGGAGACTTTATATCTGCGCACGCAGAGTTTAGAGAGGATGATGACTATTCGCCCCGCGGGCCATCTTCAAAGAGGGGGTGGGTCCGTAGAAGGACTACATCAATGTTTATCTCGCAGCCAGAGGGTGGGAATCTTTTAAATGCGCTAGCGCAGTCTGCTTATAATGAACTACTAAAAACAAAACAGATGTATTATAGCAAAGGTATTCCGCCTTTGCAAAATTGGAACATTCCATTGCAGAACATACAGAATACAGGCACAGAGCAATCTAAGAAGAGTTCTTCTGATGAAGAAGAAGTCATGGCAGGGCTGGTTTTACTGGCAACTGGTGAAAAATAATTGAATAAAGTATTTTTCGATTTGTTTTTTTGTATGAGTATTAGAAAGCTATTCGATGACATTCGAAGTGCTGATCTGTTCAATGCTTTTTGGAAGTATCCAGAAGAAAAGAACTTATCAGTTCTGGCAAGCAGGCTTCTGCACATAAAGTCGGCTAAGGAGCTGCGCAGCGCAGTTGCACAAATATGCAATTATGTATTTGAGGAGAACGAGGAAGGGTCGTTTCTATACACAGAAGCCCAGAATCTTTTAAAGCATGCTGAAGCAGTGGTAGAAAAGGCCCTTGCTATGGCCAGTGTGACGGGATCACACAGTGATATAATATCAATAAAAGAAGAAAAGGATAAGAACAAATTTGTTGTGTGGGAGAATGCAGTGGTTAACAAACTTTGCCATCTCTACAAAGAATCACTTCTGGCGTTTTGCAAAGATATGCCTGTATATGAAATAGAAGAGCACATAAAAATAGTTCTTTATGGAAGAAGACAGGCCCATCATTCTGCTCTGGAGGAGAGCATACACTAAACAGCCAAAATTCATTGCAATAATATCAGCGGATCATCCATTGTATGCAGTAATAAAGTATAATAATAAGTTATGGTTTGGTCATTTTCTGGCTATTTATAGCTGAATTTCATTTAGGACTGCAGTAATTTGCCAATATGAAGAAGCTCTGTATAAATAAAATAGAATGCTTATGGCATGGCAGATAAAGACTTTAGTACAGAATCCATTTTAGATTTTTTGCGTCTCTCGTGCTTAAAGTAAGAAGTGCACATTATTTATGCACTTACTGTAGGTTATTTTGAGTATTTTCAATTTTAATGTTGGCTCTAGTATGCTTATTAGATTACAATTGGTTTTGCAATACCCAGAAAAGAAATAATAAAGTATTAAGATATTTATTACATAGAAGATGCCTCTACCTCAGATCCTGGGATAAACTTTACACCTTCAGTGAGGGAGACCGTGCAAATGTCAAAATGTCCATTTTCAATTACTTCTTGGTCATTTACTGCATTTTTAAAGGCATTAAGACCAAGAGAAAGCAGATCCTCATTTGACAGATCTGTAATATTTCCTTCATGTGACTCTAAAATAGTTCTGGCAGACTGTGCTCTTGACCCGATGCACGAGCCAAAGCACGGAATAGCCTCGCCAGTAGGCCCCATTTCTATCACAGAGATTCTTCCTTTGTCTATACCAGCAAGAATAACAGAAATACCAGAGGCACGCCTTCCATAGCGCATTATTTCAAGAGCACTGTTAAACTGTTGGGGCTCGATTAGATGAGAAATAGGAAGAGACGTGCCGTATTTATAGTTGGCAAGCTGTATCTCATTTCTTAAGGTGCTCTGGAACTTCATCCCATCGTTTGTTACACCAGCATATACATAGATCAGATTTGTGTCAATCTGCTTTATTTTACTCTGGCCATCCAATAACTTGTCATTTTTTCCTGTTCTCTGGGCAATAATCACAGCCATGTTTTTGTTGCGAACAGCAACACAGGAGCTCCCATGCTCTGTCGACCGAATGACTCCCTCAATTGGAAGAATCTTTCCCTCGGGAGTAAACGTGCAAAAATAGTTGTACCTTTCCTTACTAGACATGTAAAAACAAAAAAACAAATAGCTAAAATTCATTTATTTTTACAGAACGGTAACATATAACAATGCATTCAGAGACAATTGAAAGGAAACATACGGAGGGAGAAGATCTTTTAAACGTACGGGTTCTTCAGAGAAATTTGGTGTACGCGGTGGGAATACCCATTGAGTTTGCCAGAGAGGATTTGTTGCGCTCTAAAAGTCTTTTTGGTGGGTTTGGGGAGATAGTTAAAATTGTGCTTAGTAGACGGAAGGAAACTAAGCCAGAAAAACAAACAGAAGGTGTATACAGCGTATACATAACATATCTTAAAGAAGAGTATGCCGTTGAGGCCATTCGAGAGATGGATGGATTTATGCTGGGAGAAAAAACAGTTCGCTGCACATTCGGGACGACGAAGTATTGCTCGTTTTTTCTTCGAAAAATTAAGTGCAGCAATGAGGGGTGCCTTTATTTGCATGAAAAGGGCCGGGACGAAGACTCTTTTGCGCGAGACCAGATGTTTGTACTAAAGACAAAAATAGAGAAAATTATAGAAGAAAAGCGGCCTACAGAGAAGGCTACCTCCTCTGATGGGCCCAAAAGCAGTGATGCAGAAAATATAGAAGAGCTGTCTGCGCTGTTTTCATTTAAGCCAGAGTCAGTAGCTGCGCAGAAGCACTACGACAGCTGGCAGTTCAATCCGTTCTACAGAAGAGCCACTGAGGATGTCCATGATTCTGGTTCTTCAAGTGTTCGAAGTATATGTGCAGAAAAGTAGAACTAATAAATAGACCTTTAATTTATATTTACATATGAAAGCGTGGACACATGAAGTATATGCAGGGAAAAAAACCCTGGGAGATGTTGATATGGCTGGAAAAAGAGTTTTTTTACGTGTAGATTATAATGTGCCGATGAAGGATGGGGCTGTTCTTGATAAAACCAAGATCCAGAGAAGCATTGGAACAATTGAGTATTTGCTACGGAAGAAGGTACAAAGTATAATAATTGCATCGCACTTGGGGAGACCAGAGTCTGAGGAAGACCCAAACAACCCGAAAGACAAAACAATGCTTCCTATTTTATGTGCATTGAACGAGTGTCTTAAAGATGCAGAGGTAAAGATTCAGTTTGAATTTGAGTATGTCTCTAGGGAGAAGGTGCGAAGCCCTTGGGTTCTTCTGCAAAACATGCGTACGCTTGCTGTTGAGAAGGACTCTTCTGATGTGGAGAGCCGGGAGCTATTCGATGAGTTTATTAAGAATAATTGCGATATAATGGTGAATGACGCATTTGCAGTTCTTCATCGAGCGGACTATTCTGTTACACAGGTTAAGCTAGAGAAGGTAGCCGGGCTTTTGCTAGACTCGGAAATGCAGGGAGTAAGCATGCTGTTGAGGAATACTCGGCCAACCCAGGACCACTCGCCATTCTCAAGTGTTTCCAACAGAGAGGTAGAGAAATTCTTGCGAGTGGGCAGAAATCCAAAGAACTTCCACATAAATGAGAAAAAGCCAATAGATCTGTTAATCATCGGAGGGTGCAAGCTAGAGGATAAAATCAAAATGGTAAAAAATCTATCCAAAATAACATCAAATATCTTTCTTGGCGGACTGCTAGCAGTACCTTTTCTAGAGCACCCAGCATCTTCCATGGTGGAGGACTTAGTAGAAAGTGCTATTTTTGAGCAAATTTCTCTTTTCTATCCGCTTGATTACATACTGGAGGACCTCTCCATAGTTTCTTATAAAGAAGCCAGAAAGCACGTATCCAGTATAAAGGACATTGGGCCAATGACGGAAAACATGCTAAATGATCTTCTTGCACAAACCAGGTCGCTTTTCTGGAATGGAACACTTGGACAGGCAGAAATAAAAGAGTATGCGCACGGAACAGAAACTGCGCTAGAGTCAGTGAGGGCTAGGAGGCAGGCTCTTCACAAGCAAGGCGAACAATCACTTCTATGTGCAGGAGGAGGAGATACCTGCGGATACATAAATACGGCTGGATATGCTGATGCATTTGATCTTATACTAACGGGAGGCGGCGCCACTCTTGCAGCGCTCCAAGGAGATATCCTACATGGAATATATGCTCTGTCAGAAAGGGATTAGTAAATCATTCTTAAGCCATGTAACACACATTAAAAGTTTTTTAATATCACTTGTTTTTTCTCTACATGAACATATTATTCTAATTCGTTTATAATGTTTTATACAATAGCCCGAATGAAGCAATATTAAATAATGGTAATATGTAAAGGGGCATTTTCTAAACAAATCTTTAAAGACAAAAAATAGATGCTGTGTATAAATTATACGGCCACTGTTCTTGTATATCATGCCACAGTGGGGCTCTTACAAAGCAAATTTAACATTCGGGTTATATAAACAAGTAAATTTTTCAGATATATATTTTAGCAGCCCTTATATGAGGTTATGCAGTAACTAATCGGAGGCTTGAATTTCGAGTTGTTTTCTACTTTATGGGCATAAGCGCACCAGTATGTGAATTGTTTCAATGCTTTTAGATTTAAAGGGGTTTTATTTTAGGAAGTATATTCTAGGTGAATTTAGTTAAATATTCAGACGCCTTAATATTCATTTTTATTCACTATGGGCATCCTATGTTTTTGGTGCTTTTATAACATTTAATGCATTGTATCTAGATTGGATCGAACTAGATTAATCACTTTATTAATTGCTCTATGTATAAAGTATTATAAAAATATTTACACATGAATACCAAAAGAACATTCCTTATTCTTACATTATGTCTTCTTGCGAATTTCCACAGGCTATCCAGCGCGGTGAAAGCAAGGAAGGCACACAGTGATAATCTAGAAAAAGTGAAGTCCCGAGCAAAGATAAGACCCCAAAATTCTACACCATATAATACAAAATCAGCAAGCCATACTCGTAATCAACACAGTAATGCATATAAAAAAGAAAAAAGCCGCAGTAGCGGAGACAAAATATATACCATTAAGGAAAAGAAAAAAGCCTTAATAAAGATACGAGACAATCTAATAGGCTATCTTTTAAACACCGTCCCCAAGGAAATAAAAGACATCCGAATAAAAATCTCTACACAGGAGCAGGCAATATCCACACTAGACAAGAAATATATAAACATTGCCCTGCTCGCCATGTTCGTTATAGGGTGCAACATGGCATTATACGGCGTAGAGTATAAAACGTTCAATGCGTTTGTTCTTGTATGGTATTATTTATTTAAAACAGTATATCATCAAATAACAGAGATTAAAAACATGCCCTGGATAAACATAGTACTTGGGAATGTTCTATTTGAGAAAATCTGTAAATATACATCTAACAACAACAATAGCATGGCTATCTCGTCTGTTATGTGTTTATTACTGGCAGTAGGCCTATGCTGGTTCATAAACATATCCTTTAGAATGATTGTTTTGGGAAGCGTTCTATCTTTATCGCTGTATGTTATGCAGATAGTTGACCTATGGTCTATTGGCGCCGAGAGAGGACTGGGCGCTCTTATCTTCTTAGTTGTATTTGTGCTTATTTTTTATAAATTCTTGCACAAAAATGTTGAAAGATACATGTTTATTGCTATATTTGCATTTTTCAGCTCTGTTTTAATATTTCTATCTCTATCAGAGATTCTTTTACTTGGGTTCGTGATTCCTGCAATTGTTTTAAACTATACTACCGATGCCAAGGAGAGCAATATTTCACTTAATATGGAGTTTTTTTCTTTAGGTGTCATAATGCTAGTTTCATGTGGTATGCAGGTGTATAAAACATATAAGAAAAAGTAAATTCAAAGTTGTTTCTGTATATAGTGGCTATCTGTTTAGATTATATATTCAGATTTGATTCTTTTATACTCATTCAGTAGATCTATGTGGTTTAAGGCATGTTCAGTTGCTTTTCTATCTGCACTGTGTGTAGTTTATTTATAATTTAGTATTTTTCAGAGCCATTTTTCTTTCGACTGTTAAATTTTTTTAATTTTTCTGCCCCAGATGAAAGTTGAAGAAATATGCCCAGAACAGTTCATAGACATTCTTTCAAAGTCCTTAAAGGAGGAAAAGAAAATAGAGAAGCCAGTAGAAGCAGACCATATTAAAACCGGCCACGGAAGAGAGCTAGCTCCAGTCAGCGAGGATTGGTACCACGTAAGAGCTGCTTCTCTCTTAAGAAAGCTCTACATGGAAGAGCTGACCAACCCAGAAAAGAGCAAGTACGGATTTGGTGTAATGTGGTTCGCAAGAGCATACGGGGGAGCAAAAAACAATGGACACAAGCCATCACACACCGTATCCGGATCAAAGAGCTTAGTTAGAAGAATTCTCCAGTCATTGGAAACTGTTAAGCTTGTTTCAAAGGTATCCCTTGGAGGAAGAAAGCTCACTCAAACCGGCCATGCATACCTTCAAGAAATAGCTGGTAAAGCATCTTCTGCCTAATAAATTGATTTATTTCCATTAAAAAGCTTTTTAAGAGTGTAATAATGTCTTATTTTAAAATTATTTCAAGGTAAGTGGGTTTATAGATTCTATCCATACACTTTTGTGTTTTATACTGTCACTTCTTCTAATATACTCTGTGGTTTAATTGGTCCGGAAGTACTACATGCTTATTTTGGATATATTAATCCAAAATTTCATTCTTTCTATAAATAATTATTTTTTTTCTTCTTTTAATGCAAATTAGTTATAAGGCAGCAGAAGGCTTCTTCTTTTTAGCCCCCGCTCTTTTATCATACACCTTTAGTGGAAAGTTAAATGAGATTGTTACAAAGTATGTGATGTATGTTCGATTAGCATTTGTTGCTTCTATTATTCTAGATATGGCTGTTTCATACAGAATCAAAAGAAGAATAGAAATGCACAATGTAAAGACAAAAATAAAATTTGCAACTGACGACTACATTGTAATTCCAGCTGCAGTGCAGGACGAAAATGAAGAACAGGCACAGAGTGAGCAGAAGGGAGAAGTGGAAATTGAAATGACAGTCCATGATTATGACTTAAAGGTAATCAATGCACACATATCAAGAATTCTGTCTAATGCTGCAATTCATTTGGCAATACATCTGTTTATGAAAAGTGGCCAGCCATTAATGATGCTTATTTTTAATCCACTAAAGCACTTCATTCTTTTCCCTCCATACATTGAGTACATCACTGGGCGATCCATGCTCAGACCATTCTCCAGGAACTACATCATTGGAGGGTCTGAGAAGAGAAAGTCTGCAAAGCCAGCAGAAAAGGTCGATGAAATCCCAGAAAAAGAAATGAAGGTAAAGAAAGAGGAATAGAGTATGAATAAACTATCGGTTTCTCATTGCAGAGCAATAAATGATATTTGGATTTTTCGGGTTATTCGGGATGTGTTTAATAAATTTTAGTGCCGAGAATGCTATTTTAAAATGTTATTTATAGCTTAAGAAATAAATTTATTTAGAATACGCATAGTGTTTATTTATTGTAATGTAATTTAAAAGGCTTCTTCTGTGGTCTCCTGAACTGTTTGCTCGGGGGTTTGTGGGCTGTCTGGGTGAACAAGCCTAGTGTTTTTGATTCTTGGCATTTTCAAGCGATCTTCTTGTGCAAGGAGCTCTTTAATTACATTTTTAGTCACTGCACGCACTTCGGAGTGGAAAAGAGCATTGTGCGGATCCATTATAATGCGAACTCTTTCATGTCTTTCTTTCCAAGAGGGAAGAACCTTGGTTACCTCTAAAACATACCAATATATCCCGTTAACTATAGCAAAGGGTGTTTTGTCTATGTTTCCTATCACACCAACTTCTTCAATGGCCTCTTTTCCTGCAGTATAGTATCCTTCTTCATTCTTATCGATGCCGCCTTTGGGGAATATAAACTTTTTGTTCTCTCTTCCATTGATCATGAATATTTTCCCGTCTTTTATGGGTATGCATCCAACAAATGGCCGGCCATTTCTTATTTTTATTAGAGGGGTCTTTCCTTTACTCTTTCCTCCCCACCTGCTTGCTATTCTTCGCTCTGTCTCTGGGTGGTGAGATTCTTTTTTCTCTTTACTTCCCGTCTTATATGTGCGCCGGCTTAAGAATATTGGCCATAGCACAAACAAGCACACAGCTCCTCCTAGAATAATACTTATAACTTCTTTTCTCATTTATACAAATGATATTGGCTTCGGGTTATATACCCTGAGTTTCAGAGTAGTGGAAACAAAATCAGAGCTTTATCTTCTGAAACTCTCTTGTTTCTGGTGCCTGGAGCACAAACCATGCCTTATGATGTTTTATAAATAAAAATCGGTTGGCATAATATACAAACTAATTTCTAATTATATTTGAATTTTCTTCTGCTGTGCAGAATATCTGAAATACTTTATATGTATTTCAGACTAGTTTAAATTAGACGCTAAAGTTATTTATAGTCATTTGTGAATATGCAACATATGCGCAACTAAATAGTAATTGCTAAAACTCGAAATACATTTCAGGCTATATCCTGGCACTGAACTATTTTGTAGACCAATTAAAATATGCAATACATTATCACTTGAGTTGTAGTATAGATAAATAATATGCCTATGCGCAGTTTTCAATTGGGTTTGCTAGTTTCGGGTTATAAAAACATATAATATCTTCGATATGTTTTGTTCTGGGCGCACTATTTGTACTATTGCATTATCATGCAGTTGCACTTACTATTCTGGTATATATATTATTGAGGTTTTAATTGGAGAGATGTTTGTTTTTACAATAAAATTTTAAAGTGTGTTTAGAAAAATACAGTCATAAATATTTCTGAAAGAGTTTAGTTTTTACAATTGAAATTATTTCAATTTGTATATATCTTGAAACTAGCCCGAAAATAGAAATAATATTAAGTGAGTAATATGCGAATCAATTTAACATATTTATTATATAAACAGACTCTTAGCGTTTATTCTTTGCTAAGCCCAATGGCTGCTTTATACAGTTGAAGCATGTTTGTCAAATGCTTAAATGCAAAAATGCTACCACATATCAGATAAATGCCCTTGTTATCCAGGCAAATAGAGTTTAGAAGAAACATCTCACTCCCAAGGCATACAGTGAATAGTACAGGTTTTATGTAGTAGAAAGAAAGCACTCTGTCAATTAACCTAGATCCAGCATGCACTTTGTGTGATGTTTTACTAACACATCTATGCACAATACAAAACATATGAGAAATTATATCTACTATAAGAAAACCGCACAGCGGAATAAACATTTTTGGGTGCAGAGTAATTGTTTTTATAATTAGAATAGCGGAAGACGCACGGTCAGTTGCCATGTCTAAAATATATCCTAGCTGGGACTCCTGCTTCAATATTCTTGCAGCGTATCCGTCAAGAGCATCTAAAAGATATGACACACTATACAGGATAACAAACACTCGACTACTACATATTAGTGCGATAAATAATAACACAACTCGAGAATACCCAATAATATTGGGAATATAGCATAGTGTAGTTATAGGCTTACCCTTTCCTGTATCCATAAATAAAAATATCTTCTTGAAAATTACCACTAAATTGCAGAGTACTTAAAGAGTCAGAGAGGGTTATATCACACTAGAAAGATCTTTGCATTTCTACTTATCAGTGTGTGCTAGATAGTCAAAAGAATCTGGTGAATGCATGCATATATTTTAAATTTAGAGCATATATTCAGAAGAGTTCTTTATTTATGCAACAATACATCCAGAAACCCCAAGAGTATATTATACATCTTTCTCTTTTATAATTCGGGTTATATGCTGTTCTATGCGCATGAGTTTGGTATTTCCAATCCTCTGAGCATGAAATAACCCAATGCTGAATAAGAACTTTATCCGTATAAATACACTTGTCCTTATTTTTCTATTTTTATGGCTTTTTTATTAAGCGATTCACAGATAGATGCTATAGCAATCTCATTGCTAACCATAATCATTTCAATAACTATTCACGGGATATGCATAATAGTTAAGAACTCGATTACTAAATTTGTTTTCCCAAGAACCACTAACTATGCATATATAACAAGCTATGGTAAAATAAACCATTATCTAGAATTGATGGATTAGCTACAAAAAGAAAGAGAAAAAGAAAAGGAGTAGTATGCCGTTTGCTAGTTAAGAAAAGTGAAAATGCTCTAAGTGAATCAATTATTTTCTTTGTACTGCATATTTACAAAGAATTTTCGGAATTATTGCTGTAATTAATCCAAAAAATTATTCGGGTTATATGGAAATGGAGAAAGGCGCAGCATGAAAATTTTCTAGAAGTGAAATAACCCGAAAACAAACAAGAAATAGCACAAAAAGCAACTTTAGAGCAATATTTAATGCTGTTTCTACTCTGAATTATTATATTTTAGAGCGTAAAGCGATAGGTATATATTATAAAAGCACTAATTCATTTATTAGTTATTCATAAGAGACACAAAAAAACTAGAGATCTTAGTAATAAAGATCAATACACAGACAATGCAAATAATAGACAAGATTGTGACGATAAACAGGATTAGCATAGAACCCTCTATATCATTTCTACTACCGTATGACTCATTTGAAAAACTATAGCTGCCTAATCCTAGAAATTTTCTTCGTTGTTTATGTAATTCCATTTGGAGCATCTTATTTTCTATATAGCTAGGGTCAGTAGTACTAACATTGTGGTCAAATAAATTAGTAAACGTTTTTACTTTATCATTAACATACTGTTCTATTTTGGGATTCTTTCCTTTTATATTATTAAAGATATATTGAATAGCATTATTATTAGTGCATAGACCATTATTGCATGCAATTGGGTTCGCAAATTTTCGCTTCTTATTTTCTTGTTGTATTTGAATAAGATAGTTGTAGTTAATGTGGTGGCCATTCGGGTCTATGGAACTATCTAAATCCTCAAGTAGTTCAGCGACTAAATTCCAATTCTTATAGAGGGCAATCAATAGATTTTTATGTATTTGTGGTATTTCATCATTTGGTGAGATTGTGTGGGTTGTTCTACACACTCTATACTTATGCTTATAAAGATGCAAAAGTATCAGTGCGTAATCAACATTATACATGTATTCGTTATATCTTTCAAATAGATCTATTTCTACTTGTTCTTTCTGTGTCTGTGCGGTTTCACCAGCACCTGCATTCATTTTCTCAAATGCAGATACAAACAGTTCCAAGTTATATTTAAGTTTTATAGGCAGGAAAGCAGATGAAAACGTTCTTTGGATTAGTGTTTGGAGCGTGTATAGTAAATAATCAGACAAGGGCAAGGAGATTGTTTTTTTTGTTTTTGCATACCAGCAATTTACATATTTTTCAGCTGGTGGTATAAAATTTCTTTTTTTAATAATATTCATAGCACATAATAATGCAGTCTTGCATACTTTTGGCGGTCTGGGGTTCTCTTCCAGCAATAAGCAATTGCACAAATCGGCTATTTCCTTTCCTTTTAATCCAAATGTATCTAAAAAATGCTCTAGAACAAGGGATGCAATCGATGAAACAATTTCTATATTCTGAGGGTCTTCGCTGGTATTATCAATATTAATAATTAGATTGTTTGATATTATTTCATATAAGCTTCCAACAATTCTAAAATTATCATAATCCGATGATTTATTCCGAGATAGTACCGAGTTGACTAGAGTTTCCAAATCGATGTCAAGTTGTTTTTCATTTAGCTCCAGCTTAATTAATCTTTTATATTTAAGATTGCTCTGTTCACTTGGCATGGCCTGTATTAATTTTTTTTTCTCTTCCTCCGGCTGATATGATATGTTGGCCTGTAATGTGGTGGATTCTTCAGTTGCTTCCTTGGTAGTAGTTTCTATATTGCTATTCATTCCTGACGAGTAATTAAAATTTTTTAGTAATTGTAATTCCTTAATAACAACTACTAAAAAATATCCATAGATTTAATATTTATAGCCAAAAAAGTTTGAACTGTGGCAAAGGCTAAAATAGGCCACTTTATATATGAGCAGGCTCGACTGTCTGTAAAAACTATATTTAGAACCCGAAATAAAATTAGTCTACTGTTTACATACCAAATAGCCCGATATAGCCCGAAGTATAAAATTGGAATAAATGGTAATTTTTTTGATTAAACCTATAAATACCTATACACTGCCTCTATTTATATCAAAAACTGCTTTCAATTAAAAAGATATATAAGTGCTTTTTATATCTCTCACAGCAGTGTTTTTTCTTTTTACAGTAAAAATATATTAGGCTTTTATGTCTGTTTGCTGGGTTTAAACTAAAATTATTTGCTATTTGTATAATTATTATTGTAAAAATTTAGATAGCCAAATGAAAGAGTACGTATACTTCCTTTTCTGTGCAATAGTAATGTATTGTTGTGTGTATAGTTCAACAAACACAACCACATCTAACTTGGAGTCTATAAAAGTGTATAATGATGTGGATGAAAATATAGACAGATTATTAACAATGGTAGAAGGAAAGTCCAAAAAACGACTGGATATGTGGAAAAACTTCCATGCGAGAAAAGTTAATTTTGTTTTAGTTACTGAGAGTGTGTTTATAGAAAAGACTACAAAGAAAGAAGACCGCATTATTATAGCAGATAAAAATTCAATTTTCAAGTTTTCAGGTAAGCGCCGGTATAATGACAATCCTTCATGGAGATCAATTAATTTCTCACAGTTTGGCATTTTACACACTGTATTGTTTATAATAGAGCCAACTATGGAGAGCCCTGATGAAGAATTTAATTATTGCATTAAATGCATACTCTTTTCCTTAACACTTAAAGACTTTACAGAAAAAAATATAGAAGATCATGGCTTAAAAAGAAAGAATACTAACTTGCAAACAAATATAGAAAATTGCATAGAGGTTCTTAGCCACAACAAGAATCTTGAGCTGTGCTCTGAAAAACTAGAAAAAAAAGCTAAAAGAAAAAGTAAAATAGAATGTGAAGATCATTTAAATAACTGCATTAACAGGTACATAATAAATATGCATGCCAATATAAGAAAGTTTGGGCATAGTAAGCTCCAGAAGATACAAAAGCACGAGATTAAAGAATATCTCCAAAAGAATATAAATATACATTCAAAGTATTTGCAGAATAAAATAGAAAAAATCACAGACACACGCGAAGCAGCCCATAGAATATTTCTAGATTACATGGAAAGCTGTTTGCAGCGCAAAACAAATATAATAAGAAGAACAGTTTATAATCCAGAGCGAATGGAAGAGGCGGTAGAGCCGGTGTTTAGGCAGATATGCTGTAAGTGCATTGATTTTAAAACAACTAGGATGCAGACATATATGTGCTATGAAAATCCTGCTGGTAGCACTATAATTGCAATAAAGTTCTTTTTAAAAAATCCATTCATAAGAATGGATTTCAGGACAATAAACATTAATATAATTGACATGCGGAAAGGCATGCTAGCCAGGGCAAACCGACTAACACATAATCAGAATGAGAAAATACTTATTTTATTTCAGAAGATGGTAATTGTATTAGACACTATAAATTTAATATTCAGCAGCGATGAACTTCGGGAGAACAGTATAGAAAAAATAGAGGAAATATGTAAAGATATTCACAATGTATTTGTTGAGGCGTATAGTCAAACCATTCCTAACTTTACAGCAAAGGACATTTACTTAGATATGTATAAGCTGCTAGCGTCTTTTTATAAAAAACTTCCGTATTCGTATGTTCAGCTTTTTTCAACTAAAGAACCCACAGAAACTTTTTCGGTAAAGAAGAACTATCAGTTAGTTGGAAAGAGCATTTTTAACGACCAAAGATACCAGAAGTGGGAAATAGATATTAGCAAGAATTCTCTAGAAAGCGAAGGCGCATTGAAGCACACAATATCAAATATAAAGTGCACAGAAAAGTTCTATGCTTGTGATGGAAGCGTAAAAAAGGCAATGCACTACCATGTGCACTATGTAGACAACACACAGCACAAATATGAGCGGATTTGCATTCCCTATTACTACAAAGAAGACAAGAAGCCTATTTGTGTGCACACTGTGGCTGACATTATCACATACATAATGGGAATAAAGGATGTAGTGAAGGCAGATATCCACCCATATATTATGAACATAGAAACAAACAAATGGTCTAAAGTTAAGCAACCAGAGACTATTATGATGGACCGTATTGAAAGAAACTTTTTTATTGTTTTTTATCACGTTTTGAATGATTGCGCGAAGGATGGAGTCTTCTTTGTTGAGCTTCCTACTAAGAAAGAAGCGGAAGTAAAGCTTCCACTGTTTTTATCGCGCGTGGAGGCTGCCTTATGTTGCACAGAAGAGTTATTGGTGGCCATGAAAGAGACTATAATGCACTCTTTAGATCTTGAAGGGGCCTGCCCATTTGTTTTAACAAACACAGAATCGGCTATGTGGAGTAATCCTTTCATCAGAGCCTTTTATGATAATTTGGTGATTTCCAGCATCTGCAGCATAGAAAATTTGCAATGTTTAGTTATGAATGCCTCGCTATGCGTGGATTCAGACGGTGAGCGAGTTACGTGGATGGTTAAGTATCCATATAATGCAAATGAGTATAATTTCTGTCTACTAAGCAATGTGTCTCTAAAGCAGCTTAATATGGAGTTTGATCTGCAGAATACTATAGCAGGTATGTGCGTGTCCTCCATCATGGAGTTGCCCAGAAACATAGAAGTTGTTGGTCGCCATCAATCAGGTAAACATTTTTATCTACAAGGGAATGAACTCATAAACTACCTAGAGAAGCTTATTAAAGACAAGAAAAAAACATTATGCCCTGAGATTGACGCCCCTCGGCAGATGCAGATTGAAATTATACAAACAGATCCATCAATAGCTGGCACTTTTAACATGCATCAGTACTTTTTAAAATGCATAGCAGGGCTCCAGTGGATAGAATAGCTGGCGTGCACAGAAAAATACTTACCATTACTATAATCATATCCACAAGTGCCGTCCAGCCGCATTGTTTGAAAGTTTTTGTGGTATCTAGTATTCTAAGCATGCAGTATGCATGAATGCTTACTATTTATATTAGACTGAATTGGGTATATTAATTACTTCCAACAGTGGTATTAAATATGCAGATTAATTTATCTTTCTGGTTATATATATCAATGTTTTTCAAACTTGTGTGGGCCTCTAATCTTTTAAGTATTTCTTCTTTATCTTTAGTATTTAGCATAACTAGAAAAAAAAGATTCCATGGAATGAGGTATTGGAGATTTTCATAGTTGTCAGAAGTCACTATCAGAAGCAATTGATTCGGCATCTCAACTCCCTCCTTTTTGAATGCTGAAAATAGTCTTAAAATTGATACTATTCGATCTTGTATGCTATGAGGATCACTAGAATAGGATAAAATAAAATTAACTGGGCTGCCGCTTTTTTGAATTTCGCTAAACATGTTAAAAATAAACTCTATGTCTTCAGCCTGCTGCCCTTGTTCTAAATCAAATGTAAGCAGGAATATGTTTTTTGGAAGATTCAACAGAAAGCTGTATCTTAGCTCTGGATTGTTTTCACACATGCTTTTAGTGTAGAATATGCCGTCTTTCTTTTTTTCTTTGAACTTCTCCTGCAGTTCTGAATTAAACGCGCTGAGCATGTTTTTATAGAACATGTGCTTAAGCTTCTTTAAATCATACAAAGAGCCAAGCTTTGGATCAGAGGCAGCGCTTTTCGGTATTACAACCGCCAGCTCCGAAACATTATGTTTTTCGCCCATAGAAAGCGCATATGATATGTATTTCTCATAATCGTAGAAGTTTATGTACAAGATCTGAATCATCATATTCATGTTTTCTGCAATCTTATTTTTTACTATAGCGTTGGTTACAGGAGAAAAAACACAATTGATATGGAAATTCGTTCTGCAGTTCTGTAACTTTCTTCTGTGCATGTCATGCCCCAGGCTTATAAGAGACTCTTTCTCATAGTTGAAATAATTAAATAAATCATTTATATCTTTAATGTCTTGTTTTGGCTTTATATTATCACTGTTTTCTTTGTATGTTATATAGACGTTTTTAGCCAGATGCAGTGGAGTGAAATGATTAATGTCTTTTCCATTTAAAGCTAGTAAATTGTAAATTTTCACCTCGCCATCTGGAGGATTGTATGCTGTGATGTACTTTCCCATAGGCACAAAATCTATGTTTTTTATCTTTAATTGAGATAATCCTATATTTCTTGTGCTAATATAGTCAAGTATTTTGAAGAATAGCTGAATGTCTGAATTTGTTGGATTGCTTGGCATCTCAATTGAAAAGTGCTGAGTCTTTTCTAAGAAAGAAGATATTCTGTGCTTATACACTCGTCTGTGTGCTAGCAAGCATAGACTAAACTTGTTGGTTTTATTCTTTCTTGTTATATGTGCTTCTTTTTCCATCACCTTTTCATCTAGCAGCCCGTCAATTGTGCTGTACGATGGGTTTTTGTGCTCAGGATAGCAGATAGAGTCGGTTAATATTCTTTCTATTGGGGCTTTTTTTACTTCATATGACGTTTTCATATATGCAGTTGTATATGAAATCTTGCACAAGGCGCTTTCTATACATATAGTCAGCACACATAGCATGTAAATCACTGTGTAGTTTAATTGCGTGGGTTTAGAAAGTATTAATGCCCCGTCTACTCTTTGTTGTTTTGCTTTCATTTTTCTCGTTAAATAAAAATCTGAAATAAAAACTAATGCCTGTGTTTATTAATTTGTTTATATTAAATAATCTACCAATATAATAGAGATAAAGTCATTGTGAGTTGTGTTCGGGCATGACCTAAAAAGGCTTGGTATAGGATGATTTGTTTCTTGGATTATGTGCTCTTTCTATTTATGGGTCTATCTGCTATTAAAATTGTTTAACCATTCTTTTTCTTTTATTAACCCACTATTGTTTCTATTTTTTTAAATAACAATTTCTATTTGACCATAAGCTGGTATATACCATATATAAACAGAAATTAGGATATCATTGGCGCTTATTAATGGACCAGTTGAATGGGAGTGTAAATGGTTGGCGTGTCTCCAGCAGATTAGAGAGCAGCAAGCGAAAGTATATAATACTTTTTACGTTAAATAAACACTAGAAATGGTTATAACAAATAAGAGTTTGTGCGTATGAGATAACCCCAACTATATTAATGCTCTGTGTATTTTAGTATTCAGTCTGGGTATTTTATGAAATACTGGCGCCAATTGCATAAATTATACAGTGCACCTTATTAAGTTTAATGCATTGTTATAATTTCACTATGGACTGTTTTCAATTAAAACTATAAGAAGATTTAAAATAAAAGCAAGTTGTATGCACATAGAATTAACTAAATTTAGTGCAATGCATATTTAAATAAAAATATAATAGACAATATAATAAAACATATTCCAAATAAAAAGGAAATAATTATGAATAGGTGTGTTAAGAGAAAACGGTTAATAAAAGAAAAACTATGGCGTGTGTATAAAATGCCCATCTAACAAAGACAGCTTAAATTATCTTGAAACTATTCTACAATTCACATATTCTATAACTTTTTCGGGTATTATATTTGGTTTTAGGGATGCTTATTTTAAACTATGTGATTACAACTGATGCGCACTATACATCCAAACCACTGAAAAGTATTCTGATCTAATGAAAGTGTTATATAATATTTTCATACTATGTTAGTATAATATTCCATATTATAAATATATTTTTTCTACATTGGCTTATTAAGTTTGGAAATATGCGATTTAAAGATTTATATTCTTTTAAAGCCACTCAAAGAGTATTCATGAGAAATACAATAAAGCATGCATTGTATTTGAACCCCCATGTAATTTTAGGGGATAAATATATGAATCAGGAGAGGTGACTGGCAGCTAGCCAATAGTTATAATTTCATAAATATAAATTTTAAAAAATATAAGAATATACACAATGGTTAGTAATAAAGATAAGAAAATAATACTAATAACAGTAGTGCTCGGTGCGGGAGCGGCTGCTGTTATTGCATATATATATTATTTATTAGAAAAGGAAGACACGATAAACAATACTGTTATGGCGTCTGTCAAAGACATTAAATATGACCCACATATATACATAGATGATTTATTATTATTAAGTAAATCTGAGAGAGAAAGCAAAATTGAAAAGGTATTTGGAAGCATAGAAAGCCGCGGGTTTTGGTGTTTTGTTAAAGAGCTTGGCTCATCAGTGCAAGAAAGAAAGGTCTTAATCGATGATATAATTGATAATAAAGAAATGTGCGCGCGGTTTGAGAAGAAGTTTGGGCATGGGATATTTTTAAAGCTGCAAAAAATGATTGAAAATTATGCACCAAAGATGTATAAAAATGAAGACGAGACGAAAAAAGACTTTTTTGATGAGGGAGCGCCATGTCTTACAGTAGGAGACTCTTTAGTCCGGCTAAAAAATTATTATGATGATGACAAAAAAATTATAAATGAGCAGATTATTTTATCAAACAGAGGAAAAAACTCTTGCTTTCTAAATACTGCAATTCATTCTCTTCTGAGCATTCGAGAAATACGGGCAGATCTTAATAATATAACCCAAGATTTCATAACCAATGTAGAATCAATTGCTGCTGGAAAAAGAGATGTGTGTGAAAGACTTAAGACTGAACTTTCTTTAGATAGAAATTTCTTGTTACGTGATTTGTTTGATGTTGTTATTAGGCTAAATAAAATTGCTCGTGCTTTTGATGCGGCAGATGTGGGCAAGATATCTGAAGAAGTGGATAAAATTCTGTATAATGAAAAAATGGCAATATACAGCATTATAAATCTAGAACAGCAATATTGCGTATATAACCCGCATACAAAAATAAGAAATTATAATATTTCAGACTCAATAACTTCTTATATAACTCTGTACAACATAATGTGCTTTTTCTATCAGTTCTGCCCTCTGTTTAATGGGCAGGTAGAAATCCTAGGGAAAAAAATAGTGCAGCAGCAGGAGTTTATAACATGCACTATTAATCAGGATTCTTCTGCTGCACAAGAGACAGCCCCCTACCCTTCTTATAAATCCAACCTGATGGTGCTCACAGAATATGATCCCACAGAATATTCAAAAATTCACTATGTAGACTGCAGAGATCATAAGTATATACCTGTTTACATTCCTAAAGAAAAGTGCTTTAGTTCCATAGAGTGCATCAAAAGACACATATCTCGTCTATACTCTATAGATTCCGCCGAATTGCATCTATTTTTGCATAACGAAACCTCTAAGAAGTGGAGTTTTACCCTACTGTCTAATTATAGCATGGAAAAACTTTTCAATGACGCTACGAGCACTGCAGTTTTTTATTATATTCCAGGCGCAACAGATATGTCAAAGAACTATAATCTAATGTTTTTAGAATTTCCTTCCTCCAATAAAGGCTCTTCTAGAAGCAGAAATAAACAATTACAGCTTCCTTTATTCGTAGATGAGCTGATTTATTCTGCAGTAATCGAATCTGGCTACCAATGCAAAGAAAGTAATCCTAAATTTGTGGGTGCTCTGGACCAAATGAATGATGTAGTGCCATACACATATACAGCTCCGCATGGTGTGCTGCAGCCATACTATACCAGTTTTTGCATTGTAAAAGATACATCCACAACACCAGCAAGCATTGATTGCGGTATAATTAGTTCAAGTCTAACTAGCACTGCAGGCCCCTCAAGTATTATAAGCTTTAGCGTGAAAAAGACAAAAATAAGCGAATGCTATTCAGTGGGCTTTGGAAACATTGGCCCCAATAATAGTGACAATGTGGCTAAGCAATATCTACTTTCTGACTCATATAACTGCTCAGCTCGAGCAGCCGCAGTGCTTATGAGCTCACAGGGTCATTATATTACATACATAGCATCAAATAGCTCTAATCAAAATCCAGACAAAATATATATTTGTGATGATGACATGCGGCTAAGATACGTGGGGAGTTATTCTGTAGACATGAAAATGCCTATAAATTCACTATGCGACTATATTCAGATGCATCCAAACAGAAAAAAAGAACAGAGTTCAATGGGGTTTATTGGTTGGTGTCTGCAGATACTTTTATCATAGCCATGCGGCAATAAATAGGCTTTATATTCTAGATTTATTTTCTAACTTAAATTTAAATAAAAATAGGCAGCAATATAGAACCCGAAGCCTTGAAATTTATTTTTGTAAAAATAAATAATACTACTACTTTGAATAAACTGTTTTCTATTAAAAAACTACTACTTTAAAGCTACCAAGGCAGAAAAGATTAGTACTGTATATATCTTTTGTAGAAAGTTTCTAGATTAAAAGGCTTGAATGGTATGCAACACCTTTTTTACAGAATAAGTATATTTTTAATAATCTGAAGAACAAATATTTTTATTCTTCATCTACTATTGCTATAGAAAGAAAATCGTCAATCTTGTATCCATCCAAGTAACAATCTAGCTTCATGTATACTTCAATATAAAGCAACTAAATAACTTAGAAAACTCCTGTATTAATGGTTTTTGTTGGCTTAGGAGATGCATTGATGATTTAGAATCTAGAAAAAATATATATAGCTTTGCGCATATTGACTTAATAAGTAAAACAGAGTATAAATTGGAGTTTTATTAGAAAAATTACTATATATGTACATAATACATATGACATGGGCTGTGTGTTTCTGGTGTTCTAAATACATATAGATTCAATCTTTTTAAGCTGTTTTCGGGGGTTTACTTAAAGGCTGCTAAATATTGTCAAAATATACCCATATACATTTATCGCATTTGATATTTTATAAAGATACCGCATGTTTTTGTGATTCCTGTTTAAGAAAAACAAGAAATAAATTCCAAAAAGCAATCAGAAAAAGAATATAGGTGTACTCGCATATAACAAAAAATATTGATGTATTTTTTACTTCAGTAAAAAAACTCAAATATTTAAAAAACTTGATGGCAATTAAAAGCACCTCTCCAATATAAATAATAAATGATGCTATACATGCGATTTGTATAATTTCCATACTAAAATTCGACCCATTGCACAACCGAATAATAGAAGACAATGTATAATATGAAATAATTGTAATAAACATGATTAAAAACAACTTAAACAATTTTGAAATAACTTTTTTTCTATAGGTGCTTGTTTCTTCTTCTGAATGATTTTCTGTGTTATTAAATGGCATCTTGTCAAAAGGAATTTTTAGAACATCTGAAAGCATTCCTATGCACATGATAAGTATGCAGATTACTCGGATTATTTCAATGTTGTTTTTATAGCAATTAGGAGAATTTGAATAAAAACTGCTTAAAATAATATGTATAATTAAATTAACACCCACTATGAAAAATATTGGATACAAAATGCCGAAAAATGCTATTACTATAATTTTATATATATAGCTCCCTTTTGGCAACTTGCAATATTCTTCCAGTATATTTAATATGTTTTTGGTAGTTTTTATGCATTTTTTTTTGCATCCATGTTGAGGGAAACTGCTTTTTACTCTTTATTAAGTTAATCATTTTATAAAAAAATAATTTTACGCTGTATAAAAATATTTTCAATTATTTATGCTTTTTTGTAATATACTTCAAAGCCTATTAAAATATAAATTTTTTGATTGAATAGTAGTTTTTTATGATGGCGCCAACGTCTATGTACACATCCCATAAATTTATCTGTCAATGCGCCCACTCACGCAGTGATGCCACCAAACCAATGACTACGATTGAAGAAAGACAGATCAAAATCTAATGATTTAAGCAAAAAACTCAAATAGAAAGCAAAGAATCGTGAGAGAATTGATGAAAGGGTTCACCTCAATAACTATTTTCTATTTTTTTAATAAAAACGGTTTATTGTATATTAAAAAATGGAAACCACTGCCTGAAGCACAAAACACGCAGACAATTTAAGATTAAATATGATAATTTTATAGAGGAGTCTTTTCGTTAACTAGATCTGATGTATTTGGTGAAAATAATAATATACATACAAAATTTTAATAATTTTCTCTAATATATTTATAAATAAATATATATATATATGCTAATATGTCTTCACATAGCATAATGTTAAAAATCGATATATAAACTAGAAAATTAGATTTTTGTTGCGTTAAACATGATAATAATGCTTTAAGTGAACTTGGCATGTTTTAAAGTTTATTTGTTTCTTTTCTAGTTATCTAATAAATTCCTATTTTTATAATGCTTCTAGCTGTTTTTATTTAAAGTGCCTGCAAAATTAAATAAGCATTCATTTCAAAGTATAATACAAAAATAAAAAGGTCTATATGATATTTTAATAAATACACATAGAAATAATTTTATGCAATAAAACTTATTTTAAGGCCCGGTAGTATTCTTATTAATAATGTCTAAAACTTGATTATTATTCACTATTGAATTTCGGCTTTAAACATTCTCGGAGTATGCTAAAATTTTATTATTATTATTTATCAGCGATAATAAAAGCAATTTAATAACCCGAAGCTGATAGATGAGTCTTTTTTTTTGCAAAATATGTCAATGCTATTAGATAAAAATAGAAGTATACACATAAAGAATTATAGAAAACTAGTAATCAATGCCCTATTTATCATTGCATTTCTATTTATGTTAGAAACATATTTAATACATCAAATATTTACTAAATACACCGCGAATGATATAGAAAGCATTCAAAAACATGAATTTGTTTGTATTAATGGAGAAATCATGCATGTAAATCCGAATGGCCCGCTGGGTCTGGAAGCTGTGTATATATTGCATAAGATTGGACTTGTCGAACGGTTTAGATTGTTTTCTCCTATTTTAAAAGTTGTTTCGACTGCAGATCATAACACTATCCCGAAATCTGATGTGCAAGAAGAGAAAGAGGAAGAAGAAGATTTTATACCCGCTTCTTTGCATCCAACTGGGGAACCATTGGAGTCTATTAGAGAGCACTACAGTGTATTTATCCACCTGTTTTCTTTTCTAAAAAGAAAGGAATCAATAAAAACACAATGCCCAGATTCATTCTATGCATTTTTGAACAGCTGTGGAGAAAGTCAGAATAATTATAAAATACTTGCTGCATTGCTTCTTCTTACTGAGAACCTTGATGTTCCGCTCAGTCTAGAGGTGAATGAAACTGGGGCTTTCCTTGCTTTAAAGAGTATGAGTGCAGAAAATGACGTTTTCTGGGTTAAAATATGCACACCACCAAAAATAGCAGATGAGTTGCCTAATCCTACAGAAAACTATAAGTTGGCTAAAAGTAGTGTTCTAGATGTTCTCAATTTTTTTATACAGAATAAAAGCAATATTGGCCTGCTGGACCAGATATACCCATCCAATGAAAAACAACATGAATACAGCGTGCTAGAAAGATTTTCAAGTACACCAGGATTTCTAATTCAAATGTACATATACTATTACATAGAGGAAAAAAATAATATGACTGCTTTCATTCAAATCGTGCACGATCTTCTCTATGAATATAGTCAAACTGTGCAAAAGAGTATTTGCAAGAAAGAGGCAGAAGATCCAGCACTGGCGTGCACAATGTCTGTAGTAGAGGAAAATAACACATCCCAACCGAATAAAGAATCTTCTACAGGAACACATGCAAAAGCAGATAAATCTTCTACTACACCTATGCATCAAACAGCACTGGCGGTGTATGATGCGTATTTTATAGATTCATCTAAATATAATGTTTTCAATAATGGTGAGCCTATTAAAAAGTATAATGAAATTATGAACATAAAACTACTATCCCATATAGATGTTCTAATGAACAAATTGGCTACTAAAAAGGGGCTTAATGAAGAAGAAAAGAATCTTCTTATAAAGATAAAAGAATTTTCATGGATTGTAAAGTCACAAGATCTTCGTTCGCATTTATACAAAGTTTACTTAAAATGTATGTTAAATAGCAATTTATTTTCCAGCTCAAATGAAATAAAATATATGAAAAGCATTACAAAAATGCCTAAAGAACGGTTTACAGACATGAATAAGTTTATTGTAAACAAACAAATGGGGTTCTATAATTATCGCCTGGCGCTGATAAGGTACTTAACACTGTATTCTATACATTTAAACTTACCCGAATCTCATCCCGTCATGTGCTTTAATTATAATCTGATCCAAAATGTACTAATACATGATATATACATAATAAGGCAGTTAGTCTGTTTTTTCAGCTGTATAAAAAGCCTTTGGGATATTTCAGAATATATAAGCAACTGCGAAGAAAAATGCGATATGGATTTATTTTATTATAAAGAAGAGCTATATAAAATAATTTTATGCGTAGTGGAGATAGATTCACCGGAGATTCTTTATGGAATTATAAAAATACATGTGAAAGAAATGAAAAAGCTACACAATATAACCAGTGTCTTGTTCTCCATGACTTGCAGCGAACAGATGAGAGTGATTGCATGCCTAACCAAGAATGGCACTACAATGGAATACATTACTTCTATTCTTAACTATTTAAAAGAGGACAAAGAAAGAACAAAAGAGAAGCCCAAAAATTCAAAGAATTTTACATGTGATCAACTGGAAAAAACTACAGCCATTCTTTTTATACTGATTGATTTGTCTAGAAGCAATTCGCAAAGATTTCGAGATATTATAACACAATGCTATAATTTGATTGTAATAGACTCAAAGTCACTAAACAGCATAACAATGTGGGGGGAACTGCCTCTGTATGTTTTAAGGCAGAGAGTATGTTTTTTTCAGGATATGGTGAATAATATATTGAAAAAACAGAAAAAGATAGACATAAAGCTTAAAATTCTTTTGGAAATACATCAAAAAGCCGTAACAGAAAAAATAGAACTCCGCAAAAAGGAGCATATGGAAAATAGTTTGAGAGAAAAAAATAAAGATTTAATTTCCGCTTCTTCAAAAAAGACAGAGTCTCTGAATGAGTTTAATAGATGTGCAGACAAAATACAAGAAAGGTTAATCAATATTTTAAGAGAGACTTTTTTGTCTATTAGCAAGTTTCTTTTATATAGGACATTTAATTGCCTATACAAACTAGATATTGGCGACCAAGAAATACCCGATGAAGTAGGCAAAATTAAAAGAATATATACATATATTTATTTTTCTACAGTAGATAGTTCTTTTGACTATTCAATAGAGAGCAACATAGAAAATGCTTGTAAAGAACTAATACCACTAAAGCGGTTCTTAAACCTTGATAATTCTGATGTGACGGAGATATTGAATGATTTGGAAAGGCTTAAAAAGGAGAAGGCCATTATGGAGACCAGCAAATTAGCGGAAACAATGCAGGCAGTCCGAAAAATGAATGACATAACAAAGATGCATTTAATAGAGGAAGAACTTGGCAAAATTCTTCAATTGACAAAGGTTTCTCGAGATAAGATCAATGAAAATATTAATAATCTAATTTTATTGGAGTTGGATTCAAGCAAAGAAAACGAATTATATATAATGTCTAACGTATCGCTTATTTCTTCAGTGATTGTTTATGTATTCAGTACAATTGAGAATATAATAGGAGGGAATAGAAGTTAAATTGAGCAATGATATTTATAAAATATATCCTCAGGCACGAATCAGGATATCTATTTAGCTATGTTTCTCTATATTCAGCAAACAATCGCATTAGTTGGTTGCACTCAGCGGGCTCAGCGGAATTCCAGGTTATGAAGTGTAGGAAATGTGTATGTTGTACTCTTTAATTATTTGTTGGCTCTCCTCATACATTATAGCAATAAAGTGGTTTTATTTAAAAATTCTTATTTCTATGGCGCATGCATCATATTTGATAGGCTTATGTATATTTCTTTTTATTTATTTTATTTCTTAAATATTGCAGAATATATCATATAGATTTGATAGCTGCTTGTTATTTAGAACCTAGCCTACTTAGAAGCTTTAAATTTTTTTGAATACCAGGCTGGCAATAAGATCTGCTTGTTAGAATAATAAGGAAATTTGCAATCTGTTTTATTTGTACATTCCGGGTTGTTTCGGGTTGTATTTAAATATATTTTGGCTGTGTTCAGGATATAATTTGAAGAATCAGATGATTATGACAATCTTCTATTTAACACTTTCGAGGTTTATAAAGAAATGGCAGTTTTTAGAAAGAAGGTATTTAACATTATTAATAAGATGCTTTCTAGTAATAAGAATTCTATATGGAGGTTTACACATTTCTATCTTCTCTGTTGTACTTCGAAATCCTTTTATAATAAAGATAAAATTTCAGGTTATGCTGTCTGTAGCCATGACCAACTAGAGCCTGCAAATTCGGCTCTATCCAAATATATGATTAATTCTGCAGAAGATGATGCGTCTAAATCCATCCACACATGCCCTTCTATATGCAATGTTGCTCTATTCGGCAGCAGCCCCGTGCTAGAGGAATTCAGCACAAAAGAAAGCCAAAAAAGTGCGGATATAAAAGAAACAGAAGAACACGCTACATCAACAAAATTAACAGCAAACACAGAAGAATTTTCAAAACCAGAACTATTAAACTCACTAAGCATGGAAGATACCTATCCGGAGTCAAATATACTGCTAGTGTGTGATATTCCAAAAAATCCAAATGCCACATATATACAAAATACTGAAGCGCTAACCAAAGTAGTTGAATGGATAAATTTGCAGGAAAACGTGAATGCTGTGAAAGTACATGCTTTAGACTGGGTGGCAAATTGGATAGATTCTCATATTAAATGGCCAAAGCAATATAAGTTTAGTAAGCCCGACACATACATTCTAGCTTGCTTTCCAATTAAATCAGGATATTTCATCTCTGGGAGCATCACAAAGAAGTTCACTGGCTTTAAAAAGCTACCAAACATGGAAATCAAATGTAGTGTTTCAGGAAAAGCCAAAAGAGAATTTATTATTTTAGGGAATATAGTGTATAAACTGAACGTACAGGTGTTATATAATAATAATGGCGCCGGGTTATCTAAATGCCTAGAATAGTGAGCAATGAAATTTCTTTTTTATTTTAAATTTAGAGAAAGTATTTATTTTCAGTTATTTGGTATAGTGTATTTTATGTAAGGCATAAATAATATTTTATTTTTAATAAATTATACATAGTTCACACTATTTATATTCAATCTTTAATTAGTTTTAATAAATTCTCAGAAGAAAGCCCTAAAATACTTACTGTATTAGTCAATATATCGTGATGGTATTATCAAATGCCTTTCATTGTCTGCTGCAAAGAACAAACAATTATATTTTTTAATAGAACATGAATATGTTATGGATAGTAAGTAATAAATATTTACACGTAGCGAGAGTAAAAATAAATTTGCCACAGCCGCCTAGGGGCACGACAAGCCGCTTATAAGGTATAGGAGGCAAGCACTTGGTGCTCGCTATCCATCCAGCTGGGGCTACTCAAACCTTATATCAATAAACTGTTTTCTATTAAAAAAGCAAAAGTAAAAATACTCAGAGATAATAAGCATTGAGAAGAGGGAAGAATAGTCGATATATAAGAAAACGGTGCGAAAAAGTATATGACACAACCTGTGGTAATAGGAATTGTTGTATACTAAGACTAATATTAGTATCGTAATACATGAGTTATCTAAATGTTTACATAAACATGACAGTATAAATTAAATCAGAAATATTTGTTTGACACAGCATGCCAACATAAATTAAATTGATCATACGGTCTATAAATACGTATTCAAAATTCAATAAGATTAAAGTATCTTAATGACTTTTTCTAAGAAATCAACTGGAATGAATAAGTAGTAGAAGTGTAGATAGGTATAGTAAATTAGATTTTAAGGCGTTACATGGTATATAAGGAAAGAGAAATCCTAACTAAAACTAAAATAATCTTTACTTTGGTTATAATATAAAAATTAAACGGATTAGTAGGGTATTTATCTCTTATTTTGTATTTATGTGTGTATATTGATATTTGTGTGCTAATTAGTTCATATACAAAATATAGAGTGCTCTGTCCTCTCTTACAGCTGTACTTTTACTCTGCAATAGTAAACTTTTGTATAAACAGTTAATCTATTTGTTATTATCCGCACTTAAAGTTGTTTTCTTAGAAAAAGTCATTAAGATACTTTAATGTTTATTGAATTTTGTATACGTGTTTATAGACCGTATAATCAATTTAATTTATGTTAACATATTGTGTTAACAATAATTTCTGATTTAATCTGTGCTGTCATGTTTATGTAACTATTACAATAACCCACGCCATGCTAAGCCAATGCTATTCTTAGCATACACCACTTAATATAAGATATAAAAATAAATGATTTTTGCATTTAGAAATGGAAAAGAGATGCACCACAATTAGAAGTAATAAATATGTACTAAGCACTATATTAACAAAAAAATATATTATGGCACTGTTATTACTTATTCAGACAGCATATTCTCATGTAGGAATGTCAGATGCAAAAGAGATAGATAAAATGATGTTAGGAAGCAAGAATAATATAGCTATAAACAGCAATGGAGATCTTTCTTCAATAAAAGGATACATCTTACATAAGTGTGGATATATGCAAAATCTAAGATATTACTTATCGTATATAATAGAGATAGAGCCCGACTATATTGAAACGAATACTACAACGCTTAATAGATGCACTCGGTATTTACTAAATTACATATACAATTGCCCAGAAAGGTGCACATATCTAAGAGAATTCAATCAACAGCTAATAAATATGTTCCCTTCAGAAAAAGGGCGTCTGTCCATTGAGTCAGAGAGTTATGACTCATTTACTCGATTTCTACGAGAGTGTAAAAACAAATTGGATGGTCTATATGTCTTAGCTTCTTTATTTCTGCTCTCAGAAGGAGTAAAAATGCCCATTGAAATAGTAAATGGCCATGACAAAAAAAATAGTTTGATTCTAAAGAAGAACGGAGAATTTGGCTTCCGTATTAACTTGCCTATGAACATAATGAGCACAAGTGGAAACCTTGTCTACCAGCAGAAAACAGAAGACATAGTGAACTTCTTCAAAAATAGTGAAGAAGGAGATTCTCTAAAAGTGCCGTGTAATTTTTTATTCCATTACAGCTATTATGAGCTCTCAAAAGGAAACTTTCTCTTCGGCCCAAGGTTCCTTATTCAGTCGTATTTCTTTGAGTATATAGACACCGTAGATATGTATAAGGATTTTGTGGGTATTGTTTATGAATTAATTAATGAACAAATGCCAATAAATATGCACTATCCCAGCACAAAAGCCGAGAAAAAGGTAATAAATGCCTTTTACTGGATTTTCATAGAAAAAAGAAATTCTTGGCGCATAAAAACTCCTTATTATGTTGAAGAAATCCTTAAAATTGAGAACATGTGGAATAACACAGGCTCACAAACACCATCTCTGCATAAGGAAGTGCGGCCTATGCACTCTCCTGCTCCTTCATACATTCGAAGAAAAGACAGAAATGGTATGACTGAGGACAACTATATTGAGAAAGTTCTTTTTGACCTGTTTGTTTGCTTTACTTTCAACCAGTATATCAATAAGCACAGCACAAGCCACCTACCCAGTCCATCCAGTCAGTTAAAATTATTTTTTGATAAAAACATACATAAAATACAAAATGAAACCCCCACTCTGCACAGTGAATGGTGCGAGGCTGTGGATGCTCTGTCTAGTAAAGGTATTTTTTATACAGACAGCAAGAAACAAATTGAGTTTGGATTGCTAAACATGCTATTTTTCATAGAAGAGCTTGCGGGCACCAACCAAGAACTAAGAAATTCAATTGCCTGTCTATTAATTATAATTAATAGGAAACACATAGAAAAGTCAGATCAGACAGAAATACAGAATAATTTAAAAAATGTATTTAAATCTCTCTCTTTGAATAAAAGTATAGAGGTGGAGTGCAAAAATCTTAAATTAGAAAAAACTGAAAGTGGTAAACTAGAAATATTCACCGAGTGTAACACCCCCATTGTGATCACATACAGTGAGTATCCTTTTCATAGCTACCGATGTCTTGAAATAGAAGTGCCCCACATCACTTCTAATTTTGTGCCTGCTTCAAGTGATAACAGAGATATATTTGACATTAAATACATTGGGTCCGAGTTATGGGATATTATAACTCCTGAAAAGTCGCCAGATGGTGATGCCAAATGGCATATTGAACAATACATAGATATTGAACATGATAAAATTGCGCATGCAATAGACAGAGAATATAATTTTATAAATAAAATAGTATATTCTTTGCATGATGGATACAACGGCATTCCTAATAGCTTAATGCTTTGGGGGAGTCTGGATTGCATAATGTACAAGGCTAAAATTGTTGAAGTGTTTTTAATTCACTCTAGTTATGAAACTTTGAGTATTACTAACCCTATGGTGCAGTTTACATCTAAACTTATAGACAGTGTGCCACTAGATGACCCGAGAGTAAGGAAGATTATGCTGCGCGGATGTCTATACAATAAGAATTTCGGGCTATATTACCCACAGATTAAGTATGATGTAGAAGAAATATTAGAGCCATACATGGGAGTTACCTGCGTGCTAGGCAGTATGGCATTAATTAAGCCCTTGTTTTCTTCTGATATACACCATAAGGCGATTGCAAACTCTTTTGTATCTTTTGCCAACTTTCTTAAGAAGCATAGAAGTAGTAGGGAAAGATATATCATCTTTGGGTCTAATGACCTATGCAGAAAGATAATTAAAGAAAATTTGCGCTATACAATAAAAGAAGAAGATATGAAATTCATTCTAAACTCAATACAAACAAATACAGATGTAACTGGTGATTACTGCGCAGACAATATTTTTATGGCGTGGCTTTTTCATATTGGATCCTTAGATGAAGATATACCCGTAAAAATCACTAGGGCTGTTTATGGCTATATAAAGTGTAAAAATCTAACAGAAAATATCAAAATTCTTTTACGGGCTGAGTGTATTAATTCTACAGTAAAGAATGTTTTAAGTCTACTAATACGCAAAAAATCAAAATTACTTGAGAGTGATGAGCATTTATTTGGGGTGATAGAAAAGTATCAGAAGATACTAGATTTTGCCAAGAAGTTAAGTTCATCTGATTAGGGTAAGTTTTTTCTATATAAACGAAGTGATAATATGCTATAAAAAACAATTCTTATCTACCCTATATATTTCATTTCTATAGTGTATGACAATAGTTAATGCTGTTTGTATAATCAAAATAAATACCGAGCGTTTCACTGGTAGTTTGTTTATTCGGGGTGTATGCTATATTATGTGTGTTTTAATATGGCTATGTTTTTGTTGATTTCTTTTAATATTACTTGTGTGTGGTTTGTTATACTATTTAATATACTAATACTGTGAATAAAATAAATTTAAAGTAAATTGTATAGTAAAAATATTATTAGTGTATGGAATTATTATTTATTTTTTGTAAAGGATAAACAATTACGTTTTTTAATAAAGCACATATACTCTACACAATATAAAGTGAAATAGAAACAAAAATGGCCATGAAATTCAAGCTATGACAAGTTTTAATAGATAAAAGCAGTTGATTTCTTAGAAAAAGTCATTAAGATACTTTAATGTTTATTGAATTTTGAATACGTATTTATATACCGTATAATCAATTTAATTTATACTGTCATGTTCATGTAAACATTCAGATAACTTATGTATTACGATACTAATGTTAGTCTTAGTATACAACAAATATCAAAATAAAAGATCGTTAATTAGATGAAATTAGAAAAAACGAATACAGCAATAAAAAATATTTTTTTTATTCCCTGAATGAAAAACAGTATGATCATAAAGCTACTAGTGATGATGTACACAGTGTGTGCAAGACTTGAACTGAGTGATATAAAGACAATAGGTGATTCAGTAGTTATTGAAGAAGATAACTTGTTAATACATCCAGACGGACCATTAAATCCACTAAGAGGATACATTATGCACAAGAGCGGAAATATGTACAACAAACGATTATATGCGCCAGAAATAGACACAATGTATAAATTGGAAAAAACAGATAAAGTAACAGATTTTTTCACTCCAATTTATGATTATACAAGAAACCCAGTAAATGACCTGGCATATGATGTTATTTGTGAGGACAAAGAAAAGAATGAGTACCTCACACAGTTCCATACACAACTAATTAAAATGTTTCCCTCTGCATATGGGTCACTTTCTATCGTATCAGGACTGCCCGAGGGGTTTACTTCTTTTCTGAAAAAAGAGGAAGTGCAGCCTCAGAGTATGCGCATCCTGGCAGCCCTTTTCTTATTGTCTGAGCAGGTGGATATTTCTATTGATGTAGAAGAAAAGAAAAAACTTGTTCTGAGAAGTGCAGATGAAACAACTGCATATATTGACCAGAGCCTGCGCATATTTACAAAAGACCAAACAGAATCTAAAACCGATATAAAAAAAACGTGCAAGGATCTAGAAAGCCTTATTGAATTTCTTAAAAAGTATATAGACAATGACAGTGCAAATCCAAGTGCAATGGAAGGACTGCCTACTGAGCCAACTACGTATGAGCAGTTCATGACAGGAGAATTTTTGAACACGTCCCAGTTCCTTATTCAGTCGTACATATACGAGTTTATTGACACAAAAGAAAATTACATTAAATTTGTAAATGCTGTATATACTCTCTTGAACGACCAGATAAAAAATAAAAAGTCATACGAAAAAGTACTGAGCAAGTGCTTTGTAAAAGAAGATGCACAATCAAACGAAATCGACCATACTAAGATTATTTGCGATCTTAAGGATACAATAGACAAGTATAAAATATTTCCATTCATGGATTCATCACTGCTTCCGTCCTATGATCGGGTTAAAGCATATGACCGGGAAAAGGGCGAGTTCATAAACAATGAAAGCAGAAAGTACTCCAATTGTGTAGAAACGACTCTGATGGGTCTTTTCTTATGCTTAGTATATGATCCAAATAAAAAGAAGTACAATACAGACCATCTGCCCGACAATAAAGAAACTAAGCCACTGAAAGACTTCTTTAAAAAGTACACTGAGCCAAGAGAAGCCACTGACTATGAAATGCACGAAGATTGGTGTAGAGTGATAGCAGACTTGAAGAATGACAAGATTCTTTACTTAAAGGAGAAGACGAATGAGCTGGACAGCAGTCTGCTGAACATTCTTTATGTTGTATCGGATATAACTGGAAGCAAAGAAGAAGTGGTTAAAGAAATTAAGTACTTAGAAGAACTTCTTTCTAATAAGAAGGTTGATGATTGGCTTGATATAGAAGAAAGCTTGACTACAATATTCAAGGAGCTATCAAATAACAAGAATCTTGAAGTAGAGTGTGACGAATTCACAGTAGGTACACGAGAATATAAAAAGATGGACTTATTTGGTAAGTTTAAGCTAATATATACTTTTAATGAGAAAAAAAATGGAATATTAGTAGAGATAACTCCTGGCCATTCCTCATTAAGCTTATTGGAAGACGTATTGTCTAGTGAAGAGAAAAATATTATTAAAAAAAAGCTGACTGAAATACAAAATACTTATAGTAGTATAGAGAGTTACACAGCATACACAATTAGACAGTACATAAACATAGAACTTGCTAAGATGCAAGAGGAGTATGCATTGGGCCGAATTCAAGAAAGTATTAAAAATAACCATGATAATATAAATAACATTTTCCTTCACGGGATGATTCGATCTGTTGAACAAAAAGCAAGCATTGTTGGATACTTCTTGATTATGAATGTAGAAGATACTCTACCAAAAAACAATTCACTAGTTCGGTTTACCAATAATCTTATAGGAAGTACTCCACTTGATGATTTTGAAACAAGAGAAGATATGCTGCTTTATTGCATGCTTAATAAAGACGGTAAGAGCTACTATAAAGGAATTGAAAGCTGCTGGAAACAGGTTTCTAGAATTGCTGTATATAAATTTGATGCAATAATTAGTGACATTTTAGAGAAGTCAAACTATTCCCTAGATGTTACATTAGAGTGCTTTAAAAAGTTTATAATGGATATGGCAAATAGTGATGAGAAGTATTTTATTATTCCAGGATTCACATTAATTGAAAATATAGTAATGTTTTCTAGAAAGACTAATGAACTAGCTGAAACACTTTTAGAGTTTATAAAAATAATAGATGAAACAGTTATGCAGCCAGATGGATCAAATATGTTTGTTATTTACTTAAGATGGATTGTCAATGTGGTATTATATAATTTAGATGATAAGAAAGAGATTATAAAGATTCTAATGGATCAAATAGATGTTAATTATAATTTTAATCTAGATAACAAATGGAATAGTTGGATTTGTGTCAATTATTTCAATATATTGAAAAATTTAGAAACATGTAAGGATCTATTTTGTGATGATGAAGAAAGCCCAGAAATTGTTGAAAAATACGACCATCTTATAGAAAAAATAAAAAGCGCATTTAACCCGAATAACCCGAATCTTCCAGTGAGTCTTGAATCCTTCCACACGTAGAAATGCATAAGTGAATATTGGATTGTTTGTATATAAGGTGTAAGAATATACTGCTTTTCTTTATATACGCAGATTTATTGGCAGCGCATAGAAATAAATAAAATAAAAAAATAAAATAAAAATTCAATATTAACTACAGTATATTATTATAACACAGCAGTATTTCTCTAAATTCTAACGGGTTGAAAGCATCATATATTCTAAATTTAATTTGACATGTCTTTAATAATCAGTTTGTGTTCTATGATTTATACTGTTTATGTTGATTTCTTCTGTTGTATTCTGTATTGTATTTTAGTGTATTTAAGTATAAATTGTTTGTTCTTTATGTTCTATAAATAAATATTTTACTTTAAAATAAAGTGTATAGTACTGCTAATAACATGAATGGATTTATTTACAAGCAGTTTATATTTAAAAATAAAATAGAAAAAGAAAAGAAGAAAGAAGAAAAAAGGATAATGGAGTATATAAATGTAGAATATCACAAGTAAAGGCAAGGAAACACACATAATAAGAAAAGAGAGTGTGATATGACAAAGCACTTATTTGCAGTCAGAATATAATTATATTTAAAGATTTGATGTTCTATACTAATAATAAGAGTAATTCAATTCATGTAAATTTTATTTTATGCAGAATATATATACTGCAGGGATAATTTAAGAGAGTAAATTAGTTGTTTTTTTACAAAGAATTAAAATAATAGAACAGGATTATTATCAAGTTAATTCTATTTTAAAATATAAAAGAAAAATAATTTCAACTCGAATTTAAATATGAAAGAGAGAGACAATATACTCAAAAAAAACAAAAACATGTGTATAGAAAGAAAAACATTAAATAAGAATAATATACTTATAATACTATTACTGACGATACACAGTTTATATGCAAAGATAGAAACAAGAGACGCTAGTACTATACAGAAAATGGAACTAGGAGATAAAGACAGCCTAGTAGCAATACACCCACAAGGCGGGCTTTCTCCATTCTATCAGTGTATTATGGAGAGAAGTGGATATATAAAGAACTTACGGGGATATCTACATGCCATAGATGGGAGTGGAAACCAAGTTGGAGGGTATGGGTCTACTATACTCAAGGAGTCTAGTGAATACATGCAGGCATTCACACAGCAGCTGATTAATATGTTTCCATCAGAAGATAGATATTTATCCATTGAGTCAGAGAGCCCAGACTCATTCACTCGGTTCTTAAGAAGGCATGAAGACAGGTCAGATAGTTTATATATTCTTGCTTCTTTATTTCTTCTCTCTGAAGGGATAAATATTCCTATTAGAATAGTGGAGAGTAAAGTGAATAAAAATAAAATACTTATTCTAAAGAAGAAAAAAGTAGAGGACCAGAAGAAGAAGAGGATAGGAATAGTAGTTCTGAATATGATGAGTTAGAGAAGAGGAAAATAAGCAGAAGAGAAGGATTTCACATCAACTTGATTCTGGCTATAAAAAGTAAAACAGAAAAGGATAATACTGCTGAATCAGCATATCAGAAGAAAACAGAAGAGATAGTGAGCTTCTTCAAGAGTATTGCTACCACCAATTTATCTTACTGCTTAAAAGTGCCAGAAGAGTTCTCAATGCCTACTACATATGAAGAGTTCTTAAAGGGGAATTTTCTGTGCAATCCGAAGTTCCTTATACAGTCGTACTTCTTTGAGTATATAGACAGTGTGGAGATGTATAGAGAGTTTGTAAGAGCGGTGTATGAATTAATTACTGAACAAATACTAAACAAAGATGAGAAGAAGAGTGAGAATATAAGCATGAAGACAGGAAAGAAAGCACAGGAGGTGTTTGACAGTCTATTCATTAAACAGGACTCAGCCGAGCTGCCTAGCAAAGTGAAA